TATATTTTGGTATTTACATATTAACCAAGACTAGTATTAAATTTAGTACTCCGGATCATTCGACCACGGATTTAATTTAGCAAAGCATAAAGGCCCCGTTAAGGTAACCGGTAAGCAGTCCCGGTCATGCCCAATCATGTCCCAGCTTCCCGCTCTTCTGCAGTGACGTTCACGGATTATCCTTTCTTCTTTCGTGTACGTGCGTCGGAGGAATCCAACTGGTTAAAAGAAACACTAGACATTTTGTCCGTGTTTCTCTCGGCAATACGGAAGTTCCGGCCTTATAAAAGGGTAAGCTCCCGTCCGTGTCAGCCAAGGGTAAGATAGTACCATGGAGACCTGCAACTCTCACGATATCTCGACGCAGACTTCGTCATGGGGGCTGGCACTGTCAGTTACAGCCAACCAACCGGAAGTTCCCCCCCGCAGGCCGTACGGTAAAAGTTGTAGATTATGTCGTGCCAGAAAAGTGAAATGTGATAAGATGACGCCATGCTCAAATTGCGCTGCCTCGAGAACGGCTTGTGTCTACCCACAGCCTGCGCGCCGCCGCCGATGTCACAATGTAGTTCAAGCTTCGGAGACACCCCTAACGGGGTCAAGCAATCCGGTGAGCTAGATAGCACGTTGGTGACTGGCGAGGTCGACTAACCTTCTTCAGCCTTCGAGTGTCCCCGGCCAGAGCTATGTACAAGACTTTGGACGCCTTACCATCCAGGAAAGGCGCAGTCGGTATTTGAGCAACAGATTTTGGGTCCGGCTCGCGGACGAGGTATCATTGCCATGCCATGAATCACGGGGCCCAACATCAGTATGCTGACGGACGACCCTCAGGTAGCAGAGTTCCACGACGGATTACAGCTGCCTCCGTCGGATGGGGTTGGCATACCGGAGACTCGGTCGTCGCCTGTGAATTATCCCTCAAGCTTTTTCCTCTTCGGTCCGGATTACCCTGTGCATTTGCTACGCAAGTTCTACCCCCCAGCTGGCAAAGCACTCTTGCTGTGGAAATTCTTTCAGCAGAACGTCTCACCGCTGGTGCCCATCCTTCACCGACCCACAGCATCAAAGCTAATACGGGATGCGTACGAGAGTCCAGACAGCCAATTCCAAGATTCAGAAGCTCTCATCCTGGTAATATATTTGGCTGCAGTCATCAGTATGACGGAGGACCAATGCCTTGGGAACCTTGGTGTCTGCCGAGCTACTTGCATCAAGAATTTCCGATTTGCCGTAGAACAAGCTTTATCCAGGGCTGGTCTACTTTATACAGACAGTTTCATCCTCCTGCAGGCGGCTGTCCTCTACGTCACCTGCATCCGCCGCGAGGACGCGCCCAAATTTACCTTTTCAATGACTTCGATCATTGTGCGACTCGCGCAGGGACTCGGTCTCCACCGGGACGGGACCCTGTTTGGCCTGAGTCTGTTTGAGACGGAGATGAGGCGCCGTCTGTGGTGGCATATTTATATTCTGGATCTTCGTGCATCCGAAGACCATGGCATTGTCCGTCAAATCAACAGCGACATGTTCGACACACACCTTCCATCTAATCTGAACGATGAGGATATTGTGCCGGAGTTGGACACAATACCGCAGCAAAATGACGGGTTCACGGATGTGACTTTCCTCCGCGTCCGGTGCGAGATATCTGTCGCTTTTTCGCATGATGCTATACACAATGTGGACGCAACAGTCACCCTGTCGAATACCAAGTTATCGAGCAAGGATTCCTTTCATCAGACCCGACAATATATCGACAAAAAATACTTGAGCAAATGCAATCTTAGTGTGCCAATCCAGTGGGTCTGTGCCACAGCTTCCCGACTTATCCTAGCCAAATATTGGATAATGACTCGATATGCCCTGGCCAACTCTGGCAGCCCGAGCGTCAGCACGTGTCTGGACCGCAGCCAGCTTCTTGTCCTGTCCCTGAAGGCCTTAAAATACTCTCATCTGCTGGAAAATCATGTGTACACTAGTGGATGGGCCTGGCTCTTCCGCAGCTATATCCAGTGGCATGCGGCCTCGTTCATCCTCTCGGAGCTGTGTGTGCTTCCACGGTCGGCCATGACCGATCAGGCCTGGGCAATTGTTAGCGTTGTCTTCGATACCTGGCGATCAGATGCTAGCCAACAAAGCGCTATGGTCTGGAAATCGATTACCCAATTGAAAAAACGAGCGGATACCTCTGTGCTCCAGCGGCTGAGTACCACGGCCGGAGCAAATGGAGGGTGGCGGGTACCTTACAATATACAACCCAATAGCCCAATAAACGCCCCGGAGTTGGCAATGTTTGATGCACCAGGTCTAGATACTACGCTCCCAGACATCGACTGGCTGATGGACGCCATCTCGACTTAACCGGAAGATGGTGGCCACGCCCAGACTGCGATAGTTGGTGGCATACCACCACCCTTCGATCAATATGATGTGACGGCATCGGTGTGTTTGGTCTATTCCACGAAGCGGCTGGCCCTGACTCCTTACATAGCTGAATGTTTATGACATAGTGAGGATGGGGACTGCCTCGACTGCCATATGATAGACTTTCTGCCACTGCCGAAACGATGGGCAGATGATCCTAGGACGATCACCACGGTCATGGATACGCCGACCTTCGGTCAATACGATGCAACAGCATCTCTGTTTGCTACCTTTGTCGACGCAGGTAGTCCTTGGCCTTTTTCTTAACATAGCCTATATTGTGTATGTGAGCAACAGGGAAATGAGAAATGTACTGTATGTTATAAGACTATTATGTAGATGAACGCATCCATGATGTCGATTGTCATTTCTTTCCTGCTGCCATTGTTTTGTGGAGTCCAACGCCGGAGAAATCCTTTCCAAGCATGAGATCAGGCGGTCACTCAGAACAATTGAAGAAGCCGTAGAGTCGTGGCTCGGAAAGGAACAACTGGTAAATGCTTGATTTGCGGTATGGTCTTTGTGGGTTTCACGACCCCTACTGCAGAGTCTAGGACGTGGGCAGAAATTAACTTCCAACCTAGAATTTTGATAGTGAAATATGCCCTAGCTAGGAAAGTAATTTGCCTTCCCCGCCAAGTAATAGTTATCGCGAGTTTGGTTAGAACGTCTGATATCGCGGGTTGATAAGAGTCGGCCAAGTCCTCCATCTTGCGATGCTGCACGAAGCCCTTGTACGTGAATGGGCTTGACTTGAGGATACTTGAAATTATCCAAGTCCTTCATGAGATGTGTCTTTCTGTTGATACACTAGTACTGGTAGAGCCTGTATTCATTAGCGAGGCGCGTACTAGCAAGGGTGTGGGGGACACCTACATGGCAAGGCATGCAAAGATATTTCTGGGATCAATCATTCTGGGATGTTGCGTGCATGGTGTTGTAAAGATCTTGCAGCGGTCCCAGGCGCTCAAGGTCAGGCTTCTTCCCATAGACCTCGGCAAAGTAATCGGAGATCTGTCACCCAAAACTAACCGACTCCCATTAGCTCCACTCATTGGACGTTTCAATCTCAGGTAAACTCACAGTGCTGCATGCCAATGACGTTTCGATCAAGCGCTACAGCCGCGACGTATTCGGCGGTGGTTCCATATATAGTCGACTGTCACATCTCGTCACTGTCTCCATAGTAGGACAATTGGAAGTCTTTGGCATGCCACAGTCCAAAGGTACCCGCTCCAGAATGTCTCCGTAAATGTGCCAATCAGCACATGGACACCTTGGACGCTCTTATTCGTCTCCAGGTGAGCCTTGACATGCTTCATTGGGTCTTTGGCCGGGTTCTGGCAGTACTTCAGTTTGGTGAAGTCCAGACAGTAGTCGCTGGCGATATAATGTGGCATGTTCTCGAGCTTGCATGCGTCCACCAGCAACTTTTGCCCTTCCGTCATGAAAGTATTGTCACCTAGGTAGCCGCAAATCACCACGTTGCTTCCCTTGACAAATGCGCGTAAGGTACCTAGATTATCTACATTCTCATGTAGGATGGTGACACGGGGTGGGTGAAGGACGAAAATGCTCGGGCAGCTTGGCAGGGTTGCGGCAGAACCCGCGGATCTTCACGTCAGGATATGCGCAGAGAGGCTCTTGGCGGGCGAACCTGCCGGTGATTCCCCGCAATTTCCACGGTGATGATCTTATGAGGGGATAGCTCTAGCTTCGTATACCTGGTCAGACTTGGGAAGTAGAAGGGTAAGGTCGGGACATAATCGGTAATAGGAGATCCGGTGGCAAGTCGGTGTTCGGTATCTAGATATCTCGACAACATTCAGGAGGGACGACATAGCGTGCTGGCAAAAAATACACCGTCTGGTAGACTCGGCTGCTCGAGCCAACAAGGGTCACGGTTGACTGTCTTCCGGGGACTTAAGTCATCCCCACACGCTAGGCTCGGCATTGATGCACTTGAGAACCGGTTGATTGTTGACGGCACAGCGGTGCTCTTGAAACGACGGTCAGGGTTAGATTAGCCATCTTGTTCAGCTATCTTGTCAAAATGGTAGGACAAGGGTTTCGAGATCGTCAAGCCCTGGATAACAGCATGCATGATCATTGACCGACGCGATCCAACACCAACGATAGCCTCTCTACGCCGCGGCTCTTGACGCGCTACTGGTGGTGGGGGAAATACAGTAGGGATATCAATACCTTTTTCTACCGCAGGAATATCTAACACGGTACGGTGAGCAATGTTTACCGTATACCATATCTAAGACATCGGTTGTTTCATTCCCCTAAAGCGCCAAGATGCACTAACTGTATGATCGAACCCATACCCGTCACACAACGGTTGGCCATGTTATCGGAACCGTAAATTCCACCCCGAACCTCCTTCGGGTCGGATCGGATTGAGCTTTTGAGATCGAACTGCTGGTTAGATTGATCCGAATGGGTTGGGCTTTTGCGGGTTTCGTTAGTTGGGCTAACCCAAACCGCAATACCTCGCGGGTTTTCAAGTTCAAGAATATCGAGTTAGGAACATTTTGCCGTACTCCGTGTTCTCTTATTTCTCTCTCCTCACAGAAGAGGGGCTAATTGCTGCAGTATTCACAAATGAGCAGACCTTTGAGTTGACAGTGTTCTTAAACGACGTCCGGCCGCTTGTTTCACCGGAAAGGGCCCGAGGAACAAAAGCTTCCCACGCAAAAGTCATGTCACCCAAACCTGAATTGTCAGTTCTAAAGGGAAGGGAGGGAGCTGCTTCGACTTCTAATGAAAAGCAGCCTTCATCTCGTACAATTCTCCGGCGCTTTAGCAAGGGAGAAACTGGAAAAGGCCATGCCACACGGCTTATGGAACAGAAACGGCTTCTTGCCAGGTTACGCCGCCTAGAGAGGATAGTGGAAGCTGCATATGAAGTGTAAGAGGACAATATTTACGGCTTTCTCCCTCAACAGGCCCGGCGAATTTACTGAACAAAGTGCTCGGGGACAGAAATTTGAGGTTGCAAACACTCCAAAGGGCAGAAGTGGGACGTGCTTCAAACGTGGAGGAATGGCTTGACGGCGTATATCCCATTTCTCCAGGGTGTGTTCATGCGGTTCCTACATGTGTTCGCTTACTAACACTCTAGTAGCAGATCATTCGCAACCTCAGCCTCAGTTTCTGAAGCCATTGGGAATGCTGCTAGAAGGAGCCCTGCTGTGTAAAGTATTGTGGCACATATCTAGTAATCATTGTTCTTCTACTTTAAGGTAAACGGCAGGGATACTGGAGGTACTAGATGCACAGATATACGAGCCGTACTGCTGCCGGGGCCGTATAGGTAAAGCTTCAGTGACTAAAAAATGCGAAGCCGCAGCGCATCAGCGGCGAATTGCAGACTGCATCCGTCAACATGGAGGCTAGCAAAATCTGTTATAGTGGAGGCGCCTAAAATAGTGTACAAATGTTGCAGGGGATATATGCAAGTGTATATATAGGTGTGAATTCATGAACATAGGCTTTCTCCTGACAATTCCAACTTCCCTAACGGCTACCCAGCCCAGTTTGTCTCGGTGTAAGCCTAACACATCCGGCAACTGCTTGCATTATCAGTTTTAAGAACCTCCATTATCTAGTAACGGTGGACAGGGTATTGCCTCTATCATACCGATGCGTCTATTTGTTACTGTAGGGAGCGCCCGATTTTCCATATCTGCTTCTTATCTCTTTGCGGAGAAACAAAGGGAATCCCCTCACCCCCTAAATACTTGAAGGCACCTCTTCGTATAGATGCTATAAGGATTATGGTAATACGACAGAAGGATAATAGTGACAAGGCCTACCCAAACTACTTAAGCCCTCTATACGAATCTCTAGGCAGTAATACGCCGAGAATACTACGGGATTCACATAGCCTTAGGATTTCAGTTGAAGAAACCTAAAGCATCTCGATGATGTGAGCTGCAGTATCTTGAAATACGGACGCCACAACAAGACTGATGTCTGCTGGCCAATAAATAGGCAGCCAAGCTGGATGCTAACGGCTGGAATAGGGTTTGCTGTCGTAGCCAAGGTAATCCATCCGAGCCGAGCCGATATACAACAACCTTGTTGGTGTTCCCGATGATGCCGAAGAGCATGTACCCCAGATTTCCCCACACGAAGAACCAGACTCCGTATTTAGGGTCTTTGTGTCTGCCTAGGAAGTCTTTGATGCGTCCTTAACCCAACGAAGTGTCCTCTACGTAGAACTCGAGTCCGTAGTGGAAGAGAATATAAATACAGCTTTCGACACCCCAAGGGGTGTCTAATATCTTCTCACGTTGAGACTACTGACACAGCCCTATATAATTAATTTTGTTTCTCTTAAACCTCATGATGAGTTACCTTGTGGCCGATGATCCCAACATACCTGCTGTTACCGAAGACAAATATGAAACGAAAGATTACCAGCAAGACGGGCTCAATCACAACAAAGATGATCTTAATGAGGGTGCCGTCTCCCCGGCGAACAGTATAGGCGGCTTGCACCGTAGCCTTGGGAACCGCCAAATTCAGCTCGTCGCTATTGGAGGCTCCATCGGTACCGGCCTGTTCATTGCCATCGGAACAGGTCTATACAAGGGCGGACCGGGAAGCTTGCTTCTCGCCTTCATCATCGAGTCTCTCATGGTCGGCATGCTCAATAACTGTCTCGCAGAGATGACGACCTACATGCCCGTAAGTGGTGGGTTTATTCGACTGGCAGGCTACTGGGTAGATGACGCCTGGGGATTCATGGCCGGATGGAATTTCTTTATCTATATGGCTCTGACAGTGCCGTTCGAGATCTCGGCAGTAAACGTACTCCTGGAGTACTGGCGGGATGACATTCCTGTTGTTGCGGTGTGCTTGGCTTGTATAGCAGCTTACGCGTGAGGCATCTCTCTGAGCATATCTCCACACTCCTTGCCATCCCAGGATCTGAAGAACAAGCTAACTAGAATGTGGTGCTGTAGAGTCATTAACTTGCTTGCCGTTGGTACCTACGGCGAGGCCGAATTTTGGCTCTCTAGTGGGAAAGTCATTTTGATCTTTATCCTATTTTTGTTCACATTCATTACCATGGTCGGCGGTAATCCGAAAGGCGATGCGTATGGATTCCGCTACTGGAAAAACCCCGGGACATTCGCTGAATATGCCTCTGGAGGAGACCTTGGCCGTTTCGAAGGGTTCCTTGGCGCCTTATGGATTGCTGTTTTCACCGTCGTCGGACCGGAATACATCTCCACGGTAGCAGCAGAAGCCAAGCACCCCCGTATATACATTAAGAATGCCTTCAAGACCGTCTACTGGCGTTTTGGTGTCTTCTTTGTCGGGGGCGCTTTGTGCGTTGGCACCCTTGTCGCCTACAATGACCCTACCCTCGTTGCAGCCTTAGAAAGCGGAGAATCGTCTGCTGCCGCATCACCTTATATCATTGCCATGCAGAACCTCGGGGTCAACGTTCTCCCTCACATCGTCAGTGCCCTGATGGTCACAACGGTGTTCTCTGCTGGAAACACTTACACCTATGCTGCAACCCGCGCGCTGCATGGAATGGCGGTTGAGGGTCGGGCGCCACGGTTCTTCTCCAAGACTGATCGACGAGGTGTGCCCATATATAGTTTCATCGTGGTTATGGCATTTGCGTGTCTCTCGTTGCTGCAACTGTCCGGCAGCGCGATGCAGGTGTTAGAGTGGCTTATCAGCCTCACAACGGCCAATATCCTGATCGACTATATTATCATCACGACGACCTACATCTGCTTTTATAACGCCTGCAAGGCACAGAATTTCGATCGATCGAAGCTACCCTATACGGGACAGTTCCAGCCTTATTGTGCATATATCGCACTGGTCTGGATGGTCCTGATGGCTCTTTTCTTTGCCTACCGGAGCTTTACACCGTGGAATACCGCGAACTTCTTCCTCGGCTATACCATGGTCTTGTTGGCGCCTGTCACATTCATTGGCTGGAAGGTCTACAAAAGAACCCGATGGTTGCGGCCCAGTGAGGTCGATTTGAAGTGGGAGGCAGGTCTCATCGCGGCGTACGAGGAAGTCGAGATGGAGCAGCCGATTGGATTTTGGGCAGAAATGCTGAGGCTTCTGGATGTACGGAGGTTGTGTGCTCGAACAACGACAAGTGGCCCAGCTTGATGCATTCAATCGTGGTAACACAAATGGGAGCTGCTGGTGTTCCCGTATGATACTGAAGAATCATGTAAATGGAAATGAGGTTTCGACGGGAATATACCTTTTGTTTGCGGTCATTGCTGCCTCCAGCCTTCCAGCCTTCCCAATTTACCCCCATGTGCACAGAGAACTCTAACGGGAACACTGGAATAATGGTTTCTTATGAAATGCGGCTTGTAAAAGTCATGATTATCCATTACTTGGTTTACCACTATAAAGACAATAGATATTCCGCTGTATTAGCCAGCCATCGAAGCTTGATTCCAATTAACCTATGCGTGGATTCGTGGCATTCGCGATCAAGCACTCATTGAATATGATGAATATAGTCCTTTTTCGGTAAAGTGGTTAGAGCCCGCTATGTAAGAAAAGCTAATTCTTATAGCATGTAATCTAGATTATCCAAAAGCCCTAAGGTCATCAGGACTCGTCTAGAGTGCAGGTAAATGTATATTGCGTACGGATTGTATATTCATGAATGGTAACATAGGGCTAAACCCCTATTTGAAGTTCACCCGACCCGATCCGATCCGATACAACTTGGAATTGTTGTTCGGACCTCATGCTCAATTAACCTAGCAAAGACTGATACCGTGTACTTATAACACCGTGACTTAGTCTTGGACGCTACTGGTACTAGATATGTAGGGAAAATCTTCCAATATAATAGCATTACTGCCCGCCTGCCTGCTTCTAATGTCTTCTCTTCTAGGGACCTTTCTTGGGCGACGTCTCATAATTGTACATCTGGTGACTAGGCCCAAGGGCTTGCAGTGAGCTGAATATCTGGTGCACAGGTGGTGCTGCGCCAGCAGCAGCAGCATTATCTCCATCCTCGGGATCGGATCACTCAGAGAAGATAATCTTATAATGATTAAAAGACCGTCTGGTTTAAGCAGTTTTTATAGATGCTACAGTGCGTTCTTTTATATACGATATTAGTATATGACATAGGCGCATATTAAAGGCTTTGTTAGCGAATCTTTCAATCACCCAACTAGCTAAACCTTCCTAGATTTCGGACATCGACCTAGTCATTAAGATGAGCTGCCAAGAGACTCTGTTTCACTCGGAGATTTTCTCTTGCCACTGAAGTTGACTCGGATGGACTGTTCATGCCCGGAGACCTTCTGGTCAACTTAGTAATCATGATTTTACTTTCTTGTTACCTCTCCAAAATGAAATATCAGCTAGAGGGAGACCAGGTGCGGACACGCTACTCGTCCATTCGCCTCGCTTACGGAGACCTTGACAGCACGGAACTCATTGAAGCTGAACCATCCAAGGCAGGTTTTATAATGCACTTTGCAAGTATACAGCACGTTGAGTCTGCGAGAGCCGTCAATCGTGCTCTTCAGAGTCGAGAAACACCATCAGACAACTTATTGGATTTCCGTCTCGGGCACGGATAACATTCCGTGGATGGACTGTGTAAAAAGAACGTACGGAGAACAACCTAGCGACGAAATCTACGATGACTGGGATGGTCTCTCCAGCGTGATATCCCTTCTTGAATCTGCTCCTCATCAAGATGTGGAGAGCATCCAGCTGGCCGCTGACGGGGTTTTTATGAAGACCACAATCGTGTGTGCTCTGTGTATCTACGGGATGGGACGTGGCTGTGGCAATCGGCGCACCATCCAAATTCCATATCTTGTGCGCTATACCTTGCAGAAAGGTTACGGTCTTCAGGTGAGCAAAGGCCTTTCCATATGGCCAAATGTCCACGTTGCAGACATATTAGCCAACCGGTGGGGTGATCCACCGAAAACCTGTCGAAGCTTGGAGATAAACAGAATGCGTCTCGACTCCAGGCCGACAGTGTGTCTCCTCGGGATCGCCTGCTTGACATGTGGGTTACATTCATCTTCAATTGACCGTAGGGGTGGACCTACCATTTATCTTTCCGGCAAGATCCCTGTTGATTCTTGCCTAGCAGCTGCCTTTTCCGCCCCACCCTGACCACCCCCCCGGAGCTGACAGCTTGAAAACCTTCCTAGCAGCGGACCCAGGAGTTGTCATCGTATTGAGCCCCGGTGAGGAAGACAGCCTTATCTGGCCAATTGTCCTTGACCATCCTGCGTGAAGAATATGTCGGAATTGCTTTATGTGCTCTTCACCACACCTTCCGCGCCCTCCGTTAGAGCACTTAGGTTATCGAAGGCTCCTGGCTGTTCTACCATCTACTATTTCTCGAGGTACACCGTCATGAGATATCGGATAGTTCCGACGAACCGAATGAAAGGAGAACAGACTTTCCGGTCTGGAGGCAATGAACAGGAAACATGTTGCAATAGTCGCGTTGATCCTGCGCGTGCATAGGAGGGGCAGAAGGGGAGGTCCATTGTAAGTGATCGACACATTGCTCAATCTAACCCACACTGCTCACAAAGCAGACCTATGCTGAACTAGTCTCTGCACCGATCCTGCCGACTCATCCCCACCAGACTCGTTTCATTTGCTCACCTCAACCTGGAATCTTTCACACACTGGAAATATTTTTCTCAGCAGACAAGGACCGAGACAACCTTGTAATGTCAATAGCCCTGCCGATCTCTACGCGTGAAATTAAAGCCTACCGAAATTGATTGTTTACTGTCACGGATATCGCTGCATCGATCTCCTCTGTTCGTGACCAGTCAATATGTATCTCAGCCTTCAAGCCATTGTTTTCGTCTTTTTGGGCGTAGCCCAAGCGGCGAACCAGCCTGTCAACCAACTCCGGGGCACGAAGGGGGAATGTGAAACCAACTGTGGGAACGGAACATATCACACCGAGACTTTCAAAGATTCGACCTATCGTGCTTGTACTTTAGACCAAGCCGTAAAGTATAGTCTCGGTGCGTGTGTCCAAGGGCAAGGATAACCGGCGTATTGGCGTCCTACATCGGAGGGTTTACGAACTCTCTGAGAATCTGTGAACGGCCAGATTTGCCACGCGGCGTCGTGTGCTTGTATCCAAACCCAGTCGAATATCCACAATTATGAATATCAATGCAACGATATATCCGGGGAGAAGTTGCTATCAACAACAACCTGTCTTACGAACAAGTTCAGCGTGGCTGCAAACGACTTTTGAGGTTCAAGGATGTTCCAAGGTGCTGCATCTAAATAAGCACGAGCCAGAATAACATCATAATTCGGCACTTTTACATTTTAGGTCAGGAGCGTAATATTGTGCTTTTTATAGATCGCAATGTATCATACTGTGTGAATTTTACATCGACTATATAAATATATGATATCAGATTGCCATCGGATGATGGATATATCATAAAGATCTCAGATAGGACACCATTTCGACAGGTATCGTTCATATTCAGGAATATATAAATGACTGATAGTTTATAAATATCAACTCGGTACGGACTAATAAAACTTTATATCTTAATAAAGCGTCGATCTATTCACTAGTGTCTCTAAAATATTGAATATTTGCGAATTGTATTTCCTAGAAGCTGCCCCTACTTGAAGAATAGAAGCCTATATAAGGATAGTTACTACGCTTAGATACAGTGTAGTCTCTCATCAAACACTTTATACATTCCTAATCCTCACACTCCAAGAAAGTCTTACGTATTGGTTCCCTACATCCCATCGCTGAGACCATTTAGAAATACCCAAAGATGAAGGTCCAGTTACTCTGCTCTCTTGTGGCTGCCGGTCTTGCTGTTGCTGAGCCGATCGGCAACCGAGGAACTTTTGTCCAAAGAGATATCGAACAAACCCAGGACACTTACATTCAATGTTTTTCCAAGTCTTTTCTCTCTGGCATTGAATACTGCCGCGGAGGTCCCGATTGTGTGCCTCTTGGGCAACTGCGCAGTTGCTTAATCAATGATCTTCAAGGATTCACCGATACAGCCCCGTCTGAGGAATCCTTGACGAAGTCCTTTGAGACATGTGTAAGTAACCTATTGATCTTTATATACCTGCAAAGCCCACTTGACTAATCTCTTAAATTTAGTTGGCGAAGGTGTCAACAACCGTACAAGGGAATACCAGCCTTCCTCCCCAGGTAAAAGAAACTGTTCTGGGCTCCCTTAAAGATAGAGAAGCGGAGGCTATTAGTCTCAATAAGACATGTGCGCCAAGTCCTAAATAGGGGCCGGTGATTTGCGCTGAGAATGGATGTTGAAAGGTCGCCTTGCAGCATCTCTTGGAATATGAGGGTTGCTGAAAGATAGCTGTATCCACTGGGCTAGGCAAAAGACTTACGGAGCTTGTTCTGTTCTCTTTTTACATATATGCTTGTCTTTCCATGTTCCAAGGTGGCTTTTCTTTAGAGCAATAACATTGTCACCTGGCTGTATAGTTCGCTGTGGGACTGAGAGGGGTAGACTATTCTACGCAGTCCCCTAATACTGGACGTCATTTCTGTATTATTTGGTTCCATTATACTATCTACCGATTATAATAGTCTAGACAGTCAGATTATTACCATAGCTACCGTGTCCATAGCTGAATCCTGCAATATTTTACCAGGTTTAAAAATGAAAGTTTCTTTAATCTAAAGGCGCCGTACTCCCTACGCTTAGGGACTATGGCGCAAACACTTAAGTCCTACTTTGCGCCTATGAATCTCGCCACGGAGTAATCACATCACCTACCATGGAGATCCTCCCACTGAATTGGCAGACATGCCAAATCGCAAAACTCCGCAGAGAGCTGATTGAATGGTCCGTACTCTGCTGGGAATAGGCGGCTAAGCTTCAAAGGGAGCCGGCTTCTAGAAAGGCCAGGTGTGTAAATGTGGACCCCGTGTGTCAAGGCCAGTGAGTGGATAAGGTCCACTATAGGCAGAATAGCCTCCGTAGCTATTTGGAGCGTCCGTATCGCCGACGAGTTGGCATCGGGGTACTTGATGTTCAGGTCTAGGTAAATCTGCCGTGTCTCTCGGGAAGCGTGACGAAAGTAAGGCCGCTACAGCGTTGCGTCCACGTCGCTCGGAACGGACACAAGGTGCAATGTACCTGCGTAGAGCGTAGTAATAAGGGTGTACCAGGGAACCGCAGAGAGATCTTCCAGCATCTTAGATTGACTATATATGCCCAAGAAACATGAATACAGTAGGGCCCCTTCTCAGGGGTCGGCGCAGCCAGGGTGAGACTGGAGCGGACCCGGATGTAGTTTATGATTGAATAACTCACTTCAAAATAGTCCATGAAGGCACAAATACACCTAGAAATGGTTACATCAAGCGGGTACCCCGTCAATGCTGCGCGAGCAGAGGAGAGCTGTGTGTAAACTTCTTGGAGTGGGACATTCGCCGAAGCTGGCTCACAAGTCGGCCCATACTCAAAGGTTGACGTATGATCAGAAGTCCCCACTGTTTGATCGTGGTAGTTGAATTTCCTGAGCCCGAGATCCGGTGACACAATGATCCGCGTAATAGTAGTCGGGATATCGGGGAGCCGAGAGTCGGCATATCAGAGTCCTCCGGCACACATTCCAGGGAATTTGGGCACCGGAAGTTACAGCGTGTCTGGGACTTGGGCCCACGCTTCCGAAGTCTATAGTTATACTGTAAAACCTTCACAGACTTGCTACAGTTGAAACTTGGAGTGTTCTGTGCAGTAGCGCCATCACACTGTGGCGAGCATCGACCTTCAGCCCTCTGCGCTTGCTATAGTTCCATAAGATAAATCACATTAATCTTGCGGCTTTGACATAGATCACGGGCATGGATCACGATCTTGGCTGACTTAGAGGAGTCGGGATAATAACACATCGGCCGCGGATCGGACACTTGCGATGGCGAGGTTGCGATGTGGAAAAGTGGGAAAAGGAGGATACCGATTGAAATTCCCTAGGGAGAATGCGGATCGGTCGACCGGCTCAGTGCAGATAATCGGCTGGCTCTGGGACGATCACCAAAGTATACTGGAGTAGGGCAGCAGCACTATCGGTGGATCCTGTGGGGATCCGAGAAATAGTGGCCCACACTATTTAGTCCCGGATGAAGTCATAGAGTAGCTGGTCGTCCCATTGGGCAGATATGATGAGATATTATTTGTTCAACTCCGGATGAACGGTTATTACTACCCTACTAACACTGGAGACAGTTGCCTACAGCTAATGACTGCAGGGACCGCGGATTGGAAATCATGTGTTGGTTAGCTACTAAGATTCGATCCCCACTTTGAGACCCTAATCATCCTGCTGCCGGGATCATGGAAGCCCAAAGGAACGAAGAGCCATGGAAATTCTAATGATCGGATCAGTGTACATACGCCAATACTACTTGCCGGCCTTCCGATTTGGGACGAGCCGCAAGAAGCCGAAGAACAGCTTCCTGTGAGGCATCCACACCTCCGAATGGCCGATACAGGACTGAATGATCTATATAAGGGGTCCCAGAGGATCCCACTCTAGAATCTCATCATCCCATCTTTCCATGCTCATTATTGTGACCTTTCCCCCTCTACCGCAATTTCCATCTTGATCATCACCATGGTGTCTGCCCAACATCTCGCTATGGTCCTGGCCGCGGGTGCCTCTGCCCAGTCCAACTTTGGCACCCCGACGTCTACAGTGCCTACCACTTCACCTACTAGTTTGGGGACTTCTATGATCTCGATTAACAAGGACGCCTACCAAAACGACACTAGCAAGTACTACCTGGGCTATACGGAGGCCGACTTTGAGAAGCCCTTCGCCAAGTACTGGCGTCCTCGTGTCGCCCCTATCACTGATGAAGTCCAGAAGGGGATCTCTTCTAGTCCTTTTGCTGCTGCTCTTGGTAGGTGCCCCCTTTTCCAGAGACCCACCTGTGTTTACTTGGGAGCTGATAATTGCGACGCCTGGACATGCAGCGTACGAGGCTCATGATGCCGGATACTACATGTCTCTGCCTGGATACCAGGAGATGGAGAACGGCTATGCGATCTCCTTGAACGGTACCGCGATGCTCACTGCCCGAACCGAGATTCCGGATAGTACGTTCAATCCTTGATCTCTTCTCTCAACTCTGGTATGGAAAAATTGATCTAACCTGGTTGCATCTGCCAGTAAACGGTGAGATGTACGATTGGTGGTTTGGTTGGCACCTTGTCGAGACCGCTCGCTACAAGCTCTGGAACCCTGTAGCGCATCAGTACGCCTGGCGGCACCCCGACTCTCTTGACTGGACGAACAAGACCTACGCAGAGCGCTATATCAACACCGCCTCCTTCATCGATGAATACATCGGCAACGACGCCTCGAAGCTTACCATCGCCTTTATCGATCCCTCGGAGCTGGGCTTCGACAAGTCTAACTGGGATGCAGTGGGCATTGAGACCGTCGTGGCAGCCCACATTGTGACCGGTGGTATGTCGCCCCCCTTGAGCCCACACACTGGATCTCCCATACTGACCCTCCCATTCTAGCTCATGTGACATCTGGTTTTGACAACGCTTCCTACTTAGTCCACCAGGTCCGCCGCTTGCCTGATGGTTCGCGCGAGCTGCGTTCGCGCTTTTGGTTGGCGAAGCACACCACTGAGATTGCTCATGATCTTATCGTGCACTGCAACATCGAGATGCAACACTTGAACACTGTTCTTCCCGCCATCTTCGCCGAGTTCAAGGACACGTTATAGAAGATACCATCGATGTAGGAACAGCAGGCTCTCCACGGCCACTCGTTCTGTTGTCTGCTCAAGGTGGAAATCAGCACGAGACGCCGTCACTCTTGGGATTTGTGCGCATCGCCTGGTAGCCATTGCCTCTTGCGTCCAGTGCCATTCTTGGATAAACCTAATTAGAATAGAAAATACCAAAGGATCATTCCAAATGACCACTACAGTTGTACAGTACTACCTTTAGTAGGCGAACCTCTGTGCTTCGGCGGATTTAGACGGACGGACACATGTAAACCTCGTAGGTAACTTAAATATAGAAATACAGATATTGTAGCACTTACCCATAACTGCTGTAGGCAGAGGAATCCAACTTACTGACCTCTCCTCCCCTTCCTGTTTGCAAGTGTCGGTATGGTTGTCCATATCGTAAGACGGCACATCGATTGGATGGTCTCTGTTGCGGTGCGAGTCGCCCCTCCCCACTTTCTCTACTTCCCCACCATCGGCTTTTCCCCACATTCCCTCAATTGCCTGCCTTAGCCGTCAAGGTGGGAAAGAGGCGCGCGGCGTTTCCTACTACGATTTAAAATGAGGATGTCTTCTCTATATTGATGCGTTCATGTTAATTACATGAAGCGAAATCAAGTCATATCATCTCAAGCCAACTTTGAAGGACGTACTCGACAAGAACTAATTCCACGAAAGCCCAGACATTCGCAATTTACGAGCGAGACAATGTCACCTTCAGTTACTCGTGACGATGTTCCCGTCCTAATCGTTGGTGGTGGCCCGTCGGGTCTATTTTTAGCATTTATGTTGGAGCGGCTCGGCGGTCTGTATGCCCTCTGTGCTCTAAGATATGGTGCCATATCGTTGATATGCATACTGACCCTATTATAGTCCGATCATTGATTGCTGAAAGATATGCGACCAGGTTGGCTGCCCCCAAGGCTCATGCCTTGAGTCCCCGGTCACTCGAAATGTGTCGCCAGTTCGGGTTGGACGTGAACGAGATTCGCAAAGTTGGGACCGCTCGTAAAGATGCCTATTGGGTCAACTTTATCACAAGCCTGGCTGGCGAAGATGTCGGCAAATTGCCCTATGAGCGCATGGATGCTGGAGTTCTTGACAGCACCCCGAATGTTGGTTCTCGACCAACCCATATTCAGAAATTCCACGCACTAAAATGGCGTTTAGATGATTCACAATATCCCACAGCCTGCCTTCGAAGAGCTGATTGCCAGGAGGCTATCCAAGACCAGCCTGGTCGAGATTCGCAAGAACCACACCTTTGTTAGCTTGGAACAGGTGAGCAACTGTACCATTCTTATGTAGATAATGGCTGCTCACTGAATCAGTTTGACGATCATGTCATCACAACCATCGAGGACCGTGATTCAGGAGAGCTATACAAAGTCCGGTCGAAGCATGTGGTTGCCTGTGACGGCGCAAAAAGTGCCGTGCGCAGTTTCCTCGGCATCAAAAGCGAGGGCGAGGATTCTTGTAAGTATAACCTCCCTTGTGGATGTTAATAATCTGGATACTAACGACCCGGTTAGACGAAACAATGATGACCATCCACTTCAACGCGGATCTACGTCCCATCGTGAAGGAGCAGGTCGGTATGCTGCACTGGGTTATGGATCCATTGGTCGCTGGATTCATTATTGCCTATGACCTGTCCGGAAACCAAGTTCTGATCTGCAATTTTGACGTATGTGTACTGTTTCTACCACTTTACCACAATCGGTACTGATTCATTGAATTAGTCCAAAAAATGGCCAGTCGAATCGTGGAATGAAGAGCACTGCCGCAAGGTCGTCGATGCTGCCATCGGTGCGAAGACCAAGTACGACGTTCTCAGTTACCGTCCTTGGATACTGAGCCGAAAGGTCGCCAAGTCCTACCGTGACGGAGGGGTCTTCCTGTCAGTATCCCTCTTCTATCTTTTCTATTTGACCGGCATTTTGTCCAAATGGCTAAACTGTGTCTCCCAGTGCTGGCGATGCCGCCCATTCCTTCCCTCCCACTGGAGGCCTAGGCCTGAACTCCGGGATCGGCGACGTCCACAATCTGGCTTACAAGCTGGCCGCCGTGCACCATGGCTCTGCCACGGACGCTTTGTTGGATACATACGAAGCCGAGCGTCGCCAGGTTGCCTTGGTAAACTCGCAACAGAGCGTGAAGAACGGAAAGAAAATTTTCGGGTTGCTAAAGGCACTCGGCACTACGGATCCTGATATTGACGTTGCCCGTCAGAATCTATACCAGAAAATCCGCGATGAAAAGGCGATGGTGGATATCAACGAGGGCATTGAGGGTCAGCGTGAGCATTTCGATAACCTCGGCCTGCACATTGGTTACGTGTACGGCGACAAGCGCATCCCCGACAACGCATCCGCGTATGAGCCTGTCTGCGTACCTGGAGCCCGTCTGCCCCATGCCTGGATCAAGCTCACTGATCCCGAGAAGATGCAGCTGCCCGCAATTGACTCGTCATATATTGGTGCCGAGTCACAGGGGGTAGCGGAAATGACCTACTCGACGCTAGACCTGTGTCGCTTTGACAGCTTTACTATCCTGGTCGACGAGAGTTCCTCCTCGCAGATCAAGTCCGCCGTTCAAGAGGCACTGAACCTGGTTCCTGCAACTGCGGCCTTTAGCTTGTCACTGCAAGTGGTGGTCAAAGGGGTGGACTTCTCGCTGCAGCCTGGTCAGGAAAAATGGGATGATATAGTGCCTTTGAAGCAGGGCCAGGCGGTGTTGGTGCGTCCAGATCAACATATTCTAGCCGTCTTGGACCGCGATGCTGGTGCAGCTCGCATTGTCGAGGCTTTGAGGAGTCATTTAGCTTGGTAGACGGATTACATAGTTGGGTGGGCGATAAATACGAGGGGTGATGGATACCCTCGTTCGATAGACATGTATTTAGCAAAGTTTTGATTTTAAACGGGAGACGTTGTTCTATCCTCCTCCACCTTCTATGGTTGCCAGCATGGAAATCCTGCATTTTCAATCTCTTTTCTCTTTCTTTCTCTATAACCTATTTATCTTGCACTTATCACTACTCCCCTGTTTCTATTCCATCCCCCACTAACCTCCATCCCTTAGTTTCTCGCCCAACACCCTTCCCCTTAAAACATTTCCCTTGGTCCTGCCCGCTATCCTTTCATTTGCCTCGCTCACTCCTGTCATGGCCAAGGGTGAGAAGGGTGAGGTGTAGTTGAGAATTACCCCGAGCCACATGGCTGTGGGTTCATTTTAGTGACTCTAGCTAAACGGATGCATGAAAATTGACCGGCGAGAGTACCTGCCACTGGAGACCGTGGGAAGATAAGTGAAACTACTGTCTTGCATTGAGATACAAACCAGGAAACAAAATTCCCGATTACTAAATCATGAGGTCTCTGGACCATGTACGAGAACTAGTCACGGAGTTGAAAATAGTAGTATACAGGATACTATCACTACTGCTCCAAATCGGCGGCATAGCTCAGCCATTGAAGATCGGTATAGTTATAAGCCACAGCTACTGCACCAATATCTTCGGTGTGATTATAACCGATGTTCAGCGCTGTAAGCTGGAGTCATATTATACAGGGCTGCGAAGTGTTGCAACGTGCTATAAGACAAGATAAAATCCGATCTGTTGTATGATACATTATTGTGAACAGTGACTTTGACTTTGTAGCCAGTTTGCAGGATATTGTAAAGATTGTTCGTGATGTTAACAACGTAATCCGTTTGTCCATCTGCAGTGGATCGCGAGTCAATAAAGGCCATAGAGTGATAGTCTGATAGTATATGTTCGGAAGGTCCTTATCAAACGGGCATTAAAGAATCAGCATCTGAAAAGCATCCAGGTCATACTGCCAGCTATCGAGAGATTTCTGATCATTAACGCACTCAAGCTTGGTGCCATTGTTGGTGAAGTAGGGACGGAGCGGCCAGCCACAATTTTGCTGTTGCTCTCCTGGCGACCGAACAGTACTGTTCAAAGTCTTGGGCTCGATGCCCTTCTCAACCCAATCAATAAGAGTGGGAAAAGTGGTCTCGGGCCAGGGAGCATTGGGCTGGAGGGCGTTGGCACCACAGTGGGCGTCTCCAGGGATGAGGAACAGGCGGTACCAACCATTTAGCTGCGCAGGCCTATTGAGCAATGACCAGTGACGGCATGGCAGGAGTAATGCGCAGTCTCCGTTTGTCGCAAGGCGCTGGCAGCCAGTTTGGGGTTTTAGACCCATCTCTAGGAAGTTGGCTGCAAAGGGGCGCCATTTTCGGCGTCGTTTTGGTTTGCAGGTAGACGCTGATTGTCGACCGAGCGCCAAGCGTCAGGGCCGGGGTGCAAAATAGTGATTTGTGTATAGTACCGAGTCGCCGATCAAAGTGACGGGTGGAAAGGAGGCCGTTTCTGGTATCAAAAGCGATCACTTTCAGGGTCAATTTCACAGGGCCTCACTTGGTCAACTACTGCCTAGGAAGCATCGCCAAACGCCCAATAATCTCTTCCATCTGTGCCGAGATCCCCCACCGCGAGGCCACTGTCTTCAGACTGATCTGCAACGAATTCACCTCGGACAGTATATTCACGGAGGTCATCGTATCATCCGCGCCAGTTGGGTTCAACGCGTGAATTAGTTCCTCGGCCCCACTGAAGTCAGCCGAAGGGGACGATACAGAGGGCAAGGCCGAAGCCGGAGCAGACGCATAATCTATGTGCTCGCCTAGTGAGGTTCTATCCACCGCATTGTTCTCTGCGAGGACACCGGCCCACACGTCATGCCATCGCAGACTTTTGGGGATCTTGACCTTGTTCTTATTGCAGAGGTGAATGGCGATCAGGATCATGGCGGCGGCGAACACACAGCCGGGGATATGCATGGCATGAGTGTGACCGCTAGGGATTTCGTTCAAGAGACGGATGATAGAGACGGCGTGGAGAGTCGCGCGGAAGGCCTCGACGCTTTGGGCCCAGATGGTGAGGTTCAAGGGGCGCGCCCAGCCTCTGACGGGAATACCGCTGAGGACTTGTGGCAATTTGTACTCGTCGCAGATGCGGCGGTAGAGGAATATAGTGGGGGTGGAAAGCTCGATGCACATGGCATGCCAGCGGATCAGATTCTGGAGGGAGTCAATACTGCGGGAGGTGCAGAGATCGCCCTCATAAATATTTAGGAGGCCTCGAATGATCTGCGAGCGTGGAACGGTTCCCAACGCGGGACTGTCCACATCATGTAGCTCGGCAATTAATGATTGCAGGCCTTCGAGCAGAACCGCAGTGGAAAGCAGCGAGAGCTGCAATGGCGCCTTAATGTAATCCTTCGCGCACACTCGGATAAAGAGCTCTGAGAATGGGATCTGCGCATGGTCCAACCGCGCCATTTCGATAATCCATTCGTCGGCCGTTTCGGCGGCAAATGCAGCATCAGAACATGCGGTCTTGATTTTATTTGTGAGATGACGCGCGCTGGCGGCAGAGCCAGATGCCTGCGAAATGAGCCCGTCCAAAACATAGTGTCCGAGGGTTGCTCGCCGTTGAATTTCTGCGGCCACCCAGGTGCGCCAGGCAACCTCCTTGGCCGTTGAGTCTGCTTCCAAGCTGGGCATGGCTCCTAGTTGAGCATCATCCACGGAGTACATGCCAGATGTCCTCGCCCAATAGAAGCCTAATCCATGAAAGACAAACGCGGTTGTCCGAATGCTGGTGTTGCAGGAAAGTAATGCATACGTTTGCCCCAGAAGAGCCGTGAGAACCAACTGGATCCCATTGCACTGGTCCTGCGGCCCTCGCACTTCGATCAAACTCTGCCACGAGGCTGCCACCGCCGTATGTCCCAGTTTCCACAGCATCTCTCCTTGCTTCACCGCATTGGGGAGACAGACAAAGAGTGAACCCAAAGCAACCATATTTAACAACAGAGGGGAGATACAGTCCCGCACGGAGAACGTCGGCTCGTGCATTATCGGGAAAGACGGCGATACTCGCCGAAAGTATTCTCTCAAACACGCTTCCACGAAAGCCGGGGTAACACCCGTGTTGTGTAGATCATCGTTCAGTCTCTTAGACACATCATCGACGAGCTTGTGAACTTCATGCACCGCATGCTGGCCAGGGCTCCCCTGGCTATCAGCGGGGGGCACCGGGCGTAAACAGCTTAAGGCTGATATCAACGGATGGGAAGTATCGGAGAAATCGGCCATGGGTAACAGCAGCGAGGAAGTGTTCTGAAAATCCGGCATCAGCCAGTCCAGCAGATTTTCCGATTCTTGTGTATAGGGGCTGGCGAGGAGAGACTGGTCGAAGATACGGGGTGGCTCCAGCGAGTAATCCGCCGGCCCTAACGAGGTTTCCGGGGGCGCTAATGTTCCAGGAAGAGCTGCACCACCGCCCGTCGCAGCTTGTTGCTGCTGATGTGCAATCCTCGCAGTGGGACTCTGAGCGGGCCTGTTCGCATGCAGCTTCATGTGCCGATTCAGCACATCCTGTCTGCCAAAGGCTTTATTGCATTGTATGCAGTGAAATGGTTTCAGGTTTACATCTAGTTCCCATCAGCTGTGTTCTGTTCTTCGACCAGGGGGGCTGAATTTCTATTCCTGTCCTGGTGAGTCTGGGGATCACCCACGTGTTCTCTCATGTCTCTGTGTTTCATTTAGCGTGTGGTGCAATGTTACGCACAATAACTATAACGTACCGTGAGATGTTCTAACTTCGTGTAGGCCTTATCGCACACGCCACAGCGAAATTTCTTGAGATTACTGGTTGGCTTGGCTCCACTTTCGACCGGAGACGATACCATGATCGTGCTCACCCTCTACTAGCGGAGGTGTACAGAGAGAAGAGGAAGTGGGACGTAGCGTCTGACAAAGTGGGAGAGAAAAACAATCGACTGGGAGGAGAGAAAGAGAGGCTCGGAGGGAAAATGAGATCCAGAACGGATGTTGCGTTGCATTCCGGCAGGCCGGGGGTGGGGACAGCCTCGTCTGTGTGGGGACAACCAGGTGGGGAGCCCCAGGTGGGAAAACAACTTTCAAAAGTTACGAGTTTCGCTTCTCGAACATCACTCTATAAATACATTAGCACGGTGACAGAAATTGTACTAAATCTTCTGTGTCTTCTATAAAACAGCAGTATTGGACACAAGGATGTCTTCCATTCTCGTTACAATACTATATGTGATGTTCTCTGGCTGTGTATCGCGATGCGCGAATAATATATAACCGCACCCGTCCAATCTTCACTCTCGTCCTAAAAGTGATAGGAGACAATTATATTCGCTGGGTCTCTACAAATCATGCAAACTGTCTTACTATTTCTGTGAGTCCTGGTTAATTCCAGCCTCCAAGGTCCTCTGCGGCCATCCTGAATAAGATTCTGCCTTCGAAACACTTCCACTGTTGGACGTTTGGTAGTTAGTCTCCAGGAGAAAATAGAATCTTGATTAATTGACTCATTGACTAAAGGGTAACTACGGGTTGGTACAATCTCCCCCGGAAGCTGACAGATCGCCAGCCCCGCCTTCGTAATCGTGGTCATCGCTCGTCCGCTTCTATTAGCTCTCCTAGACACAGTGAAATGACAGTTAAAGTCAGAAGTTTGTATGTTCCGGAAAGGACAGACCCTTGCTGACCATTGCACTGGTTCCCTCGGTATACGCAATCCACTACCTACACTACCTACAGCAGTATATAAGAGAACGCAGCAGCTTCTCTGGTGCCGAGACCAAGTCGTCCTATTAGCAAGTCTGGCTCCTTGCGTTGCATGTAAACATGCGACTCAAATAGATCTAGTTATACGGGACACATTTGGATGTCTATTTGGACTCTTGATTGAACGTGAAACCATTTGAAGACCCACCCCGAACCCGTCCGGAGTACAGGGAAGGTCAAGATCAAGATTCACATCGATGACAACTCTACCTGCAGGGAGAACAGTGCATGTTGAGTCGAATTCGTTGGCTGCGCTGAGAATACTGTCGAATGACTTCAATATTAGGTTCGACTGTGGCTTTGGGGGCTTTGTCTAAATGGTCAAGATTTCCCTAAAGTTGCGGTGAGGACGAGGCAACCAACAACATTAACACCTGTCATAGGCAAGGAAGAGCCAAAGCCTGCATAGCTTGTCATATCTACTACTTGACCTTGCCCCATTATATATCATGAGATATTCAAGTGCATAGGATTGATTTCCTGTGATCCCAGACCACGGCCTTCACGGTGAAAGTAGCCTAGTTTTCCCCTTTCGTCAACACTTGATATATATTATTACAACTCGCGCCAAAGACCTTCTGTCATGACGATCGACGGAGAATCATTATTTAATGACCTGGGAGCGACTTACGAAGCTGCTTTTGCAAACAATGCCCCGCTTCGTGCGTTTGTCCATCGCACCTCCAAGAAGCTGCCCCCGGGTAGCCGAATTCTAGATGTGGGGTGTGGTACCGGCAAGCCGGTGGCGGACATCCTGGCAAGTGCAGGCCATGAAGTTCATGGGATTGACGTTGCCCCTAAGATGGTAAAAATCGCCCAATCCCAAGTCCGGGGCAGCTTTGAAGTAGCCAACATGAATGACTTCCATCCTTCCCAGCCCTACGATGCTGTGTTTGCCATTCTGTCTTTGTTTCAACATACCCCTGGGGAGGAATATTCCTTGATCTTCAAATTCTCGGAGTGGCTTAAAGTGGGCGGATACTTGGCCATCGCTGTGACGCCTAGCACCAGCCTGCTCTCGGAGACTTGCACATATGATCCCACATGGGATTGTGTGTGGATGCTTAGGAAGCCGTGGATGGGCAACTACACCAAGGAGATATTCTACTCAGAGGATGGATGGCTTCGGCTGCTGCGAAGCGCCGGCTTTGTCGTTGCAGATGAACCCGCCAATGATCTCTTCTTCCCCGCTGGTACCCAGTATATAGCTCCCGAAGCCTATTATTATGTCCTCGCGAGAAAGGTCGACGCTCAGCCATTGCTAGGGCCATATCCACTCCCCACCTCTCCAATGCGCGTCACCCCGGCTGACAATGTGGATATATTCACCGATCGCTGGTGAGCAAGGATCTTGAGGCGCTGTTCGAACAACTTGCGGAGGGACAGGACGTGCTTGCTCTCGGACAAGAACATGATTTGAGTCGATATACACGGCACAAAGAAGTCCAGTATTTCTCCGGGCCGGCCGAAGATCTTCCATACCCATCGGAGGCTTTCCAGGTCGTCTTAGCCCCTTGGACACTTGACCATACTATGGATCTGGAGAAGGCTATCCAGGAAATGGTCCGTGTGGCCCGCCGGCGCGGTTCCAAGATTGTTATCCTTCAAGGGGCTCCCGGTAACGAGGCAGTGATGCATCTGAACGCTGCGACGCGCTCGCACCGAATCGACCATCAAGGTCAGATCCTCCAGGCGGCAGTGCAACGCTTGGAAAACCAGGGGTTTCGAGATATCTCCCTGCGACGAATCCGCGCACACTATGAATTTCCGGAGGAAGATTTGTCCACACGGTGCGCGATTGCTGCGGAGCTATTGGTGGATATGTGGCACAAACAACATCCCTGTTACGAAGTGATCAAGCACTCGCTGGCTTCTCGACTAAAGCTCCATTTCGAGGGCCATGCTCACTCTATCGGAAACGATATGGTCGTCTTGGTTGCGAGCTATCCAAGCGATGAAAGACATTGAACATCTCGAATTTCGGCCTGAAGCAGACCATCTCTTGAATTTATTTCCTAATAATTTCTTACTCTAGAATATCCACCACGTTGTTACCGGCATTTTGGCTTAGGGTTAAGAGATGACTTGGAAAGTCCGGGTTGGCAGGGGTGCCGTACCATTCCTATACGCAATCCCATCCATATGCTGTGTTAATAAGACATGATGACCCGGTCAGATTTCTTCCTATGTTTAGGATACAGTAGTTACCCGTTATGCTTGTGTCATTGGCTGGTAAACGTCGCACTTGCCCGTGGGGAAAGGAAAGTTTGGTCGGGATAGCTGAAGCTAGTTTTGATGTAGATCCCCGATCCCAGGGGTTGGCGACTCGGAAGAAACCCAACACAACGCCAACAAAAAGACTCCTAAGACACGATCTGACATGTAGAAGGTGGGTTCGCTGATACACGACACGGCTTGGATTGAATAACCGCCTACGGCAGGCCATTACACAGCCTCGTGTAAGCCCCAATCACAATTAACCCACCGTATTATGGAGAAGGCTAGGAATGTTGATCTCTGACCCACTCGGCCGTATTTGGAGCTATGGAGCGCTACTTCGACCACAATATGGGCTGCTCCGCTTGTACTTCAGGCGACCTGCGATTAAGGCCACCTATTTCTACGCTTGGCATATGCAGGGATTGACAGATTATTGTCCCTATCCAGACTACGGGTTTGGAGGACGGTTTCTAAGCCTATTCCCTAGCATTCAGATTGGTCTCTATGCCATGGTGGTCTTCTTAGATTTATCCGACATAGATTTCTGTATGGGACAGGTCAAGATATAAATACTCGACAGTAGTCGATGCTTCCGAACTCCAAGAAGCAACAGACTCTGCTCTCACTGCAAAGTACAAACAAGATCAACTCTACATCTCCAGCCTCTTTCAAAATGAATCTCCTCAGGGCCCTTGCTGCTACTATGGCACTTTTAGCCGGACAGACCGTCGCCTCCGATGAAGGTGAATCCGGTGCACACCTCTTAAATACCCATGGACTGACTCAAAAAAGCCCTATCAGATGCAACCAATCCCTCCGATCTCCAGGCCCGGGCCTGCGTTGCCATAAGAGTATGCCAGGGCTTTGACTTCAAGGGACCATGCTACAATGAATGCCTCAAACCATCGACACTGCACGAGATTCGGGTTGGATTCAAGAAGAATGCCGGTTCGTTTGCGGTAGATACCAAGGGCTTCTTCTGTACTGTCGGAACTCCGTAAGTATTACACTCTGAGTAGGTGCTTAATACACGAGCAGGGATAGACTGACAGAGTCTAGAAACACCGTCACGTGCTCAGGCAAGAAATATCCTGGCTTCAAGAGACTTCCTGATTACTGCATCAACAACATAGAGGCCTACCAATGTAACCCGGACTCGGACTGAATAACCTATCCTTTGACGCGCGTCCATTGGGTGTCGCACTATCTGTCGGGGCGACTTCGACGGTTGCGATAGTTGCTCAGTTATCATTCCTATACTGAAGAATCATGAGGTGGTGGATTGCATATATTGGAAAGGTGGAGGCTGATAGTCTGCCTAATCAGAGCCATTTGACTTCATGTTTGGATTCTCACACAATCCTTCCCGGGCCAAGCCAGTATATGCTGGTCGCCAACGTAATAGCGTACAACCAAGATCGCAGGTAGTGCACCTAAATTGGCCGCAGGTAGTAGATATTATAAATTAAGTTTGCTGCGGACAGGTAATCGGACACCAGTAGGCGATGGGGCTGATTGATAAGCCCAGCCATGCCCATTAGCTGCATAATATTCAACTCTGGCACTCGTAGGCTAGTCTTCAACATAGTACGAGGGTCAGCCCGGTGGGAGTTAAGATACTGTTTATCCTGAATTGGAGGTTCTTCATTGTAGTGGTTCAATAAAACTTGGAGCTCAACATTAACGCCACAGAATTGCCTGATTTTCTCTCAAGATGAAAACTATACCAACAACTGCCATGTAGATTTATATAGAATATACTTCAGATGCCCCAGTCCTCCAGCTCGATGAAACCTGTGTCAGGGACTCAGAGTCCTGCAGAAGGCAATCAATCAAAGGAAAGGAACTATCAAGGCTGCTAATATGAAATCCATTGTCTCTCTGATGCTCTGTTCTTCTTCCGCCTATCCTAGATATTCCCGTAGTTGCATCCCTGGTACAGTCGGGAGTAGGTTCACTAGATTGACCATTTTAATTTTTCAGATCGTGGGTGGTGCGTAGCTCGCTTACATGCGCAGATCGTTTACCGGTTCAATTCCGTTAGTCTAGCCCAGTCCATCGTAGTAATTATCTACTCCATAACTACTCCACAACGACCAATGTCTATCCTATCATAGCACTTGTGTCCCTCGTTGATTCCGAAGAGCCCCTCCTCGCGAGCTAGCAATTGATTTAAATCCATCATCCCTTCACATTCTCTCTCCTCTCTTGCTTCCAGCTTTAGCTTTATCCCGAGAACCGTTTTGCTTCACGCCCGTCCACTCCCCCAGCGTCCCGAATCCACTTTTTTTTCCTCTTCCTTCGAGCAATTCCGATCCACTTCTGCCAAAATGGGTGTCCACGAGATCAAGTCGTATGTCGATTGATTGTTTCACATTCCCTGGTCCATCTATCTTGCGGTCGGTAACGGATACACTAATACCCTTTGGTTTAGGGCTGCTGAATTCGACGAGAAGGTCATCAACTCCAACAAGCCAGTCGTTGTCGATTTCTTCGCGACCTGGTGCGGCCCTTGCAAGGCTGTTGCCCCTGCGATCGAAAAGTTCAGCAACGAGAACGAGGGCGTCGAGTTCTACAAGGTAGATGTGGAGGAGCTGAATAGCGTCGCTGCCAACTTGGGTATCAGTGCCATGCCTACCTTCGTTTTCTTCAAGGACGGCAAGCAAGTCACTGACTTGACCGTGCGCGGTGCCAACCCGAACGGGGTCCTCACAGGTGTCAAGGCCCTGCTTGCCTAACTGGTTTCCTCCTGGACATTTGTTCGACACTGTTTTTGTTATTTTGATCTTAAAGGAATACGTTCCTCGTTTAGAATAGACAATTGATTCCTTTCTAACTATCCTGACTCCCGAGTCCCAGAGCGGATTCTGCCTTTGATACCCGCATCCGAAAATCGGCGAGCGTTCGGATCGGGTTTCAACCCGTATCTCCCGACCGTATTTTTCGATCAATTTTATGTATCCAGAATGGGGCTATACCTGGAGACTAACCGACAACACGACCACCAAATTGCACACGTCGAATTGGAAATAAACGGCCACTATCGTGATCGAGCGTCAAGTAACCACGACGGCGGGTTACCCGTACTCTTCCCCGTACACGCGGCAGTGATGCACATCTCCAGACTGCCAAAGGCAAACTGCTTGCCGGTGAGTCCAGGTCCATAGTGGATGTACTTGCCAGAGTTTGTCATGATCGTGCGGGTGTCCTTGGGGATCACCGGTTCCTGGATGGAGCACCAGCAGGTGTCTTGCAAGAACTGGACCCCGAACTGTTCAAGCTCCCGGACATAGCCCGCCTGCACGGCAAGGCCATACTGGGCACGACCACAGGTGACTATCACCGCAACATGCTCGTTCTTGATCCTTCCTTGGCACAGCTTCGCTATCCCTTGGATCTCCCGGAGGGAGAAGTGTGGGTTGCCAAATGAGATGAGATCAATTTCGCGCGGCTCAGAGCCATGGTTGAACTCCTCCCAGGTCGCGGCTAGATCTTTCCAGTCCACATCGATAGCCTTGGGGGCGATGCCTGCACGACATACGGCCTCCAGCGTAGGGGCTTCGGGGGTCAGGTTGACTATGTGGAACATGGGAGCGCTGGACGATGTAGCAAATGCCGCTGAGAACGCTTTGAAATCGTCACGATTGGGCTTCAAGTGTTCCAGCCCTGTGATGGCCGGAATGTGGGCGGTGGCGATGGCGCCGAGAGCGTAGCCTAGAATCGGCCAGAAGGAGTCGTCCGTCACCTCGGGCGGTGTTACTCGGAGCCAGATAGACGCAAAGCGATTCTCGTCCAGATAGGCTCCCGCCTTGGGTGCACGGCCAGTCAGGGCAATCAGGGCCTCCAGCATATTGGGGTTCTTGAGCGTCCTCGCACCAAGTACACTGTTTGCGTAGAGAACGGCATTGGACTCTCCCCAGGCAATTGGATCGCCTAACGTCGGTGCTGTGTCTAGTAGATAAGGGGCACAGGTAAATGAAATCTTGCCGCCCATGTCAACAAAGGCCTTGGCCAGTTCATCACAAGAGGATCCAAACTCTGTTTCAATTCCGAGAGCCCGCCATCGTTTCTGGTCAATATTGAGAGAGTTGATAGTAGTAGGAACCTTGAATTTACCGCCCCAGTCCCGAAGTCGTTTTCCAAAGGCAACTGAGCCCGGGCCATACCAGGCGCCATCCGTATGGGCTTGGCGGATATCCATCAGCTCTCGGGCTCCCATCATATCCGCCATTCGGATGATGATCTGAAGCGAGATCCTCGCCGCCTCACCGTGGGTTCCATCCAGCATGGCCCGGTCGGAATCGGTAAGCTGAACGTTGCACTTGGTCAGGTCAACCGTGGGTTTCATACCTCGATCGCTACTGTGGGTATTCAAAGGACTATCCGAGACTATTTCACCCTGGACGTGGACAGTCTTGCCATCCCAGCTCAGTACTCGACGGAAGTCCTCCGGGTTCAATGTTACCACCGCGGCCGACTTGTCGAACATCTCTTCGGCAACGATAACGCCCAGGGTAATGATTTCCTCGCGACGTTCGAAAATCAGTGCCTTGGGGCCCAGGCCGTTAAGAATCAGTTCCATCATGACGACGCTGCCGCCACAGGACCCTCTGCCTCCCGGTATGGCTAGGATGGTGTCTTTCAGAAAACGACCACTCAGCGGGTGGAAGCGATCAATCACCTCGCCCGTTTTGGGATCCACGCCGCCCCAGAAGCTGAGTTCCAGATCTGCTGCCAACAGTGTGGCGGAGGTGGTGCCCGTAACATAAGGGGTACCGTGGAAGATGCATTGCTCTGACGAAGCCATGCTCGTAATGAGACGAAGCGTCACGCTGTTAAAGTCAAAGTAAGACGAAGTTCGAACTGGGATACCACTCCGAGGCAAGAACAGCCAGAGGGTTCGACGAAAAATGGGGCAAAGCTTTTATACCTATATACTTACGTTTTACTACACTACAGGGTCCTAGCGGGACATCGGATAAGCTGCTGTATCTTCGGCGGCCTTCGCCAGTGTGCTTGAGTGGAAGTGGGCGATTTAGTAGTCTGGCCGGGCCAAAAGGCCTAATCAGCCGGGGAGTAAGCTATTATCAAGGGGGTATACTAAAAACTGTACTCTACTCCGCAATGCCATGAAAGTGTCGCCGTGGGGCAGCACAGAGGGGATCCCGTCTCGGATATCATAACTGATGCAGGAAGGCAATTCCTTAAGGATCCACAGGATGGCATACCCCACCTATAAAGTACATAGTATTCTCATCCCAGCTAGATATCTGAGCATGGCTTACTGTCTGCGATGAGCTGATTGGAACCTTTTTCGTTCCATTTGCTGCAGTCTCTTATCACCTGAGACGGTCCAGATCTCTCGACGAACGATGTGCCATCGTCAAATCCATCCCACGGGATACGGTACGAACCGTCTCCCCACATCTGTGGTGCTCTCTTTTCTTTCACTGGAATTGGACTAGCGACCAGTATGCAGTGGCTTCTTAGCTTACGTCATGTGCCGGCTTCTCGATTTGAGGTACCCTAAAGTCTTTGATTCCGAACACTAGCGTATTGCACCTCAACGCTGCATCAAATACATTTACAGACAACGGTTAATAGTGGCGCGATGCTCAACAGCGAAAGCGAATTTCTTGAGGCCATATGGGCCCTCTGCAGATAAAGAACTGTTGACGGTCAAGTACGGAGGCTCAAGACTGGCGATCAACGCAATGAGGCCAGCGATATCATTAGCGAAGGCAGGCCGGCCCAGCAGTCATCGCTTGGAAGGTACGGCCTCCAATGCCGTCTATCGCCATCTTACCACTGTCCGAGAAGTACTTGGCTGATCAACATTATAGTCAACTACCACGTTGACGCCATGCTGAGCCAGTCGGATGGCAATCATAGCCCCAGTTCCACAACTTGAGTTAGTCACTACATGCGTCTACTTAGTGATGGCCACTCATGCTGAACGCGGTTTTTAGAAACAACGCCGTGCCAACTACGAGCTTTCCGGTCGAATGTAGGTTGTTCAAAGCCGACCTTGAATTTTAAACATTGGCTGAAGTACCGGGGACCTGGACTTCGCGTATTTCACCACTTTACTAAGATGCTGGGTTCCAAAACAGACTATTTCATTATATAGCGTGTTTGATGGCTCACATACTGTTTGGCCGATCGGGACGCTTACATGGATGTAAACAATACATTTTGGCCAACATTAGTACTCAGCGTTCGGGTTAGATGGGCTCTGACGACTGGGATGTCTTTAAGCCATTGGGCCCAAAGTAAAGCTAACAAACCAGGCATGATAATCAACTGCCAACCACAACGAAGAACAGGATGAGGCTCTACATTAGCTGACATGGAGTTCCATTCCAAGTGGGTCTGATCGACTGTCATAGCCTACAGGTCCTGGCCGACCATACGCAATGTCACTGCACTAGTGACGCACCCAGCACAATTTTGCTGCTCTAGGTGAATATTCAGTCACAATTGATACCTGAGGTAAGGTTGTCCGCTCTTATTTATGAAAACCTTGTAGGGATGGGAATTATTATGTAAGGAGGAGCGTTAACCACAGCTCCAACTTTATCGACTTTTCTATCTGTACGTTGACTAGGGCTTCCAGTGACGCGTCGGCCCATTGGCGGTCACGAGTCTACGATATATTCTAGGAAAAGCATTATTACCTAAATCGAAGCTGCCAGCCTGAGGACAAGCACTTCGTCGGTTATTACTAATATAGAGCTATTTCACTTGACAAGAACCAATAAAAACAAAGCAATCGGGGCAAATTATGCTAAATACTTGAACGGAAAAGTAGTCCTACTTGGCAGCACTACCAAATGCCTGGGAATCTTTACTTCTCATGGGCGATTATATACAATCTCTGTTCCTTGGCTCCTTGCACACGTTGATTGAATACTTCTCTCGACCAGAGATAAAGTCATGTTTAATCTCTATAACTATTTTTCTGTAGAAAGCGTATGCTGTTTGGCCATACATGTCAAACATCAATAACATATAGCATTCACCTAAGCCGTAGCTTGATCCTTGTGACCCTGATGGATCAAGCATAAAATAGCGATACTTGCGAGAAGGCAAGATAGAATATTGAGTAGCCCTACCGACGTCATGATACCAAATATGACAGACACTTAAAAGGGAAACAGTTATGTATCGGCAACCGAACCAGTTCTGAGCGGCGATGTCAGAAATTAGTGCGACTGGATCAGAGTGGGTTGAGGCTTTATGCATCGCCACGATTGGAAGCCAGCTAACCTACACGAGATTGTTGTCGTTTGCTAAATATGGCTCCCGGTTAGGGCGCTGAATGTCAGCATCCGCCAGATGTGGGTCCACGAACGCTTCGAAGGCTTACCCTCGAAAGGCTAACCCATTCTGGTATAGTGGCACCCTGTTCGAACTTCCAACGCCGACCCGCCTTTCCCAGAACGTACTAGGCTCGAATGGGTTACCCGGAATGGCAGCGATCGGCGATGCTTGTTTGCCCGTTAGGCTGCTTTGGATGGACTAATTCGGCCGGATTATCATCAGGGCAGCTCGAATGGGTTTCCAAAACAGGCAATATGATTCAGGCGGACAGCTCGTGTATCCGACTTGCGAAGAATTAGTTTACCTGATTGTGAACGCTAACAACGAAGGCAATGGAGTTTTAGATCACTTTCCACAATATATAAACCGTGGTATTCCTCCCTGCAACTTGCCAGTTCTGTTCTGATCTATCTGCATCAACATCAAAACATTATTTCTGAAGCCCGACATCCCAGATCCTCTTTGAAAACCATTCCATAGCAATGCGTCTCCAGTTATCACTCTGTGTTGGAGCGCTGTTCACCTTAGTGGTATATGGCACCCTTGAATACTTCCGTTGGATATCAGTCACTGACACAAAGAGTAGACGGCAAATGGATCGATCCCTAACATCACCATTACCAATTCTACCTCGTCCATCTACCAATTAAGCAGCGACCCTGAGTTTTCCTTTGTGCTGGAGACCTTTCTCTCTTTCAGCAATGGTGGCGGTGCTGCTACGGGCGAGGTCCTTCGCGCAGCCTCCCAAATAAAGCCAGGCGATATGGAAAGCTTCTATAAAGAGTTCAAGTACCTGGCAGACCAAATCGCCGACCAGGCTGCCTCAGTGAACGCCACCAGGTTTCCCGTATCCGCTCGTGAGGCGCATTTCCGTGCGTCGACATACTATCGCGCAGCGGACTTCTTCCTGCACGGCAATGCTTCCGATCCTCGAATTCAAACCCTCTGGTCTTCCGTGTTGGACCATTATGACACCGCAGTGAAGCTGCTGCCTGAACCACCGCAGCAGGTGGAGCTCGACGCGGGCCGGTTCAAGATTCCCGTGTATTTCTATGGGGCCCCGAAATCATCACTGACCAATGTGACGAGCGGCAAAGGCAACCGAGTCCCCACGATCCTGGTCGGATCTGGGTACGATGGAGCTCAGCAAGATTCATACCATCAATTGGGCAAGGAGGTCCTCGCACGCGGGTGGAACTTCGTCACCTACGAGGGACCCGGACAGCCTACAGTACGTCGTGACTCAAACATTGGCTTCATCCCCGACTGGTGGAGTGCGGTCACCCCCGTTGTGGACTGGTTAAGCACTCGTGATGACGTGGACACGGACCGGATCGCGTTGGTAGGCGTTTCGTTCGGTGGCCAGTTGGCCCCTTTGGCAGCCACCCGTGAACACCGTCTTGCTGCCGTCCTTGCAATAGATGGAATGCTTGATCTTCAGGAGTCAACCTTGCAGAAGTTCCCACAACAGCTGCGTCAACTATATCGCAGTGGGAACGCCACAGCCTTCGATGCGGCGATCTGGGCGGGTTACAAGAAATCAAGTGACACACAGCTGAAATGGGGCCTTGATCAGGGATTATGGTCCTTTAATACCACCAGCCCTTTCGAATGGATGACGAAAATGGGCGAAATGGGTCTCAATCAGTCAATGTTGGACAAGATCACTTGCCCAGTGTTTGTTGCTTCGGGTGAGGACGACGGCCTCGCCCCCGGCCAGCCGGAGAGGATGGCGCGGATGCTCGGAGACAAGGCTCATTATCATCTTTTCAAGACCAATGTTGGCGCGGGAGAGCATTGTGCCCTTGGGGCTGAGCCTCAGCTGGCACTGGCTACTCTAAACTGGTTGGACGAGGTGTTCGAGAGCCAGACTTCGCGTTCCTATTAATGGGTACAATCTGTGGATACTTTGTTGCCCGGTGAGGATGGCAGTTTTTGTTGCGTGTGATTATCGGTGCTCTTGATCCAGGTTCGGCTGCAGTTCTATTGTTATCGCTCAGTTCAAATGTGTTTGTTGTTACAATTTCCACAATTTCGTATTGCATAGCCTTCGCTTGTCCAGGGTCGTCGTTCAGTAATTTACGAGTATGTCCTTACCGCACGCATAATTCCAACCTCATAGCCTATTCGAAGTAGACCCAGGTTCGCAGCAGCACGCTGCCTGTCGATGACATTGGCGGAAGACGAAATTAGACCCAACGGCCAAAGCAGCTTTAGGGCATGTCCCCATGTTGGAATGCTTGGGCCCTGTTGGTTAACTCTGGCCCCTGTAGCCGGCATAAGTAGTGGGAGGGATACTATAATGCGGTCTGCCAGGTGCATTAACCGTTTAGTGCTAGACTCATGGTAGCACAGGAGCTCAGCGCGCTTCTTCGGTGGTGCAGTAGCTTTTAATGTTTGGGAGAGAAGGTCTATGCATCCTTGATAAACTTGAAAGAGAAATGCATCGAGATAGTTCGCGGCATGCTGGTTCATTAACCACTTGTCAGTTTGTCCTGTTGCTAGGTCGTCTGATGGACCTGGCTGTGACTGTAGGGCTGGCCCTTGAGTAATCACTGCATCAATCGACGATTCGAGATTTTTGCAAGCCACTACTATATCGTCGATGCTCAGGAGCATTTTTTCGTGTGTACCTTGCTCGATCAAATCGCGGATGGTACTATAAATTCGACAAGCCAAGTCGCTGTACAGAAATGCCGGCAGAAAGAGCATCTCCTTCGCCATGGGGGATGTCTGCATCGAATGCAACCATGCGACTGCTTCTGGTGGAGGTGGCTGACCTGCTTGTATTGCCTGTATTTGCTACGCCATGGAACGTCAGCACTGACCGAAGACTTCAGCCAGCCTACAGGAAACTTACAATGATAGGGTACGCTATCTGGAAAAGCTGGCATCCTGTCTTGGTCAAGAATTGGTTCTGGCCTCGCAATCGCAACAGTCCAATCATTGCTTCGCCATGCGCGTTCCAGCCCCGAGGTTCTTGCTGTGACTTTTGACTCGGTGCCCCAACTAGGAGCTATAGTGAAAAGGAGTCTTAGCCTTTACGACTGGAGTGTCAATATTAGAACTAACCTACCTCATACAAACACAGCAGCCACACTGCCACCAGCGTTTGGTCTTGCTTCTGCTTCTCAACGTGGGAGACGTCATTTGATAAAGATTGCAAGGCCTTGGCATAAAGCTTTCTATGGCCGAATCCAGTGCTATCAGGCCGTGACCGGTTGGTAAAGGAGGCGGATGCAACAGCATTGCACACCTTGTGCAATGTAGATGTGCTATCAGTGTGCTCAAGCAGTTGCGGCAGGAAGTCGAACGAGCCGTACACTCGAGCACCCTGCATGGTTAGAATGGTGAATTGGCTGATGACAAGAGGCTTTGCATGTGCCTCCCACTCTTCAGTCGGCACATATGTGAGTGCTAGTGGTGGCTGTCTCGCTCCAGCGAATCGGAAATGCCGATCCTGTTCTTGTTCGGTGTCCTTCGTCACCTGTGGGTCGGAATTCTGATTCTTATGGCGCCGGTAGGATTCAGGGGTAAGGACCCGGAAATTAAAACTCAGTCTATTCAAGTCCCTATAACCCGGACAGTCATGGCCCAGCTTCTTACAGCGCAAGCAGCCGGGGCGTCCAAGGTCACACTGCCTGTATTTTAGTGATCAATACCGTCATGACACATGAGTTGGAACCCACCTTCACCCGGCGACGGCGACAAGTGTAACAGTCCTTACTCGGAAGTCCAGTATTGACCATATTGATGAGGAAGTGTTGTCTGCATCTCTTGGGAGAAGTAAGCGGAAGGAAAGAGTTTCGTCGACGTGGGGGAAGCCTAAAGGTAACCATGCCAAGACTGCGCCACACTCTAACCCGTGATGTTCTCAGCCCTATACAATTCTTCCTGACATGTCATATGGTGATCGACATGAGGTTCATGTATTTGGTGACATTCATCATCGGTTGTTAACCAGTATCGCATCATGTCCTTTCCTTGCACATGACTGCAAGTGCGGTCCTAATATCTAGATCAAGATTGATATCCATGTTTTTATGAACAGCGTCCAGTGCTGATATGCACCCAAGACCAAAATGTCTCAGTTGAACGCCCTGAAAAGCCAAGAATGCTAACGCAGTGCATGCCTTTGTAATACTCAATCCTTACTAATACCTAGTACTAGGTAATATTACCCAAGCCCCGCCAACACCTACTTCCTTCTCGAATACGATCCCATCTCTACGGGCTTCTACCAACTACCCTGCACGTAATCACAGTTAACATAACAATGCCGAGTTGAAATTACTAGATAGGCCAATAACTTTAGAAATTATATATCCACCATATAACCAGACACAAACAAAGGGGACGCCCCGTTCCGGAGTCTAGCGAGAGTGGTCATTCCTATTAGTTTAGTTATTTGATAAATACCACCCGTTACTCTAATAGAATCCTTTTACTTACCAGGTCAACTCATTCATACTGTTTTAGAAACTATACATCCATATTGGACCTGGCATATCTATCTTTACTTCCCGTTCCATTACCTGTGTACAGCGCTTCGGACCTCCGTGATTACCCCCTAATGGAACAAGCCCAATCTACTCGATTGGACGGCAGTGGATTTCTGTTGGACTGAATGTGATTCTAGCGCACTACCTAGACATTTATTTAGGGCGCCATTTCGAGTAAGGCTTTCAACCAAATGGAGTTTTACTACATATTCTGCGTGGTCAGTAAGGATAATAGTCTTGAGATTTGTTTTAAAAAAACTGAAGTAGTAATAACTATTGACTTAGAATAAATACTAATAATTAACATAAATACTCTATATCTAATTATTATCAATGTGGTAGTCTCTATTTATTTAAGATAATATAGCTAACAACAGATCTATCTATAATACTTTGTTCTACCAAATTTAGAAAAATATAAGATTTTAAGATATTGATGAATATATAGCGAGGATCGTCGCATCTACCACGACCAGTTATTCTCCTTGGCATCGGCTGTCGTGCTTAGTAAATATATCGGAGAAATAGGAGAAGCCTCAATATAACGCTATGAAGCATTCATTACAGCCTGCAAAAAGCGAAGCGTATCGGCTACGATGTCAAAATCAGCCAAGCTCACCTCCAAGCTGAGCCATACACACTCGGTAGCCCAATTACGCCACTACTATTTCAACCCATCCATCCACTGCGACGAAGCCACTCCTCAAAAGTAGAAGCCTTCAGACCAAGCTCCTCAAACGAGTGATCTTGATCCTCAGCGAAAGCCCCGTAACAGATCCTATCCGCGGGCGCCACAGCAGCCCATTCCATCATCTCCTTGGCATCTTCCGTAAAGGCCGGCCCAACGCGCGGAGCCGTCATCTCGCCGAACTCCTCCGCCGATATGGGGTCGTGGATCGCAGGCTGGCCGGTGACTCTTGTGAATGTCCTTACCATCTCATCGGGTGTGGTGCGAGAGCTTAGCACGCAGTAGGTCTTTCCGTGGGTTTTTGGGACGCCGAGCTCGAATACTCCTTTTGGAAAGGGTCAACATGTTAAATTCCCCTTTTGAGAATGGTCTATGGATTCTTCCTTTTACCCGGTTTGGGGGAAATCAAATGAACTTACTCGCAGCGAAAGTCCCCATGTCGTGGATTGGATCTGTCCACTGTGCAACTTGGCTTCCGGGGATGGGAATACGAAACTCAACGACGCCGTCCGCTACCAAATTGTCATATTAGCCTGTGCCTTGGATGGGTTAAGGTCTGCATGTTTCAAGCCAAACTCACACCGGCGGATAGAATATTGAGGCCAACGCAAATTAGTATAAAAGAATCCTGTACCAAAGAAAAAGCCCGCTGTCAGCACAGGATTGCGCCGCAGAGCTATAGTACCAACCAGGAATAAGGCAAGTCACCCCGCCGCTCAGTCTTTCTCTCGCGAATTTCTCAACCTCATACTTATTGTTCATGTGGTGCATATTCACAAATCGACCTCCCGTTGCGCTGACCATATCCGGCAGACTACTAAAGACAAAATGCTTGACACCACAGTCTTCCGCAGCCAGGACCATATTGTGACCGGCTTCAATCTCATGCTTCATTTCTTCCTCCTTCTCTAGGAGTCTTCCTCTATGGGTCTCAGAAGTCATGGCAAACACACCATAGGCACCCGCAAAGGCAACTTGGAAGGAATCCTTGTCATACGCGTCGCCATGGACGAGAGAAAGGCGGCTGTCATTTGTCTGGTGGTCGGAGAGAAACTGCTTCGCTTTTGGTGAGTTGGGATCGCGCGTTACGCCCCGGACATGCCAGAGACCTCCGTCTGGGGCCCTAGAGCCAAGTAGCGCCTGGATAACGCCAGCTCCTTGATTTCCTGTCGCGCCGACGACGGCGATCACATGAGCAGCAATGGGGGTTGCCATTCTCTTTTTCTAATGTCCTAAGCCGATGCACATATATTACAAAGAGATAGAAACAAAGTTGCAATATGGGGCTTAGTTGCAAAGAGGAGATAGGATATGGGAAGAAATCAGCGGTAGTCTGTTGCTGAACTCATCACTTTTTATACAGGATTGCGAAACCCAGAGTGGTAGAGAGCAAAAATACGTCACCAAATAGATAGATAGATAGATAGATACCTACGTATGGATTACCAATACCAGATTACTCAGCTGCCTCCACGGAAGCGAGAAAGTCTCCGTTGATAGACGACTTTTTGTCTCCGTCGGCCGGTCCCTAAGCCTCATTAGGAGGTTTCTTTCAGAAGTCTCCGTCGATAGAGAACCTGTCGCGGAAGCTCCTTGTCCTTCAACTAGCCAGCAGAACTTCCGTCCAAACTCCGTGCAGTAGGCAGTAACCCTGATAACCACCTGTAATCGTCGAAGAAAGGTCGAGGCACCTCTGCATCCTGTCCTGAAATGCATTGATCAACTAAGTTTGAGGGCCGTTCTATCTCAATATGTAGATATCTGATAGAGCTCTAGATACTGCAACACTACCCAGTTTCGGTTCATAATTTATTAGACTTGATATTAAGTATACTTAATTTCGGTTAACTGTGTAAATTTTAGCGTAACTGTGGTTAAAGATAGAAATTCTATTAATCTAATTATAATCTAGCGGTTGGATATCACTGGCCTTATTAACCTAACCTAACCTAACCTGGCCATATGCCAGTCTAGTATTGTTATTTGAGGGAGACAGATCAGAGTTATATAGATATAATAGCAGCGTTAACAGATTTGTTGAGTTCTATATAATCTAGATTTTATCAGAACGCTTGATCTGAATCCTTTAGAATATGGTTCTTCAGTATATGCCTAAAGAATCATCTGATGGTCTACACAAGACCAGTATTCTACCAAGTCCGGAATCGATCAAATCCGGCGAGAATGGACTCCGCTAGATCATGACTGACCAGGAACGCTCCCGCATTGCCTCGGCCCTACACATGGAAGGTACGCGGTCATCCAACACTGACTCCCTTAGCTGATATCTAAAAGCGAGTTTCTGACACGTCTTAATATAGAATGATCGATCTCTCGGGGTGGCAATGTTATGATGCGCGACAGAGCAACTTGCTCTTGATGTGGAAAGCATTCCGGCCTTGATGATCTCATACTCAGTGCCAAGGACCGCGAGATTCATGGTCGTGAATTCATGTTGGATATCCTGCTGAAGGGAACCAAGGAGAATAGCCCGACTCATTACATCTCTTGTTCTGGATGTGGCACGCTGCATGATGGAGGATTTGGCTGCTACGGTTATGATAATGGTTTGCCTGAGTGTCTGGAGCGCTGTTCTGACGGACGTAATGGCAAAGTCCTAGTAGTTTTACATCATAGTGGTCATTCTCATATGATAAGAATCCCTTCCACAAGGCTACTATATAAGAAAGAGACCAGTAACCCACGTTTTCAACGCACCTCAATTTCTTAAACCATTAAAACATACGTCACACCACCAAAACTACCTGAGTGTTCAGCAATACGTGATGAGTATGAATGTAGTATCCTACTGGCTATATACGCCATAAGAAACCATGGATTTAGCTGCCTTAGAGAGACAGTTAACTCTTTTAATCTACGCTACGCAGCCCTTGAAAGGGCCTCATTCAAAACGATACCCCGACTAATAGTCATCAATTGACTGCTAGTAACGATGGACCACTTACAAACTGTATTCTATTACCAAACGAACGTAGGGTCCCTCGACAGCCAGCGTATATACGAGAAATAGCTAATATCCTGTTCCTGAAATGCAATACTATCCCCCCCCCTCATACTATAGAGGACGAATGGTATATAACTTTACCTCGCGTAAATCTGGCTATAAATTGTTTTACACGCCTTTACAGCTACCAACGTGTTAGAGTAGAAGATCTTAAGATCCTAAACGCTAGGTTTAAGCAGGTAGATGAGGCTCGGAAAAAGATGAATACAGATAACGACCTTCATAGGAAAGTTCATATCGTCGATTACTGAGCAGCTCGTATACCGATTACAATATGGGAAATATATCATCCGAGATTGTCGAGTACGCGTTTCAGTTACTTTTCATACCGACCCTACCAGCAGATCACTCAATATCCCCCGTAAATGCCCACCAGCGAGCAACGATCCATGGTCTTCACCCGCATATTCCTTATAGACGCTCTTGGGTAAACGGCGGGCAAGGTGCAAGCCCATATGCGGTGGTGTGTTGACGTCAGCGCCGCCATACCAAAGCTTCACGCCCTCATAAGCAACGTCCTCAATGCGGAAGCCCCAGGGTCGCGTCAGGATGCGCATGTCTGCGACGTGAGCATCGATACCCTGGGCATAGTACTGCCTGTAGACGCGTACGGCGCTCTGCATAGCATCTGTGTCCATGTAGGCGTCGGCCTGCGTGGCATCCATGTATGGGAGCAAGTCCCGGCGAAAGCGGTTCGCCATGGCCGTCTGGTCTGGGTCGCGGGCCAGCGGCACATAGATGTCGCGCGTATTCCGCAGTAAGCGCTGCGGCCAGTACTTCATCAAGTACATCTGGGAAATGATCTTGAGGGTCTGACCTCGGCGACCGGCGTGCCAGGGAGCGACGCCTGCGCAGATGCCCACACCGCGCACTTGTTCTCGCGGCAGCATCTTAGCGCACGCGAGTGTGTACGCTGAGCCGCCGCTGACGCCGAAAAGGTAATATCTTTCCAAGCCCAGGTGGTTGACTAGTTGCCGGATATCGTCGGGGTAGCCCATGATGGATCGTCCGGCCTGGAAAGTGCTTTTGCCCACCCCAGGGCGATCGGCAGCGATCCATCGAATGCCCAACTCTTTGGCTAGGGAATCCTCTTTGCCTTGGAGGGTAACACCCGTGTCGACAACACCGTGGAGGTAGAATACGGGGATGCCATCAGGGGCGCCGTAAAGATGGAAGCCGAGCGTGCGGCCATCTGCAAGCGTGAGTGATTCACCCTCGCATCGATTGATGTGCTTCTCGGACGGAATTGACGCCGCAGAGCTGTGACAGCGAGCAGTTGGCAGTCGCCAGAGACGTACGCCATGATTCACGAACTGCGTCGTATGCCTTGGTCCCGCCGAGACGAAGCTGCAATTGCTAACTGAAACGCAACGGACGGATGGGATGATGTTCATGGTTGAGACCTTGCCGAGGTGTTGTGGAAAGGGGCAGGCGGGTGTATAGCAAGGGAGTGCTCAATCGAACAGGCTAGGCACTAAGCCTTATGAAGAGAGAATTCGGATCAGTGACAGGATCTCCGTACGCACTAGTAGGTGAAAGATGATGAAACCCGAGGCAACCAATTGCCTCACTGGAGGCAGTCAGTCGCCAGGCGGCAGAGCCGCCGCGATGTTATCACGTCAGGGAATAATCCCGACGTTCCGCTGTCAAAATTCAGGAGAAGTTCTGCATCTGTAGTTAATCCTGGTGGTGACTCACATTTTACGAGTCACCTGGAAAGCCCGACAATTATGTTACAATATCATAACAAACCCGAGGTAGTTATCCCCACATCGCCAACCTTCGAGTGTGTTCAGTTCAACCCGAATCCCTCCTGAGTCTAGACTCGGTTGGGTATAGTCATCAACGCCTTACCCGGGTAGCTCTAGTGACGGCTAAAGCCGTGTTTCCGGGTTCAACTCTCAGGATGAACGTTAATATCGATTTATAAATAATTATCATTATACGATCTTTGGATTCTTATTCTTTTTTTTAAAAAAAAAATACCTTTACATAATACACATCGAAATGACTTTTTACAGTTACGCTAAGCTGCTTATATTAGACTAAATCATACCTCTGGATGATCTATAGATCGTGTGGCATGCTTCATGGATGTACAATGTCTCTATCAACATGGTTAGAATATATACAGACAGTAGGAAGTGTACATGATATCCTTATCCGCCATTTTTCCAACATATCTCCGTTGAAAGTGACTTTAGGAATTCTACTCAGTCATCAGAAGCCATAACGTGTATATAAGTGGTAGTAGATCTAGTGCAAATGAGCAAAGGTGCTCCTGCGGCATTATGTCCAGCGTGGAGTTGAATGCGACTCCGTCACCTCTGTCATCCCCTCAATCTCTACATCCACACCAACCAGCGTGACAAGCCTCTTCAACTGTACATCACACGTAGTCGGCTTCAAGGTTCTTCATCATTTCCCTGTTTCCAAATGGTACATTCTATCCCGGCAACGTTCCGTGCGGGATTCGTGCCGTGTCGACATCCCTGAACTTTGCTTCCAAACGGACAATGTCCTCCTCTATGGAGTCCTTGCATCTGTAGAACTGCATATCATCGCTTCAACCCAGACTCGAGAGAATCTTACAGTGCGCATGTTATGAAGTACCAAATGCCTCGTCTGCCTCTGATTTTGGATATAATCACCGAGGACAATGTGCCGCCGAACGGTTGTTCGACGATAAGGGGGTACTATCCTGAATCATGGTTGTAGGCTCTTCGACTACAAAAAATGACACAATAGAACACCTATCCTAGTTCACCCGCTTGTACAATTCTGTTAATGCAAGAAAGAATAGAAGTACAGAAGTGTAGATACTGAATCTAAGCATCCTTGTTTGATGGTGTTTCCTGATGCCTTTGCTTGTATACCGCGGTATCCAGTCAGCCCACTCAGGAAACATAGCGCGGTAAGTATTATAGATCATGGAATATCTGTGGTCTGGTTAAGAAAGGCTATAATAGGGTCAACCGTTGAGGTGTGTACTCACGGATATACAGCACTATTCCATCCTTTATCGTCCACATACCAACTGTGGCATCCGCCGGTTACCCACACACTCTCCTGGGATGCTCTCTGGACATTCTCTGTCCATACTCTGTTTGACTTTGCCTTGATATCCCAGGAGCTCACGTCAAGTTCAAGAATTGGCTTGATAAGTTTCAAAATATAATGGATGGAGTTCTCCACGCCAATCATAACGCTAGTATGACCACTCGATGAGTTAGGCCCTAGTAGGAGAAAGAGGTTTTTAAATCCAGGAACCGCTAGCCCCTGGTATGCCTGGAGTCCCCCAGTTGTCCAGTAGTCATACAGCGCAGCACCTCCACTGCCGATGACATCAATGTTGTGCAGTAATGTTGAGGTATCGTATCCTGTTGCCATGATAATCACATCCGCTGTTACTTTGCTTTCGTGTGAGTGTGCAACCTGATAATCCTCCCCTCGACCTCTTAGTATTACCGCCCTTTTTTCAACCCTATCCAGCCGAAGATCTGTGATATGCAATCTAGGATCCCAGAGGCTCTGAAACCACCCAGCATCATGGACGAGTCTTTTGCACCCAAGCTCATAAGGGGGAGTAAGTATTTTGTGGCATCCCCTGGGGATGCTGCGTTCCATATAAACCCGGAGCTTTTCTTCATACCTCTTTCGACCATACTGTTGTCCCGCCTTGAATATTCGAAAGAAGGTAAGTTCAGCGATTAAAAACATAACCATACGAACAATCTGTGCCAAGCCAGGGATATTCCGGTTTAACCAGGGCATGTATGCTTCCCATGCGCGCAGCTGCCTGGATGAAAGAAGGTTTGGAGATACCCAAGGAGCTGTTCGCACCAGCTGTGTGACTGAGCGAACGTTATACTGACTCAGAAGGGCTGGAACCAATTGTGCTGCACTGCAACCAGCACCGATGACTATAACATCTTTATCCTCGAGGTTGACATTGGCATCCCATCGTGCAGTGTGTAAAACGTCTCCCCTGAAGTGTTCGATCCCTTGAACGTGTGCTGAATCTGTTCGAGGGACGGCAAACTTTCCTGTAGCACTGATGACTATCTTTGCTCGCACAGAGCGCTTGTATCTGGGTGCAGGGAAACCTGCTGGCTCCTCTTTGGCCGGTGGTGTCTGATGGATGGATACCTCCCATTCTTCATTTTGCTCGTCCCATATCAGACTGCTAACCTCCGTGTTGAGCTGAATATGCGGGCAAAGCCCGAATTTCTCAGAGGTAGCTCGTATATATGTCGCAATCTCTTCCCCAGAAGGCTTCAGAGTTGACCATGAAGGATTTTGGGCAAAGGAGTAAGAGTACAGGCTTGCAGGGCTAGGAGAGACTGTAAATAGTAGTCGTGGAATATAGGGGAGGCTCGTGTACTGACACATCGCACGCTACACCTGGATACCGATGAACCCACCATGTGCCCTGTGATAATGTCAGTAGTCGCCTGCAGACAGTGAGGCTGGAAACGCACTCCAACTCCTTCGTTCCGGTCATATATACGAAACTGGCTCAGGCCAAGTTTTGTTTTCAGTTGGCACCCTGCCGCAATCCCAGATAGACCGGCGCCGATAATGACTACTGGGAAGTAATCTGAACGGCTGTGTGTGTCTTTAGGAGCCATTTCATCGCTTTTTGAGGTGTGGTGATATTCCAAGACTACGCTGTTGTTGTTGTTGTCGCATAAAAACCAGCAGGATCGGTCTTACATGGCTTTACCAAGTCAATACCGCCAAGCCTACTGGCGTCCAAATTGATGCAGGTGACAAGTCCAAATTGTACCGATTGGCATTGAGTGATTCGTTGAGCTGGAGCCAGGCACCCCTTTACTCCGTATTTTGTAGTAAGTAGGAAGATCATTTGTATGTCGACTGGAACGCGCTTCATATGGGGAGGATTTGCAAGGGAGGGGGTCATGAAATATGTAAGGGGTGCCAAATAATTTAGAAACAACGGTTCCGTAATGCTTCTGGTGGAGACAGATGCTGTCGTTTTTCCAGCCCAGAATCACTAATGTATGACCATACCCAGATGACTATGGTGAAGCTATTCGGTTTGGATGTCTTTGATCAACGAAACAAGCCAGGGCTAGGGCAGTCTCCTAGTGACTACCCGCCCCATGCGCTACTCATTGCCGCAGGTCCATTAATTCTACCGTTTATTAGCCTTTACGTACGGAAGCGGCATGAATAGGAGGATTTTAACATGTCTTGACCCACATTCTCGCGACCATTTTGAAGTTACATACCCAGCTTTCAGGAGTAGGACGTTAAATACTGGAACCATTCCACACACTTCGTCGCGCTGTCAGCTTGACACGAATCGAGAGATTGCGCGCAAAGATGTTACAAGGATTTTACGTGACACTGATTATATTCTTGGGGATGATGGGACATCTTGGCTCCCTCTTGGAAGCTAAGGATGCAGCTACGATCGTCCAAGGGATGCAGGACCTGAGTCTAAAGACACATATCGTACGACAGTCACTTGACGACTTCGATGGCAGTTTCATTAAGGCTCTATTACTCGCTCGTGACGTATACGAGGTCTCAAAAGCAGCTGAGGTCTCCAGAAAATCTTTTGAGGACGCTGAGCCGCTGTCGCAGGACGATGTACCCAACATTGTGGAGAACTACCACGCAGTCCGGCAGTCAATCGATGATGCCCTGAACGCTGTTCCGGCAAAGGTAGGCTTCAGAATATCCATATACCCCACTGTGACTAACATTGGTCTCTGCGTATTAGATCAATTCCATAGACTCTCTAGGCGTTCGCATGTTCGCAACCGGGCTTTTGCGAAACTTTGCCGCTGACAGGACCGCGTATGAGAAGGCGTCGAAGGCGAAGATACCTGTAGACAATCATACAAGTATCCAGGGCCCCATCGATAGCCTTGCAAACTCATTTGATACCGCACTCTCGCTGTTTCTGTGACATCAATCGTCCGCCTAATTTTGGGAAGGGGTGGGGGGCGTTGATGTAAAAAATCGTGGTTGAATCAGGGCCTCTAGGGTGCCGATTCTTGTGTTAGTATTTCGGTAACCAAATATGAATGACTATTCAAGATGATACACCACCGGGATAGCATCTGCGCTGCTAAGTTATGTATCGATGAGCAGGGATTGTGCTCCAAGGAGCTGTAAAACACATCGGCTGAGAAAAGCTGTCTAGTACTCCCGAAATACCTTTGCTCCGGGGTTGGTGATGATTCATCTTTCGTAACCCGTAACGTGTGGTGTTTATGTCTAGCTGTTCCAAGTTGATGCCCAGCGCGTTCTGATATTTTCAGCTATACTCGTCCAGACTCGCGAGCTCTACTATTCTTAACTTATCCCAGGCTTTGCCATTGCCCACTGTATCATAACTAACAGATCTTGACCCTTTCTGAAGTCCCCGTAGATACATACCGCCGCCGAGTGGCTCTTGTTCCATGGATTGCGTCCAATATACCTATCAGTCCATAGTTGACATTGAGCTTCTCGTGATGTAAGTCATGAATCTCTGGTTTCCAACCCATGAAGCTGAAGTCGAAGAAGCGATACCCACAGTGCGCCCAGGACGCTTGGGCGCTAACCCCGCAAGCGAACAGCCAGAATGTCACGACATGAATCCTCAGCAAGTGTGCGGGAATGGCGACAGGTAATATATTGGAAACAACATGTTCAACGGGGTGACAATACAGCGAAGCCACAGCCACGGGGGTGGTAAACAGATGGTGCTGCTTATGGAAACGCCGGTAGAGCCAGGGCCAATGCAAGGCACGGTGGCCATAGTAGAAGAGAGCTTCGCGACCCAGTGTGCACCAAAGGATGCCGTGCATTATCTCAGCCGCCGATGGCAGCCATGGGTCCACCCGTAAACCGGTAAGCTGGGGAACCAGTGGACGGACAATGAAAATCTGCCCGAGATGTAGTGTTGTCGCGAATGCCTGGTTTAGTGCTGCAACGAGGATGGCTTTCCAGAGAAGTCTTCGATCAGGTTGCCGGGAGGAGCTTTGTATTTTGTTTCGCTGAACATGCAACGGGCCGAATAAATCTAGTAATAGAAACAACAGGGATAGAGACCAAAACACCGAGATCTGCGTGAAGAAGGTTCCCAGGAGTTCAATTTGTTGAGGAGAGTGCTTCTTTACCAGCTCGGCCCATGCGATATTGATGTAGTCAACAGAATCCGCAAGAAGAAGAGCCATGATGGTGCATAGTGCGGTCCTGTCGATAACATACAACGTTTTAATGTAGTCAAGGGGTTGAGAAAGGAGGACTTCAAGCAACCAAGCAACAAGGAGAGTCCGTGCCATATTTTGTAGATCCTTCCCTCATATAGCCCTTATGCTGCCCGATGATCTTCTGCGCAAATTCTTCACCAGATGAGCAAAATGTCAATATATCCACAGTTTTATGCAAGCCTGGACATTTTCAGCTTCTCCACTAATTCCATCTCTTGGCTAGCTGCGTTTGGAAGAATTTCCCTGTCGAATTGCTTCTGTACGAGGGGTTTAGTATATGTCACATGTAGGATTGTGAAGAATGTTACCCACCTTAGTGGTTTGACACGTCAATCAATTCCATTTTAGCTGCTCACTAAAATACGTCCAGGACGAGCCGGGCCGGTCGCCCCAGCTGTTACACCTTGGATAATGATTTGGCCTAAATCCAGTAGAATACCCCTGGCTCCAGCTGTCCAAACCAATCGGGCTTTCTGACTATGTAGTTTTGAAATCTGTCTGACAGGGAAAAGCATCACAGGCAGAAATACCAAGTTTACACTAGCATAGTTTGGGATCTACAATGGCACCTCCGCAATGTGATATGTACGTCTGGTATTCTTCCCACAGGTCACAGTGGATTTCCGCCTTGTCAAGGAATGGCGGTGTACCCATGCTTGCTGTCATGAAGCAGCTCCGAAATATAACACATAGCCCGGAATGACTGTATGGTGCAAGTGGCTCATTCTGCGGCTCGCTGCTGGTATTTGTCTAAAACCAAGCATCATAGCTTCCTACTTCTGTCCTCCGGTGACAAGAGTAATCTCATCTCCCTTAGTATGTCGGAAACATCTGCCAATATGCCGGCCCCTGAGTTAAGGCCCGAGAGCGTTGTAAGTTCGCATTTAACATCTCTGAACACAGGAAGCAAAGACTCATGGAATTTGAAGCTTGACGCGCATTTTAGCAGCGTGATGAAGGACCTCGGGGCTGCCCAGCAGCCCAAAACTTTGGAAAGTACAAATAATGCGACCAAGATAGAGAGAAGCCTCTGTCGGGATACTAAGCCCTGCGAGCCGATCGCCGTGGTAGGCATGGCAATGAGATTGCCAGGCGGAGTGCGGTCGGAGGATCAGTTTTGGGAATTCTTGATGAACAAGCAAGACGCTGTGACCAGGGTCCCAGAATCCCGATACAATGTTGATGCCTTCTATCAGCAGGCGAAGCCGAATGCTGTTCGAACGAAGAAAGGGTACTTTCTGCAGGAAGATCCTACGGAGTTCGATACTGGCTTCTTCGGCATAACCAACTACGAAGCAAGTCGGCTTGATCCTCAGCAGAGACTTCTGCTTGAGGTTGTGTGGGAGTGCATGGAGAATGCAGGCCAGGTAGACTGGAGAGGCAAGGATATTGGGTGCTGGGTTGGAGTGTTCGGGGAGGACTGGATGGATCTATGCGCCAAGAATATACAATATACTGACCGACTACATGCTTTAGGGGCTGGGGACTATGCTCTGGCAAACCGTATCTCATATGAATATGACCTTACAGGGCCAAGGTGAGAGAAGACCAGAGAAGACGGAGTTCGCTGGGTTTAAACTAAGTTGCTATTACTCAGTATGACCGTTCAGACGGGCTGCTCATCGTCACTGGTAGGGCTACACGAAGCATGCCGCGCTATCAGTACCGGCGATTGTTCCTCGGCGATCGTTGCGGGCACCAGTTTAATCTTGAGCCCCACGATGACCACGACTATGTCCGAGAACATGGTCCTCTCCCCCGACGGGATCTGTAAAACGTTTGATGCTGGGGCGGATGGCTATGGACGCGGTGAGGCAATCAATGCGGTTTATTTAAAGCCATTGAAAGACGCTGTGGCAGCTGGTGACCGAGTACGAGCCGTCATCCGCTCATCTGCAACGAACTGCGATGGTAAGACTGTGGGTATCACGACCCCTGGAGCACCAACCCAAAAGCAGTTGATTAGGAAGGCCTATCAAAGGGCAGGGATCAGTAATATCACCGATACAGCCTTTTTCGAGTGTCACGGATCTGGAACCGTGGTTGGTGATACAGCAGAACTGTCGGTTGTTGCAGATCTTTTCAAGGAGAAAGGTGTCTATATCGGGGCGGTCAGTACATGTTTCTCAACTCGTAGCCGTAGTCAAGCAGTTGCTGAAACATCCTAGGCAAAGCCAAACTTTGGTCACTCAGAGGGTGCTTCGGGCATCACAGGAATCATCAAAGCTGTGTTAGCCCTCGAAAAGAACGTGATACCGCCTAACATCCATTTTAAGGAACCGAATCCTAAGGGTGAGCTTCCATTGCCTTGCCTCCAGCCAGCGTCTCACAGATTGACTCTTTGATTTAGTACCATTCAAGGAAGCCATGCTTAAAGTGCCGCTCGAGCCAACCCCTTGGCCACATGACAGGCAACCCAGAGTAAGCGTTAACTGTTTTGGAATCGGTGGATCCAATGCACATGTGAGTTATACTAGGGATCTTGCCCGCAGGGTCAGCTTGCGTTAATTGAATATGTAGGCAATCCTGGATTCTGCTGTATCATACGGGCTGGTGCCAGACCGTAAACCATCTCAGAACGAAAGCCCGGCGCCTTTTCTTTTCCTGGTATCTGCTGCAAGTCCAACTGCGTTAACACAATGCGTGAACAACTTGACCGAATATGTTGAGCGAACCGCTCCAGCATTCCGAGATCTGGCGTATACCCTCGCCATGAAACGGGAGCATCTAGAACACCGCACTTTTCTTATTGGCGGGGTAGATGGCACCATTTCCAACAGCGAACGGAAGGGACGTCGGTTCGAGACCACGCTGTTGACATTCGTGTTCACTGGGCAAGGCGCTCAATGGCCTACGATGGGCAAAGGCCTGCTGGAATGTTTTCCCTTGTTTAAGGAAGATATACAAAGGATGGATAAGGTGATCCAAGCCTTGGAACAACCTCCGGACTGGAGTATCGAAGGTAAGATTTTATCCATAGGTACTGAGGATTAGAAGCTTTCGCCTACTGATGATGCTGGCCCAGACGAGCTTGTCGCAGACGAGGACTCCTGCAGAATACATGAAGCAGAGCTCTCCCAAACACTTTGTACTGCAGTTCAGATTGGAATTGTCAATCTTCTTGCACGTTGGGGTGCAAAGCCTGACGCGGTATTAGGCCACTCAAGTGGCGAGATTGCGGCCGCCTATGCTGCCGGGGCAATCTCACTTGAATCGGCAATAATAGTGGCATATTATCGAGGGCAGGCAGTGAAAAGAGCACGAAGAGGGGCCATGGCAGCTATCGGCCTCATGGCAGAAGATATCAAGCAATACCTCGTGGAAGGTGTGGTGATAGCTTGTGAGAATAGTGCCCAAAGTACCACAATATCTGGGGATAGCGATAAGATTGGTGATGTGATTGAGAAGATTCAATCTGACAATCCAGACACATTTGGTCGGCGGTTGCGGGTCGACAAGGCCTATCATTCCGGTCAGTATATTGAAGCGATGAACGTGTCCAGCCTCGTAGATGCATCTAATTGCTAATTGGTGTCCTCTTAGATCATATGGAGGAGGTCGGAGCCTTTTACGAACAAGCCACCCAGTCGCGCATCCAGACACACAACGACATGGTGCCCCTCTGGTCCACAGTGACAGGTTCCTTGGTCAGAGATCCACAGGACTTATTGGCAAAGTATTGGCGCCAAAACTTGGAGTCCCCTGTGTTATTCCGCCAGGCTATGGAAGCAATTCTGGAAGCCCACCAGCAGTCAGGACATGTGTTTGTCGAAATTGGAGCGCATTGTGCCTTATCAGGACCTATCCGTCAAATCATGCAGAGAAGCAACTCGTCGAAGGCCACCTACGTTCCAACACTGACCAGGAAAAGGCAAGCTGAGGTCTGTTTAATAGAAGCGGTGGGATGCCTATGGACACACGGTGTGCCAGCTGTTGACCTTCAAAGTGTTGTAGAAGACGGACAGATGTTGACAAACCTACCCCCATATCCATGGGATCATCGTGCAAAGTTACTTAACGAAAGTCGTCTCGTACATCAGTGGAGATTTCGTGCATTTCCCCACCATGAGCTTCTTGGCTCTAGGATGTTTGGTGCCAGTGACTTGGAACCTATGTGGTCAAATCTTCTTCGACCTGACGATGTTCCCTGGTTATTTGACCACGAGTTAGCGAAAAGGATTGTTTTCCCAGCGGCTGGTTTCATAGCCATGATAGGAGAGGCGGTCCGCCAGATTGACGGCTCTGAAAGCTATTCTCTCCAAAATATTCTCTTAAAGGCTCCTTTGCTTTTAGCAGAGGGTCAAACGGTTGAGCTTGTTACAACTTTGAGACCTGTTAAGGTATCAGACTTCCTTGATTCACACTGGTATGAGTTCACGGTCTCGGCGTATGACGGTGAGGACTGGGTCAGGCATTGCCAGGGACACGCCTGTGCTAGCTTTGAAAGCGATAGGGAAACCAAGAAGGTGTCTCCATTGAACCGCAGAGTATGCTCTGATACGTGGTACCGACTTATGGCAACCCATGGACTACGATACGGGGATCGTTTCAAGGGTCTACAAGATATAACATCGGATCCCACCCGGAAGATGGCAACAGCCACAATGATCGAAGATCATACCTCGCATGAAAGTCACTATAGCCTACACCCGAACATAATTGACCAATGTCTACAGATTATGAGTGTGGCAATATGTTCGGGTACGGTGAGTGTGTTTGACAAAGTGTCTGTGCCTTCTTTTTTTGAACGTATCTGCGTCAGCTCTGGCAACGGGGAACTTGCTGTGGAGGCTGATGCATGCAAGTCATCCACAAGTATTACGACAGGAAATGCTACATTAGTGTCCGGACAATCTCCCGTATTGTCCATTGAGGGTGCAGCATTCTTCTCTGTCACTGATAGTGGGGAGTCTTCGCAACATGGCTTTCCGCTGGTGACTCGAACAAGGTGGGCACCAGACCTGGACCTCGTACCGCAGAAAGAGCTCCTCTCGTTTCGGCCTGTGGGAAGGGATGGAAAGCTATATACAGATCTAGTTTTATGTTTGATCTCAGAAGCCCACTACCGCATCAAGGACAAGATCCCCGCTACCGAGCATCTAAATAAATATAAAGAAAACATTGCTAGATGGGCGGAGGATATTAAAAACGGTGTCCCCCCGGCACCTCCAGATGGACGGCGATTTCTTCAACTGAGCAGTCGGGAAAGGATGCGCCTCATTGATGAGCTTTCCGAAGAAGCTAAGATGCGGGACCCGAATGGCCCAGGTTTGGTTACCCTGACTAGCACAGTTTTATCGCATATCGAGGATATTATGGTTGGTTCGGAATCTCCGCTGCACGTTCTCGTGGATCAAGATGGATTAGCGGATGCGTATTACCAACCAGGGTCATGGGCCTGTTGCCAGGAGCTACTGGTTTTGTTGATGCACTCCAACCCCCGAATGAGGATATTGGAGATTGGGGCTGGCACAGGAGGAAGCACTACAGTCCTGCTAGATCATCTGCGCTCCCCCGACGGAGTTCCAATGTATGGGACCTACGTATTTTCTGATATCTCTCCGGGATTCCTGCATAACGCGAAAGAAAAATACAAGGACCAGAAAAATATGGACTATCGCATACTAGATATAAGCAAAGACCCGGTTTCGCAAGGCTTTGAATGCGGGTCATTCGATGTTATTGTCGCTTCTAATGTACACATCCCACATATCAGATAATGAAGACAGACTGACAACCCCCATTAGGTCCTCCATGCAACAGAGTGCCTCCATACCACCCTGCAGAATGTGCGCAAGCTTCTTACTCCCGGCGGTCGATTACTCCTTCAAGAGCTCTGGTCAGGCAAGTATTATACTCTATCAAATTCCAAACGCAACACTAACTGATAAAAGCGCTGCCGATATTTGATTTTATAACGGTAGGGACACTCCAGATATACTCAACCGTTTTATTAGTAACATATCTAGGGCATACTTCCCGGTTGGTGGATAGGTGAGAAAGATGGTCGTGCTGACAAGCCCTACATATCCCCCACTCGGTGGAATACCGAACTTCTCAGAGCAGGTTTCACAGGTGTTGAAGCAGCAGAGTTTGACGACGAGGGAGTTAGTCGATCTATGGTGAACATAGTGTCGCGGAGCCCATTCAACCCCTCCCAAGCAACCGATATCACCATTGTACACCGTGCTGGGGTGGGAGAATGGGAGAACAATGTAGCCCAAAGCTTCTCTGCAGCTGGCTACACAGTGCGCTGGATAGCATTTGATGAGGTGTCCTGTCCTCCTACCTCAGGGATTGTCTTTCTGTTAGACCAACCTGGACCCTTCTTGCATGACATTTCTGCTGAGCAGCACGAACGTCTCAAGAGATACTTTGCAGAGAACCGGGAAGCAACTATCCTATGGGTTACATCAACCTGCCAAACAATTTGCCACGACCCTCGTTATAGCCTTGTTTTTGGATTGGCTCGGACATTAAGAAAGGAGTTAGAGTTAAATTTCAACACCCTGGAGATCGACTCCTACGGCGCACTGGCATCTGACAGCATCGTCCGGGTCTACAAACAGGTCGAACGACACGACGACACTCATGTCGTCCCTGATAGTGAATATATTTTGCAGGATGGGAAGATAAATGTGGCCAGGTTCCATTGGACGAACCTTGCGACAGAACTGTGTAGTATGTCGAGTGAAGATACTCCAAGGAAACTTTCAATGACCAGCTGCGGTGTCCTTGATACCATGTACTGGAAGTCTGTGGACCTTCCCACCGTCGGGAAGGATGAAGTCATTGTCGACATAAAGTTTGCAGCGTTGAACTTCAAAGACATAATGGTCTCAATGGGAGTGTTCGGGCAGATAGAAGACCTGGGCATTGAAGGGAGTGGCGTGGTTGTCCAAACAGGAAGTGATGTCCAACATATTTGCAATGGTGACAGGGTATTCTTCGTCGCCCCCGGTTCTCTCCAGACACGACGGGTGTTACCTGCCGGAAGGTGTCTGAAGATTCATGAAAGTCTTTCCTTAGAAGATGCAGCCACGATGCCTGCAGTGTTTGCGACAGCGATCTATTCTCTGCTACATCTGGCCAGACTAAAAGAGGGCCAGGTAAGCCCCTTCCTACCTACCAGTGTTGCCTAATTTTAATTATTATACAGTCCGTTCTCATACATTCTGCCACTGGAGGAGTTGGCCTGGCAGCTATTCAAGTTTGCCAAATGGTGGGGGCAAATGTACGTGTGCACCCATGTGCTTCGCCAAATATTGCTAATATGTTCACAGATATTCGCCAGTGTTGGAAACGAAAATAAAGCGCAGCACCTTGTAGATATTTATGGCATACCTAGGGATCATATATTCAGCTCAAGAGATGCCTCCTTTCACCCTGACCTTATGCGCTGCACAGGAAATAGGGGTGTGGACGTAGTTCTCAATTCCTTAGGAGGCAATCTCCTTCATACATCTTGGAAATGCGTTGCGCCCTTTGGCAAAATGCTTGAGCTAGGCAAGCGAGACTTCCTTGGGCATGGCATGCTCTCCATGGATCTTTTCATGTCCAATCGGTCATTCTTTGGGGTGGATCTTAACCAATTCTTCGACGAACAACCTGATGAGTTCCATAAGTACCTCTACCACTGTCTGGCCGCCTAACCTTGGACTAACATAAATCAGCACTGTACTCGACAAGTTTCTGGAAATGATCGACCAAGGTCACATACGCCCAATTCAACCGCGAACTGTATTTGAAGCCAGTGATATCATCGGCGCCTTTCGATACATGCAGCAAGGGGTACATATGGGTAAAATCCTCATCAGGATGCCCGAGTCACCTGGTCATCTCCCACAGGTACAAGATAAAAAGGACATAGTATTCAAGCCTGACGTATCTTACCTGCTCGTTGGGGGCTTGGGTGGGATCGGCCAAGCCGTCTCCCGATGGATGGCCTGTCACGGAGCCCGAAGTCTGATAATATTTTCCCGTTCAGCGGGCCACTCAGATGACTATCAAGTGTTTATTCGGGAGCTGGAAGCCATCGGCTGTCATGTCCACACTGTGAGCGGGGATGTTACATGTCTTCCAGATGTCCAAAGCGTAGTGGAGAGCTGCAGCAGACCTATCGCAGGTGTTATCAACCTCTCCATGGCCCTCAACGTAAGCCACCCATCGTTTGGTACATGTGGGCGCAGACAGCTAACTCATGCGTGAAATGCTAAATAGGACCATATGTATCTTGAAATGTCGCATGATCAGTGGATGGTACCGAATAAGACAAAGGTTGAAGGGACATGGAACCTGCACTCCGCATTGCAAAACGTTGCATTGGACTTTTTTGTGGTCTTTAGCTCCATGGCTGGTCTCGTTGGTAACCCAGGCCAGGCAAACTATGCTGCAGCAAGTGCATTCTTAGATTCCTTCGTACAATACCGCCATACTAGCGGCTTGCCAGCCTCGGTACTGGATCTTGGTTGTGTGGAGGGTGTCGGTATTCTGAACCAGATGCCGCATGTTCTGCAGAGGTTGCGAGCACTATCGGTGCATTTCATACAGGAATCTGAGCTAATGGAATCCCTGCACTTGGCCATTGTGCGCTCCCACCCAGAGCTGCCCAATGGGAAAGGCCTCGAGTCTGCTACTCTGGGCATAGGGCTTTGTCCAACAAAGCCATTCAGTCAGGTCCATGACCTTCCCTTCTGGAGGACACTTGATGCTCGTGCGCGTGCTCTTACCAATTATGACTCTTTTCAACAATCGGAAAACGATGAAGAGCCTGATAGCCTTCAGGAGCTCATGGGCGAGCTAGACGCTAATCCCGCCATGGTATATGACCCTGAATTCGCAAATCGGATACGGAGAGAAGTTGGCCGGTTGGTCTCAACATATATATCCAACAATGAAGATATGACCGATGAGGAGATTAGGAATATCAAGGTCGACTCGCTGATGTCCATTGAGATCAGAAATTGGACCCGGCGCCGACTCAACGTCGATGTGGCAATCCCAGAAATCTCAAAAGCAGGGACAGTGGGGAGATTAGGAACGCTGGTTGTGGAGAAGCTGAAGACCAAACACTTCCCCCACCAGCAGGAATCTACATAATATGTCCATGTGGAGGCAGCCGCGGCAGAGTATACATGTTCCAGTACTATCTCAATTAGTCCCTTATCCAGCGAACGTTGGTCAAGTATTGCAACATCTGGCAGAGCGTCAAACAAGAACAACTATTTCAAATATCTACTGTACTGGGATGACCGGGTCTTTGGAACCAAGACGATTAATATAATACGAGGAATTATAGCTAAGCTTGCTACAGAACACCGTGCGCCCTTAGTAAAGAGCTTAGATACAGGGTAGCACATCACTAAGCTTATCGAGGAGAGTTTAGTTTTGCAGGCTGTGTACAATATTTAATGGATATAACACGTTGAAAGTCTGAACAGTCTAGAACCATGGCAAGAAGTATTCCTAGAGTAATAGGTGTCGATTTGCCCATTTCGTACTGCCAAGTAAGAAATACTTAATAATCTCCTTCAACTTGTGACCCAGACTGTCATAAATTCTGGTATGTGCCGAGCTCCTGGGAACCTGCATATACTACTCTGGCATTCAAACCACCATTAAACAATCCGTGGAACCTTATGCCTTTGTAGAGGGGTTTGTGGGGGTAGCCACTTGGAGGGCCGTGGAAGACGAACCCCCGAGTGAGCCCCTAATGTATCATAGTATCGCTGCAAGCTGATCTAGGTGACATTTACATACGCACTGCACTGTATACTAATTCCATTCGTTGACTAGATTGCTCAAATCGCTTGCTCTATGATTCCGTCTGGACTCTGCCTAAATTATCTAGAGGATCGAACACGATAATACTGGCTTGACTTGCCTGGATTATCTGCACTGCCTGCACTACCTTAGTTCTTCCTGGGAAATAGCTACTATAGAGAACCGCATACATGCACACGATGGAAGGTAGAAATAACTCGTCCCATTTGCTCATAGGGTCAGGCTGGGGCAGGTGAACAGTGCTCTGAATTTTTATTTTATTATTTCGGGCGAACGAAAAATAGCGATTTTAGGCGGACAGTCGAGGACCAGTTGTCTAGACAACTCCAGTGGTTCTCCCAAGTCCACCTGTACCGACATCTCCTAATCACCCAAATCTTCGCTGTCAGCCATGTTTAGTATTATTGTCGAATAGGCAACAATATTAATAAATATCTACCAAGTGTATTGCATCTACATGCCCGCCTACCCGGTTAACTGGAGGCACAATGGTCACATCATCCACATAGAATACGTCGGGTCCCAGGACGGAGTATAGATTTAGAAGCTAAAAGTGCCTCATTAACCTTATCTTATTTAAGCCGACATACAATGTAAAAACCCTAATATATATAGAAAACAAACGGCTAACGCAAATAAGAAACAGCTTCATTGCTCCTCCAAGTGCTACATTCACCCCTATTGGCGTCCTTACTGTGGTAGTTCCCCGGACGCCGGAGTCACCACTGATATTCTTCGAGGCCGAGCCAGAATAATAGTGGCCCGCGTTTGTATTATAAAATGCGCGCCGATAAGGTCATGTTTGCCCAGGAATTAGTGACAAGACCGTCTGCATCACCCTGAGCAGAAGTTTGATGGATGCCGCACCACAGGATTTCATTTCGTCCTGCATAAAATAGTGTACGCTTGGAAAGATCATTGAATGAAGACAATGATCTGCATCTGACAATCCTTAATTCCAGACACATTCGGGCAGGTCTGAACTCTCTCCCCGCAAAGGATGCGGTCTGAAGATAGCAGGGGTGCTACCTGACTGAAACATACCGCATGGAAGGCCCATAATGGGTCAGTGACGTGGCCACCGCTAGGCTGGGAAACCATAAGGATAGTTACACAGGGTTACTGGTGCTCTGCAGAGTTGGACACGGCCAGAATAGAAGGCTAGATATCACAACTTGCAAGGATCGCTCCGACGCCAAAAGCTATTGAAGAGACCTCACCAACGCTCAAAGATATTCTAAGCCGCGGGTTCTTCATTTTCGCGCGGTAGGAAGTGTAGAGATCAGACCTTCGTAAATGAGAAGGAATAATAGAGCCGGGACTTAGCAGCATCTGCAAGGGCGAGAAGTCGTGGAATGCAAAGGGTATCGAGCAACACCCATACACAGACAGAAATATATCTTGACGGGAGATGCACGCCTCCAATATCTAGGTTTATTCTGTCAATGGCTAGTACTCGTATGAGGCGTTGGAGGATGAGAATAATATGTAAATCCGTGCAATTAGTGGACGGAAGCTGACGAATGGCTGGTGCCAGGTCGGTTTAGTAAATGACCCTGGGCCGGACAGTTCCATTATTTGGCCGATATCTCTAACATGAGAGATGGGGCAGAGATCAGTTACTTGAAAGTCTCAGTGAAGATTGATTTTCTGGAGATGAGACAGAGAGAAGGCATAACATACCTCCGCCATACATAAGCACATTATATCGAAGATGCCCTCCTGCATGTATAAATGACCAGATGCTCCACAGCCGAGCACAATGGCCTCTCAGCGTAATTAGGGAGACCGGAGGCAGCGAGGAAGTAAAAGGGAGAGTATGACTGGGCAAGTCATACTTGGTCATCTGAGCTATCACCAAGAAAGGATAGATAGATATCCTGCACAAATGGAAATAGTCTCCACGACTGCAGATAGCCCTAGACAGGGTTGGCCCCCTAGATGTATGGGCCTGGTTACGGTAAATTGCGGATGACGCGTTTTACGTGGAAACTTAGTCTTAGGACGGTATGCATCCACATTCCACACGTCGGCATCATCACACAACCACATGGTAGCTACTGGGACCAAGAACAGCAGGCCAGGCTCCCTTCCCTTATTTGAATGAGCCCTGGCTCTGGAGGTCTGAGCGTTCGTATTCCGTATATCTGCGCCAACGGCTTGGATACCGATAAACTCCCGTGTACTCTCTACTAGCCCCAGCTACAACTCTTAGGGACGCTGTGAAATCTCCAATTCGCCCTAGGTATGTCCAGACTACTAGTAGTACGAAAGAGCAGTGCTCCAGCCCATTAGCAACGCGCAAGCTACGAAATGTTCGGGGCTGGGTCACCGTGATCATTATATCGCATATCAGGCCATATCTGCGGAGCCTCATGGCTCTCAACGAACGATGATTTAATCGAACTTATATCCCCACTAGGACGAGAATAGCGATCACTCCTGGATATGCATGCCTGTCACCATGCATAGCCGCATTCAGTCCCCACTTCCATCCACTTATCTTGGGGAGACATTCAACCGTCTCTCTTTCGGCCCACTCCGACAACGAAAGATAGTTCAGTTCATGTCCTTGTGGGCTATGGCAGGTGCGACATTTGTATGAGCCGTTGCCGTCCCATTCAGTGTGTATTATGCTGGTTTCGGGGAAATGGGAAGATCAAAGATTTCAAAGCCGATGACGTGCCTGGCGACGGTGATGCTGCTACCTGGGAGATGTGCTTTCGCATAAACCATCAGGTGCTGCAGCGCTGTGACAGGACTTTTTCGTCCTACAGATCTTGTGACGTTTGACTTGGGCTATTGCTAGGTATTTTACAAGCCCTCGTACTCCTATCACTAGCACTTGCTTGTGATATGTGGAGAAGGGCATTCATACTAACCATCGACATTTATTGCACGACAAATGCTTAAATGAAGTTATTTGCACTAGTGTGGTCATTCCATTCTATTGCTGCTGCACCCTTTCCGTAGCAATCTTGTTCTACCAGGGATCGACATAGTGTAGGCCTAGTTTCCATCCCCCCCCCAAGGGAGATGCAAGGGCTCCTGTAATACATTCTATCCTGCGTCACATCTGTCCTTTTGCCCCTACCAAGCATTCTCACAAGATATTTGTCCCGTCAGACTTTCTTTTAAAAAAATATGATCGAACTCAGCCCAACCGACTCTTTTTCAAGGTCTTCTTTATTTTGCTATCTCTCCTCGGCTGTAGTGATACTAGTCTCCACTACCTTCTTGACTAGCCACGATGGCTAATATCACTCCTGGCGTTCAGCCCAAGCCAGGAATAAGAGATGGCAGCTTGAGCGTCTGGCAGCCAATCGACAAGGGCAGCATGTCCAAAGATACTTTGGTGAACGATTATGTCCAACTAGAAGATCTAGGAAAAGCACAACCCAGCTCACACCAAATTCAACTTTCAGGCGAAGATGGCGAGGAGTCGTCGACAGAATACCCATCAGCTTGGAAATTGGGTATGATCATGGTTAGCTTAAGTCTCGCAGTCTTCTGTTTAGCACTGGTGAGACACTTACACATCATTTAGACCTCTGCGTGTGACACAGCTGGGCTAACTTTTTGGGATATTATAGGACACGACCATCATGGCCACAGCCATCCCCAAGATCGCGAATCAGTTCAACTCCCTGAACGACGTCGGGTGGTACGGCAGTGCCTATCTCCTCACCACAAGTGCTTTGACTCTCAGTTTTGGAAAGCTGTACAGCTTCTATTCCATCAAGTGGGTTTATCTGCAGGCACTTGCTGTGTTTGAGATTGGCTCCCTGATCTGTGGTGCCACTCCAAACTCACTGGGATTGATCATCGGACGCGCTATTGCCGGCTGCGGAACAGCGGGCATCTTCTCTGGATCGTTGCTTATAATCGCCCGGTCTGCGCCACTGGAGCGAAGGCCGCTTTTGACGGGCATCCTTGGGGGCTTGTTTGGCGTTGCCAGCGTCATCGGGCCACTACTTGGTGGTGCATTCACAGACAATCTTACCTGGCGATGGTGCTTCTATATTAATTTACCCCTTGGCGCCGTCACAGGAATCTTCCTCCTGCTATCCTTTGATGATCCTACGGCGACAACCAGGCGAGCGACATTCAGGGATCAAATATCGCAACTTGACCCGGTAGGGTTCGCTCTCTTCTTACCAGCTATCGTCTGCCTCTTGTTGGCACTTCAGTGGGGGGGCACTACATACCGCTGGCATGACGGCCGCATCATCACCTTGTTCACAGTCTTTGGGCTTCTACTCTTGGCCTTTTCCGCGGTCCAGTGGTGGAGACAGGAGAAAGCCACCGTACCTCCACGCTTGATTAAGAACCGGAATGTTTGGGGCGCTGCGTTGTTCTCTTTCTGTATCAATGGATCCTTGATCATCTTTACCTACTATGTGAGTCCATACCAGTGCCTTCTCAAGCAGCCGTTATTAAGACCCATGGTTACCAGCTCCCGATGTGGTTCCAAAGCATTAAAGACGTGTCGGCAACACAGTCCGGCATCATGAACATTCCCATGGTGCTTGCACTGGTTATCTTCTCCATTATCTCTGGTGGATTGGTCGGTGCGCTTGGGTACTACACACCGTTCATGCTTATCACACCTGCCATCGCGGCCATTGGGGCTGGACTGCTCTCCACACTTCAAGCGAACTCCAGCGCTGGGATCTGGATAGGATACCAGGTCGTGTACGGCGCTGGTGTGGGCTGCGGACTTCAACAGCCCATGGTAGCGGTCCAGGGCGCGCTTCCACCCGCCGATCTCCCTCTTGCGACCGTGATTGTGGTGTTCATGCAGACCATTGGCGGTTCCATCTTCATGTCCGTGGGTCAAAATGTATTCCAGAACCAGCTTTTGCGAAATTTGGCCACCCAGGCTCCCGGTGTTGACGCGGCCCAAGTGCTCCGGGCAGGCGCAACCATGTTACGGGACACCGTCCCAAGTGAGATGCTGCCTGGCGCGTTGCGCGCATATAATTCAGCCATCACCGAGGCCTTTTACGTGGCGGTAGCCATGGCCGTCCTTGCGCTCCCTGGAGCGTTGGCCGTGCAGTGGATCTCTGTTAAGGGCCGACGGCTCTAAATGGGGGCATCAATGAATTTATATATGAATTAAAATGCTATGAACATATTGAATCTTCACTAGCACAGTATTTAGTCGTGTCAATCCTTTGTTAATAAATAACCTTCTAGGCCGTAGAAATCTAATCTTCCCCGGGCGCTTTCCAATGACTCTATGTGTATGACTACTGAGCCGGACTGGTTTCGGGATACTTGGTTGATAACAATACAAGGTCGGATGAGGTTTCTCGGAATTGATTGTTGGTTTGCTTCTTTAGGGAGGTAAGACAACTCTTCACTGAGACTTTTTGGAAGACAATCGACCTCTCTCCCCTTTGCCAGTTGCTTCCTCTGGTTACCATGTATAGATATCCCTTATCTTCCCATAAGCCTTTCTTTTATTAATTACCCTGGTCGCTATAGTCGCAATCGGCCATTTGACGTTAACTGTAGGGCCTAATAGATGATATATATATTATCTATTGGTGGTGTTTGCTGGCAGAGGGAGCTCTGGCCCCGAACTCTGAATATAAAAAGGGATACGAGCCCGCTGGAGGATATGGAATATGGGTCGTATTGGAGAAGCAGAGTTGATAGGGTGCTACAGTAAGCTGGACTGGCAAGGCTCTAGCGGATCCGCACCTATGTACCGCATAAAGATGTTACTTGTTACAAGAACAGAACTTTATAAATAGAACTACACATTGTAGATGGAAATGTGTCTGTATTTCGCAGACCATTGAGCATGTATGCTTGGTAAGGTTCATCCCATCCGACTATCGCCTGCGGTGGCTCCAGCTCAAACCGCTTCTTTCACTCAGGATGGTTTCCGACAAGGCGTGCCAGCTTGACCAAGAGCGGATTCGTCCCTGGTGGGATGATCAGGAGGAGAGGCGCCGGTAGACAGCAGAGCAGAATGAAGGCTAGGAGAGAGTTTGCCCAGCCGTAGCCGAGCCGGCCGTACATGTAGGGAGCGGCAACTGGCAGGAACGTTCCCAGGACGTAGCGCAGCGGCAGGACGGCCGCGATGGCCGAGGCGGACTTGTCGCCGAAGACGTCAACCAGGTAGTTCATGACGGGGATGGTCGCCGTGGAGAGGCAGAATCCAGCCAGTGCGGTGGCGACGGCCGGTGCCATCCAGTGGACATGGGTCTGCAGCGTCCAGCCGTACATAAATAGCGCGGTGGGTAGAATCACCATGCCTGGGAGCGCCGGCATGAGTCGTCTCTCAGACCGCACCGCCACCGCAGCCGTCGATTGCGATCTTAAGTTGTTCTCCAGTAGGTTCGCCTTACTGGTGACCAAGCGGTCGAGCGTGAAGCGGCAGAAGAGTGTTCCAATGAACATGCCCGTGGCTGGAAGGGGTGTATTATGTTAGCACTTGGACAATAAGGATTGTTGGGATAAGTAGGGGGGGCGGGACTAACTTTGCGCGAGATAGATCAGACCGGAATCAGCCTCGGAAAAGGAATAGTTCTGTTGGAACACCGTGGCCATCGTTGCGACGAGCAGGAAGAGGTAGGCGTAGATAATGGACAGGTACAGCGCTATAATGGTCGCGGGCCGAGACCGAAACAGGATGACGAACGGTTGTAAGAGGAAGCGTAAGACTTTCACTGGCAGCATATGCAGGGGAGGCCTGGACTTGGTCTCCTCTGAAACAGCGGCACCGCTCTTTCGTTCCCGTTGACGCTGGATGTAGGGCAAGTACGTCTCCCGAAAAACCAGGATCATGGCCAACTCTACAACACCAGTGAGGATAGCAGTCAACCAGAAGGTCCAGCGCCAACTGAGGCGCTGCGTGAGGTAGCCGCCGATGATGGGACCGATTGCAGTGCCCACGAGGGGCATCAGGCTCATGACTGACATGGCAGAGCCACGGGCCTCGAAGGCGAATATGTCGCCCACGACACTGTTGTTCAAGAAGGCCGTTGTGGCGGCGCCGGTGAGGAAGCGAAAGGCGATGATCATGCCAATGCTGTTGCTGAAGCCGGTGATGGCGGTGAAGATGATGAAGAAAACATTGTAGAAGTGGTAGACGCGCAGCCGTCCCACTCGTTCCGAAAGTGGGCCAATATATAGAGGCGCAATGGCTTCGCCTAGATTCCACACAGTGATGTAGAAGACGGCCAGGAAGTCGCTATGGGAGTCAAACTCCTGGGAAATCTGAAGACTGGCGGGGGCGCAAATCACGGTCGAGAGGTTACTGGTCAACAATCAGTCTCCAAAGAGAAGGATGTAGGGCATGCTGATCCCTCACACAATAAATGCCAAGGCTGACAGTGTAATGACGGTGAGCCATTTTCGAGTCCGACTCCAGTTGAGCGGCAGTGACTCGTCATCGTCACTGGATGCAGGAAGAATAGATGTACCTGGGACGTCTCGCGGAGAGTCCGCGTGCCTGTCATTCCCATTGTCCCCCATGGTAGTTTCGCCGGACTATAATCCCTTTCGTCGCGAGATTACCTCGGATATTATACACCTGCATCAGGTTGATTGGGGCCGAGTATGTGAACCGAGGCGATAGAAGGCTGTGTGCTATGAGCAGGAAGGAGCCCTTGGTCCTAGAGAATGGACGCGTCAGGCATGGATAACGACATTAGTCGTGGTGATGCCGTATTAGTGATCTTGTTTGCCCCTTGCAGTCTATATATACCCCTGGCATTCCAAAATAGTGGAGCGGTTTAGCCGATGGTGAAGTTGAGGTTGCATCGCAGCCTTCGTAAATACGACGTGAGGATGGATATGGGTAGCCTGATATGATATTCCAACGGATCTCAGATCTGCCCTGTTTGATATACTAACCTTGGCAGGTACGGTTGGCGCGAATAGAGAGGCTTTTTCTCATTCTTCGAGGCGTCGAGAGGCTCATTCGGCACGAGAATACCTTAGATTCCGGGACGATCATACCCTAATCTAGCTTACTGCGGCTGGTGGACTCACAACCCAATTCTAGAAATACGACAATGTGGTTTGCCTGGTCTTAGCGAACAATGGTGATTTGGTAGTCGAGCGAGCGGATTGTAAGCAAAGTGGACTTTCTAATTTCGGCCGTCAAGGCCGTGAGGTGCTCCTAATGCATATATATATATATATATATATAATGAATGGTGGAGTATATGGAGGGGAGAAGCATTCTTCTTACCCTCGAGATCTCATTCTCAATGATATTCCAATACGCCTAACAAAGATCAACTTACTTACCTACTCGACTTAACGTTCGGACCCTTTTCTTTTTCCAATCTCACCTTCACCTTTCATTTCATTATATTCGCGTGTGGCCATGCGAAACACAAACCCTAGGAGTGTGATGGACAGCACACCGCAGCCTTTATTGCAACCAACACCGGTTGACTCTTGCGACGAAGCCTTGAAGGAAAGGAAGACGGAAAATTACGGTCCTCATGTATCAGATCAGGCATTTGACCTTCGCTTCATCGCGGACGGGCACGTGGAAGCCCAGGGTCCCACGTATAACAGAAATTCGCAAAATAGACATGCCACGGACATGCAGACGGACAACCACCTAGTAGTAAATCATGACATAAAACCAGGCCATTCAATCAACTGCCATATTGATCAACTAAGTGACCATGCTCGGAGGGATGACGCCGTCCTGGACTTCCAAATCCCTTTACCGACAGGTAATCCCAGGTCGACAGCACCCACACTATGCGCTTCAGCTCTAGCCATTGTGCTGGCATCGCACACCGACTCGACAGAGCTATCCTTCATCATGGTACCGGATATGGAGCAGCCTTTACAGTCCTCATGGCAGGAGTTTAGCGCCGAGGGCTTGACCCCAAATGACTCGTTCCGCATCGATGTAGCCTGGGATTCAGATCTGCAAGACTTCTTGCAGAGCGTGCAGGACCAACTCCCTCATGCAAGTATCTCGCGCATGCAACATATCAGCATGGCCCTGCCGCGGTCTCTCAGGGCACGAACGCTCGACCTGCAGACCAAGGATGGGTCGACAGGCTTGCATCATCGGGCATTGCTGGTCGACTGCACGCTCCACGCTGATGAGCTCCAGCTGAGCTTCCTGATCGATTCTGCAGCAGTCGACCCTCAATTGATCTACCACGTTTGCTGGCAGTATGAAAACATCCTTCGACGGCTTCTCTCAGCTGGGTCTGACAGGGGTCAACGCCTCTCAGAGTTTCGGGTCGTCAACATGCACGATCTGCGGGAGATTTGGCGCTGGAACGCGGCAGTTCCGGAGAGGGTGGATGGGCTTATCCATGACATTTTTGCTGGCGTCGTGCGGGCTCAGCCAGAGTCGCCTGCCATCTGCGCTCATGACGGCGAGCTCACGTACGGTGAGCTGGACCGCCTCTCGACCCATCTGGCACATTTCCTCATGAAGTATGATGTGAAAGACACTATCGTGCCTTTACATCTCGAGAAGTCCATGTGGACGCCTGTGGCCCAAATGGGAGTGATGAAGGCAGGTGCAGCCTCCGTCGTGCTCGACGTCTCTCAGCCCATAGAACGGCTTCGGACCATCGTCCACCAGGTTAATCCACGGCTGATCTTGACATCTGCCGAGAATGAGACCGTCACCCGTCACCTATCGACCAAGCACGTTATGGTCGTTGGAAAGGCCGCATTCACCCAGCTTCCTCAGGCCGAAGCTGAGTTCGAACTCCCCACGGTGGCGCCGTCCGCCCGGCTATATATCGTCTTCACGTCGGGGAGCACAGGAGTGCCCAAGGGGGCTATCATCACACACTCCAACTTTGCCAGCGCCATCCGGCACCAGCAGAAATGCCTTCAATTCCGAGCCGGACAGAGGGTGTTCGATTTTGCGTCGTATGCATTTGACGTGGCTTGGTCCAACTTCCTCCACACCATCACCGCTGGTGGCTGTCTGTGCATCCCATCTGACCAGGAGCGGAAGCAAGACATCCCGGCCGCCCTGTGGAAGTATGGGGCTGAGTATGCCCATTTGACCCCGTCGGTGACCTGGTTTGCTGCCGAGGATCTGCCCGATAGCATCCAGTGCCTGCAATTCAGTGGCGAGGAGCTGAAGGCGTCACTAGTTCAAACCTTTCATAAGAGAGCAGCCATAATTAATACATACGGGCCAGCTGAGTGCTCGGTGACTAGTACGATTCAGGCGGTTGATACGTCCATGGTGGACCGGAACCCTCCCATCGGCCACGGCCTCGGCAGTTGCACCTGGGTGGTCAGTCTGGATGGAACCCAGCTGGTGCCCATTGGCACCGTCGGAGAGCTGTGGATCGAAGGCCCTATTGTGGGAGGGGGCTATCTGAACGATCCGAAGAAGACGGAGGCGGCATTCATCGAGGACCCAGGTTGGTTACTCCGTCGTGGCTTCACTACAACCCAGGCGGGTCGACGAGGTCGCCTCTACCGCACAGGGGACCTCGTGCGCTATAACCGCCATGATGGGTCTCTGTCGTTTGTCGGCCGCAAAGACTCTCAGGTCAAGATCCGTGGGCAGCGGGTGGAGCTGGCGGACGTGGAGCATCATCTGCGCAACTGCCTGCCATTCGAGCTCCAGAAGAAGCTGCAGGTCATCGCCGAGGTCATTGTCCCGCAAGGAAGCACAAATCCCGCACTCGTGGCCTTGGTGAGCTCCCTTGATGACACCATTCACTCGGACGTGGCAACCCTCGTGCGCAAGGCTGCTGGGGTCTGGGACGAAAAGCTCGCAGAGTCAGTACCTACGTACATGATCCCCTCGGCCTACATTCCCATCGAGCGTTTTCCTATGACAGCCACCGGGAAGACGGACCGCCGACGTCTCAGAGAAGCGGCCTCGAAGATGTTCTGGGAGCACGCTATAGAGAATGGGGGCACAGAGCGGATACAGCCCACGTCGAAAGAGGAACAGGACATGCTCGAAGTCTGGAGCGAGGTGCTTAATATCCCCCCCAACAAGATCTCCACCGACGCAGCCTTCACACGCCTGGGGGGAGACTCTATCACCGCCATGCAGGTCGTGTCTCGATGCCGAGAGAGGAAACTCCACGTCACGGTCGCAGATGTACTCAAGCTGCGCACCATTCAAGCCCTGGCTGCTCAAAGGACAGCCAGAAGTCCCACCACTGCCATCGTGGCCAGCGAGGATGATGCCGAAGGTCGGCCCTGGCCGCTCTCTCCCATGCAACAGCTGTTCTTCGACGCACACCCCGCCGGTCTGAACCACTACACCCAGAGCTTTCTGCTCCGCATCACCCGCCCCGTGAACTTCCATGCATTGCGAGAGGCGTTGACAATCATCGTGCAGCGCCACGGCATGCTTCGAGTCCGCTTCCAGCGATGTAGGGACACTCAGGCATGGGAACAAGTGGTGGTTCGGGCGGAGGATAATGCATTTGTCGTCGTAGAACACCCAGCCAGTCCGGCTAGCGGCCTCGAGTCAGTCGTGCAGACTCGACAGGCGAGCCTTGATCTCCAGCAGGGGCCCGTCTTTGCGGCCGATCTATTTTGCGGAAACGGAGAGGAGGACGCGAGCCTACTGCTCAGCGCGCACCACGTCGTCATTGACCTCGTCTCATGGCGCGTTATCTGGCACGAATTGGAAACGTGTCTGAGCCGAGGGCCGGCCAAGCTCCCACCGCCGCCTCTCTCCTTTCAGACTTGGTGCCGGCTGCAGCGTACCGAAGGCCAGATGCTCGACCCGACTGCGGTGCTACCATACCCAGTGGAGGCGGCTCAGATGGCCTACTGGGCTCTGGACCCCGGAGATAATCGATTCGCGGAAAGCGACCTCTACGAACATACTATCGATGCGGAAACAACGGCCTTACTGCTGGGCCACAGCAATCGCAGCCTGCGGACTGAGACCCTCGACATACTTGTCGGCGCCCTAGTGCACTCCTTCCGCCAGGCCTTTCCGGACCGCACCGCGCCAGTCGTCTTCCTGGAGGGACATGGCCGAGAGCCGCTGATGGGCACCGACGTGGACCTTGCCGAGACGGTGGGCTGGTTCACCACCCTTCACCCCGTCCCTGTTTCCGGATCAAGATCCGACTCCCTTGTTGACAGTATCCGCCAGGCCAAGGATACGCGTGCACGGGCTCCCGGAAAAGGCCGGCCGTATATCGCCTGTCGCTATCATAGCGCCGCCGGACGCCAGGCCTTCGCCCATCACCAGCCCGTAGAGCTGCTGCTCAACTACCGGGGCGTCTTCCAGCAGCTCGAAAGTGCCGGGACTCTGTTGCAGCGAGAAGACCGGCCGGATCGAATGGTGGCCATAAGGGAGTTTGGAGATGACTACCAGCGCATGGCCCTCGTGGAAATCAATATTGTTGTCGAGGCTGGCCGCGCACGCATCTCGACGACTACACACCGGCGCATGAGGCACCGGGGCCGACTGCACCGTTGGATCCAACATCTCTTCCCCGATGCGCTTCAGGTCGCATCCCAAGACCTCTTGGCTAACTCGCCATCTCCCACTCTCTCCGACTTTCCCCTCTTGTCTATCTCATATGCGGGTCTCGAGGCGCTGCTCACTGGTCAGCTGGCGGGACGGGGGATTACAATAGAGGCGGTTCGGGACATTTACCCGTGCACGCCAGTCCAGCAAGGAATCCTCCTCAGTGAGAAGAAGGGGGCAGCTTCGTATCGGAATAGCTGGGTGTGGCGTTGCTCGTCAGGGCTGGGGCCTTCGCCTACTGTCTCTCTGGAGCGTCTCATAGTGGCCTGGAAGACAGCAGTCCGCAAACACAGTATCTTCGCCACTGTCTTTGCGTCTCATCCGGACACTGGGAGGGATATTCAGGTCCTCTTGGAAGGTATCGAGCCCCGTGTAGTCAGTGCAACACCTGCCGTCACAAGCCGATCAGCCACGCAATATCTCTTGGACATGGAATCCCCCCCAATGATGACCTCGTCGCCCGAGTACAGAGTGACCGTCTGCCAAGCCCCGACGGGGAGGTCGCCTGTAGACTTGACATGAGCCACGCTTTGATCGATGCTGCCTCCATCCCAGTCCTGATGCGAGATCTGGCCACTGTGTACGCCGGGGGGCGCTGGGGGAACCGTCCTGATCCTCCAGCCTTCAGCAACGTGGTGAGCCACGTCGAAGGCAGTCTGTCATCCTCCAAGCGACTCACTTACTGGCAGGCTCATTTGGAAGGCGCGCAGCAGTGCGAGCTTCTCGGTGACCTGCTCCCCGTGCACGCCCATCGCGCGAACAGCTGTGAGCTATACGGCCTCATTCCTCTCCCCCAAGCCACCACAGCGGCCATCTCCTCGTACTGCCGCAAGCATGACGTTACCCGGGCCGTGTTCCTCGAGGTCGCCTGGGCATTAGTTCTTGCGCAGTTCACGGGCATGAAGGAGGTGTGCTTCGGGTATGTCTGCTCCGGGCGCGACACGCCCGTGGAGGGCGTCGAGGCCATAGTGGGCCCCTTGATCAGCATGCTCGTCGCGCGCATCGACCTCAGTGTGCCGCAATTGACGGATGTTCTGCACGCAGTGGGTGAACAGTCGATCGAGCACCTTAATCACCAGCATACCTCCCTCGCCGAGATCCAGCACGCCATGGGCAGACGCGGAGCACTATTCAACACCGCCATTACTGTGCGAGAGGCCCATCGGTACGGCAGTGATAATGGGCTGCAACTCGAGGAGATTCGAGAGGAGGACCCCCACGAGGTAAGTAAGCACGCATGGTGTTCTATTGGCATTGGCTAGGTCATCCTGCCTTGCTACTGACGAGGTTTGACGGGAGTATTTGAGGTGCGGTGGCTGATATATCTATGTATGCAGTTTGATCTCCTGTTGAGTGCCACCTTGGACGGAGTCAAGACTGATATTAGTATTCAATACCGGGGAGACTACATGAGCGTGGGACTTGCCAGCATGATTGCGGAAGCGCTGGAGTCAGCCATCGTGTACCTTGTTGGGTGCCCGAATGCTGATGGCAGCAAGCGGTCGGTCTACGACTCGTATTTCGAGCACATCAGTGGTGACATCGATGAACGCTCAGCTATCTCGCACTGGAACAGTCGGTTCGCAGGCCTGGATGGTGTCACATTCCCTCCTCTTCCCTCGCCGTCTTACCAGCCCAGAGTGGGCGCAGCGGTCCAGCATATGGTCCACGACATCACTTGGCCAGGGTCATATATGGCTGTTTCTCTGGTCCGAGCCGCGTGGGCGAGCGTGCAGGCAGCCCACACCAATTCCGACGATATCTGCTTCGGGACACTATCTTGCGAGGGGCCGCCGACTTCCCCAGATATGGCGACGGCGCCCCCCATGCGAGTCATGCTCGGTCGGGACGAAAAGGTCGTCGACCTGCTCGAGCGCCTCCATACAGAGAGTACGCACAACGTGGATTTGAACGTTCTGCGTATCCAGCGGCTGGGCGAAGGCGCAGCTCGTGCCTGTCGCTTCCAAACCCTTCTCGCCATCATCACCCCCGGGCGAGAAATGGTGCATGACGACAAGCCCGTTGGGGAGAGCGAACAGAATCTTCTCCCCTCGCGTCCACTGGCACTAACGATCCAGTGCATCCTAGGACAATCGGACGTTCAACTCCGCGCAAACTTCGACCCCAAAGTGCTCCACCATCACCTCGCCGCCAAGATGCTGCGGCAATTTGAATGCGCACTCCGATGGCTCAGCACACCAGCCCACGTCGGGTGTGAAATTCGAGACGTGGAGACAGCAAGCGAACAGGATCTTCGCATGATCTGGGCTTGGAATCGAGTCGTACCTAAGTGCAGGAATCTCTTGGTTCACGACCTGTTTGCTCGTGTCGTCCAGAGGCAGCCTGACGCTCCGGCGATATCGGCGTGGGATGGGGAGCTTACGTACCAGGCGCTGGACGACCTGTCCACTCGACTGGCTCTCCATCTCATTGCGCTGGGGGTGAGACCGGGCAGGACCATCCCCATCTACATGGAAAAGTCCATGTGGGTGCCTGTTGCACAGCTAGCGGTGATGAAAGCCGGCGGCGCGTCCGTCCTCCTCGACTCGACGCAGCCCTTTGAACGCGCCAGGTCAATCGCCAGCCAGGTGCAGTCCAATGTGGTCATCTCCTCGCCTGCAAACCGGCTATCAGTGTCATCCCTTAACTCCCCAAATTTGCTCATCTTGGACTGGAGTCTCGTGATAGCCCTCCCGTACATGGGCTCAGGCGTGTCCTTGCCCCGAACAGCAGCCCCCTCGGATCTGCTATATGTAGTCTTCACGTCAGGCAGTACCGGTGTGCCGAAGGGCGCCATGATCACCCACGAGAGCTTTGCCTCCGCAGCCCACTACCAACAACGTGCGCTAGGGTACGCCCCTGGCGTCCGGGTGTATGACTTTGTGTCGTATGCCTTCGACGTCACATGGTCCAACATGCTACACTCGCTCACGTCTGGGGCTTGTCTGTGCATTCCGTCGGACGAGCAACGGAAAAACAACCTCCTCGGCTCGCTGCAGGCTAGCCACGCTACGCTGGTCGACCTCACCCCGTCAATCTTGCGCCTGCTCCAGCCGCAACAGCTGCCCCAACTGCGCCGGGTCATCCTGAGTGGTGAATCATTCAGCCAGGCGTCTCTCGGCGACTGGGCGAGCCACTCCGGGCTCCTGAACACCTATGGGCCCGCCGAATGCTCCGTCAAAGCAACCATGGCGTCTGTTCGCGGGTCGTCGTGTGAGAACAATATCGGATGTGGCGAGGGCCTTATTACGTGGGTAGTGGACGCCAACAATCCGGACAAGCTGGCACCGCTGGGGGCAGTGGGAGAGCTCTGGCTAGAGGGGCCCCTAGTCGGACAGGGCTATCTCGGTGATGTGGAGAAGACAGCCGCAGCCTTTGTGAAAGACCCCCCGTGGCTGCTGCGTGGGGGACCTGGCTGCGCCGGTCGTCGAGGCCGTCTCTACCGCACGGGGGATATGGTGCGATATGAATGCAATGGGGACAGTGGCACACTGACCTTCATAGGCCGAAAGGATTCGCAGATCAAGATCCGTGGCCAGCGGGTGGAGCTCGGCGAGATCGAGCACCACGTACAGAACAGCCTTGTCAAAGAGGGGAGCACCCAGGCGCAGGTGCTGGCAGATGTAGTGCAGCCGCGCGACAGCGCGCACCCTATGCTGGTTGCGTTTGTCTGCATCACTGAAGGAGACAAGTCCACCACACTGAAACTCACAGCCGGGCTCGACGACAAGTTGACAGACAAGTTGCCGGCGTACATGATCCCCACAGCATATATCCCCGTCGACCACATGCCAGTTGGCCCGACAGGCAAAACCGACCGCCGGCGGCTCCGGGAGATGGGGGCTACGCTGACCCTCGAGCAGCTCTCTGAACTGCAGCCGCGGAGGAGCAGTGGTCGCATTTCGAACTGCCGGGACACCTCGTCACCGACGGAGGCCCTGTTGCTGGAGACATGGGCTGTCATCTTGGAGGTGAACGCAAACCATCTGTCACCACACGATCACTTCCTCCGTGTCGGAGGCGACTCGATTCTCGCAATGCGGCTCGTCGGCGAAGCACGCGAACGCGGCATGAGTCTGTCGGTGGCAGATATCTTCCGGTGGCCGCGGCTGGAGGACCTCGCGCGGGAGCTGGACAGCCGTTCGAAGGTGCTGCTCCAGCCCACTCATAAGCAGGTGTCCGTGAAATCCTTCTCCTTGCTGGGTGGAGACGTTGTCCCAGCGGAGATTCAGGCGCAGGCGGCGTCCCTGTGTGGGATTGAGACAGCCCAGGTGGAAGACGTATTCCCTTGCACCCCTCTGCAGGCCGGACTACTGGCTGAGACGGTCCGACGGCCAGGAGATAATGTCCTAAGAGAGAAGTGGCGGTTGAAAAAGAGTGTCGACGTTGGCCGCGTGCGCGCCGCATGGCAGAGGGTTGTCCGTGCAAACCCGATTCTGAGGACGAGGATTGTCGATCTCGGTCAGAAAGGTCTCTTCCAGGTCATTGTCCGCGATCGTGAAGGCTGCGAGACGCGACAAGGTGCGTCAGCGCAGGACTTTGGTCTTGGCACGCCGTTGGTCTTGTACGATATATCCGACTCGTGCTTCTCATGGCGGATTCATCACGCTCTGTACGATGGATGGTCGATGCCTCTCATTTTCGACGCTCTGGACAGGAGCTACCGATCGGAGACAATTCCTGCCACCCCTCCTTTCCAAGCGTTCATCAAGTATGTCAAAAACGGCAGCCAAATCCAGGCGGAGGAGTTCTGGCAGGATCAGTTCCGCGATTTTAACGCCCAGAAATTTCCTGTTCTGCCTTCTCCAGCCTATAGGCCAAAATGTGATGGGCGCTTGGAGCTGGACATCGACGACGTGGCTTCGAATGGCGAGTACACAGCATCCACAAGGATTCGACTGGCCTGGGCCATCCTCCTGTCGACCATCACCAACTCCGCAGATGCCTCATTCGGTGCCATCGTGTCCGGCAGACAAGCTAACGTGCCGGGCATTGAGCGCATGACGGGGCCGACCATGGCCACCGTGCCACTGCGAGTAGCGATTGATCGTTCAAAGGCTGTCAGAGACTTGCTGCAGCAAGTGCAATTACAAGCCGCAGAGATGATGCCATTCGAGCAAGTTGGCCTTCAGCAGATCCGGCGTTTCAGCGAGGACTGTAGCCTTGGCTGCCAATTCCAGTCGCTCATGGTCATTCAGTCTAGACTCGAGCATGATGCTAAAGACGCTCTGTTTGAGTCCGCGTCAGTGGCAACGGCCGCAGATGATGTTGACCCTTTCAAACTCTATGCCATCTGCCTGGAGTTCGTCCTCAAACCGAATAGCATCTGTTTGCGCGCCGACTATGACTCTACGGTCGTGTCTCCAACACAGTTCCGCCGGCTTGCCGACAGATTCAAACATATCTTCATACAGCTTTCCTTGCCTCGGGTCCAGGCTCAGCCACTTTCTCTGCTCGATACCAGCAGCCTGGGAGATCTAGAGCAGATCTGGCGCTGGAACGATACTACCCTGGAGAGATGCGGTGAAACAGTTCATAAGATCTTTAGCCAAGTCGCTGCGAAGCAGCCCGACGCTCCCGCAGTTTGCTCATGGGACGGCAACTTCACATACAGTCAAGTGGAGGAGATGTCCACGCGCATTGCCCATGAACTTCTCCGCGCGGGCCTTCCGCAGAGCGGCCAGCGCATCGTTCCCTTGATCTTCGAAAAGTCAAAATGGACATCGGTATGCCAAATCGCAGTCATGAAAGCCAATGCGACCGCCGTTGCGCTCGACGCGACTCTTCCGGACGGCCGCGTGCAGACGGTAATAGATATAGCCAAACCGCAAATCATCCTCGCTTCGGCGGCACAGGAAGCTCGAGCACGAGGTTTGGCCCCGTCGACTACTCGGGTCATCGTCGTCAGTGACGCTCAGGAGCCGGCGTTCATCCTTCCGGAAGATGTGTATCTGCCAGCGGTGGACCCGGATACGTGGCTCTATGTGGTCTTCACGTCCGGCTCAACGGGCATTCCCAAAGGCGCAATCATCAGCCACTCGAATTTTACCAGCGCGCTCATGCACGGCCAAAAGGCACTGAAGTTCGGCCCGCATACGCGTGCATACGACTTCGTGTCGTACGCCTTCGACGTCTCGTGGCTCAATGTGCTGTATACTCTTTGCGCCGGTGGATGTCTCTGCGTCCCATCCCAGTATGAGATCCAAAACGAGCCCAGGGAGGCCATTGCTCGCAGACGGGCGAACACCGCATTCATCACCCCGACAGTTGGCAAATTGCTACATGGAGCCGATCTGCAAGTCATCAACTACGGGGGTGAAAACCTTCCGCGCGACGAGATTCATTACTGGAAAGACCGCACTCAAATCATCCACTCCTATGGCCCGTCCGAATGCACACCCATCTCGATTTCGCACCTTCTCGATCCCGCACGCAGTCGGGTGATCATTGGCAAAGGCCTCGGCGTCCGAACGTGGATCGTAGAACCAGAGCACGGCCACTCACTGGCCGCCATCGGCGACATTGGCGAGCTGTGGCTGGAAGGGCCTCTGGTCGGCCAGGGGTATCTATATGAGCCAGAGAAAACAGCGGCATCATTCGTCGAGGATCCGGAATGGCTGGTTCAGGGCGGCCCCGGCTTTGCCGGTCGGCAGGGACGACTGTATCGGACTGGAGATCTGGTGCGCTACGAAGAAGACGGCAACCTGGAATTTATCGGACGGAAGGATGCCCAGATCAAGATCCGCGGACAGCGCGTGGAGCTGGAAGAGATTGGGCACCATGTATTTGATGCAATTACGGAGACGACCGTATCCCAGGTCGTCGTGGATATCGTTAGGCTCGCGGACTCCGCTGAATGGGCTCTTGTCGCCTTCATCGAGCCGTCGAACAAGGGAATTGTTTCTGGTACGCCGGAGGCGCGTGCATATACCCAGCACCTGGCTGCTTCCACCAAGGCTCGCCTATCGGCCACAATCCCAAGCTACATGATTCCGAATGCCTACCTGCTGGTGGACAGCATCCCAAACACGACGTCCGGGAAGGTCGACCGTGGCAAGCTGCGCAAGGCGGCGTCATCCATGGTCAAGGAGGATCTTCTGCAGGTCAACAGCATTAAGCGACGTGCCCCAGAGACGGCGGCGGAGAGGAAGCTCCATACGCTTGTTGCACAGGTGCTCTCCTGGGATCAAGAGTCATTCGGAATGGACAGCAACTTTATCCAGCTTGGAGGTGACTCGATCAGCGCCATGAGACTGGCCTCGCTCGCGCGTGAGCAGGCGATCTCGATAACCGTCGCGGATATCCTGACGAAGCAGCGCATCGCTGACCTTCTCGAGACGGACCGGGAAACTGCGCTCGAAAATATCACTGAAAAGCCACGCTTCGCCTTGCTAGATGTGGCAGACCCGAGCGCTATTGTCCAAGACCAAGTGATGCCACACGTCCAATCTGGTCACGGCAAGTTGGTGGACGTTCTGCCGGCAACAGACATGCAGTCGACCTATCTCATGGACAACCTCCACGAGCCCCGGCGATCCTGGTTCTACAGCTATATTGACTTCTCCCAGATCCCCGATAAGAACCATCTCGTCCAGAGCTGTGAGCAAGTCGTGGCACATTGCGAAATCTACCGGACAGCGTTTGTTCGCTCCGGGGATTCCTTCTTACAAGCCGTCTTTGATTCCTGGGCGCCCACCATCGACATCGTTGACGATGTTGAGTTTGTTGAAGCCACATTTGAGAAGCTGGTAGAAGAAGAGGTGAAAACACCCGCTCCGCTGGGCGCTCCTTTAATACGGTTCACGCTGCTTTGTGGGCGAAATGGGATAGCAAGGCTCATTTTCAGCAAGTCGCACGCCATCTACGATGCAATCAGCTTCAGCCAAACCCTGCAGATATTGGCTGAAGTCTACAACGGCTCGGCGCGTGAAAGTCGGCCCTTCAGCCACTACGTTCACCACATTCAGTCACATAGGAAAGACAGCTACGTATACTGGCGCAAGACGCTCCAGAATTCTTCAATGACCAGGCTACCATGCACGTTGACAGATTCCACAAAAGATGGCCCTCCTACCGTGCTGGAACGCTCTATCCAGATGCCAACCCCACCCTTCGGCATCACGCAGGCTTCCCTCTTCACGCTAGCCTGCGCCTCCGCGCTCAGCTGCCTCACCGGCAGCAGCGACGTTATCTTCGGCTGCGTAGTCTCCGGTCGAGCTAGTGTTCCGGCCGAGCTCCAGAATGTCGTCGGGCCCTGCCTCAACCGTCTCCCGGTGCGCGTGCAATTCGCCCCAGGTCAGACGAAGATAGAGCGACTGGCGACGCTCCAAAAGCAGCAGGCAGAGGGCCTTGCGCATGAGACGACGGGCCTGACCGACATCGCCAAGTACTGCACCGACTGGCCGGCTGATACCAAGGAATTTGGCTGCTGGATCCAGTACCAGAACGTGGACGAGGCGCCCATGCTCGGTGTACCTGGTGCGGTGGGCAGGCTGGTACACAAAGAGATGTGGCACATTCCCGTTGCAGCGGACTTTTTGGAGATTTTTGCTATCCCGAGCGGTGATGGAACGCTCACCGTGAGGTTAATTGGAGGACTTGGGTATGCGGAGGCTGTAAAAGTGGCGTTGCTGGAGGGGGTTTGTTTCGAGTTGACGGATACGGTCTAAGAGATTATTAGAGCTGGCTGGGTTCGCAATGCTTTCAGGCTTTAGCGTATATCTTTGTTATCTGTTCCGATTCCCTCCGTTCCTAAGACCCTAAGGTGGTCGGAGGGTTCTATCTATAATAGCTGGCTGCCTGCCTAGTAGAGTGTTTTTTTGCCTCTCAGCTTGATTTTTATGCGCAGGTTTATACACGATCAAATAACTTCCTAATAGTTTTAGTATCTTCGCATTCAGCACACTAATAACCAAATCGACGAGTATAGTACGTTGTTACTATATTATATTGTTTGAAAAAGGTAACTTTATACCAACCGTTTGAACAGATCTAGTACCGCGCTCACCGGGTAGTTTATTAAATATCTCTCATACACAAGATAACTGGGGATAAACCTGTTCATTTAGCAACAGAGTCCATTGTATCAGTGATTTATCTTCATGCCGAGACATTGCATAATTCTTAGCATGTATTTCTAAGCGTGGGGTTGTTCTATGAAGTGAGGACGTCGGATTATATATAAGACATTACAGAGGCGCGCCGCTTAATGAATTTCGCATATTTCTTACGTTTCACTAGTGGAGACCGCAAGTATAACTCTACCCTCCTTCGCGATTGATTCTCTGGAGTTTCCATGCCCTTTTGGTGGCATCGTTAAACTTTTCGTCCGCGACCAAATCGTGTGGATGGAAGCGGTGAGGGCGACGTGATGGCGGGTATATTCAATGTAACGGTGAACTGGTTGCAGTCCAGGGTTAGCCAGCGGACGGCATGTATGATAACCTCCATCCTCCCTGCTCGAACTTCCTCGTCACATCACCACCATCGCTCGTATATTCTAGGTACCATCACCCTCTGCAATGCGGGATTTTTTGTATGCCGCGCTGTTTGGCGTGGGTTACGCCGCGCAGGCGGTGCTTCGACCCGAGACCTTCGCGGGCGGCGACTTTGACATCTTCCAGAGCCCATATTCACCCTCCCATTCGGTCCGGATCCGACAGCAGAATGAGTCAATCTGTGAGGCGGGCTCGGCTCAGTACACGGGATGGCTGGATGTCGGCGCAAAACACCTGTTCTTCTGGTACTTTGAAAGCCAGAACGATCCAGCCAATGACCCGCTAACCCTATGGATGACCGGTGGACCTGGTTATTCCAGTATGGTCGGCCTGTTCCAGGAGATTGGCCCTTGTTTAATTAATGAACATGGTAATGGAACCGTTCCCAATCCGTGGAGCTGGTCTCGGAACTCCTCATTACTGTTTGTGGACCAACCCGTTGATGTCGGCTTCTCCTACATCGATGAAGGCCATGACCTCCCGCGGGACTCCCAGGAGGCCGCCGTTGACATGCACCGATTCCTCCAGCTCTTCGTCTCCGAGGTCTTCCCCCATAAAAGTTCCTCGCCCGTCCATCTTTCGGGCGAGTCATATGCTGTAATATCTGACGACCTCTTCTTGACGCACACCAAACTAACGTCGGTCTCCAGGGTAAATACATCCCCCATCTTGGGGCCCAGATCCTGAAGCAGAATCAGCGCTATCCCACGGAGCCCCAGGTCCACCTGCAGTCGTGCCTGGTGGGCAACGGCTTCATGTCTCCCATGGACTCCATGTACGGCTACTGGGAAACCTTGTGCACCACCAATCCCGGCGTTTCCGTGCCCGTTTTCAACGAGACCCGGTGCGACAACATGGCCGCCAATATGCCGCGGTGCATGCAAGTCGCCGAAACATGCGTCCGACATCCGGATCCTGCGCTCTGCCAGGCGGCCTACTCCGTCTGCTATGAGGGAGTGCTCGGATGGTACGAGGACGAGGTGGGCGAGGGCGGTCGCAACCGATTCGACAGTACGTCAAGTAATTCCCCGACACCCAAGGCTCAGAGCACCCTAATCCCAGTCTATGAACAGTCACTACCCCTTGCGAGATCGACGACGTTTGCTACGTTCAAGCGGCCCATATCCAGCAATACCTGAACTCCCCTGCCGTCTGGGCCGCCCTCTCACCCCCCAAGCAGATCACCGAATACAAGTTCGTCTCGGACAATGTGATTCAAGCCTTTGACACCACGCCCGAGGGCATGACGTCCGCCTCCGATCTGGTCGTGTTCCTGCTTTCTCATGGGATCCACTTTCTTGCGTATCAGGGGAATCTTGACCTCGCTTGCAATACGGCCGGAACTCTTCGATGGGCCAATGCACTTCGCTGGAAGGGCCAGGTCGTGTTCGAATCAAAGCCGTTACGCCCCTGGATTCCAACGGCGATCGGCCGGAATGAAACAGTTGGGACAGCCAAAGAAGTCCAAGTGCGGGTAAACGACCACGGAGAGACAGTACGGTTCGCGTTGGTGACAGTGGATGGGGCGGGTCATTTGGTAAGATTTCTCAACCGACATGCGAATGTGCAGACGTCTGATCTCTACCAGGTTCCCCAAGATCGCCCGGATGTGGCGTTTGACTTGATGCTGCGGTGGATCACCGGTGCCCCCTTTATTGTTTCCTGATGGGGTTGTTATCAGTATACTATAGGATATTGGATACCTGCATCAGGGCGCCGAGATCGGCTCAGTTAATCCATTTCATGGCCGATGTTAGCTGAAGTGAGCTGAAGTGCATACAGAGAACTTTATTTCAGACTATATAGAGCTTCTGCTGGACTCTGCTAGCTCATATATATATCCCTTTTGTTCTTAAAACATAGTCTATAAAGTGAATACTGGATGTGCATGTGTGTGTGTGTGTGTGTGTGTGTGCTGAAAGCTTTGGGAAAGAATAGAAAGAGAGAGGGAACGCGGTATTGTAGCCATCCCTCACGGATACTTTGCTCTCCTGTCAATCACCATGAGTAATAAGTAGAACGGTCTCTACTGGACCAGATGTTCTATACAAGGATGGTGGACATTCTGAAAATTACCATTTCGAGCTGTTTGAGTGCATGGATAGCTTAGGCTGGGCCTCCAACAGGCTGTGGGTGATGAGGTTCAGGATTGGTCCTCACCAGAGGACTCAAAGGGAACAGTACTAGCACAAGCTACTGGACCGCTTGGAATTCACGTAGTGGGTTTCAAGCTCAAACAGAATCCTCCTATTTACTGGATTTTGTATAATATAGCCTCAATACCTTCTCGCTTGGGTCCCTTTAAAGTCATCTCAGCTGTCACCGGTAAGACTGTACAAGCGTACAAGCCCCCCCTTGGGAATGGCTCAACATGAGAAAGACCAATGGGATGCATGAACAGATTGAGCAGTATAGGCCACCTCCGGGGAGCATTCAATGTGGATAACAAGCGTGATGGCATGCGTATGCTGCACATCCAAGAATCAGGATCTCCAGGGCCATAGACAATCCTCTGGCGAGCCTTTGGGCACAACTGTTTGTCAAACGTGATGACCCTATTCAGGACGAGTTGGAAGAAGTGTCGAGCTTATGACAAGAACACCCGTGCAGATCTTGATGAGGGTACCAAAGTTCTCTATGTTGTATACAACTTGTGTTAGGGTCCGCAGACAGTTTAAAATTTGTGTCATTGTGGATGCTCAGGACGAATGAATGCCATCAAGAGAACAAAAATCAAGAGACTCTCTCTCTCTCTACCTACGTATTGCATGCAACTAACTAACCCCCTGAGAGATCAAAAAACATAAAATGAAAAAAGAAAGGCCCGAACCCGGGATCGAACCGGGGACCTCGCGCAGTCAATGCTTTGGGTGAACCCCTGGAGTTGTTGTTAGTATGTTGATAAGATGATTGATCGGCGATAAAGGGAGTCTTACTAAGCGCGAATCATACCACTAGACCATCCGGGCAGTTGATGTCTGTGTTCTCTGATTAAGGTTATCTGAGAGGAGATAGCATTGGTTCGTGTCATGCATACTTCGAACGAGTGGGAAAACCCAAGGAATCAAAAGTTGGATAGGAAGGACAGGGAGGTGATTTGCGAATATGGTACAGAATACCTGTCCCTGTGTGTATCTATACACTTGGCTCTAGGTACATACATAGGATTTAATCCAGTATCTAAAGTTAGACTTGCCTGACTACGCGATCTACTGGCTTAACGGGATAGTAGAATCTCCATAACAAGACCAGTAACCAGCAGATCTCATCCACGAGCTCGCGCAAGACAGCAGGGTGTTCTTAATCAATATGCCGTGAGCCGTGAGCAACAAAGACAAGTAAAACTTCATCCATTACATTCTAGCAAGATATTAAGCCGTGCTGCAAATCCGGCGTCTTTTCTAGGGCCCAATATTATATTAGGGCTGTCTCATAACTTGTCTATTCAGTATACTATGTACAGCTGTGTCATCTGTTCCCTGTCATAAGAAGGTCGTAGCTTACTGAGCTATCATCCTGAAGCATCTCGCGAGCAGCATCCAACTCACATGGCCCTCAATCTCTCCATGAATGACCCGTCAAGGCGAGAGGGCATCGCTAGGATCCGAATGGTTGAGAGCTCAAGTCAAATATAATAACACCAATGCCCTCCCAGAGATGGGTGACCTGGGGAGAGAGAGCAGCCCCCAGTAAACAAGAGATCAATAACTTGACGCACGGCTACATAATCCCTGGAGCGTGCTCATCTTTGCAGTTCTCCAATATTGGATAACTCCGAAGTGTGTTGGGAAAGGCTCAGAAAGGCCCGGACATCCGCTGCTGCGTTCTGAATGATCGTAAGACAACCTCCGCATAGGAAGTCTGCGAGGATAATGTAGCAACTGTCACACTGCAACAGCAAGTGTTAAGGTGAACAGCGGCAGGTCGTACACTCCGGCCCGCACCACAGATGGAGAACCAGGCATCACCGATCTATAACGTCAGCAGCGTGCAGAAGAAGTAAGAAGGGAAAATATGAAACAAGGCAAAAAAAACATACAACAGGAGGGATTCGCTGGTGGTCACCCACCCAACTACTAACCTCCCGGCGTGTGGCTTAAGTACGGCTGAGCGGACGGGAAGCCCTGTTCTCCACACCCTATGGTCGTATGTATTGTTTTACTCTAAGCAAGGGATTTTATGGGGCAATTTAATTTTTATTGTAGTGTTACTATCATACTGGTTTGCTATAGGACTGTAAATACAAAAAGGCTATGAAATACAGTCTGTTGGCAGTACAAAGCTTCGCTACGTGATATCTAATGTAGAGACTTTTTATCATAGTACGGTGGATCGTCCTGGACACCCAACAATGATATATATATATGTAGCCTAGGCTCTTGTGCCAATCTTGTAACAGGTGGAAAGGACCCCAATAAAAAAACAGAACCGAACCCAGCATGGGTATCCCTTCATGAAATTGGACACCAAAGAGAAATCTTTGGAAATTCTATGAGAATGTTCTGAGCAACCGTCAGTAAATTACGATAAAAGCGGGAATGAACATCCCCATGTCCACTACCAGAAGGGTCACCCATCTGATGTCCACCATAGTATCTTTTAAAGACTTGGGTATCAATGATAAAGTGATCGCAATGGAAGAAACTGGAAGACAGTGCAGACACACCAAGAAAGGCGCTCAGTGGCCGAGGTAGTCAGCCCAAGCACTCTCAGATATGGGTGCTTGGGTTCTCTCACAACATTGCAGATGTTTGAATGATTGTTCTATTCCAGGAAGGCCACAGGTCTCGAACATTCGAGTAATCTGGAAACTTACTATAATTCCAGCAATGCAGTCAACCATTAGCTGATCTTGGAGAGTTCTGATTCCACCAAGCCACTTTAAAGATGGGGGCGAAAGGATGGGTGATCCGTTTTTCGTTTATGACATGCTGCAAACGCGTAGCTTTGCCGCCTGACGTCCAATAATCTCCTGAAGCTATGCAGATCTATGATCTAAATACATATCTTGAGGTTCCTGGGTGACATGGTGTTCTCTGGGCGTCGGCTTCGCCGACGCTATCGGCAAGCTGCCGACCCTCAAGCCAACCCTCCCGGAGCGAGCCGATGTACGCTTGATGGTTTCTCATCGGCTAACGGTCCACTTATTACTTAACAAGGATAATAATCGCCCTCGATTGATTATACACTGCTGAATCCCTAAGGATTAATTGTTCTTAAGCGAAAGGTGAATTCGGAATCGCCTTGTGGAGCACTGGGCTCGTCAATACGGCCTCGTAAATTGTGATATGCGATCCTTTGCAACGAAACGACTAACTACTGCAGAAGGAAGGAAGGAAGGTTACATGGAAGAGAACTTCATCTTACCCCCTGAGTGGCTTCGAATAATAGTGTATTTAGAATGATATAAAGGCGCTGATGATGAAGATGGCGAGCTTGAAAGGAAGCATCTCAATTGTCCATCTCGTCTCAACAATCCAAGATGCATCATATGCGCACTTGGTTGGCTTCGTGGCTTATGCTACACGCCCAGCAGGGACTGTCGCTGGTATTCGAGGAAATCAGTCACTTGCAAGTAGAACCGCATCCTCTGGCTGTGCGTGGCTCTGGATACTCGAACCTCGATTTACTCAAGCAGGACTCGTTCTATTACAGCGGTACGTGCGAGTTTGGATGTTAAGATAACCGTTATTAATAAATTATCATTGCTCTTAGGAGAACAAAATGGCCAGTTATCTCTCGCCAACTTCACGGTCTCGCTTACCGGTGAACAAGAGAGCATCGTGTCCATGGAGCGGTTTGAGGACCTCCTCGAATCAGTTCACTGCACCAACACTACTGTTGCAATGAGCTTCAAAGAGGAGCAAGCTTTTGCCTATACGGAGCACACCTGGCAATGGGTCAATGAAATGGATGACCACAGTCTTGTATTGGTACTTGGAAAAGGCTCCTGTGAATGGAACGCCAACCGGCTTCCATTCATTGTTTCCAGTGTTACGTATGACGAGACCACCAAGACAACAAAGCTCGAGGGTAAAAGCTCAAAGTGGCACGATATCGCTCATACCTATGAGCTCAATATAGGCAAACATAAGGCCTCTTCCGCAGCTAGACGTGATATTGACCGATCCGCATCTCTAGACTTCAACCACGTGATACCTGTGAAAAGCGGGAAACTTCCAGAGGACAGCATTGACGTTACCTGGGAATGTGCGGATTGTAGCACTCAAGGAGCTTTTGAGCTTGCTTTTCACGTGAAGACTGTTGCTGGGATCCCCAGGACGGGAAGCTTGAGTCTTAGCCCTAACGGTGTATCAGCCACCTTTATGCCACGACTGGCAATCGATGGTGACATCAAGGACCAGAAAAGTGGAGAGATCGATATCGGAAGGATACCCATTGCGGGCATCTCTATTCCAGGCGGCATCCTGAACATTGGACCTCAGATTGTTTTCAGCCTCGGATATAACATGGGTCCAGTGACTGGCTCTGCTACCATCACGGCTGGAACTACGGTCAGTCTCGATGATTCGGCTGAGGTATCCATAGACCTTGAATCCCGTAGCGTGGAATCAGATGGCTGGACGCCCTCAGTTCAGGCAACTCCTGTCTCGGTTGACGCGGAGATCGAGGGCGAGATTGCGCTCTATCCTAAAGCATCATTGCAGATTTCTGCCCAGGTGATAGGTAACACATCCACTCAACTGATAAATAATGCAAGCTAACATAAACATAGGCAAGGGAGTCGAGGTGGGCCTGAATCTGAAACCAATCATTGCTGCAACCATGGCTGCTATCCATTGTCAGTGTTTGGCCGTGTACATCCCCTGGTGTTAAATTACTGACAGGTCACAGCGACTGATGGGGCTTGCCCTGATGACCCCAAAAACCGCGAGAATGGCGTCACGGTCGACCCATCTGCGAGTGTTAGCCTCAATTTTGAAGCCACATTTGGTAACAACGATGGCCAACCGGATGTTGATTACACTCTTGCTGTACGTGGCATGCAATACTCTAGACAAGTGCAGGCTAACCACTGGACGAACAGGAATATACTGCGCCACTTGAATCACAATGTTACCCTGTCGGCCCTGAACCTAGCAGTACTCCGACTCCCTCTGGCAGTCCAACACCATCCAGCAGTGCCCATCCAACATCTTCACCAATTCCACCCTCAGTTTATCCAACACCGTCTACTACTCCTTCGTCGGTTCCACCAAGTTCATCAACACCCCTTTCCTCATCGATCCCTCCGCCCTCCTCGTCAGCAACTCAGCCAACCAAACGCGCACACCACCACCGACGAATGGGCTCTCATCGGCGACATGGACACTTGTAAAGGGACCCCCTCTAACGACTATGTGCACCAGGGAAGATAATCCCCTACTGCTACATGTTGCTAGGCTCGGCTAATCACGCTCCATCCTGGACCTGCTTTCGTTTTCTTTCCTTGTATTCTTATCATATATCCTTTTTGTTTCCTTCGCTGTATTATACAGAGACATTCGATTTTCTTTACTCCTATTAAATAACTCAGATTTTGCTTTTCTATTTCCTCAACTGGCTCCTAAAATAGTAGGGACTTGACAGGTTCAACTACGCAAGATACAAGACTAAAGATAATTCAGAAAAATAAACTTCTATAAAATGCAAATCAATAAACCCAAACCCAACAGTGTCAGACAAACAGCGCCTTAGAACTTCCAGAAATTCAATCATAATTTTGACGTAACCTGCCAGCGATCTCAGCAACTCAGACCCTCCGCCAGACAGTAACCATGCTCCATGAACATAGACCGATATGTTTTAACTGACCTGTCCCACAGTCGTGGATTCAAATCCCCCGTTTGGATGGATCAGCACCTTTGTATAGCCGTCCTCTCTTTTGTCAAACTTTTCGTACGCAACTTCCGCATGGTCAAGTCTAATTTCATGGGAGACGACAAAGCTGGGCTTTGCCTTGCCGGCGATGATCAAGTCTCGGAGGTACCGATTGTATGCTTTTACATTGCACTGGCCGGTGGCAAGAGAGAGACCCTGCAGCAAGTTAGCAATGTAAACAAGCCGATGCCAGGGGCAAAACACTTTCCTTCTCGAAAAGCTTTCCAAAACTGAGACTAATCGCCCCCTTCGCGGCGACTTCATCAGATGCACCTGGATCACTAGGTGAAAAGAACATTAGCTCCTGGAAGCTACCGTAGGGTTTCGGCGGGATGGCTAACCTTGGCACGTAGAGTCCAGGAATTCCCATGCCTCCGCAGGCCCTCGTGACACGGATCATATTCTCAAGCACAATGTTGGGTTTCTCCTTCGATCCGCTGGTGTCTACAGCCTGGTAACCGACAGCGTCCACGGAGCGGTCGACCTCTCCGCCATTGAGCCGAATGATCTGGTCCACGGCATCGCCCTTGGTGAAATCAATTGGCGTGCAGCCGATTTTCTCTGCAACAGCCAATCTCTCAGGAACACGGTCGACAACGAACACGCGAGAGGCTCCGCGTAATTGGGCTGAATAAGCTGCCATCAAACCCACGGGGCCAGCACCGAACACAGCAATGCTTTCTCCTGACTTGAAGCCGGATATCTCGACACCATGCCAACCTGATCGTCCATCGTTAATACAAAGGCTCTGTGTGGAAGCGACCGTCGGGGTCTTACCTGTCGGGAAGATATCTATGCCACTATGTTAGTAAAGAACAAAGGGCAAAAAGGGAGGTAATGAGTCCGGGCGACTCACCGGCGAGAAGAACAAAGTCGGCTTCGTGCTCCGTGCCTGGCGGCAGCAGCAGAGCATTAAAGTCTGCATAGGGAACACGAATGTACTGAGCCTGGCCTTCACATTCCAATCAGATCAGCTCGCCGACATTTTGTCTTGGGGCTCATTTCAAGCACATACCTCCGCGATACGGGCCCATAGCCACATAACCTGGTTGCGGTTAGCCAAGAGGAATCCCACCCATCTGTGTCAAGGTATTACCATAAGCGCCGCCTGCAAACCCGGGGTTGACACCAGTGCAGAACGCCGTTTTGCCTTCATCACAGTTGCGGCACCGACCATCCGCAACATTAAATGGCATGACAACGCGATCGCCCTTCTTCAACAATGTGACCCCTTCGCCTAGTTCCTCGACAATTCCCATGTTCTCGTGACCTTTTTTGACCCATCAGCAAATGACCGTCATGCTATTTCCATGTCTTCATACCAAATGTGATGCCTGGCTCTGCGGCAGTTCTTCCTTCATACATGCTGCGTAATCCATAAGTTCTCTGCGCATTGTTTTTGCAACTCCCCACCCCCCAAAGTATACTTACTGCAGGTCAGAGCCGCAAATAGCAGCCTATATCATGCGTTAGTATGGATCCTTGGGGCGTGATATGGTGGGTGACCCACCGTCGTGACCTTGACAATGATGTCGTCCGGATGTTCCAGCTTGGGCATGTCGACCTCTTGGACCTGGACCTTATGCGGTCCCACATAATTCACTGCTTTCATGGTAGTTGGGGCCATTGCGACTGGATTGGAGAAGAGAAATATGACCATTCAGGGTGCAAAAGCAGGTATCGTTTGTAAGGAGGAGACCGCGGTGCGATCGATAGGCGTTTTTATACTGGAATAGCTACCCCGCATCGCTATCAGAACAGGTTATAATTAACCCCATACAATCAACTGCATAGAATTGCTTAGTATCATTTAGTTTCCCCTCACGGCCAAGCAGTAGGAGATAATCTCCGTAAAAAGTGAGGTGGAGATCGCTCTGCCATTCTCGGCATCTTTCCCCGTGGCTTGATGGGGAAAAATTCCCCCACCGAGATGATCTCGCGAAGCCCTAATCGCGACAATGGCGTCAACGGACCCGCTGCGTGGTTCTTTACTCTTTCGATCGTGCTTCTTCCCCTCATGCTTGCTCCTTGCTTTTTTTCTGGAAGTAGAAATAAAGCATCTTCCCCAGCCTGCAATGATGTCGCGCATTGAAGGCAACACCAATTCTTACTCCTCTTCCACTTTGGCCGGCTCAAAGACTTGTTGCGACTACGCCGCGAACAACCACGATGTCACAGATCCTCCGGTTCCGCTCCACGTGGGGGGTTGACACAGGCGAGAACTACGAGAACTGGCAGAAATGGCTTCCGACTTTGAAAGACCAAGGCTACGGTAGGAGACTTGAGACTCCCCCGGGGGAGCAGCAGTGGACTAACGGGGTTCTGTCCGCTCTTAGTGGGAATCGAAGTTGACATAGCTCCTCTGCCAAACATATCAACCATCCGTCGGCTTTGCGATGAAGTCGGCCTAGAAATCTGTGTGATGTGAGTCTCTGGAATATGAGAATGCTCGCCCAACGTACCCTCACGGACCTACCATATTTGTCAAAAACAACACTAACGCTACAACCCAAGGATCCATTCCAAATGGCCCGGTTATGCAGGTCCCAAGCCGGTGGGCCTGACCCCAACAGATCATCTTACAAACTACCGAGCCCAGCTCGAGATCGCCAAGACGCTTAGGCCGTTCAAGATTAATGCACACTCCGGCGAGTACGGTTCCCAAATCATGCTTAATCTTAATAATGAGAAATGGCATTGACCACGAGAACAGTGACGGGTGGTCGATCGACCAGTCTGTGGAATTCTTCACGGGCACTCTGGCCGTCGATGCCGAACTCGGACTGGCCGGTATGGTGAGCCACGAAACTCATAGAAACCGGGCATTTTTCAGCCCCTACTCTACTGCAGCAGTCCTAAAAAGAGTCCCAAGGTACCACAAGCCATCCACAATTAGATAATCAAAACCAGTTAGCTAACACAACGATCCAAGTCTGCAAGTCACGGCCGACTTCTCCCATTTCGTTGTCGTCTGCGAGCGCCTTCTGGACCAGGGTGAAGAGGACAAGGAGCTCCTGCGCACCATCATTCCTCGTGTTGGTTTCCTTTTTCCAGACAAGCTATCTTCCAGTTCTAACACATCGTCCCCGCTAGGTGACCCATATCCACGCAAGAATCGGAACCACGCAATCGTCCCAATGCCCAGACCCAACTAACGACGTGTTCACCGAGGAGAGGCGATTCTTTGAGAATTCCTGGAAACAGATTATCCAGTCAATTGCCCAACAGAGGTCATCTCCAGTAACCTTTGTTCCCGAGTATGGGTATGTGGTCCGAAGTCGTCGCTATACATCTCAGACACTGCGTGTCCCTCCTGTCCAGACACGTTGTGTTGTGTGCGTTGCTAACGTATTGGGTGATATCTAGACCGTTTCCGTACCACCCCTTCGGCGCTGCTGCTAGCTACTCCGACGTTGCGGATAGTGAAGGGCGTCGCCTTCAGACCCTCTTCGAGACGTTTGCTCAGGAGGCGACCTCTTCGTGAACGGCGGTGCTGCATGAATGAAACGAGGAATGGGGCAAGATTAAACGATTCAATTATTTTTTTTATAGATCATAGATCAGATAAGATCGGAATATGAAGACATGGCTACGCAATTGAACTCTGATAGTTAGTGAATTTCTGCATTTCAATCCATCAATTATAGCGGAGTATAACGAGGATAGAGAAGTATACTAGGTACCTACTCGTGTCATGTATATTCTAGAAATCAGATTCGGTTACCGGTCAATCGTTTTTGTCGATCAACTCGCCCAATAAATAGGAACATCAAAGTATGTTAAATTTTATATAAACTTAGATTGTCTTGAATGCTGTAAGCGATTAGCTACTAGTATAAGCATGGCCGTAGGTTGTGGACATGGGAAGATGAGAAAGTGATTTCAAGAACTAAAAAGACGAAGAAACAACAAAAGTTGAGTACTACTCGTAGGTTATATGCTCATATTCGCCCCATTTAGTAGGTCGAGAAAGACGTGCGAGTTACAAAAAATAGCGTCAGACAATGGTCTCATATAGTCCTCTGCCAATAAAAAGTGCGTCTAGAGTTGGTTGTTAAAACTAACTATTCACGCCAATAGTCTGTTCCATATGGTATATCGGCAGAGATAGATCTTACTAGCTTTTCTTTTGTTTAAGAATAGATTAGATCAGTTCAATTTGATTTATTAGACACCCTAAACTTTGAATCCAAATCCAACCCAATTACAACTCCATATAAGACAGCCAAGGGCTCAGATCGGCAGCCAAGCAGGCATCACTGAGCTCCAAATGCTGATCATCTCTCAAACGCCGTAAATCTGTATGCCGTGCGCTCACTTTTCCGAACCAACCCTAATAAACTCCCAGACGGTCCCACCCTCTCGGTTCACATCCACCGTTAACTCTCGGTCGTTTTGGCCCCCGATTCGCATCGGAAAAAACTCGCTCCAGTGCTTCACCAGCAAAATATGTCCACCGGTTGGGTGCTGCCGCGCACAAAACCACTCCCACTCATCATGCCGTTCGGCCTTGGCCTGAAACCGCCAGTGGCTCTTCCGATTATCATGACCGATATACGTCCCCGAGACCGCGTTATAAAAGCCGAGCCACATCCGGTCGTTCTCCACACAGTGCCAGTGACTGCCACGCCCGTACTGGTATAGTACGCTGTCCATTTCGTGTGCTTCCGGATACATGCCCAAGACACCCTTCTCTAGGGCTATGACGAGCTTGGTTGCCGGGTCGCGGATGATGTACGTGCCTCCTTTCCAGGGACACACCCCCACGGCACCTTCGCGCACGCTTGAGTAGCGCGGTAGGTCGAAGTCGGTGTTTAGGTATGCAGGCATGGTGCCGTCATATTGCGGTGCGCTGTACTCATCGCTGGAGAAGCGGGATTGGGTGTCGTGTGTCGGTGTGTTGTATCCTCCTTCGTCTGAGTTGACGGAGGATGACTGGGAGCTTCTTCGCGTGCAAGCGTCCATATCGCGCTCGTTCTGGATCTCCATAACTAATCCTGAAGCGGTCGGCGCTCAAGATCCGCAGCCTCTATACCGCTGTGACCTGAGTATCATTTCCTCGGTCACAAAAACATAGAAAAAGGCGGGGTAAAGTGGAGACCTATCCGCGCGCTAAGCCTTGTCTAGGCCATAGTACCGTCATAGTCCCTTCTACTAAACCTAATTCAATCGAGAAAATAGTCATAGCTTCTTAATTTTATATTCATCATAAGTGGAGCTTCGACAATCGCGAAGCATCAGATCCAAGCCATTTCGTTATGGGGCAATCCTCTGAAGGCATTTGTGCTACTGTATACATATGCTTTGTCTGTTTCTGCGTACAACCGGCGGTACCCATCAATCGAACAATTCAGACAGACGCTCCACAGCCTGTTCCAGCTCTGCAGTTGAACTGCACGCCGCAAACACAAAGCGATCGTGTCTCACAATGACATATCGCTTTCGAGGTAGGACATCCCACATCAGTCTTTCGTTATATCCCCGCGGCACTGGTCGATTCTTGCACAGCGGGGATAGCGCGAATTCATCGCCCGTGGCAGTGCGGAACAGGTTTCGGGGCAGCGTCCACATTTCTTTGGAGCTCACCACCTCGCAGGCAGTACGAGGCACAAAAAAGGTCGCCTCACTGACCGAAAGCAGAGGGGTTCTGCGGCTGACTCTCTCCAGGTCCACATTGGCATCGTCCAACTCACCCAGATCGTCAAGTAGAACAACAAGTTGGAACAAGCTTGATTTCCCCGTAAAGATGGCATCGTCAGTAAAGTGCACGGTGTGGCCTTGGGTCAAGGAGATGCAATATGCTTGAGGGAAGCAAAGGCCGCCTTTCAACTCCGGCATGAAAGGCATCCCTGGTAGGTGCGTGTACTGCATGGGACCGTTACCCCGGGGGCCAAGCTCCAGCCAGTGCTTGAAGTTTGGGATTAGCTGGATGAGCCATAAGCCCCAGTTGCGGGTAAAGTCGTGTACAAGACTTTTGCCCGCCACCATCTCCCCGTTACGAACGGTCGCGGCTAAGGAGGCATCCAGCTGCTGCTTTCTCTCCAAGAACCATCCTCTCAAATGGCTACGGTAGTCCAGTTGAGTTTGAGATCTGCAGATCAGGGCTAGACGCCAGGACAGCGCAATTGCATCGCGGAAGCCTGAGGCAATTCCTTGCCCTCCAACTATAAGAATTCGTCAATATTGTTTCAAGAAAGGATGGATGATGAAATCCTACATGGCGGAAACACATGAGCTGCATCACCACAAAGAATGACCCGGTCCAACGCCCACTGATTACAGCTTCGGGCAGAGAAACGGAACGGCCTGGACCTCAGAACTTCGATACAGTCTTCGGGAAAGCCCACGTCCTCTTGCAGTCTAGGTCGTCACATTAGCAAAAGGATAGATTGGCCCTCAAAGGGAGGAATGACCAACTCACCCAAATCGGCTACCAGGCAACGTCAAGTAGGGGTATACTACTTCCCGTACCTTATCTCGCGTAGCCATTTCGTTATCGTTCTCTCCGTCCGCCACCACAAACTCAAATCGCCACAGGCGGTCTTCAGGAAGGCCAAAACGACCGCATACAGCAGGCCGCTCGTCGTTGCAAAGGAAGCGAAAATCAGCTGGGAAGAAAAGATCGTAGACGTCCTCAGGGGTATATCCCAGATCCCAGAGCGGGAACGTAGGGTGGCTTTTCTGTGAAGGCAGCTGGATCTTCCAGTTCAGGGCAACCCAAGTTTCTTGATATTTCGACCTGCGTTCTTGTCAGTACATTGAATCCGGAGCGCCAGAGAGAGAAAGCGTCTACTTTTCCGCCCATTCCATTTGGATGCCTTTAGGCTCCAAATACATCTTCCGGGTAAAGCCCGTTTTCCCGTCCGCGGCAGCGAGGAATTTCGAGCGTATTTTCTTTTCTGCGCCCGAAGCATCGGTATATGTCGCATACACCCACTGCTCGTCTTCGGATATCGATTTCAACGTGCAGCTGCTTCTCAGCTCGCAGAACTCGCTTTCCTGGACAGCCGACCGAAGGTGCTTCTCGAGGACAGGCTGTTTGTGGGCAAGCACGCCAATATGCCCGGTATTTCCTTCTGTCTGATAAATCGTTACTCACAGGTCTGACATTTTGCTGGGAATAGAGTTCATTTACCGACGCAGTGTCAAATTGCAGAAATGGCGACTTCTGCAGATTCTGCTCTTTGCCGCCGATGAATCGGACCTTTTGTATGCCTTGGCCGGTCAGGCTGGAGTACTGTTGATTGAGCAGACGCTGAACTTACAAGAACCTATCTCCGTGAAAATATGCTGGTACAAGCCAAGACCTTGTAAATATCGAATCCCATCGTCATCAAGAGCAATGCCACGAGGATCCGTTGTGATAGCGGCTTCTTTCTCGATGACAATATTTGGCACTCCAAGTCTGCCTAGGTAGGCTGATAACATGGCACCAGTAGGGCCGCAGCCGCACACCAGAATCTCTGTGGTTTCCCACTCGTCGGAGGATGCCATGATCGAATTCGAGAAATTCAAGGTTCAAGCAATTCAAGGGAGACTTCTAATAGTGTAGTGAATGCGAAGTGAGAGCCACAACTTTTGTCCGGCTGTAAGCAGTTGTTATAAGATAAGGAATCTTTCATATTCTAACTCCAATGTGGGAACAGTGGCTGTTTGATGCAGATCTCGGGCTCCACATGATCTACTCGTCTTTTTACAGACGTTCTGCTGTTTTGTGGCAATTCCAGATGAGACAGGGCTCGGAGGTGGGATCTATCATGAGCTTCGATGCGGATTCCGGAATAACGGATAAAAGACGACAGAAAAGTGACCAGTCGGTATATGCATCTTTCTTCTTTGCCTCGCCCGGAAGTATGATCGATAGCAACCCCACGTAGATCACACAGTGTCGGCACTGTGGCAAAGTGTTACCTTTCAGTACACCATATATCCAGGCCTATACTACATGCATATAAAAACGTCACCGGTGGGGATTACAGTGGTGCGGGAGGTTGGCTGTGGTGCCAATATTAGCCCCACCGTTTCGAGATCAGGATACACCATGCGTGGTATAAAATTACTCTCAAGCCCATTTTCAGCGATACACAACTAGACACAAGAGGTCTATTTTCATCTGATCTCACAATGGCTACCGCACCGACACCAAACCACGGGGCATCGGTCCCAGATACCGTGGCTTTGGCGGATACTGAGTCGCAGTCAACTTGGTTCGAGAAGCGACAAATCAACCCGACAGACCGCATTCATCTGCAACGGCTAAGTCATATGCGATATCAACACCCGTCTCTAGATGAGATCGAGCGTTTCATGCTGGGTAATTCTCCAACAATTCTTCATACTCGTGAACCACGACTGACTTGCCTCAGATTTTGGAATGCAGATTGCGAAGAAAACAGAAGAGGAGATCTGGTTCAAAGGCTATGGGCCTGATCCGTACGTCTATTATGCGCGCAAGGGGCCTAAGAAGTTTCTGGGTGGCGCTTTGGTAGCGCAGAGCCAGGAGGACTTTCTCAAGTATGCTTTCAACTATCTTCCTGCTGATTCCCCTCTCTGCCCCCAGGGAAGAGATCTGACAAGTATTTTGAAGGGCCTCGAAACTCCCGAGTGCGGGTCCAGTCCAAGATCTAGCCGGCGCGCCTGGTGGAGGTTCCATCGTGACCATAACTGATCCGGAGGGATTCCCTTTTAATATTGTCTATGGACAACAAGCACCCGCGACCGAGACAAAATACCCCGAACATATTATCTTGAATTACCCAGACGAGAAATCTCGTTGTCGAAAATTCAACCGGTTCGACCCTGGGCCTGCTGCTGTTCATAAGGTAGGGTTTTCTTTTCGAACGCTGTCTTCGTTGCATTAGCTGATCACCACACAGCTGGGCCACTTCGGACTCTGCACACAGCAGTTTGACACATTGCTGAGTTTCTACACTTCAACCTTCAACATCGTCCCGACAGACCTGCTGTATGTTGAGAAAGACAACAAAAGACAGATTGTCACCATGTTCGCCCACCTTGACCTAGGAGAAGCTATGTCGGATCACCATTCATTCTTCCTGAGCGCTAATCCTCAAGGATCCCATGTCCATCACTGTTCCTTTGAGGTACACGACTATGACACGCAACACCTGGGCCATCAGTGGCTTGCCCAGAAGGGTTACAAGTCAGTCTGGGGAATTGGTCGCCACGTTCTGGGATCTCAGATTTTTGACTACTGGTGGGATACCACTGGAAATATGGTTGAGCATTACGCCGATGGAGATCAGGTAAACAAACATACGCCGGTTGGATATGTACAGGCTGGGGAAGAGTCATTGGCTGTTTGGGGCCCTGATGTTCCTTCTTCATTCCTGGCGTAAATGCTTCGCCTGTGTTTTGTCCCATTTTGATTATTTCTCGAGGATCATAAATCCTCTTGGTGTTCGGCGTACCCGATTGATCTGAACATACTTTCTCAATATTATGCTGGCCAGTGAGTATATGAGTTATGTCCGCTTATGGTTTTGTTGATGCGAAAGTAGGTACTCTGATTGCCTCAGTGATAGTTCGACCTATTCAACTAGGTCTTGCTGGCTGTATGAATAAACTTTCAATTCACAGGAGGTATAATGATCCTTTCTAGTAGTCAAGAAGTGCTTGGCAGCTTTTGCCCGAATCACAGAATAGTAAACCCGCATTTATACTTGAGTAGTCCATGTTCCTGCCGGGCTTATGTTAAGAAGACTGGCGCGTGTGCTAGGCCGAGAGTCTATTGCCACAACTGAGACCACTGACCCGAGCGTGAGATTGGCGTACGGCGTTTTGAAATTGATTGTCTCTGAATCATATGGCAGCAGGTTAATTGTGCATAGCCACATGAACTTAAAATAGACACAAATGAAAATCCCAATGAATACTTTGAAGGATGACGGGTGTCTGGCTGCCTTTGCGTGCACATGATCGCGCTTGGATGGTGACAAGCATTGATCCCACATATCCCATAAATCCCACAACACGCCTATCATCCTCCCTACCGAAATCTTGTATAAAGCTCACGCGGTGGCACTTAGCCGTCTACTTCAGATTTAAAGACTGCAACAACGAGCCCATCATGTCCGCGTTCAAGAGATTGGTTCGCTTTAACTACCGCACACAGGTCCATTATGGTGATCTTATCAATGTGGTTGGAACCCAATACACAGTTAGGAGGTTGGAAGGGAGTCTTTCTACCAGCCTCAAGAAAACAGGAGATATTCTAACTGTTGGCTCGGTATGCCAGCTGCCATATTACATCAATGGTCAGTAACTGAAGTGTATCATGTAGCTCGAATGTCCAATCGAAAGCACGCCCATCGTGCAATGTATCGGGGTAAATTACAAACAACACGCAACAGAAGCAAACGTGAGTAATAAGGGTTCCACCAGATAGGCCATTTCATGCTAACAGTGTCTATCGACAGTTACCAATCCCCAAATACCCAGTAGTCTTCACCAAGCCAGCAGATTCGCTCGCCGGGCCGTTTGAGACGATCGAAATCCACCCGGACGCGCGCGATCAACTCGACTTCGAGGGTGAATTAGTCGTTGTCATGGGGAAAGATGCGAAAAACGTCGAGGAATCTGAAGCACTGGACTATGTCCTGGGATATACAGCGGGGAATGACCTTTCCGCGCGAAAATTCCAGTTGCCAGAGGCCAGCGGTGGCCAGTTTTGCTTTGCCAAGTCGATGGACAAATTCGCACCAGTCGGTCATGCTATCGTCGCAGCGCACGAGGTCGTCGACCCCCAAGCGCTCAAATTGATTACCAGGGTAAATGGTGTGGTGAAGCAGGAAACTAGTACTGGGGACATGATCTGGACTGTTCGGCAGATCATAAGTCATCTGTCGCGTGGGACGACTCTCCGCAGGGGCACCATCATCATGACTGGAACCCCAGCTGGTGTGGGCTTCTTTCGAAAGGAGTTTCTCAGGCATTCTGACGTCGTCGAAGTGGAGATTGAAGGACTCGCTGCAACTAAGAACCGTATAGCACACTACTAAATGGATATCGTCGGAATGGTTAACTTTGTGGGGCTTATAATAGATACCACACGTGCATATACCAGATAGGTCCACATGTCTGGGGTACTCGTCTTATTAGACTTCTCGTCCTGTGAGATCATATAATCCTTATGGTCTTCCATAGTAGAGAAGGAGAAAGACGGACCTCTGAGAGATCTGCCACGACCCACGACCTTCAGTGGATCAACCGCTGGAGGATCTCCCAAGATTGACTTCCATGCTTTTGACGCTGGCTGAAGAAACGCAGGACCTGATTTGATGCATTCGATGAGATATTTATATCGACATATAACCTATTCCTGTCCGAATGTTAATTTACAGAATTATAATCCCATATTTAAGCTTGCCTATACCACTATCTAACACGCAACTGATTAACAGCTACTCCAGATCAAACCCTAATCTCACCCGACTTCACCTGGACCGCAGTCCCGCGAAGCTCCACGCTCTCCACCTTCGCTCTATCCTCCCCGTTCACCGTAACCGCAACCCCAATATCGCTCCTCCTCCCCATTTCCACCCCCTGCACAATATCATAATCAAACGCGATGTCACTCGCCCCCCTCGCCCTCGTCAGAGTCAAATACGCCGCCAGTCCACTGGCCGCACTCCCGGTGGCCGGATCCTCAAAGTTCCTCAAGAACATGCGCGACCGAATGACCGTCTTCCCCGTCTTCTCATCATAGACATCCGGAACAAAGAAATAGAGGACAATCAGCCCGTCCCCCTCCCACCCGGCATCCAGATACCCACCTGCAGACACGGCAGTACACGGAACAACCTCGCCACTCACCGGCCCCTCCGCGGCAGCCAACGCCTCCAAACTGGGCAACTGGACATGCACCTGACTCATGCCCTTGACGATCGAGAAGACGGGGAATCCCTCCTCGTCCGCTCTATCACCACCGCCGCCGCCGCCCAGATACGCCCGCAGCGAAGGGTGAAGACGCAGCAGCTCCGCCAGCGGGAACCGGCGCGAGTGGATGTGCACATTATGCGCGATTCTTGCGGCCACGGTGCCCGCGTCCGGGACGCGGGTCATGGCGAACGGCCCCGCTTTCGTGATGAGGGTTTGCACGTTCGTGCGGTCGGCGGCATCGGGCGAGAGCTCCAGGAACCATGTTACGGCGCCGATGGTGGGGTGCCCCGCGAAGGGGAGCTCTTCGGCTGTGGTGAAGATGTCGATCTTTCGAGCCGTGTCGGAGGGAGAGTGTGGGTGCACGAAGATCGTCTCCGGGTAGTTGAATTCCCGGGCTATCAGTTGCTTTTGTTCTTGGGTGATGGCATTTTCGGGGGAGTTGGGGAGAAACACTACGCCGAGTGGATTGCCGAGGTAGGGCTCCGCAGTGAAGACGTCGAGGGTGACGAAGCGCAGATTTTGGGGCATGATGGTGGTTGGATGGAGTGGAATGGTTTTTTTTCGAGGTGAGGATGGTTGGTGGTGGGGAAGATGGTTGATTTAATGGGTTCTTTCCTAACTGTTTGTTTGACTCATTGACCTCATTGACACGGCCCGAAACCCTGAACTGGCGGCATTTCCGGGGCCCCACTCGGTGGGATTCTGCTCGGCATCCACGTTCGTTCGTAACAGTATCATGGAGATGTTCTATTGGAAACAGCGTCGAGGGTTCAACTTATGTACATAATCTACCCGAACTCATTGATGGAGTTCCTTTATCAGCAAGTCGAGTACTAGATGACCAAGGTCCCATCACCAATACTGACGGGGTACTGGTCCAAGAACGTAGGATATCCCATGTCACTCATGATTGGAATGTCGGGTGCCCAGTCCGGGAATTGGCTGAAAAAGGATTGGTCCTGGAAGCCCAAGAATCCATCCACAGCCGCAGGATGATCGGCGGCGGATGGACACGAGGTCCCGATATCTGACTGCGGGACTGACGGCTGGTCTGATGTCCCATCGCGCGCATGTTGCTGATCAGAATGCTGTACCTGCTTGCGGGCCATGGGATACGTGCCCAGTGGGTTCAAGATATGCTCCAAAGTAGACTGGGACGGTCTAGTATGATCACTACTGTCTATCGGACTAGGTTCTCTTATGGAGCTAGTTGCTCTGCGCTCGGGGGGTTCGTGGGAGAATCGTGTGTGGAAGTGCCTCAGCGCCTGAGTGGCTGACTCGTAGTACAGGTCTGCCTTGATGTACCTTTGCAGGTACTTCAGGATTGTGACGTTGGTCTGCAATATACCCTTGTAGTCACTGTGCGACAGGTGAGGGAGCGGGGGGTCGGGCTCTCTCCATGACGAAAGGCTGGTGACCAGGACGCTGCTGCATATCTGCGCGTGTACCGCATAGGGCAGGTCAACGATGCTCAACTTGTGGCAATCCCAGAGATCTTTCAGTAAGGATCCAATATAGACGGCCTTGCTGATACAGGTTCGATGGCAGAGTCTGATGAACTCAACCGGAGCGTTTTCCCGTATCCATTTAGTTGCAGTATTCGGAAATACCAGTCTTGATACACCGATACGGTACAAGTCGTTGAATGTTTGGGCAATGAGAATATGTACGCCGAAGAACAAGTTTAAGCGGCCAGACGCCTTGAAGATGTATATATTTTCCGAAGACATTTTGAGGCTGTCCGGAATGGACGCATCGAGCTCCCTGATCTCACGATCGAGCTTATGAAACTGAGAACTTTCCGTGACTTCCCAGGGGATTTCCCCCTCCAAATGCTTGACATATTTCAAGATCTTGGAGCGGATAGCCATTGCTCTAATGTAGTATGCACGGATATCGAGATTCCCCGCTGCGCCCACCGCTGAAGAGTCAGCGAAGGGAAGTAGTTTGCCCCTGGTCAACATTTCTGTATTGCATGGGGTGTTACGTACAAACAGGTCTTCGGAGCAGGGGAGCTGCACGTAAATATCGCCGGACGGTATTAGGCAAAGCTGGTTGATACCACATTCAATCGAAGCATCGAGGAGAAAGCACGCCCAGAGAACGCGCCTCCTGGTCTCCTTCGCAGCCCATGACATCTTACTCTTCCGGCACAGGACGTCGTCATCATACTCCATGTTCAACTGTAGGAGTTGAACTTGTCTCGCGATGAAGCCTGAGATAAGGAATCCCTTGGCGTAGTCGCCAACTCTCAGGTAATATTCATGGAGCAGGACCCCAGTCATGAGACACTCAATTCGCGGACTCCCAAAGCTCGAAAACATACATTGTAACGCGGCCTCTGCCCAGCCCCGACCGGCGTCGAAGAATAGCACAGCAGAGCTAGGGCCATCCTCCTTAGAAGCGATCACTCGCGCGCAGTAAAATGGAGCAGCCAACGCACACATGACATATATCAAGCCAGACATCTCGGTAAAGATCGTCTTTCGGTCCTTGAAGCGCTCCATGAAGGTCGGAATATGCAAGAACCCCATGCAGCGGACCGTGTGGATGTGAGCGAAGTAAATGTCAATGAGCTCTCGCACCCGATCGATTGGCGGCAAATTTCTCATGACCAGCCATGTCGGGATCGCATGCGATGACCCCTGAACGTGAACCTCCTCTCGCGGGTTCGGTTCCTCCTCAAAGAAAGAACAATGCAGGCCCTTTTTAGTACATCGGGTGCATGCCGAGCCGCCCGAGCACTTGGACTTGGTTCGCTTGCATTCTAAACAAGACCGGAGGACTCGTCGGCGCTTAAGCCCCGCCTGCGTCACAGAATCACTCGAGGTAGGTCCATCGTCTGCCACGGTGGTATCCGTGCCAGCTTCCGTGGTATAGACACACTGCTCGCCAAGATTGCGGCAGTTTCTGCAAAAGCCCGCACTGCGGTCACATTTGATCTAGTGCGCGATGAACGTTAGAGGAAGTGGATTAGTAGACACGTGTTTGATATACGGCTTGAAGCTAGTCGGGACACGTACCTTCCGCCGGCGGCAGATCAGGCAGCTAGCAGGCTTCCTCGACCCGCCCATGGCCCGGCACTATCAGGTGGGTCGTGAGGACGAAGTTCTAGGTCCCGCGAAGAGATCGGTGTCCAGAACACTTTCTTATACGGGGGTGTGGATGGTCTGCTAGCGCCTGAGGCACCCATGCAGGACAGAAATTGAGACCCCGAGACGGCGGCCGACTTCCGCTCTCGGTGGATCTCGGCTACGAAACCCCGCATCTCGGCTGGTCCGTTTGCAGCCCTAACCAGCCCGGATCTTCTATATCCTTTCCCAACACGTAGAAAAGTCAAAGTCGTCATCCGTGTGGATTCTGGCGCGAGACATTGTCAGCCGAGAAAGGAGTAGCTAGATATGTGCCGGTGGTAAAGCTAGGAAACCATTAATAACAGTTTCGTAACATGTAAACATAATAGTTACCCAAAGAGTACAACTCGAGAATTTCATGACGTTATTCTGTTGACTAACATGAACACCCAAAGTTAGAGTGGCTTGTGGGTCTAGACCCTGCAGGAGGGTTACAGTATTATTTATGTATTAAATAGCACAGCGTATATTAATCTCCTATCTATGTACTATAAGGGCACCAGCGTCCACTGAATCCCTGCATATATATATTCATCGTCCAATTGGACGAAAAAAGGTCAAAAACTGCCCTCGGGAAACCATTTCTCGTGGATAAATACTTCCCCTTTATAATTAACATGTGGCTGAGAGCCATTATTTGCCACCGGTTCAACAGTGGTCTGTTTCCGCGCTGTCTTTCCCCTTTCTGAGCGTCAACACAGTAGGAACTGCCACCAGAAGGCTACCAATGCAAAGCCCCCAGTTCATAGCAAACTCGGACATGGCATTAAGCTTGTTCGCATTGATTCGCCAGGCCATGGCTCCCCCCGCAGGCTTAAGAGCAGAGTAGGTACCAACAATCACGGCATTGACGACAGGATTCTGGGACTGCGCCCCGATAATCCAGTAGCAATATGACTGCCAGAACGAGTCATAGGCGCCGTAGAAGAAGTACAAGAACATCGGGCCGAGATACTGGCTCCCCGCCTTGTAGTCAATGTCCTGCTTGAAACCAAGCCGCATGCGCTGGTCATTCCAGAGCTGGAACTTGTAGCCTCCTCCCCAGATCGCCATGCCTGTGACAAATAACACAGCCCAGCCAATGCATGCGCGGGATCGGCGGTTGATCCCTTTAAGATCTAAGACAGAACCCATCAGAAGCCCTCCCACCATCTGAGCGATCCAGTACAATGCGCCATTGAGCGAGCGTGTGCGCAGGTTGAAGGTCATGCCGTTGACGGTATTCTGCTGGTAGGAATAGAACACGTTGGCATTGTAGAACATGGGATACAGGCACATGACCCTCCAGTCGAAAACAATCTTGACGGTCTCCGTAGCCGTGCGCTTGAGGTTTGCCCAATTGAGGGTCTTGGAGTCCTGGGAGATCCTACTGCCGTGATATTTGCGAGACAGTGACTCCGTCGAGCACACAAACACCGACAGAGCCCACCCAAACAGCATCACCACGATATAGGCGATATAGGTGGAGTCGGTCACAGTGCCAGATTTGGAGTGGTAGTTCAGGCCGAAACTGGCAAGAGAGCCTATAGCTCCTCCGAGGTTGAAAATCACCCAAAAGAGCGCGATAGCTCGCCCACGGGTGTTGTCGTTGGTATAGGTAACCATGATCGTACCTTGGGCCACCCAAAAGAAAGCGGCACCGAGGCCGAGAATCGCGCCGGCGGCGATCACGAATGCACCGTTTGACGTTCTGTTGAAGTTTAATAACGACCCTGCGTAGAGCGCATAGGTCCACCCTCCGATCAGGAGAGATAATCGAGGACCGAGGTATTTGTAGAATGCGCCCACGAGAACCAGGGCCGCGCCAGCGGTGCATGCATGCGTCGCGACATTCGAATTCGCAGCGACAGTGCCGTCTACCTGGCCAGAGCCTCCCATTCCTGTGAGAGCATTGTACATACCCGGGTTGCAGAAAGAAATAAACGAAATCAAAGACACTTGAAACCACGGATCATGGTATATTCTTGACCAGATATTTTTGGCTGGCCTTGGGGGTATAAAGTCATCATCACGAGAGGAGGAGGCTACGTCCGGTTCAGCGGACTTTACTTCAGACATTGTGCCGGCAGATCAGGAGCCACTGTAAAGAATTCCAGTCGGGGGGAAGAAGGCATGCGTGTATAAATACCCAGAGGTGCAGCAAAAACTCTGGTTTCCCATTGCGCCAGGCGAAAACCAGACAAGGTAGGGATGATAAATTAACCCAGAACAGAACAGGATTAGCGGTTGGTGAAGTTACATTTGCTAAAGAGACCTAAGTCCTGAATGCCGAACAAGAGTGCAAGACTAAATTAGACTACTGCAGGCTACGGAGTAGGCGAACGTGCCACTTTGGCACGCGGTGCAGTTCGGATAGATATTGGCGGATATCGGCCACCGACTTCCACTCACGCCATCTATCGCCAATTGCTAGTATATGACAACCCTTGCTGAAGCGCATTTACTTCCTTCCAAAAATAACAATACACCAGGCACATGTCAATTTCTAGCGGCATCGCGTGCAGTCGCTAACCCTCAGCCCATGGCGCCATCGAAATATGTTGAACGTCTGGACCTCCTGCAGACAGAAGCCCTAACCTCAACTGCGGACAAGATCGATCTTCTTGACACGCTGGACCTTTGTGAAGAGTTCAACAAAGAGGAGAGTCGGGTAGGGAGTGCTGTCGCGTGCTGTCTACCCGATATTGCATCATTGATTGATGATTTGGCTCCGCGACTCGGAGCTGGAGGCAGGCTCATCTATGTCGGAGCCGGCAATAGCGGCCGAGTCGGGTTCATGGACTGCAGTGAACTGCCAGTGACCTTTTCAGTCGACCCCCGGCAATTTCTTACCATTGTTGCAGGTGGTACTGAGGCCATAATTCATGCCCAAGAAGGTGCTGAGGATGTGGAGAGTGACGGGGCTCTGAGAATGGAAGCCCTCCAACTCAATGAGAAGGACACAGTGATTGGCATCTCCGCGTCGGGACGAACCCCATTTGTTCTAGGAGCACTTCAAGTAGCTCTCAAACATGATGCCCTCACGGCGGGAATTACGAACACGCATCCGTCCAGAATTGGCAAGCTCGGGGTCAAACACCTCATATGTCCTTTGGTTGGTCCTGAATTTCTCACGGGCAGCACTAGACTCAAGGCAGGCAGCGCTGCTAAGCAGATCCTCAATATGATTAGCACCTGCTCTATGGTAAAACTCGGAAAAACATATAAGGGTCTCATGATTGATGTTCGGGTGAATAACTGGAAGCTGAAGGCACGTGGGAGAAGAATTGTGCGTCAGGTCTGCAATGGAGCCCCGATGCATATCATAGAGGGAAACGGACTACCATCGACACTGGCGGTTGACATCCCTGAAACAGCTGAAGGCGATGCGGTCATTGACCATCTCATCTCGGAGTGTCATGGCAGTGTCAAGCTAGCCTGCGCCGTGGCTATCTCTGGATATCCTCCAGATGTTTCCAGGCGGATGCTTCATGCTGCTGGCGATAGCTTTCACATTTTTGTTGAAGGAATCAGAAGGGTTCCGCCAAAGCCCATGTCCCTTCAGAGTGAGTCCGATTACTGCCTTTGCGTGGACGGTGGTGGAACAAACTGCACTGTTTCGATTGCAACACAGTCAACGGTTGTCGGTCAAGGGGTGGCTGGTCCCTGTAATTTCAATTCGGTTCCTTTAGAGGAGCTTATGGATCAAATAAAGTTGGCCACAGACCGGGCATCCTCGGTGGCCCTTGCGAGGCAGGGATTTGGCCATCCCAATATACTAAGATTCTCAAAGGTCTGGGTAGGATTAGCTGGGCTGTACCACGCGGACCAGATTGCAACATTGACCCATCGTCTGGAGGACCTTTTTGGTGTTTCTATAGATCAAGGAACACTGCGCCTGACCAGTGATGGTATACTTCTTGGCTCTTGTATTGCAATGGATGACTCGGTCGAATGTGCAATTTCCGTGATCGCCGGAACAGGATCTGTAGCAACTGCCTTCAAAAAGGGGCCTTCGAACGAGATTGTCCAAGTCGGTCGGACAGGAGGCTGGGGGTATCTAATTGGGGACCAAGGGAGCGCTTTTGATATTGGAAAGAGAGCACTGCAGCTTGTTTTGTCTAGTGTGGAGCAAAAGCAGTTTCAAGCTACTCACGAGCTCTCGGAGTTCGAGAGGGCGATCCTGGCAGAACTCAACTCTAACGAAGCAGGCGTCCTTAAAGACATATACCACTCGAATTCGGGGCCTAAAGAGAAGATAGGTGACTTGGCGAAGGTTGTCACAAAGTTAGGCTTCAGAGCACGGGATCCCAATCCTCAAGCGTTAGGGGTTCTAATGTCTTCAGCCGGTACTTTGGTTCAGCAAGTCAAACCGCTGGCCGAGATCTGTGATCCCCATAAATGTGCCCTCATTCTGTCGGGTGCATTGATGAACCTCCCGGCGTATCAGGGCCTAATCCTACGAGAATGGGATAAACAACAGCAGCTACCGTTTAAGAAGGTTCTAGTGATTAATGATGCATCAGGCTATGCTGCTCAGTTTCTAGCTAGACAAAATATGACAACAGAGTAGCCATGTCTATTCAGCCTATACCTCTTTCCACTTGTAGCTCTGCGGTGACAGCCAGGATTATGATTGTAAAAGCTATCATATAAACAGGCCATTTATTCATCACAGTAGACAGATCATCCATAGTGATGAAAGAAAAAAGTGATTCATGCGTTTTGGTGTGCAAGACGTCCGGTTTCAGTTGCTATTGCATTCGGTTAATTCCGAACCCTCGTTTCCAACATACAACCGAGGTCTGATAATTTAAATGCATTCCTGTTACTTTCCCTTCTGGCAGTATCCTGGCATGACGATATCACAAAAACACACGAGGCTACCTACTTCAAACGCGCGAGGATGTACTTCTTTATGCCTCTGTATCGCGGGCTTGTGTGGTATCTAAGGATATGGCCAAGGCAATAGAGGTGATAATATATCTATCAGGTCCTCAAGCGTGTATGCTCAACTTACTCTTGTCTAGAACAGCACCTGCGCAGATTACCATTCTGGAAGTGATATGCTCTTTAGCCCAAGCGTCTTCATCTCTCCAACAACCATCCTAGGCATGTGGCAATGACTACATCCGGATCTGTGTGCACAGGCAAACGATTGAAGATTTATAGTTAGCCAAGACAGCTGCTTGAGTAAGTCTCTGTAACACGGCTCTGCGTAGACTATTGAAGATCCCCCAATGCTTTTCCACAGCCGTCGACTATCTTCTGCGACTGTCTTGTTGCCTGATATCGAGAATAGAGGCTCGAATATCTTTTCTAGTATATAAAATTCAGCGCGCCCTTTACCGGTAAATTCTTAAATTCCATCGCGTCAGCAGCTACTACCGGCGGGCATTCCACACTCCCAATTTCGAATTTAGCTATCCCAGGTACTTCCCCGGGGTATCTATTGACCAGATATAGATATCCTTCCGCTATATTCTGTCCCATGAATGCAAAATAGCCTTTATAGGTTACGATCCATTGATTGTCGAATGCAGTCGCGATAATAGGTTTGTGCTGCGCTATATCCCCCTTCTCAAGATCGACAACTTCGGTTATACTCTGAAATGTAATCCTTGTCCCAGCCTTTTAGAGTGTACGCTTAACCACGTTTCGACATTATCATAAAGTTGAGTGTTGTTCCAACAAGGAGCGCTGATAGGAGTTCGAGCTTCCAGTTTGAAGGAGCAAAGGTAGGGTGCTGACCCACGAAATCATCAACCCTTGATATAATCGGCTGCCACTTGTTGTTACGTAGCAGAGGAAACGGTATGTTCACAGCTGCTCTATCAAGTTTTCACTGCTTCCCCCTTTCGGGGCAGTTACCACGGGTCTCGTCCTCGCACCGTCACAAACAGCGTCCGAGCCCTTTACCATTATGATTAGTTGGTGCACCTCACCCCGGTCCTTTAGGGCAAGGTGTCGCTTATTTAACAGTACCTCCAGCTCAGGTATTCCTCACCTGGGACTTTATGTAACGAATCGATCGGTTCGGTATGTATATATTCTCTTAATGTAAAATAATAGTCAAACGCAGCACGCGTACCGAATCGCATTAAATCGGGGATAACAGTTGTCCTATTGTTAATTATGAACGATTGCCACAACATATTTGACATCCTCTTTGATTCCTTCCCTTTCTAACAGTGTCGGGTATTGATATCGCCAGTATCGGAGGATCAAGGCTCTCGGCCAAAGCGATTTAGAGTAGGACAAGCGCTCTCAAATAAGACGTTTGGTTCGATAGTCTGTACATAAAACAAATGGATAAAATTGAAGATAAAGACTGTAACCCTCCTTATCTGTCTCTAGAGAGCAAGGCGTATTGTATTAGATAGGTTCTAGCAAGAGAGGAGGTGGGGTCTGTAGCTTTTAAGAATAGCCGTTCTGTAGTGAGAGCTCGGCTGCCTTTCTTTTCTGTACTACTGTGAATCAGGGAGTGAATGTCATTACAGAGGTTAATCGTTCAAAGATATCACTGAGAGTATTCATAGTCTTCACCCAGGGAGCCGGGGACATGACCTGGTTCATGTCTTTCACCCTCCGCAAGGCTGCAATTAGGGCTAGGCGAGGCATCCCCAAATCGTACTATACGATACGAGTATACCACGCAATAGACTAAACCTGTAAACTTCCCTTGAATACGCACACGACCTTCCAGAATACGCTCAATCCACAGCGCACTACCCACCCAGCCATCTAATCCCAAAGAAGACAATCAGGCCACCGCAAGCCCACCACAAACTCCCATGCCAAAACAGGAGTAATCAAGCACCTCCCGATTGCCCCAAACCGCAACCCCAACCCCAACCCCCACCCCCAAACAGCACAAAGGAAAAGCCAGAAAAGAAAGAAAGAAAGAAAAAACAAACAACACACGTGTGCCTCAGGGGCCCCACACTCCAAAACCAACGCAATCCCGAGCGCTCGGAGGCAAAGCAAGTACCGAACCTCAAACGAACAGGCTAAGTGGGCCCCCGAACCCGAACCCAAGACGCGGTAGCGAACCGAACAACCAGGGCAACTCTAACAGCTTTTCACTCGCCCAGTATCGATCGGTTGACCCAAGATTTCAGCTCACCGTGCATGAGCCAGGAAAATCTCTGGTACCGATCTCCATCTCAATCTCAATCGCAAGGACTTGCACACCGATCAGATCCGTGTCCCCTCCCGACTCGTGCGAGAGGAGATCTTCAGGACTTCCGGGCTTCCCGCAACGCGGCTCAGATTCGCTTCCGGTATGGCTTTTTTTCTTGGGGGGCGTATTGTCCCGTGCATTGTTGCTAGGAGAATGAAAATTTTCTTTTTTGTCTCGGGGTTTGATAAAGCTTGACTCGGTGGAGAAGAGGGATCTGAAACGAGGGTGTTTGTTAGCCTACTTTGTTTTTTTTTTTTTTTTTTTTTTTGGGGATTATTGTCTTTCTCTCTTCCTTCCTTCTTTCAGCCTCATTGAGATGTTGGCCTGTTTGCCCGTGTGTGTAGTTTTCCATTTGAGTCTTTTTTTAGTATCAATCTTGCGTTTTCTTTGTTCGAGATCATGCAGGGCACACGGCACCCTGCGTGCCTATCTCTTTTCTTAGAAACCCATTGATTGCATAGATTAAGGTAGACTACATGCATACAAGGAGTATAGTACTAGTACTTACTGCGCAGTATGCAGGCAGGAAAGCTTAAGCCAATACGACATGAACTACACACTCACACAAATCCCATTATTCAGCGGAGATGCAAGTGAACTGATTTCAGCCTGGGATCTGCATCTGATTAAATTTCAGGATCAAGGCTACGTCAACCCTTCCCGGTTCTTAATATCCAGGGACGATAAAGAAAGGAGGCGAGAAAAAAAGAATAAAAAATAAATCGTTGCGTATCCGGATAGACTTACCTTGGTAGACTAGGGCAAATCCCAACAACCTTACACCCGAACGCTCGCTCCCCAAACGGAAACCCCATCGCGAACTCGCTGACAGTGCCGATCATGGAATCCAGATCGAAGAGTCCCGCACGGACGAAACGAGCCCTAGGCCCAACTGAGAGATGAAGGCCGGCAGAGCCGCTCGGTTCGGGTAGGTCCAGGAGAGACAACCCCCGACTGCGCGAGTCACGACAGCGTGGAATACGAAGACCGTGGTGGCAAAAGTCACGGGGCTGAGATAGTGGTCAACTGGGATTCTTCCCGCTGTTGAAACCCTGGACACGAGGTACAGTGGGGGAGAAAGTCGCTCGGGTTGGTGATTGATAATGGATACGGCGTAGATGACGACAGAGGGCTGAAGGATCATGGAGAAATGTCCACTTTCAATCTCCCCAGCCGTCCGATTGATTCATGCCAATGTAACGTGACCGTCTCTGTATCTTCAATGGGATGGGGGTTCGCTTACAAAAGGGAGCTGAATGTGGGTCGTTCGGCTCGGGATTCAATTTGATATCATTTATTTGACTTTTGAGAACGGGAGCAGAAGTCAACTTCTTGTATATTTTTTGCATCCAATTGGGTATTGAGTATAACCGGCCCGGTTCGGCCCACTCCAGGAGGTACCGTCAACGAACTGAGTCTTCGGCATTATGATACAGGAAATGAAAGGTCTTCAAGAACAAGGTGGATGCGGTCCATATCGACCGGAGAATAAGGTTCAAAAATCAAAGCCAAGAAAGCCGCCGCCGTAGAATGAGGAGAGGAAAGCAGAAACCCCAACGCCTTGAACGCTCAACAGGAACCGCTGGACAAATCCGTGTAAAATGAGGGAAACCAAAATAGTAACAGGAAAAGTAAGGATAGGTATCAAAATGAACAAATTCGTCCAAAGGAGGGTCAAATTAGGACAGGGAGAAGCAAGGATCGAAAGAGAGAGAGAACAGGCAAACTGTAGCCAGGCGTGTCATTGCAACTTGCTGGAATTAAGCATTAAGACTTTTGATGGTGGACTTCCGCTTGGATCCGAACATAAACCCCATGAAGCTCTTTTTTCCAGCCGGGTCGAAAGATTCGACGGTCGACTGCCGGATGCGTCGCAGACTTTTCTTTCGCTTAACTTTCTGCTGGAAATCGGTCTCAGCCACATCCCGGGGGTCCAAGCTGTGGACGCTCTCGACCTCAGACCGGAGACTGCTGGACGAGTAGATGCTAGAGGATGTCGAGGTTTTCTTCAGGGGCTGTCGGAGTGGCGTGGGGGTGCGACCAAAACTGGAAGTGCTATAGGTGGAGCCGGATCGCTCACGAGTGAAAGAGGGGGAGGAATAATATGGAGAAGGGCTAGCGGTACGAGATGGCGGGCAACTAGACTGCAATGGTAATCCATGCACAGATTTGGCACTCGAGTGAGTGTAAGACATAGACCTCGTCCGAGAGTCGGCATCAGCACTGGTAGGGGCTTGACGGCCGTGAAAGAACGGAAGGCTCGCGCTGCTCAGACTCTTGATCGATGGCGGACGGCGGAGAATATCCGTAGGGCGACGGGAATGCATCTCTGAGGAGGCCTTTTCAGACACAGCAGTTGCAGGGCGTGGGAATGTCATCGAGTGCATAGGAAGTGTCATCGGAGATGGCAGTTCATGCACCTCGACTGGTGAGCTGACGATGGGGCCTGATGCCACCATGGGTAGCCGCTCAAGATCACGAGTGGTCAGCAGCATGCTGCCTCGTTTTAATGCTTCATTCTTCGCGGGAGTTTGATCCCACTTGTTCCATAGTAAGGGCTGAGAAGCCGCGGCCCGTCGATGCGAGTACAGCCCCTGAGAGCCGCTATCGTTTGAATTATCCTTGATAGTATTAGGTGTAGGGGTTGAGTCCTTAAAGGGGGAGGGGGAGTGTTCGGAGACTGGGCTGATTAGGATTAAATTAGGTTTTGCAATGGGTTCAACGATCTTGACCTGCTCCGCTACGAGCAGGCCCGAATCCTCATCATCAGAATACACCGATGCCGAGGAAATAGAGGCGAGAGATTGAGGTCTCGTCGACACAGGTGACTCCGAGGGAACATATACACTGGGAGGCAAGAAGATTGGAGATTGCAGGGGAGATGCAGCGTCAGGGGATGGCAGCTCAATGATCACGTCGTCATCATGTTCGAAAATGTACGAGTCCGCTACGAATGTCGTAGCACTGCTTCGTTTGATGGTGTCCATTGATACCGGGCGTGACGTTTTCCCGGAGGATGAATATGTAGGCAGTAACCGAGGGAAGCCGGGCCTCTCGATCTCGGACTCGTTGATGTCGGAATTTGATGGCTCATAAGCCTCCACGGGAGAGAAAGCATTGTCGTGTCCACCCATTTCAGACTCCGAGATATCCTCCTCGTCCGACTCGTACCGCCGTGGTAGATGCTGCTGGTTGATATAATCCAGACGAATAGGCCCTGCGGTGTCGTACATAGTCTCTTCCACCGACCGTTTCCGGGATGGACCAGGACTGAAAGGAGATCAAGTTGATTATAAGAAAGAATGGCAAGTAGACAAGCCGTCGTTAATGATCGGGTCCGCGATAATGAGGTAGGAAGGACGGCGACGGCAATAATGATCAATGTCACCGGATAAGAAGGACGATACACTCACGGTATCATCGACAATAACAAATGAGCGTGCGAACAAAAGCAGTAAAAAATCAACAGAGAAGGACCAGAGACGAAAGTAGGGGGAGGGTCGCAGGTGAGGAAGGACAGGGACGTCAAAGAGTGAGACGGATACAGGTGAGATATAACTACTAAGAGCAGACAATCATCCTTTTCTTTTTTCTTTTTTTCCCTTTTTTTACCCTTTTTCTCCTTCTCCTCCTGTCCCACACGGGTTGGTATGCTCTAAAAGAAGTGGATCCCCTTGTCTCTGAAGGTTTGAACAGGGAGGAGTGGAAAAATAGCCACCCTCGATGCCATGAGATCACACAACCTTCGGAACGGAGGACGGACCACGCACTCCATTGATCTCCACCGGGCGGACTATCCGTTGTATCGAGAGTGGAGAGACAGAAGGAAAAATGGTAGGAATGTTTGGTTAGTACAGTAGTCAGTACAAGGGAAAAGCCGTGCACACGTGGAATCACGTTTGGAAAGGGTTTTTTTGTCCTGGTCTTTTTATTTTTATTTTATTTCTTCTTCTTTTTTTTCCCTTCCTAATTACTTGTTCTACTAAATGATTTATTTTATTCTCTATATAATATGAACATGGATTAAAAGAAGAAAACATAGAATAAAATGAATCCATACAGTATTTTACAGTAATTCTCTAATTTTTATTTTATCTTAGTCGATTTCATTTCATTCGATTTTATTTAATTATTTTTATCATTTCCCTTACCGGTTCTCTCCTGCAAGCCGACAAGTGGACCGTTGCCTCAGGATATCACTTCAGGTTTAACCCTTGCATTTGCAGAGTTCTTGACTAACACCCGAACTAACCCTACATTGGCGACAAACGACAAAATACCAGAAATAACTGGGACGCAACACGAGAGAGAGCCGCTGGAATAAGCTCGGTTATCTCCTGCCGGCGTAGCGCGTTACAATTCAACGCCATCCGGGCACAAACGAATAATGAAGGGGAAACAGCCCGGGGGAGCTGGTGTAATTTTAGCTTTCTGTCCTGCTTTACACGACACCCTGGTTCGTACCTTGAGAAGCGGAGGTAATCTTAACCAAAAAAAAAAAGAAAAGAAAAGAAAAGGAAAAACAAGAAAAGCAAAACCAATGACGAGAGGTTCGAGTCGGGGGGAAGAATTGACGTATCAACGTGAGCTGTCGACAGGGGAGGTCAATGCAGTGACCATGGATGGACGGAGCTTCTTTTTAGGGCCACCAACTTTGGCGGCAACATCTAGATTACTTTAGTATTACTTAGTGGAGATCATGTGCGTCTTCCCCTTTCGACGGTTTAAACCGTTTTGCAAGCCAAATTTTCTCGTCTGTCCTCTTTTTGCCGATCGACGATTTGAGAGATGGTATGACTGTTCATTGGGTGCGTTGGCCAGGGGGAGGGTTCTTCGCTGCCGAAAAGATTAGTAGGGACCGTGTGGAATACGACGCCTTTCCCATGGAACGCGAAGAATTTTCCATTTAATCTATCGTCATCGGACTATGACGCTCTGAAGGGTGTTTAATATGCTTCTTCATCAAGGGTGCTAACTATTGTCGGTCCTATATCATTGACTATCGAGAGTCCTTCAGCGCAAAACGTCTGTGCTGGGAGGGTTTCGTCTCCTGTCCTAAGCCACATGGGGCAGCATTCCGTGAGAGACTAAGTCACTTAGAGTGCCTTAGATTCATGTTTGGCCGTTTGTTATTGATAGAGAACGGAAATGTGAATCAAGTGAGGCCGCCCCACTAAAAAGAAGTGGGGAAATGTTGCAGCAAATAAAAGAGAGAAAAAGGAAAGAGAAAGAAAGAAAGAAAGAAAAAGCAGGCAACTTGGCCACAAAAGGGTTGAAACCCATTCGATTGCTCGGATCGAAGCCAAAAAGAACAAGAAATGGAATTTTCTCAAACAATAGTGAACAACCTTCGCCATGACCACCCTCCGATCATCCCCAATTATCATGTATCAAAAAGTCAAAGGACTCCTCCTGAATGGGGACCGGAACCAGAGAAAATCACCTCCAAGGACCACCCACTCAGGGAAAGCTGCCAAGATCTCCGTTGCTGCACCACGGTGGAGCATCTCTTAACTCAAACACACCATTTCGAGCATTAACCCCAAAGGAAGCACACTAGTTTGCTCTTCCCGCCTTGGAGTTCATTCGCCTCAACAATCCATGGAAATTTTTAGTCAGGTAATACAACCAAGGCCGGTTTTTTTTCCCCCCTCATGGTGGACGAGGGACGAAAAGAGAGCGAGAAAATTCTCCGATTTGCCCAACAAATAGGAGATTTTTCTTATCGGCGCCCACAGCAATAGACTCGAACCTCCCTACTGTTTGACTCGAACCCTTGCAGTCCTTTGTGTCGGTCTGTAACAAGAGGGAGAATTCCCCCACAACCTGCTCTTCGGATATAGCATCCGAAGAGAACCGAGCTCAATGGTTCGTGGAGTTTAAAAAAGGAATCAATATTCCTATATATATCACCATGATACATCGTGGGTGGTTGACAGCTTCACCGACTTTCGAAACTCTCTACAACATCTTGGAGGTTGACATGCAATAATTAGGGCACGGAGGCGAAATTACCCGATTCGGCCGACTAAGACAATAGGAGGCTGGCCACCATGATCGTCGTCACCAATGCATAACCAATCCTCTGATCTTCATAAAATTAGACAAGCATAACCCACGGGACAACAATCAGTAAACAAATAAATAAATAAATAACTAAATAAAGGGAAATCAAAGCAAGTGCGGCAGGTTCAACCGCCCCCCGTTGAGCTGCAGGAACACGATTATGTTGCAAGGTGAAACAATCCCGAAAGCGCATGGACCAAGGCATACACCACGGTTTCGTTTCTTTCTTTCTTTCTTTTTCGCGCTCTTATCGGTTGAAAAGGAGATATTTCGGAGGCATACGAACTTTATGCCCGGATGGAGGAACAGCTATCGGGTTGAGATCGCAGTAGACATACATGTGGCTGGAAGATTGAGCGACATACATGATGCGCGCGCGCTCTTTCTCTGAACCCTGTACGGAGGGGACGCTGCAAGTATGACTGCATGGTTACACGTATGTAGGTGTGTAGGACCACGTACGTGCCGTCCAGCATCGAATCGACTTTCGCCTGAGTCGTACAGCCATGCTTCTCCCTTGCGTTGGGGTTTTCTCGAGTCGCTCAAGTCCAGCCCGCCAGATGGCCAAACCCTACAGCAAGTACAACCTGATGCAGCAACGATCGCCCGCAAACCTGCCTAACCATCAAGAAAATGCCTAAGCAAGATGTAGTTTAGACTTTCCCAGATCGCTTAAACCAGTAGATAGTGACGATGATACACGTATCATCTGCATGGCGATATCGTGGCGTCTGATCATTGTCCCCAGCCATCACCAACCTGCCAGCTTCCCCAGACGCTCAGATGGACGCGAAACTTAGATGCAGGGTGATGGGCAATACAACTACCAGGCCAGGTAGGACACGAAAGGACCAGAAAGAGAGCCCAACATGGGTAGGTACAAAGATACCGTCTTTTCCGGCACCAGGATGAGAGATAAAACTCATCGGCAAACTTTCTTTCCCCTCCACGGCTTACGATTTTCCTTCCCAACCCCACTTCTCGTCAGGCCTTGCAATATCCTTGCGAAAAGCCTCAACTGCTGTTGACTAAATGGCAACTCTCTTGTTCAACGTCAGCCTCCCCACTATCCTTACCCTTCGTTGACTAGTAACAGCCTTGGAACTCAACACTGCTACCGTTCGGACTTGGCTGGAGAAGACACGTCGTCGTAGGGATTCATCAGGTGTCCATCTACCAATAACCATACGGCCGAGAGATTAGCGTGGTAATGGAGCATCACGACTGCAACCTCGGGATGGCCGTGTTCATGTTGAGCTCTTATTTCACAAAGTAGGCTTACAGTTACATAGTGATCATCACAAGTCATTTGCATACCCTGTACTATAGCCACACGCTACTAACGAGGTAATCAAATGGCACAAGGCCAGAGACAACCCAGTAAAAACCGTAATAATCGCCACATCTCACCCTACAATCTGCATACATAACTGACCGCAACATAGTAAACGCTAATGTGATAAGCCCTGTACCCCAGTTGATAACCGAACCGCATTATTGGTAATGCAACTGTACAGACTCCTAGATATGCAGGACTAGACGAAAGCCAAGTTCAGAGTCAGGCACAAGGCACCGAAGGTGGCGGCATGGCAGGCACCCAAGGGCACAAATCCCGAGGGGCGCCACGGGATCTTCCACCGTTTATTTCGTTCATGATTAGTAGATAGGAATCGAGAATGGAGAAAGAGCAAGCCAGAGAATGCATCTATGGTACGATGGTGCAGAATAGTGACAGGGGGGGATAAAAGCCGAGTCAATGCCGAGATTACCCTAGACAGGGAGCGGGAAAACGCGCGCCCTTCATACTAAACAGCGACGAGGGAGGGAATTCTTTGTAGGCATTGTTCGCGGTCCCTAGATTTCTGTTAAGGATAGGGATCGCAGGGTATAGAATGCAGGCATGGATGAGGGAAGAAAGATTCCTTTGCTCCGGTTCCATTGCCTTGTGAGATGTGATGTGATATGATATGTAGAGCCAAGAGCCAGGAAATTATCCTGACAGCGATGATCTTGCCAAATTCAGCATAATCCGAGGAGATCATCTTCTCGTGAGGATTCGTCCCGTCTTCTTTTCTTCATCGAGCTACGACGGCACTGGCACTGCCTTAACCCCAGACAGCCATGGAAGATAAACTCCGACGAGGCAACTACTCAGTAATTTGCCTTGTTTTTGGCTGACCGACTTTCGACCAAGGTCACTCTGCGATTAATAATAGAAAAATTTCCCAGGCTATACTGCTAGCAGCAGCACTAAAACGGTGACTTGTCCGAATAGGAAATGGACGGACTTGGATTCATGGAAAGCCATATGATCTGATCTTCCTCCCGGTGGGAACATAATAACGGTGTTTACCCGGACAATAGGAATCGCACCATTGGGGGAGGGGGCAACTGTCATATCCACCGTCGTTTCCTTAGTGCACTCGCGGTGCATAGCACTGACAGTCTTCTCCGAACGAGTCGGAGCGACTCCAGATGGGTCCTGAGGGCCTCACGTGATGGCCCCTTAAGACGACGCCCTTGACCGCTCCGGGACACGCAACCCGTTCGTTCCCTCTCTTACAGTTAGTTATACATCACCACTTAGTTGTCTTGACGGGTCTCGCTATATCCCTTGAGAGTCTCCATATGTAACTTCGTCGACCCTCCCCAGTACTCGGGTCAGCCTGCACGCGTCCCGTTGAGGACAAGAGCAACCGTCTCAGAGGATTAGTATTGTGCAGCGATCAGCAGGGCATTATATCCGTGATTATCCTTCCACTCTGGGCCCACTGCGTCTATAGCAAGCTGCTTCACGACGTCCAGCCAAAACTTTGTGGCGAGATGAAGCGGTGTTGTATCCTTGACAACTTTTACATTTGGATCGACACCTTACTGTGAGAAGCAGCTGTACGATCTCTGTATACCCAGGGCGAGCGGCTAGCAGAAGAGGAATGCGTCCACGGTTATCTTTCGAAACCGAATCCACACCCTTAACAGCCAGAAGGGCATAGCTTCCGAAGCTGCCGGTCATTCTGAATATTGAGGGTAACAGTCGCGGCCGAGGTTAATCTCATCTGCTCCTCACTGGGCGGTCTGTACACGCACAGTGCGCTTGGTGCACGATCAACAAATTCAGCATCACATCCGGCCTAATGCGGAAAGGGAAAAGTCGCCAAGATGTCATATCATATTCAGGTACCGGATCCACCACATGGATTTCTTGCTCGAAGTTCAAGAAACAAACATTGACTACAAGAACATCTCGGAAGGAGAGTTTCAGATGCCAATAGTGTCCAAAACTATTGGCTTCCACCATGGTCCGCTGGGATGGTTAGCCAGTATGGACGTACTCCGTGTACTCCGTATGTGGAAGACTCAAGACAGAGAGTAGTGTTCTCCGAGACTTCGGAAGCAATTTAAAAATCAATAGTCCTCCGAGGCTCTCCACTAGATATCCACCTCGAAGAAAACGGGACTTGCTATAAATAAACCTTGGGCAAATGGGAGAAAGAGCCCTAAAGTGCGAGATGTCATATATATGATCTGATCTGTATAAATCAAACCTTGGTTCTCATGGCATTGAGCTACTGGCTTATAAGCGTCTGTGTTAATTAAACACTAATCCTACGTGACTGTCGCCCTTACCTAATGTATTGAGACTGTGTTCTTGGTTTGCTCTTCGCTCGTCCGAGCTTCCAACATAGTAGCTGTGGATGGTTCTCCGTCGTGGGTGGACTCCGGGTTCTACCATTGTAGAATGAAACGGTAGCTTACTTGGTAGGTGGTAATTTCTTATCCCCTTCATCTCCGACCTTTCTGTGGAGTGTGAGAGCCCACAGGGAAAACATCAACGTCTTGCTTGTCCCCAAGAGATATCAGGTTTCGCGAGCACAAACCTCCAAGGGAAATCATGGTATCAGAAGATGCCACCCTATCAACTCTCCGGGTCACCCTATACTTCCGATAGATGCCTATGAAAAGACTGATAGATGACAAATCTCATATGATCCCTTGCATGTATGAGGCTTCGTATGATCTACGTATCAACCATAAAATATCCGGACGCATAATGAGGCCATAGCTCTCATTCCCCCTGGATAAAAAATGTCTTTTATGAACATTATCACTCTGAGCTCTCCTGTGCCAGTGATCACTGTGCTTGATATTCACCGCTATGTCTATGAAGTGTCCTCCTCACCCGCTTGGAATTAGTCCAGCGCCCTTGAAATGAGAATGGCCCGAACTACTCCGGACTCGAGCATAAACACTAAACTTCATGGCATCTCATCCAAAACCCTTGGATTCCATTATCTCTCAACAAGTAACATTTGACTCGTTTATCTCCATAGTGACTAATACTACCTTTGCTGCTGACCCATATATGCCATGCACACCGTACACTACTTCTCACTTCTTGCGTAATGGCTCTTCTACCTTTGGTTCTAGTTGTTTTGGTTAAAATCCTTCCTCCTCCCTACACCTTTCTCTCTCTCTCTCTCTTCTAGTGCGGCACTGTCAGCTTTTATAAATATACATCTATGCTAGGTGTAGATCTACAGTTGTTAAGTAGACTCACGTTCGATCCTGCATCTGCCTGTACATATCAGCAGAGTGCGACTCCGACTACTAATAAGAATGAAACGTTCCTCTCTCAAACGTGCTATGGTTTCAAAGATCAGAAGGATTTATCATTCGACCCTGTTTTGAGGGAATTAAGTGGATTTATTCACTATTTTGAATGTGTGTGCTTCGGGAGATCTTGGTTCTATTGTTAGTTTTCCCTGACCTCGTAGTTTCTATGACTCTATGTATTATGGAATATCGAATATCTGGTATAATCGTGACATGTACCAACAGTGAGAATGGTCACCTTATGGTCATAGTGTATAATTTTGTAGGGTATCGCGTATATCAATAGGTCCTTAGTACATGGACTTGCTTGAATGCATAGCCTACAGTGCGCCTCTCAACGATTCGACATGACTATAAGTGCCTAGAAATGAGAATTTCTGCATATGATTCAAAAAGTGTAAGAAATATATATACATTAGCAGTAATATCGAATATTTTTCTGTTCATCTGGTAAAAGAAAACACACATGACCATGATTACATTTAAGTTTAGCTGGCATCTATAAAACTTCACAATTGGTGTAAAAAGACATTGATGGGGGAAAAGAAAAAGAAAAAGAGACGGGTGCAACCAGCAGCACCCGGCAGAAGACGTGATAATAAGGTAGAATACAGACTGGCAACGATCGGAGCAACTTGGGCCACTTCGATGCGTTCCCAGGCAGAAGAGAACCCCTCACACATTAGCTGGAAGCTGGTATTGCACATTCATATGTAGCAAAGCGACATTGACGTGCATCATGGCCGCGAAGTGAAGGCGACCAATATCATAATGGTCATACATTAAACAGATAAAACATTGAGCACCAGATTAAACGGTTGAAAATGCAAATCGAGAAGTGTCTCGTTCTTGGTGTCTTTCGCCAGGAGTTGGCAAAAGATCCAATCAGAACTCGAACGGGACCGAAGCGAACATAACTCCTGGAACGAATTCTGCTGGCCCTCCTGTGGGCCCTCTGAAGGTATGATTATACCAAGCGGATCGCTCCATAGGTCGCGCCAATGTCATTCCAAAATGCCAAAGGGATATGATGGACTTAGGCCTTGCGGGAGCGGGTGACGGGGCCGTTGGAGCGGCCAGAAGCGGTTGCCGCTCCGTTCGACTTGGCGCTGCCATTGGCTGCGCTTCCGTTGGCAGAAGGGACGACCTCCATCTTGGCCATATCGATAACAGCCTGTCTGCCAGTGTTGCGACGGGGACGGCCGGTCTTGGCTGCCTTGTTGTAGGTAGCGATGTAGAAGGAAATGAACAAGAACAGGTAGGAGCTCAGGATGGCCATTCCGGCGAAGGCAGCGAATTCCTCTCCAGCGCACTTGCCCATGTTCGGTGCCCAGGGGAAGTAGGTGGACGAGAAATAGGTGTAGGATGCAAAGTAGACAAAACCTAATTGTGTGATTAGCAGCGGTCCCTCCCGAACGTCAACAGCCATGTTACTTACCAAGATCGATAACGAACTGGATGATCTGGAGACGGGTGATCCACTCCTTCCACCAGATACGGATGCCACGGGCGCTCTGGAAGTAGTACCAGTACATGACAACATGAACCAGAAGGTTAATGGTGATAGGAACCCACTGGACGGCGGTCAAACCGATAAGCTGGGTGTAGCAGAGGAGAGCGGTGGCACCGTGGTGGTAAGTGTGGAGGAAGGTCAAAGGCTTCTTCTTGAGGAACAGGAAGACGGTGTCGATGAGTTCCAGGTACTTGGTCAGGTAGTTGAGCTATTGACGCGTCAGCATTCCCGTTATTAGTCTGAATCTCTCATCGTCACGGTACTAACATAGTACAGAACAATCAGGGGCTGAGTCCATCCACCCTCGTAGTCGCAAATGGCGAAGAAGATTCCATTTCTCCAGATGGTGGGCAGAAGCTGTTCAATGAAAAGGGCCAGCAGAGTCGCACTGATCGCGGTCAAGTAGAAGTTGTGGATCATGAACAGGGTGTTGAGCTTGAGGGCAGGGAAATTCTTCATAACCATACGGCCTCCGAAGATCACGATGTAGTAGGTCACGAGCATCGCGGCGGTTTCCCGGAAGCCGGACATGGGGGTCTCTCCCTCAACAAACTTGAACTCGCTGGCGGGATAGCCCACAACCTTCTCGAAAGCCTGGTCGAAGATAGGCCAGAGGTGGATGCCAAACGGCCGATCAATCGTCGGACGGGGCACATTCTGTAAGAATTCGAGCGCCATTGTGAATGGTGAGGTTGCGACACGGAAATCGAGCGTATATAAGCCCAAATAACAGCAGTCCGCTAGACAAGTTGCTGCCAAAAAAAAAGCCCTGAGGACTACAGATGCGTTCTTTTCCTTTGTTTTCTCTCCTCTGGGCTGCTGAAAGGCAACCTGTCAACACAGCACAAGGAATGACAAGGGGAAAGGGAAGGAAAGCGCGAGAGAGGGTCGAGAAGAGAGAGGAGAATATTAAAGGAACAGAAGCGAAAGAAGAAGAAGAAGAAGAAGAAGAGAAGAAAAAGTCGACTGGGGCTGGGTTGACAAGACAAGGAGGTGGAGAGGAAAAGCGAAGAAAGCGCAAGCGCAAGGAGATTCGAATCTTCTCCGCGTGTCGTTTTTTTCTGGTTGGGTCCCTTTTTGGTTTCGCCGGCACGTCCGCAGGGCTCGACCAATCAGGGGACACACCTCGGGTTTGATAAAAAGGGGCGACTGTTCATTAGGGCCCGCGGATCATGTGCCTTCCCGTGGTTCCGGAGTCCCTCCTCAGGCTTCGACTTTTTGGTTGCTTTGTCTGGTCCGGCCTTATGTCCTCGAACTCCCGACGGTGATCAGAATCCAATTGTAGTGACGCTTGGGGTACAGTATGGACAAGGCGTAGGCTCACTTGATTAACAACTTATTGGCAAATTCAGATCCAACAAACAGCGAACAGACCACCTTGATTTTCACATGCACGTACTTGTGTCGAATCCATGGTTGCTGCTAGTCCCAGGCAGTCCGATGGAGTCCAATTTCACGTCCCTCAGATCTACCAATTAGGGTCCGCCAAGTCATGGGAGCTCAATAATAGATGAGCCTACTAGTTACCACTAGTAGTCCCACTGACATCCATCTCCTAATTATCCGCCGCAATTTCTTGACATGTATCGCCATGGGAACTACTTTTCATAGACCACATTTGCTTAGATCTAGGTTAATCTTTCTTAACAGCATTTGCATTGAATTTGATTGAATTTGTATTTACTCCGTAGTAAACAGTGTTGAAATTTTTGTATTAGAGTAAGTGGCCGTTATAATTATGTATTAATGTGTGAGTATATATATATATATACACCCTGTGACTTTGATAGTGCCTATTTCATTGTTCTATATTTCCTACCGTACTAGTATATACAAGTTGGTCCTGTGTATCCTCATTCAACTTCTAAACCTCATCCGAACAACAAATTATTCCCCATGCGAAACATGAACCTATGTAAGTTTTCTTATAATAGATTCCAGTCAAGTTGTTGACGTGGTAGAGGATAGGCCAACATTCTACAGTGCATGCGCGTCATAGACATCGTGCAGTAGACTGTTGGCATGCACAAAAAGTTTAAAGAACTCTATTTAAGGGAACATGCCCGCACAGCATTAATGAACTCGGCCTCTCCAAGTGAGCTGTCCGGCTGATGCAGAGTTACATTGAGCTTGATACTTATAGAGAAGATACATAATCAAATTTTATGTCATATGTAATGTCATCAAACTATATATATAAAAAAGATAAAGCTCATATCTTACAATCGGACAACCTGCGCAGATTCCTGGAGCAACTCATGGCCAACCTTGAGTTCGAGGGGTTTGCCTAACAGCTCCGGGGCCTTCTTGATGAGATCCTGGAAGTAAGGTGCAGCCCGGTGCTTGTCCAAGGCGGCTTGGTTCACATATCTAGCAATGTTGTCAATAAAACATGGAAAAAAGACAACAGATAGCAAAAGGATAGACTGACCTCTCAACGACAATGATCTCTTCTTTCTTGGCATCGGCGTAAGCATAGTACACCAGAGTCTCGGGTTCGTGTTCTTGCACGTTCCGGGTGATGTTGGCCAATTCCGCGGCGAGCTATACGGTGAACGGGGATTGTTAGCTTCAATTCTTAAATTAAATGGAAGAGTCTCTCATCTAGATCAAAGCGCGCTAGTCTGGATCAGATGGCCGATTTGCGAATTGATAGGCACTCACATCGTCAAACTTTCCCTCCTTAGGAGTAAGGAGGGCAATCTGGTTGATGACTGCGGACGCCATTTTATTCGTTGAGATCGTGAAGAGGAAAGATGAATTGCAAAGGTATATAGTACTCTTCTGAAGCAGGAAAATAGGATATGTTAATGAGAGAGATTTTGAATCTATCCCTAGATCTTGATATAAATACCTCGCTAGTACCTCGGTATGCCGAGGACGATGATGAAATCGTTGCTGATAAATGGTTGGGTTCAAGGGCAGATTATTAATCGTCGATCCACTGTTCTCAACAAAAGTCGCCGAAGGCTCGAGGATAAGAACAAGCGGAGGGTACTACGTTTGACTCAACCAGTGTAGATATTTCATGATGTTCTTGAAACTGATGTCATTTTTGATTGTCAACGATCTTATCTCGAGTCACTCAGGTTGTCGCCTCAGGCATCACGATATACGCCGGGCCAGACCACTGTCACTATTTTTGGTCTCCCAGTTTACAGGTGAGGTAACTGGGGAATTTGAGCTTCTTCATGAAGAGTATCTTATCAGATCATCGATGCTTGAATTAGACCAATTTGGAAGCCAAGTATAATCTCCCACCGTGGTGACCTCTCTTCCCAGCGTTACCATTAACAGACAATTCGACCTAGTTTGTTTTATATAGCCGATAGCCTGGAATTTCCCATGGAAACAAAGAGAAAACCGTCCATATATAATCTCGATTCATGCAGCCATACGACAATATAAGTTTATGGTCCGGAAAACTGATCCTGGTGGGATAATGTAACTAATGGGAATTGGATTACGCAATCCCTTGTAGACGAGCGACGAGCGAGAGTGATTAGTTGAGTGGCCGAATCTATCTTGATAAATTTTCGTATTTTCGTTTTAACTATTCTAGCCAGCTCCCTAGCATTGGAATTGGTGGTTGTTATCCCAAGGACAGTACGGAGTAGTTCTCAACGATTGACCAGATATAATGCCAATACTTAGTACTACTAGTACTACTAGTAGTAGTACTGAGTCTGTTCCATATGGAAGGATGGAAGCACCGGAATAGTCGAACCAATCGCCGCCCAGAATTGACACGACTATGTTCGAACCAATCAGAACCAAGAAATACAAATCACGAGCCGGAACGAGCGAATGACAGCGGTTGCAGCCTCAGGCCACCGTCGGGCGTGAACGGGAGCCGCCAAAGGAATCGATGACGGACGACCGCTTGCAAAACCTGAGGCACCGACCGCCTCACACCACCCGCAAAATCCTAGCGCAGCCGTCCTTGTCCTCTGACTTCAACCTCGTCCACACCTTGCCCATCCTCCACTCCTCTCACCACGTCAATTCGCCCGCCTCTCCATTCCAACCCCCCTCACAATGTCGCCCGTCTCTGTCTTCCGTGTCGCGACCCGCGCCGTCCGCCCTGCCAGCCTCTTCAGAGCTCCCCAATTGCCCCGGTCCCGCCTGCAGACCCCGGTTGCTCTCGCTATCAACCGTCCTGCCTTCAGCACCTCCTCTAAGCGCCTGGGCGGCCACCACGAGGATGAGACATACGAGGAGTTCTCTGCCAGGTATGCCAACCCAACCAGCGAGCCATTGAGCCCACGACGAGCCGAGAGCGAGCCTCAAACAACGACAACAGGGGCTCGATCCGGTTGGCCGTAATCTCCTAACGCCTGCTGTCGGAATCTATCGCCGAAAAAAGGGAAAAAAATACAAGGACCTTCGATTCTCACTAACGCTTGCAACGCAACAGATTCGAGAAGGAATTCGACGGTGTCCAGGATGTCTTCGAGCTCCAGGTAAGCCAGGCTTCCCTCGCACAGAGATCATTCCATATATGGCCCTTATCCACTTGGATCTCGGTCTTATAATCATCCAGCCTGCCATTGGCAGATCGCTCCACCCTATCATATGTACCTATATTACATGTGAGATAGCTCAATGCTGATATATTGTTTGCTATCAATCCAGCGCAACCTGAACAACTGCTTCGCCTACGATCTCGTCCCTTCCGTTGAGGTCCTCTCCGCTGCTCTCAGGGCCGCTCGCCGCGTCAACGACTTCCCTACCGCTGTCCGCGTCTTCGAGGGTGCGCTTCCCCCATTTCTTCCCCTGCATTCTCATGACTCTGTGAAACAGTCGTAAAACTCACACACCTCGTCCGAATAGGTATCAAGGCCAAGGTCGAGACCCAGGACCAGTACAAGCAATACCTCGAGGCCCTCGAGGGTCTCCGCCAGGAACTCGGCGTTGCTCTCCGTGAAGAGCTCTACCCCGGCGAGCAGTAAATAATCGACCATAGTCTCGTCATGCCAAATCACTTTTTTTTGTCCCACTGTGCCAGTCGATTAGATAGGAAAGCTGTATACATACTCTAGAATGCAGTTGGAGGAGGTGTCCCCCGTGTCTCTTTGATGGGTTTGATCTATCCCTATCTTCCGACCGGAGCCCTACTGTCACGGGGTTTGAATGGAGGTGCACACGTGCTTTTCTATACCAGTGCTACTATTACTATAAATCTTGTGAGCATTTGATTGTACTCTGTATTATTGGAGATAGTGAAAATTCAAGCTGAGGGGTTGTTTTGATGTCCACTGGACGCATAAAATGGATTCCTAACGACCGTGATATACACCCTTTTCGTGTTGCAAGGTGCATCTGTCAATATGCAGATGTCAACAACGAAAGGAACGAGATGATATGGAAAACGAGATAATAAGAGATAGGATGCGCCGGTCTAATGTATCCTCATCACAAGAGCAGTTTGGAATATCACGAAAAATATAGGTACAACAAAGGCCGGCAGCAATTCGATCAAGATAGCACAACGCGGCTAGATATCAAATATGAGACGATTTTAAGGTAAATATGGGAATGAACATCGAATAAAAATGACCATGACCGATCCTTTCAACGCCGCCAGGATTTTTAAGAGAAACAAGTTAAAGTGCTTAGGGTCGTCAATGCTGAGTATGCGATGTACAATGGAAGAAACCAGTCGTGATAGTCGCGCACTGAGGTCGTTAGATGTCAGATAATGGGACGTTCTCGTACCCGAAGTGGACTCGCTGAGTCCCAAGTCTGATATTATACAGGTCCATCAAGAGGAACCATGCCCGTTCGCCGCAGCTGACACAACCAATCTCGTGTCGAGCCTAGACGGTTGCTGACGGTCGCTGCGAGCGCTTCCAGAGAATGTAATACGATGTTACAGAAGATTAATGGGTTCCGACATGTTTGAAGTAGCTAGGTCGGCAATCTTCCTTGGCCAGGAAGGGCTCGCCGGCGTAGAATTTGCCTGGAGTGCAGCCGGAGCACTTGGGCGAGTTGGGGCAGTTGTAGTAAGGGATATGATTGTATCCAATGTCGCGGAACCTGTGATAATTAGCCCAGTCAGCGTGCGTCGAAGGTGGGATATGGGACCGATTTACGTACCAATGAACCTTCGCCGCATCTGCGAACAAACCCAGACCAATCGAGTGCACAGGAGCATCGCCCCATCGTTCATAGTAAAAGCCACCCGCGCGATCCAAATGATTGAAATAAGCAGAATACTTTTCTCCCCTGAAGAACTCCATGTCGCCGATCTCGAAGTTGGACCAGAAGTGGCAAGTGGAGTATCCATTTGCAGCATTAGTGTGCTCTGGTCGCAGTTGGTCGTCCGTCAACCAGTCCAGCATATTGTTGTCGGACAGATACGTAGGGTTCGCGGCCAGGAACTTCTTCGTCTCTGGCCAGAGAGTTGGGATACTCTGGGGAGCGTCGAAAAGGTTGATGGTGAAACCGTATGTGATGTTGCGGTCCTCTACGAATCGGAACACGTCATAATCAACGTCACAGAAAAACTGAACCTTGGGCTCGACGCGCCAGTAGTAACGGTAGTTCTTGAGGGCTGGGTGCTGATAGAACAGGCCACTGTTCCAGCGGCACATTTGATGGTAGGATACCTTGTCGCTATACTGAATGCCCTGCTCCTTCAGCACCTCGGCGGATTCGCGGAAGAGGTCCATGTTGATCCAATCGGGGACATCCCAGTGTTCCTTCGGTACTTGTTCTGAGTATAGTTAGACCGACCGTGTCATGTATCTCGTTTCGATTCTTCATACCATATTGGCACTTCGCTTGGTCAGCGCTTGTGTGCGCTTCTTGAACTCCTCCGTAAACGGCTTGTCGTTGAAGAAAATCCAGGGGTAATTAAATTTGCTGTTCCAGGTCCGTTCCAGATCGCGCATTGTCGGAATCAGCTCTTCCAGCTCCTCGTTCCGGACGAGAGAGATGAGCGCCGCGTTGGTCCGGGCGGAGTTGGCACTGTCGGGGGCATAATCGTGCTCGTCGGCTCGCCATAACTGTCCTTCGGGTTCTCCGGTCGCTGTGAAAAACAAGTGGTTGTGTCAGCCTCGAATATGCACGGTACTTATATTGTGAGACAGCAAAGGAGAGGTGGAAGGGAAAACATACGCTCCTTGAGGGGGTCACTTTGGATGCCGGTATACTCCCCTTTGGACCCCTTACTAATGTTGGCAGTAGGTGCCTTGTGCATTTGGAAGACTAGGAATAGAATGAGAATAATGCATGACGCACCCAGCATGCGAATGGGTCTTGCGACAGCCATCTTGAATTCAACTGAGTGCGAAACTGCAGCAAGCAAGAGACAGGAAGGAGGGAAAAAAAAGGTAATGAATAGAGTTGGTATAGGAGAGACTTCGCAGCACAAGGTCTCGATGCCGCCTTTCCCCCAATGGGTCTAGCGTGGCGACTCAAACAACACGTCAACTGCTGCCGCCAATCAATACAAAAGCCGCGTAACCCTTCCTTAAAAGCTGTCGCAATTCTACTAAACTACGGACTTCCCCCTTTCGTTGTGATGGGCAATGGGGAGTCATCTGTGCGCTAGCTGCTGGCTTAGTTCTGCAGTTAACCCCTCCAACCAACCGTCATGGCCATCCCCGCCAGTATTAGTGCGCTAACCGACGAGTTGGTTGCGACCGTCGCTAACGTTGATAAAAGAACCCCCCGTTTCAAAATCCTGAAACGTCGTACCGAGGATACTTTAAGAGCGAATGCTCATGGCCGTACGGACCAGTTTGCGGTGGCCAAGCAGCTAGAGGGACTTCAAGAAAAGTTCCAGGTCCTCAATAAAGATGACTTAGCAGACGCTCTCCGCGCCCGTCTCACGGAGTTAAATGAACATCGGGACTCCTGTTTCCCTGAGATCCTATCGTTGTTGCTGCAGCTTGCTGATCGCCCTGCTCAGTTGTCAAAGGTAGATCGCATCGAGAGGCCGAAGCCTCAGGAGCACGTGGAATCCCTATCTTGGACAGAGTTAGATGTTTCCGGAACTGCGTATTGTGAGGAGGATATATGGGAATCTGTAGACTTCGGCGCTGGATCCTCCGAGGATGACCTCTCGTCCGTATCAAGCGATAGCTATCATGGACGCTCTTTACCTCAAACCTCCATAGCCCTAGAAGAGGACTACGTGATTCCAGAGGACCTATTCTCTTCGGGAGAAGATGAAGACCTGGTGGAATCGATCAAAAGCGCCCAATTCTGGCGAAATGAAACCAGTGCCGGTAGTGAACTGCATGGAGGCAATTCCTCTCAAGTACTCACAGAGCTTCAGATCGTAAGAGAGACAATATTCATGCTACAAGGCCTACCTACATCCTTGTTTTGGCGTCTTCATGAAAGCGTTGAGGTAGACCGAAAATACTCACTCGCACACTTATCAAGTGAAACGCTATCTTCATTACTACGTTCGTTCTGCTCAATTGGGTCTAAAATAGACATCTTAAGACGATACAACCAAGTCCCGCGGGTCATTCCTTACCTGCAGACTTTCCACCGAGGCATTGAAGATCGCCTGCGCGAGTTTGATGGGTTCTTGTCTAATGTGCAGTCACAGTACCTATCGCAATCCGCAACTATTGCGGTCAGTCTTCTGCAGCTATACGAGAGCGTTCTCCGTGAATCGAAGCTGCTTCTTTTATTAGCAGAAATTGTATCTAATCTCAGACATGACGCATCAGATAGTCCAGTACGTTGTCTTGACCTCCTCTACGACTCCGTCTGCATGACGCAGGCTACCGGTGACGAAAATGAGTTCAAGTTCCTAGCTCAACTGTTCTTTTCGTGCTTCGAAACTTACGCACGCCCAATTCGCCTTTGGATGGAAAAGGGAGAGTTAGAGGAATCCCACCAAGGCTCATTTTTTGTCCGTGACAATCGCAATAATGACCAAGACCTACGAACCTTATGGCATGGATGGTATACGTTGGACGAATCAGCGTGGTTTTCAAGTGCGCCGAAATTTGTCCAACCTGTCGCTCGCAAGATATTCGTCGCAGGCAAAAGCATGGTTTTCCTGCGACACTTGGATGTGTCGGAGGGCGAGACACACGCAAGAAAGAGCTCATTAACACTTGGGGACGTATTCCCAGAAGAATCTGCCTCCATTTACATGCCGTTCTCAGCATTACTCGACTCGGCCTTTGGGCGAATAGTCGACGAGAACCACTCTTTCACATCATCGCTGTTGCGAAGAGAGCTTGATCAGCAGTGTGGGCTAGGGGTCTCCCTCCAAGCGCTGGAACATATCTACCATTGCAAAGACATGAGCGTGTTCGGGCCCATCGATCTTAAAATATTCGACCTTATCGACCGAGGCCGGGGAGCCTGGGACGATCGGTATCTGCTCACGGAACTCGCCCAGAGCGCATTCAGCACTTTACCCTTCATCGACCCATCCAGAGTAATAGTCCGGTCATCCAAAGACCCCACCAGCAAACAAAACACCCACAGTCGCTCCGTCAAGCTCCTCCAAGCCATCTGCTTCGACTACATCCTCCCCTGGCCCGTCGCTAACATCATCACGAAAGACGCCATCCTAAGCTACCAACGCCTCTCGACCTTCCTCATGCAAATCCGCAGAGCAAAACATACCATCGTAAAACAGCGTCTACAATACTCCTCCCAACCCTCCGAACCCAGGAAGAGCGCCCAGGCCTACGCCCTCCGACATCACATGCTCTGGTTCCTCAACACGCTCTACAGTCACATGACCGACTTCGTCATCTCAACTACCACCGCCTCTCTCCGAAAAGACCTCGCAGCCTGCAACGACGTCGATACTATGGTGTCCGTCCACCAATCTTACATGTCCTCCCTGGAAGACCAATGCCTTCTCTCCCAAAACCTAGTCCCCCTTTACGAAGCAATCATCTCCCTCCTTGACCTCTGCATATCCTTCTCCGATCTCCAATCTACTCGCTATAACCAGACCAACTCTGCCCAGAAGGAGTACGGCCAGGACAAAGACCAGAGTGACGAAGAGGAAGACGAAGACGAGGAGCTCGAACACGATGATAGACACACCCCCGTTCACGAAACACAATACTTCCAGCAAGTGAAAACGACCCAAGATCAGTTCAATCAACTGGTCGGTTTCCTGGCTGCTGGACTGAAGGGCGTGGGTCGTGCGAATGCGCAGGTTAGCTGGGAGATTTTGGCTGAGCGGTTGGAGTGGAGGAAGGAGCGGACGGCGGATCATGTAGGACTATAAAATGTTCTCTGGTTTATTATGATAATGAGTACTATGACTGTGTATTGCTTTTTATTCGTGGTGCTTGTGGTTGGGTCTATTCTATTAACCTTAGGATGAGAACCAGACTGGAATGAAAATGAGAACAATAAAAAAGCTGTAATTCATTGATAATTTACTAAAACATGCCATCGTATCAAGATTTCATCCTGGAACATTCCAAACCAGGGAAAATATAGAAAGACGTCGCAATAACAACCAATTTCTACGGGAATAGATTTTCTTTTCAGGGATAACTTATCCCACATATACAAACGATACGATATGACCAAGCATATACAATCCAGTTGCAGCTACTAAAGTGAAGAAAGACTTCAAACTTTTAACCGACCCATCTTCTGGCACTGTAGAAGACACGGCCCCAGGGACCGATGTCACCCCATTCCTGGGCCTTGGCGGGCAGCCAGCTGGCGATGCCGCCCATGATGGTACGCTCGGGGTGAGGCATGATGGCCAGGACACGACCGTTGGCGTTGCGGATACCGGCGATACCCTCGGGGCTGCCGTTCGGGTTGAAGGGATATTTCATGGTTGGCTTAAGGCCGGCGTTGTCCACATACTGGACGGGAGCGAGACCTTCCTGAACGAAGGATTGGGCGGTGACGTTGGAAGAGGGGGAGAAGGAGGCACGGCCCTCACCGTGGGCGACGGCGATGGGGAGCGAGGTGCCGTTCATGCCGTGGAAGAACACGCTGGGCCTGGAGGGATCAGGGTCCGAGACACGGACCATACAGACACGGCCCTCGTACTGCTCGCTAGCGTTACGCTCGAAGCTGGGCCAGTTCTGGGCGCCGGGGATCAAATCCTTCAGACGAGACAGGAATTGACAACCGTTGCAGACACCCAGAGCGAAGGTATCAGGGCGCTCGAAGAAGCTCTGGAATTCGGAGCGGGTGTTCTCGTGCAGCAGGACAGACTTGGCCCAGCCTTGACCAGCACCAAGAACGTCACCGTAAGAGAAACCACCGCAAGCAGCCATACCGACAAAGCTGGCAAGGGACACACGTCCAGAGATGATGTCAGTCATATGGACATCGACGGCGGAGAAGCCGGCCATGTTGAAAGCAAAAGCCATCTCAGCCTGGCTGTTCACACCTTGCTCACGCAGAATCGCCACGCGAGGCTTGTTGCTGAAAGGAGACATCGAGGTCAGGCTGGTGAGCATAGGGAGTGCCTTATCCTTGGGGTCGAAAGTTGGGTTCCATGAGAGACCGGGGTCGGCATCATCCAGCAGGTTGGCATATTCCTGATCAGCACAAGCGGCGTTGTCACGCATCTTCTGCATGTGGTACGAAGTGCTGGACCAGGTCTGCTGAAGGCTGGCACGGTTTTTGCGGTACACCAAGGTGTGTCCGTGATAAATGGCAAGGTTCTGCTTAGTTCTCTCAGAAACTCGTCCAATCTTGTGGATCAGGCCAGCAGGGGGGCCGCATGTGGCAAAGCAGGAGCGGAACTGCATCTCGTGTTCCTTGCGGACTTGGAACACAGCTCCAAGTTCTTCAGTGAACAGGGTCTCCACAACATCCTTCGTGCCAGAGGTAGGGCAGATGTTATCGAGCATGACCTCGACACCGCAACGGCCTGCAAACATCATCTCGGCAAGAGTGGTGAACAGACCACCATCAGACCTATCATGGTAGGCCAGGACAATGCCCGCGTCCTGCAATTGTTGAGTAGCATCGAAGAAGTCCTTGAAGATTTCAACATCACGGACATCAGGACAGTCGTCACCAACCTGGTTGAAGACCTGAGCAAGGGCAGAGCCTCCCAAAGTCTTCCGGCCGAAGGAGAGATCGACGAACATAAGGACGGTCTCACCGACATCCTCGAGACGACGAAGAGCGGGGGTCCAAGTCTTGCGGTAGTTGCCAACCGGCGCAAAGGCAGAGATGACAAGAGACATAGGTGCAGTAACCTCCTTCGCCTCCTTAGAGGCTTCATCGGTCCACTTCATCTTCATGGACATGGAATCCTTTCCGACAGGAATGCTGATGCCAAGCTTGGGGCACAGGTCCATTCCAATGGCTTCCACAGCCTCGTAGATGGCGGCACCTTCACCTGGGTGGCTGCTAGCGGACATCCAGTTGGCGGAGAGCTTCACGTGGCTGAGACGGTCAACCAGATCAGCAGCGGCAATGTTCATGAGCGACTCCGCAACAGCCATACGGGCCGAAGCGGCAGGGGAGATCAGTGCAAGACTCGGCCTCTCACCCATGGCCATAGCCTCACCGGTCTTCACTCCTTGAAGCAATGCCGTGGCAGTGACAGCGACGTCAGACACAGGAGTCTGCCACCTACCGACCATCTGGTCGCGAGCAGTGAGACCACCAACGGTTCTATCACCAATCGTGATCAGGAAAGACTTGGAGGCAACCGCGGGAAGAGAAAGGACTCGGCTAGCAGCCTCCCCGATGAGCTCGAGATGGTTGGGTGCAAGAGCAGGGAGGTACTTCGTCAGGGTTGCATCGACGGCAGGAAGATTCAATTTACGGGAATCAACGACTCGAGTCATCTTGGGGGGCTTTCCGAATAGAACGGACAGGGGCAAGTCGATGGGCTTGGGGTACTCAGCCGAGTCCCTGTCCATGAGAACGAGCCTCTTCTCCTCTTCGGACGTTCCGCCTCCACGGCCAACGACGGAAAAGCCACAACGCTCACGGTTGGCAATAGCGGTGAACTTGTTCATGGAGTCCTCCCCAATAGCCATGACGTATCTCTCCTGAGCTTCGCAGCACCAGATCTGCATGGGGCTCATGCTCTTGTCGGCGCTGTCCACCTCACGAAGTTCAAAAGTGGCGCCCAGGCCGGAATCATGGATCAGTTCGGGAAGGGCGTTGGAGAGACCTCCAGCACCAACGTCATGAATGAACTTGATAGGGTTGTTGTCACCCATAGCGGTACAAGCGTTAATCACTTCCTGTGCTCTCCGCTGGACCTCAGCGTTGCCTCTCTGCACACTAGCAAAGTCCAGCTCAGCAGAACCTTCACCCGAAGTAATACTGGAGGCAGCACCACCACCCAGGCCGATCAGCATGGCAGGCCCACCAAGGACGACGAGGAAAGCACCAGGCTTTACCACTTCTGGCTTCTTGATGGCGTGCTGGGGCCGGACCGTTCCGACACCACCGGCAAGCATGATGGGCTTATGGTAGCCTCGAACTTCCTTCTGGCCATTGCCAACGTCAATTTCTGTCAGCAGAGTCCGGAAGTAGCCAGAGATGCAGGGCCGTCCGAATTCGTTGTTGAACGCTGCGCTACCAATAGGGGCCTCCAACATGATATCCAAGCTGCTAGCGATGTGGTTCGGCTTGCCAACATCCAGTTCCCATGGCTGTTTCAAGCCAGGAATCTGCAGATCAGAGACACAGTATCCGGAAAGACCTGCCTTGGGCTTGGAGCCTCGTCCGACGGCACCCTCGTCACGGATCTCACCGCCGGAGCCAGTTGCGGCACCCGGGTATGGGGATACCGCCGTCGGGTGGTTGTGGGTTTCGACCTTGGCCAAGAAGTGAACAATTTCTTTCGTGTGGTTCCACTCCCCGGTGGAAGCCTCGGGCGCCCAGTGAGCGGCTACGTCTCCCTCAAGAACAGCAGCATTGTCGCTGTAGGCACTGACCGTGTACTCTGGGTTTTTCTTGTGTGTATTGCGGATCATCGCGAACAGGCTGTTGGGCATTTGTTTCCCATCAATCACCCAGGACGCATTGAATTGTTTATGACGGCAGTGCTCCGAGTTGACCTGTGCAAACATGAACAGCTCGACATCGGTAGGGTCACGGGCAATAGGACCATTGGGACCATAAGCTTCCGCAATGTACTCAATCTCAGACTCTTCCAGAGCCAACCCCAACCGCTTGTTTGCCTCTTGCAATACCTCCTTCGGAGACTTGTCACTTCCGTGAAGGGGGACAGTCTCAAGGGGAAGAGGGCTGTGCTCGGAAAACATCAGGTGGAGGTCAGGTTCTTCCTGGCTCAGAACCTGTGTCATGCGATCGTGCAAGACATCCTGGAAGCCCGACTTGTATTCTGCAGAATTCGCACGGAGACACGAGATCTTCAATCCGCGCTCAATGCGGTCGACATACTTGCGCAAGCCACAGACGTGGGCGATACCGGTGGCCTGTGAACTCCATGGGGAAATAGTTCCGGTCCGAGGAAAGATATAGAAGACATCGAACTGGCCGTCCTCGGCACTGAAGGAGGGAGGAATGTCGGTAATATCACCGTATTGCAGGAGCTGCTTCAGAACGTTCTGCTGTGGTTCATCCAAGGGTTGAGCCGCATGAACGTAGTGAATCCATTGGGCTCGAACATCTTGAGCTCCAATACTGGCCGCAATTGCATGTCCCCGGGAGTGCGAGAAGGCAACAGACCCGGGTAGGGCCAGAAAGGTGGCATCGGAGGAAGCGGAGGTCATTCTGAACGTGTAGGAGGGACCCGGAATGACTCAACGGAGACGGAGGCGAACGAGAGAGGCGGGGGAAGGAAGGAGAAGAAGAATCGGATAGGACACTCAGGAGGAGAGGTCCAAGTGTTTGGAAGAGATGTGTACAGGGACACACCTCGAACGAGTAGTTCGACTGGCGATGAGGAGCACAGCGACGGGCTTTGAGCTGCTCGACCGTCTTGCTGTCTAAAAATTAATTCTTTCTTTTTGGGAGGGCGTGGGAAAAAGGCCCCGCGCTAGGCCGATTTCGGCTTATCACTTTACCTTATCAATCACGTGGGATCATTGCCCCGGAGAAATCTTACCCCCGGAGGATTTCCTGCCTCAGGTTGTTGTCATTTTATATGCAATGCTCCTCATACCTCGTACCTCGTACACCCCAAGGGTCATGATGGGTGGTTTGGGATAGTCGGATACATGGGGTGATGTGAGAAGATGGGTTCACACTACGGGGCAGACCCAGTGTTTCACTGAGCGCGTGTCCACCTTATTGATGGGGATGGCATGGCTTCAAGAGTCTGGAGTATGGGTCCATGGTGACCGTGTCCGAGTTCTCGACCTTGGGCGAACATCTTTCTAGACTATAGAAATGCACTGACATTGGCTTTAGAGCACCAGTCAAGACCCAAGAGAGGAACCTGGAGCGTGAGCAAAGTGGATTGGGTACTCTACGTCCACACTGCTTAAGATCGAATCCAAGTGAGACAATCTCCGTGTGAAGTGGATACTCCGGAGCAAGCTCATGGGATTCGGAAACAAGCAAAACCTGGAGCAAGAGAAGTCAAAGAGAGAGTCGAAAAAAAAAAAAAAAACTGAAAATCCAAATCGATGACACACCAGACAGGACCTTTCCTCATGCGGTAATACCCTCCGTGGCCCGTAATTCCGATGACATAATGAAAATGGTGTGGTGCCAAGAGCCTTGGCGGCGGATCTAGCCATTCAAACTTTTATACTCCCTGTACTAGGTAGACTAGTAGTCGACTGCTTTTACAGTCTAACTATCCACGCGGATATAGGACCCGGAAAGCAACCTTGGGTTGGCACTAGTTTAAGCACTGACAGCACCTTTGCCTTTCCTATTTCATAGTAGAGAGATCATACCTTGTACTGGACGAGATATGTATGCCGGAAACTTGTGGTAGAATCAGGTAGAGATCATAACACTAATGAGGTTATTAGGATAACTGGTAGCCTGATATGAAGAACATATAGATGATGAACTAGTGTTTCCCTAGTACCGCTAAGGCTCTATGGTATCATGTAATGCCTCAAGAAACCAAGTGTATACGTTTACAAGTGTGAAGTTACAACTAATAACCTGGCCGCGTCAGAGTTGACTCGGATAATAACGCTGTAAACGCAAAGGAGGTGTCTCTCAAATTGTCAATACATTGGGTATAGAAGGTGGGGCAAACTCTGTCGGACTATGGATTCATGCAATTATAGCTCATGTATGTATGGAAGTCCTCCGTATGTGTCGGTAGAATTAATTCGAGCGGAAAAGAGAAAAACCAAATCCAAAGATAATCAGCCAGATATGCTTGGCAGAGAGAAACAGGAAATCAGACGTTACGATAAGCAAGTGTTCTCGTCGTATCTTTCCAGATGCGGTTAGCGCGCCTGCTTCCATATCGGGCAACTTGATAGGAAACTGGAATTGGATGCAAAGCTGAGCTCGTGAGCTGCCATCTTGGGCATCTTTCCTGCCTGGTATCTTTGCGAAAATTCGCGCCCCTTAATTTAGCTCTCAGAAATTGTGTTTGCGTGCCCACGGGTCGCGCCTGATCCTTGCGCCATGCGTTTCTATATAAGAAGCACATATGCCCCCATTCCAAGTCGTGATGATAGCCTCCCCATCGAACCAGTCAAGCGCTTAACCTGGTGTTCTGTCCATAACAACCATGCCAGACAATCAGTCAGGACACTCATTCGATGCCACTCGGACCCTCTCAGGGTCCGGGCAAGACACAGATTACTTGGATTTACCCGTTCGCCAAGTCACCCGCGATGCCAACCTTGAGGAATACACAACAGAAACCGCGGCCGGTCAAATCGTCAAGCCCGTTCGGTCCGCTGCCTCGGGGAAGATGGAGGATTGGAAGCTAGTGACGTTTACCATCGACGATCCGGAAAACCCCAAGAATTGGTCCAAAGCGTTCAAATGGTATTGTACCATGGTGGTTGCGTTCACTTGCTTTGTCGTCGCATTCGCGAGTAGTGTTATCACGGCCGATATAGAAGGACCGGCCGAAGAGTTTGGTGTCTCGCGAGAAGTTAGTCTCGTGGTTGTCACAGTCTTTGTCATTGGGTTTGGTGTTGGTACGTGTGTTGTGGTCATCCATCCCTCCTTGGTTCTGGCACTGACTGGCTAGGTCCGATGGCGTTTGCACCCATGTCAGAGATGTTTGGCCGTAGGCCGGTCTATACCTTCACCCTCCTCATAGCGGTTATCTTCATCATTCCTTGTGCGGTGTCGAAGAATATCGGAACTCTCATCGTGTGCCGAGCAATTGACGGCATTGCGTTTAGTGCCCCGATGACCCTGGTCGGTGGTACTTTGGCGGATCTGTGGAAAAACGAAGAGCGGGGGGTCCCCATGGCAGCCTTCTCCGCAAGCCCCTTCCTTGGACCCGCCATTGGTCCGCTCGCGGGTGGCTACCTGGCCGACGCCGCCGGGTGGAGGTGGCTCTACTGGCTGATGTTGATCCTGGCCTTTGTCTCCTGGGTGCTGATCACCTTCACCGTGCCGGAAACCTATGCCCCAACGATCTTGAAGCGGAGAGCCAAGAAACTCAGGAAGACACAGAACGATCCCAAGTACGTGACCGAAACGGAACTGGATTCTCGGCCGATGGGTGAGAAGCTGCGCATCTTCTTCTTCCGCCCCTTCCAGCTTTTGTTTCTGGAACCCATCGTCTTATTCATCTCGATCTACATGTCCGTGCTGTATGGCTTGCTGTACATGTTCTTTGTTGCGTAAGTTCACGTTCCAACTCAAACCAGTGGTACCGCCCTCTAACATGATTCTTTAGGTACCCCATCGTGTATCAGGGTGGAAAGGGCTGGAGTGCCGGGTCTACCGGTCTTATGTTCATTCCCCTGGCCATCGGTGTTGTCATGAGCGCGGCTTGCTCTCCATTTATCAACAAGCACTATCTGTCGCTGTACTCAAAGTATGGCGGCAAGCCTCCCGCAGAAGCACGCCTGATCCCTATGATGTTCTCGTGCTGGTTTATTCCGGTCGGACTTTTCATCTTCGCATGGACATCATATCCGCAGATCCATTGGTTCGGACCTGCCATCGGTGGCTGGCCAGTGGGTTTCGGCTTTATCTTTCTGTACAACTCGGCCAACAACTACCTTGGTGAGATTTCCCTGTCGTCTACCTCCTCAGCGTTCCTGACTAACGGCATCGTAGTCGATACGTACCAGCACCAAGCCGCGTCTGCCCTTGCCGCAAAGACTTTCCTCCGGTCCATGTGGGGAGCATCCACAGTCCTGTTTACCGAGCAGATGTATGACCGGTTGGGTGACCAGTGGGCCAGTACGTTGCTGGCTTTCATTGCGTTGGCCTGTTGCGCCATTCCTTACGTCTTCTATTTCAAGGGCGAGTCTATTCGCCGCTTCTCGCGATTTGCCTATAACGAAGACGAAGAGAATTCCGGCAAGGTCGAGAAGAGCTAAACGTGTTCTCTCTCTGGGAACCCGGCACATAATTTATTTCCGTGCGACAAAGGATGATTTTACATTGAACTAGACATAGATTTTCTGTGTCCAGGGTCGGATTCCGCAATTCCGAAAGGATTGGCACCGGCACGTTGTTTGGGCTTACGAGTGATATGTTTTGAATGTTTGGATTATATATACCATGGCTAATATAGAAGATACACCCCTAGAGATGTTTAATAAAGTTCACTGAGAGAATTAATTGGGTCGAGGGCCTCGGAAGAAAGTACATGGTTTAACCTAGGTACGGCTGAGAAGCTAGGACGTCATAGTACGGCGGGACTAAAAGGTCTGCAGAGACAATGTAACCGGAAACTATGACCAAGTTTACCAATACCAACGCACCATCTATCTAGGGAGGATATAGCTCTACTATATTACCTCCTACTATTAATACATTAATCATAGTCTATACAGGTGGAGCATCAACTAGTCAGCTGGAGGTCGAAGACATTTCCCGCTTTGACAATGCAGCCCTGCAGTCCTCGACCGGTTTGAAGAATTTTTATCCTAGAGGCTGTATGTACCTGAACTTAGGGATTATTACCGCTAACGTTAGGTACTGTGAACCCCTAGGCTTAGCTACTACTGCTACTTCTACTACATACCACTAGTACTAGTACTATAATAAGAATTATAAGGTCCTTAGTTCGGTTATAAGCTCCAAATTAAATTAACAAATGGCCCTAGTATATTATTAATACTATAGAATGAGAAGTTAGTTAACCCTGACGAGTTATTTCATAGAGCTACTAAATAAGTGTGACTCCATGTAAACGCTAAGATTTCGTAACAAATCCTAAAATGCAGAAGCTAAAACTTCCCCGCTCCGCATCACGTGGGGATTTCCCTTGCGGCCTTAGTCACCGACCGTAGCCTTTTGTTTCCTCGTCCTCCTCGACGAATTCTCGATAAGCTTGCCAAGTATTGACGTTACCGGAATTAAAATAATTATTTAAAACTATGGACCTCCCCTCGACTTAATTATGAAAGCGACCACTGTGATTTGAATCGTCTCGTATTCCGCCTATCCGCCTCCTATGTGATTCCGTTCTTTGCATGACGTTGAAACACCGAAAAAGTTGAATCGCAGCACTGCAGTGACCGCGAGACCAAGTAATTCCCACTCAACCTTAAATATTCCCAATGACGTCCCCATACCAGCCGTCCATGTCGTTTTCGCCGTCGGTGAACGGCCCCGACATGACGGCTGCGCCCTCGAGACCTGTCTCCGACCTGCCGCAATCCCAAGTCGATGCGATTATCCGAACGAAACGGAAAGCGCGTGAGCCGAAGGCGTGCTATCCCTGCCATGCGCGAAAAGTCAAATGCGATCGCAACCTCCCGTGTGATGGATGTGTCAAGCGTGACCATGCCGACCTCTGCTCGTACGAACGACCCTCCAAAAAACGCATCATGGGCGGCGCGGGCCCTTCCCAATATCGCGATAGTCCCGCAGCAACACCGGGCAGATCGGAAAGCATCGGGCTCCCTGGACCGGCTGAGACACCTATCCGGCTTAAACAGGAACCTGGCGCGGCGAGATCGAACCCGTTAACGTCTGCCGGGCGAGTCTCAATTGCGCGTGAGGAGTGGGATAATGTACGCAGCAGGCTAAAGGAGATGGAGCAAACCATCACGAATCTCCGGGTCGGCCTGGAGAAGGCAGAAGAAGGACAGGTCTCCTCTCTAGAGACGGTCAGCGTGCAGAGCGGTGATGTAAGCAACCGGTCCAAGGCCGCTTCCCCGGAGCGAGAGGGGATCCATGCGGCGAACACGCTGGGCGAAGGCACTGTCCACCTGGGATCGCGATCCGTCCTTGCTTACATATTGAACAACAAGTCCGGGTCAGACCAGCTGCAAACCCTTCTGGAGGGTGGCATACTGCCGAAACTCGGTCTTGATAATGAATCTGCGACGTATCCGTTTGTCGACCTGTGGTCGTCTGATATGTCCACATTTGATATTAGCGCTGTTTGCAGTGCCCTCCCAAGTGATCAGCAGTGCAAGGAGTATGTTTCTGGAAACCAGTCTGCTGTTTAAGTAGACTTGTTCTTATGCTAAACCATGGCTAGGTTTTTCTACTACTATCGGGACATCGCAGGTGCTATTTATCCTGTTCTCGAGGACATACCTAGTTTCGAGATGCACCTTGATCTTTTGTTGAGTAATAGAACGGCTACCGGTGGGATATACCGCTCGGATAACGATCAAGCTCAAAAACCATTTGGCGTTTCCATAGCATTTCTCGGCTTGTTGTTTGCTGTGTTGGCCTCCGGCTGCCAGTCCTCCGATTTGCCCGGGAAGGAGAGAGAATTAACGTCTCAAGTTTATGGTGAGCGTCGTGTGTTCCACTTCCATCTGCGAACAACCTTGACTTACTGGACGTAGTATGTTGTTCGTACCAGTGTCTCCGAATGACCAACTTCTTGTCGCACCCGACAATAGACGCGATTCAGACTCTCCTTGTGATTGGCAATGTTCTGTCCTATAATATGAACCCCGGCATTTCCTACGTTCTTCTTGGTATGTGGATAGTTCCATGCCCAATTCTGCGCCAATCGAGCTAACCAGTGCCAGGCATGACCCTTCGAATGGGGCTCGCGCTTGGCTTGCATGTTGAATCAAGCCGCTTTTCCACCGCGGAGAGATACCGTAGGCGACATGTTTGGTGAGTGGACTGCGCCTGCCGCTGTGATCGAGGATGATTCTAACACTGCAAAGGTGGTCCATGGCTTGGCAGGACAGCCACTTCTCGCTTTCTTACGATCGACCATCAACCACGGCCGTCTGCCAACCAGAGATAGCCTATAAACAGGACTCAACGCCTGGCGAGTGTTCGTACTTCGAAACGCTCTGCCGGAACATATCCCTAGCGCTGGAAGTAGTGCGCAGCCGAATGCTCAATCCCCACGCACAGCTGAGCCAGAAGACCATCCAAGCATACAAAGAAAGGATCCAACACATCATGATCGAGGCGAAGCCTTACTTGCGTGACCGAAAATACTGCTTCTCCACCTCCGAACACCTTGAAAGAGTCGTGCTGAAGCTACATTCCTCATACTTCGCCTCTGAGCTCCTCCGACCGTCTCTCAAAATGACAGCCGACCCCAACGACCCGCTCACCAGCAGTATGCGTTCTGACTGCGTTAGCAACTTGATGACCACGGTCGAAGCCTATGTTGAAATGCACACCGTTAGCTCCCATGCGTCCCGGTCTTGGATTGCCTTGCAACGAGCGATCAGTTCGATTTTCTTGCTCGCAGTCACAGACGAATCTAAGACGAACCCCCGTTTCTGGACTCTTTTACGCGAGATGAAGATGATTATTGCAGAACGGGCCAACGAAGAAGGCTTGTTTGGTCAGGGAGATACGTCTGGCCTTCCCCAGACGGATCGCAACGGAAGCCTCAGTGCGGCCATTCCTACCACCACCAACACAACAGTCACCAGTCCCGCCGCCCTCAGCTCCGCCTCCCCTGCGTCGGCGGCTGTCGTGGTCGATACGCAGACTCAGTGGGCCAAGCCCTTGACCAAAACACTCCGCGCACTGGATAAACTCGAAGCCGCCTTCAGCTCCCACGGTCAATTGCCAACTGGCCAAGGCGCATATCTGAACCCAGCTACGGCATCCATGCAAAACCTGGTACCACCGGGTCCCGCTGCCATGACGCCTAGCGTCGGATCCCTTCCGCCACCGACGCCCGAGAGTTCCACCAGCGGGGAGTGGACAATACCCAACATCCTTGACCGGGCTGCGGAGTACATTCACCCACCGCTCTGGAGCTGATCATCCGCCATGTGGGACTTGGTACTTGGCGTTATGAAGTGTTCGTTATGATTGCATGGACCGGCTTTACCAGGGGAGTATATATGCGTTCGGTTGTAAATCTTGGTTTGGCGTGGTGTTTATCTTGTATTGATGTGGTCTTTCCTGTAAAAAAAATTAGGTCTTGGTTTAGATAGCCTATCTTTGTGATATTTTCATGAAACTTTAATTGCTAGAAACAAGAGATAATCTGATTCTATTCTGCAAACAGCATTCATACGTATGTCAGATGTTTACCATTGGAATAAGGGACCTTGTCTCCTCTTCTCACTCTACATTTTCTCGTGCGGCTGGGAGAGTATAAGAGAGCAGGGTCACGAGACATCATACCACATTTGAGACGGTGAGGGGCTTGGAGGAGGTGGTGTTCGTGCCGCCGGGGGAGGGGAGGGAGGTTTATGTCGGGGGTGTATTGAAAGATGATGGGCTTATGTCTCAGGAGATTGCGAGTTGGTTGGTTGGTTGGTGGAGGGTGGCTGCTGTGGTTCAGCTTACAGCGCTGAGTATACGGTAATGGATGTTTTGTGGAGGGGGTGGTTCGTGAGTATAATAACCCGTATACCCATGAGCTCGAGATAGATACCCTTCCATTTCCGAGAAAATCGATGATATATTCATGAACACCACATAGCCAGCCAAACTGTCACCTCACTCTCTACCACAGCCTCATCTTTCCCTGCACGAAGTTATCAAGATACTACGTTACTTACTAGGTACCCCGGTCTAGACAATAGCGACAAAGAGACCCCAGAGCAGTTGACCGGATCCAAGAAAGGAAATGTAGACTCGGTGACACACACCGAAGTAGGCATGTATACCTATATGCGTGACTCGAGAAATGTGATATAGGCCGTCAGTTGTGGTATGGGCTGCATGAGGTGGAGAAAGACCCCTCTTGGCGTTTTTTGGAGAGTACATCTGGGCGGGAAGCCTTCCCCGGCTGGGGGATTGTAGGTTTGGTGGCTGGGCTTAATATTGAATATAGTATACTAATAGCGTGTGTGTCTTTGGGATTGGCGTTCGCATGAGTGATTCTACTTTTTGTGTGTAGAGGGAGCGAGGCCACTTTGGATGTAATAAACGTAGATTGGAATTAGGAAACATAAACTAGAACTAGGACTTGGAATAAACACCCATGTTAACCATTAACACCGTATCTATGCTGATTATTAGGAAAGATCCCCATTTCTCGCGGATGGCTGCTTCATGGCAGCTTCGGTTGATAGCCATCCAGTGGCGATGAACCGTGCAAGGGACAGAGACTTGTAGAGGCTGTCGCGTGCATCCAGTCCACAGGAGACTCGGTCAGGAAGCTTCGGTTGTGGCACTGACATGTCAAGCCCTGTATGGGAAAGGCGCTTGTAGCTGGTGCTGCTTGTTCCATTGGTGAGGGAGGTTGAGATGTAGACAGTGGCGGAACTCCTGCTTGCTGAGCGTCTGGTTGGAGCAGAATGACTGCCTTTGGCCTCATATTTCCGTTGTCTAGAACCTGTAGTATCTGAGGCAGTGATGCCTCTTCTAAGTGTCAGCGGTTGATGTATCATATATATATGATATAGGGACAGAATGGAAACTCACCTGTGGTCATGTAGTAGAAGTTGGACTGAGAATTCTGGGTATAGATATTCCATGGCTCAGTCTGGTATTGGCCATTCATTTCAGATGGGACGTAGTTATTCGAGGCATTCGGTGCCATGTCCAGATTGAAGGAGCTAGCGCCTGGAGAACATACACTGCTGTTTGTGGGAGCACACGGCGAAGATGAGCCCGACGAGTCGACTTCTTTCGCAGTGGGCTCGTACTGAGGAAAGGTTGGTGAAGGCTGCGGTGGCAGAGGAGGTGCTGGACTCAGAGTACTGAAAGGGTAGTAGGTACCCGTCGAACCAGGCAGATAAGTACCACTCATCGCAGGCATAACCTCGACAGCAGGCGATAGTACCTTTCTCTCAACATCGTACGCTGGTGTCGGTGTCACCAATGGTGCTGTGGGATGGTGATAATTCCAACCATTGAGGCTCGCCGCGGCTCTGAGCTCACTCGCGATTACCCGTTCCTGTAGTTTGGCAATTCGGTCTCGGATTTTGCGACCTGTGCAGGGCGGGGTTAGTGCCATGCTCTCTACTCAAGTTGGAAGTGATAGACTCACGATGATTCCTCTGGGACAGCCTGTTCTGTAGCCTTCTTCTTTCGATGGGGTCCTGTTCCTGTTTTGGGTTTGCCGCGCCATTGGCACGATCGTCCCTCGCATGCTGTGCGCGCATTTTGCTGTGAGAATATATGTTGAAAACCACCCCACTTCGCTCACTCAAGATGTGTACAAGCCCTCACGCTTGTGATTCCACCTCTGACTTCTCTCGCAATGAGCGGAGCTACCGCCTAACCTAGGGAATTGTAGCACTTGAAATGATGATGCGGAGATGCAGTTCTCGGTTGAAGTATGGCGAGGATGTATGGACAACGAGCGGTGGCCAACATATATTTAATTACTATAAATTCAGATCAACCTAGACCAAACCAACCTAGGGGCAGCCAGCCTTACCCGGTGTTCTCATAAAAAAGTCTGACGTGTTCTCAGCTTATCTGGTTCTGGTATATCAAAGTATAAGAGTCTGAGGGACGACCTTTGATTTGCTCGTCGCTCAACGCGCCTGAGAGTTTACGAGAGCCGGTAATAGATTGAGACAATGTTCCGGGTATATATGAAAAAGGCCCCGGGAGCAAAAAGCGTAGTTGACCTTTGGGATAAGGTGTTTAGATATCCACGGAATTGACTTCTTAGAATTGCTCCATCGTTCCTGGCTTTACGGGCACTAGTGAATATTATGTCTCGCACCCATGGTACTTGATACTTGAACCGTGGCCCCCGATAGCCACGAGGTACTGAGCCCTGTTCCATTCCGATTCGCGGGGTGTGCTGTTCAGACACCCAAGTCAGCAGCCATGCGGGACGTATGAGGCTTGGGGCGGCGCCAGCTCGGCACACCAGTTAGTTCCAATAAGTCCTGACAAATGGTGTTATGGAACCTGCGTTGATAGGACGGAGTAGGGGTATTTGCGCGGATAATTCATGCACGGCTCAGCTGATTTGCTCGCCACCAGTGCTAGGGCTCACCAGCGTGATATTTTCTTCAGCCGTGTGAACCGTGACACATGAAATACGTACTTGTAATTTGGCTGCAGTATCTTAAATCGTGTTCCGTGTCGGCGTTTATGCTCGAGTATCGCGCAACCTACAGGGTTCACAGCAAACCCTTGCAGGTCTTCCGCCGAGGTTCCCTTTAGGAAAACAAAGAAGCCGGCACCATCGGAGAGACACAATCCAGTAGATGACGTACCCGGAACAGGGCCAGAATATCAGTACTATTCTCAATCCAACATCGAAATGCTAAAGCACAGTGATACCCCAGATCGGGTGGGTCCAGAGAAGGCATTGTAGTTTGTCCATGTGGGTCAGTATAGATGGGGTACACGGGAACTTCCTCAGATAGCCATGAGCAAGACACTGGTGAGGATCTTCCTTGCTATGAATAACTGGGTCTTAGTTCGCTTAAAGGAATCGCAGGCGAGTGGCGTGGCGAATTGTTTCATAGAAGCACAGGGCATGTAATGGAAAGGTAAAATGAAAGAAGGAACCTGAAAAATGGGCACAGACATGAATAATGAAGGTATCTGAACTGAGAATACAACCTCCCCCAAATCGTAGCATTGTTGCTTTCTTGGTTCCATTAACAGTGCATCATCACTGGCATGGCGCAGGATAAGCCCAACTAGATGCTGATCGGCCGTCAGCATTTCAATGTGGTTCCCGTTGGATTTGCAACTGGCCAGTCAATCATTGCTTGGCTGGAGAAGCTGAAAAATAGGTCTCCATCTGAAAATGTATTAAGGCGATTGGCTGGAGTGTCGCCAGTCCCACTGTGGAAGACGCTGGCATAGATTTCATTTGGTGGAGAGTCAGGGGTTCGTATTCGAAAGGGGAAGAGTCTGTAGGCCCTAATTGTCTTCGATGGACCGAAGACGAACGCTTGTGTCACCAGGGAGAGTGGATTAAATGAAAAGATTTCTGTTGTTGAAGAACCATTGAGGACCCCCGTTTTGCCTTTGTTTTTTTTTGGGCAGACAAGATCCCGTGACTGAGGCAGCAACAACCCGATCATAATATATACTAACATAACAATGAGAACTGGCCGCATGGGAAGTATGATTGCGTGGCCGATCAATGGCGATGCAGGGAGTACAAAGTAGATGAACAATAGGTTTCATCAAGAGGTGGGGACTCAGATTGGATCGTAACCAGTACCATGGTAGGGCTACTCCACGTTCTTCCAGACGTCGTACAGGTCATATAGTATCTGCTTCTAGGGCTAAACCGGGCCTTTGTTCAAAAGTAGTTTGGAGTACTTGGTGATTAACAGATGATAGGCAGCCAAATTGCTTCCTATTCCAACCTCCAGGTAACTGAACTCTACTATCTAAACGTACTCTTGGTCACTCTGTCTAACCTCTCCTATCTTGCCCATCGACCATTTCCCTCAACCAACAGGCAGTCTATGTTGACCCTAGAACTGGGATTATAAGAGAACTAGTCATTTTCGAGCATTGTTTACCTTGGCCTCGAGCGGCGATATACGGACATGCAAAATATCATCAGCACAATTAGCAACCTGCTACCATCTCAACACCTTCCTAGGCACCGACCCTTCTAGGTAGCGAAACTTGTATCCTTTCGACCAACACATGTCCCATTGTGTCTGTATCCACCAGAGCTTCATCAAGACGAAGCTATGTTACCAAGCGCTCCCCGCGCGCGAGTTTAGCACACCCTAAAAGCGTATTTCCCTAACCCTCCAGGCGTCAAATGAGATTGGTTATCCTAACAATCACACCACATCCTCCCTATAGCATCATTTCCTTCACAAAACATGTACGGGACGCCGCTCCGTTGGTGATCGTCGGCGTCACGGGCGCCTTGAAGGGAGGACGTTCGGCCCGCGAACGACGACCGCGGCGGTTGTCCGGCGAACACTACAAGACAAGCCAGCCATTTCAAACGAGTCTAGGATTCCTCGTCGTTTCAACGGTTGTGATGCGCAAGCGTCTCCATCTCGGATATGATCTCATTGGTACTGACCTTGTCGTACAGAACCAAGCGCCCGCCGAGAAGGGTGCTGATATATTAATCCCACGAATCCGGCCACTACCCATCAGGCAAATCGGAAGTTCTCGGTGAAGTATGCTATGTCAATCCATTTGGATGCGATAGCTTTGGTCGCGACAGATTTTCGTTGGCGTCGAGCATTCTGTCGGGCTTGTAGATTGCGGTCTTGTATTGGGTTTCGAGAAGTACTTTGTAGGAATATGATACATCTCCGCTTTTCGGGTATCTTGTGATATGATCATTGATATCGTCTAGACCCGTCTGTCGAATATTTTGCCACTAATAGTACCTCCGTTAATTAAACGGTCCTTGTTTAGAATAATAAATGTCTTACTATAGGAAAATCTCAAATGTGATAGATCAGTTTAGGTCTTCACTAGTCATATGACTTGGCGGTGGACTCTTTCCAACGACCAGTGCTCAGGACTCTTCACTTTCTTGATAGTAAATCAGTAACTAGCAAAGACGGACACTGTCGGTGATATAGCATTGTAATTTGACCATCTCTTTCTTCGATTTCTTTTCTCTTCGGTCGAGTAGGCCAATGTGTGTAACCCCCGAGCTGATAGGAGGTGCTGAACTGTGGAGCAGACACCTTCTGGAACCCCACTCCGGAATCTAGGTCATAGGAAGCGCATATTATATGTATCACTGTGTTGCCGCTGCTCAAGTAGAGAAGTCTTAGATCATTTAAATTGTTAATGTGGGCAAACGAACCGAGGTATCTCCACAGTGCTGTCACATTGCAAGATCTAAGAATGTGTAGGACAGATATTGAAGGGGGAGACAAGAAACTGTAAAACATGTCTGCGTACTGAATAAAAACCCCCGGCTAGATCAGCTCACTAAACCAGGTACTATATATAAAAGAAGAGAAACAGAAACTAAAAAAGACATGTCTAACAACTGCCGTGAACCTCGTCGTACTGAAGAGATGAGACATGGATGTTCCTAATCGCGACAAGCAAGGCAACAGAGACAAATAAGCACTTAAAAGTCATATACAAACACAAAGGGAATTAGAAGCCGGCAAGAAAGACTAGACAGCCGAACTTGGAATTGAAGGCCACATGGTCTGCCTCCGATTCTGTGAGTCTGATAGCTCTATGCTTTCAGCATCATGATCTCCTTGGCCAAGGAAAGCTGCGGGTGGAACTGCCACTAAGTGTCTCTCATCTTCTGTATGTCGCGTGTTATGTTTTCTGGAGATTGTAGTTCTTGTGATATTCTTACACGACGGCAATGCGCTCGCAACCTGCTCGAAGACCGGACGGAGAAAAGGACTGCTGCTAACGATAATAGCAACACCGTTCTCGACAATAGACCATACATGGCCCATGATTCCGCTATAGAGGATATCTGTCCGCTGTACACCTATTATCACAATAGGGCGTAGGATGCCGAATATCATCGTTCTATTCATTCCGGAGGCGAATTGTCAGAAACATAAAAGAAAAGAAAAAGAAAAAGAAAAAAAGGAGTAAACTGAAAGTCCTGTCCAAGATAGCTTACAATATTCCCGTGCTGAAGACAAAGGTCAAGGCCAACCTAGTAGCTTTCGGCATTTGAAGACTCCAGAGTGCGGGAAATGGAAGTATCAGGATAAATAAGTCAACGAGGACGTCAAATCCGGCTAGGAGACCATAGGCGAGTGTGAGGCTCAAGCAATGCCCTTCCATCGTGACCATTGTCCAATTCAGACTGATTGGCTGGCAGAAGATCAACGATATGAAAATCGTCGTTATTGCCCATAAGGCAGACATCACCATTAAGGTGCGTGCACTGAAAACTAGAAGCGGCGTGGAAAATATGCGCGCAAGGGACCAACAGATGCTAATCTTTACCAACCCGAGAGATATGGCGTAAAGGATCACTAAAGAGTAAGACATCTGAAGTAGATGAAAGACAACAACATGAGCAGGGAACATTTTTGTGCAGCCAGTTGATGCATGATTGCAATCTGTGCGCCTGACGGAGGAACACTAACCTTAAGCAACGCAGTGATATGGTAAGTTTGCAGTTCCCATATGTGATGCCCAAAGCCTCTCACAAACACTAAGCTATGTTTAGATCAGAAAAAATAACCTCGAACTTCCTTTGACTCACTTGCGATACTAAGCCAACAAATGCCTTGGAAGCAGATCTATTGAGGCAGTGACAGTCAGAAAAGCCGCGCTTAGCTATCTTGGACGATTTATGACCTACCAGGGACACAATCTGTAAATAATCTTCCGGAAGAAGCTTCTGTCCCCTCAGCCGTCGCGAAAGAATCCGTAATGCAGTGAAGACAATCGTCAGGAGTATCAAAAAGACATCCATTATGATTACCTTAACTCCCTTCGAGGATGGAGGTATGATACCATCTTTATAAGAGGAGGGGCTGCTCCCGATGACTGTTAGCAGACCTGTAGCCGACCCCGAAGGTGAGTCCATCCTGGAGAAGTTAATATACAATAATACACCTCATAGGACTAAAGAAGTGTCCGAATACAAGTTCATGCACAAGAATTCATTGCTTTTGCATCAAATGTGTCGAATGTTTAGAAAAACACGAGGCTTAGCAGTCTGAGGCGTCAGCACTTTCCTAGCTTGAGGTTGTAGATTTGTGCGAAGTTGCGCGCCGGTGGACCATGGCCATGGCTCAGATCCAACTTCACTAGGGTTAAGTTCCCTCGCCGTGCAGCGACCTACTATCTACTTGAAGCATGCCGCCAGATATTGGCCAGAAAGGGTAAATGGTAAATAGAGAGTCATGCTCTCGAAGCAGGCAGGGAGATCATCGTTTCCGATTCTGTCTAACGGCATGGTTAGCGGCGTAAGTTTTAGCAGTTAATTAACTTTTCCAACTTTTGACAGCCAGGGGGTACTCCCGGTTTCAGCAACTATAGCCAGCATCATGGGATATTATAGTAAACGGGTCTATAGCTCAGCCCCAAGAGGGCCAGACGGCATGGCATCACTAACCTGAAAATACCGAACCATAGCAGCTTGGAAATGACTCCTAAACAAGCAGACGTTCATTCATGCCGCTTTGAGCCAGATGTTGTGCAACATACTACCGACTTACAGCAAGTGTTTTTATTCTGGTTTTCGTTTCTGGAGCGCTGAGAGCATCCTCCCTGTATAGGATTGCCCCACCCTTGACGGGCCCCACTTTCCCTATCACATATTCAATTGATAACGAGGCAGATCACTTCAGTCTCCGGACGAATCATCGCCGACAGCAGATACTACACTCTGGAAGACTGGTGAAAACCACGTGCCTAGGCTAATCGAAGGATCGCGAATAGGACACGGATTTCGCGGCAGTTGGAAAGCTTCAAAGCTTATTTGGTACTTTTGTCCTGCAATATCCGCGCAAGCAAGGAGCTGTACTGTAGATCTTGCAGAAACTAAGCCGGGAAAACCTGGCGTACTAGCATATGGTATGTATCCGAGGAGTATGGAGAACAAGAACGCTTGAGTCAAACTGTGGGCCATGTTCCTCAGCCGGTTGAACTCCATGAAGGAGGCCCATATGGCGATGCGCGCGTTGGTGGGAGAGAGAGGGAGCTACAGCCACCGCAGGTCAGTAGAACAGCAAATAAGCAGATTGGAGGACAAAAGCTTAGCTCTGTTGTTGAAAATGCCTCTCAATGTCGGTATATGAATTGTTTTGCCTCGGCATATGCGTGCAATGCACTGTTCCATTGGGTTATTTCCCTGGAAGGTATCTTCTGGTTGCCCTTCCCACAAGAGGGTATCTAACCCTATTCAACTTGAGTTGTCTATGTTTTGTCTTTACCACGTAAAATACAAAACTGCGCGTTGAACTAGCAAGCTTGGCGCAGGATTCCATTCCCTCTGCGCCGTGAATAATAGTATGACCATGTCATAATCATCAGTGTCCTGTTGGGGTTGGATATTCCTAGTATATTCGCTTATTATTTGCAGCTGTAGTTGATGGACATACACCTTTCTATTATAGATGCTTCGGTAGTCCTTAACTACAATACTGAAACAAAAACAGAACTCAATTATCTCCTACGATAAACTACGAGATAGCGCACGGACTCTTCTATATTTCAATCTGTATAATCTCCACAACGCGCTGATTGGGCCAGATGCAGAGTCAAGGCCCCATATTTAAGCTAACGTTGACACTATGAGTAGTAGAACGAGTGATATTCTAGTTATGATATTAACATTGAGCACGTGCGGAGCCTTCTTCTAATCACTCGACGACTGACTCGTCCGCTGAAGTCTAAGGTTATATGAACAGACCCTGACTTTAGCGCAGCCATTGATACAAACCACTGATTCATAATGGACAGGGGTCGGGGAACTTCGAATCCATAGCATCGCGTCTATTACTTGGAACGACTATAATAAACTTTCTGCAGAGGTGTATCTTCTGGCCCAGTTCTGCTCTCCCTAGACCCTCAGGTGTCAGAGTGGACCTTACCATTCCTCGGGCCCCCTTTCCATTCAGACCTAACATGGTGTAGCTAAAACAGATAACTGAGTGGTCAATGGTTCTAATTGAACGGCTGAGAGCCCTTTTTGCTGTCAAAATGGAGCCCCACTCTTTTGCATTTGCTAATAGTGAAGTTTTGATGTGGTGGAAGTAAGCTAATTAGTCTCGCCTTACTTAGATAACTTCACCATGGAAGGGTCACGTACACCAGTATGTCTTGAGAAATTAAAACAAAGAACTCTTGCGTCACTGAACCTGGTAAAGTTCATCCCCAGTTGCGCTACTACGAATGGAGCGTGCTACTATCACTGCACGCGAGACCAGGTATAAGTGATAATAGACAAGATTTCCAAATTCGTATTTCCATTCACACCTTGCTTGTTCTTGGTTAAACTGACCTTTGGTCTCATATAACTGCCAGAAGCAGCAAGCTTGATTACATTGATTGAACTTCTTAGAGTAAGATAATAGCATTCTAAGACCCGGAATACATGAAGGAAGGGAACATGGATAAAGCTACTAATAAAGCCGTGATTATTACTATAGCATTCGGGCATAGAGTTATGCGATGAATTCAAACCCTTATCAGCCGAGAGAAAAAAGTGATGTAGCATGCCCCTAGGTATAACGGTCATTGAGGTCCTGAAACCTCTGAAGTGTGCAGCATCGTGGTAGCATTCGCTTTGGAGGTTTTGGTGAAGGCCAGAACATATATAAGACAATTCTTCAAGTGCGATAGGGTGCAACTATGATGTTTCACTAGAGAGCCATTTGCGACAGAAGCCTCTAGGTGTAACGGCCGGACTATCTTGAGGGTCATTCGTCTATACCATATCCCATAAATTCCCTGGCCGGCCCAGAGGGACCAGGGAATAGCACATACTTGTGGCCATTGCAGAGAGAACCCCACCTCCAATGGCTCTCAACGAATTACGGTAAGTGATGAGAATATATCCATCGTAGAATCTATTCACACCCCGTTTTGGTCAATTCCCTAGAATTGGCCGTCGGGGTGACCCCATGCACACTTGATAAATTTGCGTCCATCCCTCCTTCCTGGAATACTTGTATGGATTCTCTAAGTCTTTTGGCCATATAGACGTTCAATATGAGGCTGTTAATAACCACCATATCGCTAGTCCTCTCAGCTCTATCGTGGCTAGACTGTGCGGTCTCTGTCCCTCGCGCCCCTCCCAAGCTCGACCTTTCGCAATTCGATGACGAGCGAATCATCACCCGTGATGTCTGTATCATAGGCGGCGGTTCCGCTGGCACATACGCAGCAATCCGCCTCCGACAAATGAACCAGAGCGTTGTGCTGGTAGAGAAAAAGAACCACTTAGGAGGGCACGTCGATACCTACGGCAACCCGGAAACACAAACCGTCGTCGACTTTGGAGTACTATACTATGAGAACCTACCCTTGGTGCGAGACTACTTCGGCTACTTCGACATTCCACTAGAGAAGGTTTTGATTCTAGGGCAGAACACCACGCAGCGTCGGGTCGACCTTCGAACCGGGACCCCCGTCGGCCCAGCCGAGGGCAACATGCTTCAGGCATTGGCAGCATACTCGGCCCAACTGCTCAAGTACCCTTATCTCAGCACGGGCTTCAACCTTCCCACCCCTGTCCCCCCGGATCTGCTGCTCCCGTTCGGCGACTTTGTGAAGAAGTATCACCTCGAGGGCGCGGTCGATATTATTGCGATGTTCAATCAAGGCGCTGGCGATATCCTGCAGCAGACAACCCTCTACATGTTGAAATACTTCGGCCTTAGTGTGGTCCAAGGCGCATTGGGGGGTTTTCTTGTGCCAACCAGTGGCAACAATAGCCAGCTGTATGGTGCTGCGCGGGAGGAGCTGGGCGAGGACGTGTTACTGAATAGCACCGTCACGTATACACACCGCAATGACGAGAGGGAGTGGGCATACGCGGTGGTGAAAACGCCATCCGGGGATAAAGTGATTCGTGCACGGAAACTCATCATAGCCATTCCACCGAGGCTAGATATACTGAAGAGAATGAACATGGACCTGGACGATTCAGAGCGAGCGTTGTTCGGGCAGTTCAGTAACACATGCTACTACACTGCTCTCGCCAGAATCCCGGGTCTTCCAGAAGGCATGCAGATTGTGAACCGTGCAACAGATACACTCTACCACCTGCCGCCTCAGCCGGCGGTCTATGTGATAAATACCACCAAAGAACCGAGGCTGCTTACTATTCTCTACGGAAGCAAAGACCACATGACGGAAGCAGAGGTTAAGGGTAATATGACTCGCAGCGTCATACAATTAAGGAAGACGGGAATCCCTGTTGAGCCACCGGAGTTTATTCAATACTCTGATCATAGCCCATTCCTATTGACTGTCCCGCCAGATGCAATCCGGAATGGCTTCTACGGACATCTGAATAACCTGCAGGGCCATCGCAAGACGTACTATATGTCTGCCACGTTTAACTCGCATGATTCGGCCCAGATCTGGTCATTCATTGATGGTTTACTAAAGACAAGCTTTCCATGATGTCTGGATAGACTGGGCAATGGCTAGGGCAGGCTAGGTTAAAGGGGTCGGTCAATTATACCTACTGAGTAAAAGTCTAGGAGCACCTTAATGGCTACTGCTGATGCTAGTAGGTGAGCAATGTCGCCCTGAGTTCTCACAACAGGTATGATAGGACAGATAATAGGAGTAAGGGCTACCTAATAGTCGCGCGACTAGATACCTAGAGCTAGAATAAGTTTATCCTTCGCGTTTATTTTCACCTTGGCCATGTGCATTTCATCCGGAGCTCTCTTGTCTGGTGAGATAGAAAAACAACGCCCCTATGTAAAAAGGTATTGTGGGTCTCTTCGAAGTTTATGAATAAGAATGATCATCGATCGAGGTGATACTCTTGAGATAGTGTGATTATCTATTTAACACACCGATGGCAGACCTGTTCGTTGTCAACCGCTCACATCCACCATCTCTGTCCTCCATTTTTCCTTCTCTCTCGTCTTATTCCTCCCGAACGTCAGGCCCCCATCGCAAGAGAAGTAGCTGCAAAGTGAGGTGTCACAGGTTGAACAATTCGATCACCTAAGGATCGAATATCAGGATAGCAGGAAAGGGTGTTGTTAGACAGAGCTACCCGCTGGAGGGTGAATTGTCAAGGAATCCCGGGTTAACTTCTAGACGGTGGCGGACATAGCTTTTGCGATCAGAGATTTCTTTGAGCTTTGCATTTGAGGTTTCAAATCCATATGATTGATTACATGCTATAAATATTGTGGCATAACTTAGGCAGTCCGCAAGTAATCGCCAGACCCATACCGTCCCCTCAAACACAGCTCGTTCATCCTTAGTAGACATTATTGACATCATAAACAGCATTGGTATCCTAACAAGAATCAAGTAGCAGAGAGATCAACAATTAGGCAGCGCGAGCCCTGGGTCCAGTTATCACAAACATCTCCTGCGGCCGCACACTGAATGCTCCGTTACAGTTAATACCGTCGTTGCCCACCACATAGTTCGGGTCCGCCAGTTCAAACTCCACATCCTTAAGGATGCTCGCCAGTACCATGAAGGACCATTGCCAGGCATACCGCTTGCCAATGCACTCGCGCTTACCGTTGCCGAAGCCCCTCTTCACACCCTTGGGGAGTCGGTCGAAATTCTCGCCGACCATACGCTCGGGTTTGAAGGCTTCGGGGTCTTCGAAGATGGCTGGATCACGATTCACGGCCGCCAGGATGGCGATCAGGGCCTGCTTCTCGGGAATTTCGTATTCACCACCGGCGAGCAGGACCGGGGCCCCGTTCGAAGGGATAGGTTGGATATTGAAGCCGGGGGCGACGCCGGAGAGTCGGAAGGATTCCCGCAAGATAGCTTCAGTGTAGGGGAGGCGAGCAAGATGTTCGTGTTCGATCCTGACAGAAGGACCACCGACCACAGTGTCCAGCTCCTCGCGAGCCTTGACAACTGCGTCTGGGTTCTTCGCCAGATAGTACATTGCGAAAGCGATTAGGTTGGGTGCCGTGGCACTACCAATGAAAATATTGATAATCTCATCCAGCACCTGGCTGTCGGTCAGGCCCTTGCCGGTCTCCGGGTCTTTGCCTTCTAGCAACGCATGGAGCATGTCCTTCTTGTCGGTTGGGTGCTTCTTTCGAGTTTCAACGATGTCGGCTCCGTAGTCACGCATCGTCTTGATCCACGCTTTCCATTTACGATTGTAGAACAACCAGTTGAGTGGCCGGGGGCGGAGAGGTCGGCGCATCGCCTCATTGGTAGCGCAGTCCATGGCTTTAATTACCGGAGGTTCAGGACCCTCCATACAGTGTACCCGCTGATCGAAAAAGCAAAGCATGTTTGCGGCATGGTTGCATCGATCCAAATCGCTCGTCAAATTGACACGCTGCCGGGACCCCGCCGTCCATTTCTTGATCAAGTCATCTGTTGTCTCTTGGATGCCGGAGAACACCTGCTCAACAGCTTCCCACGAAACCAGGGGCGCCATTATGCGGTGTGCAATGCCCCATGATTCCATTTCATTGTGCTGTGCCGTGAACAAACTGTCGTTGACTGCATCTCGGATTGCTATGATGGGGCCTTCAACACATTTGCGGAAGCGTGTTTCGTCACAAATCTCCTCTAGTAGGTGTGCACCGGTAATAAAGACTATATCGCGACCAAGGATGGTGATTTTGAAGATGGGGCCTAGGGGTACAGACACACGGTGTTAACTGTGCTCTGTCACAAAAGGCTCATTGAGACTCACGATAATCCTTGGCTAGCTTGTTGAAGGAGCCCCAGGCATTGTTACCATCGAGATTGAAGAGGTTTCCCAGGATGGGAACACCTTTCGGCTTCGGGATCGGCGACGACATGATGTTCACTAGGTCAGGAAAACTACAGAAATTCCAACGGAAGGAGGGTCAGTTGCCGGCGGGTAGGCAATTTAAATTCCCTCTCCACCAGGTGCTCTGTTGCCCCATCCTACACATTCATCCCCGTGCAACCGCCGGCGCCAGTTGTGATTTGTGAAGATTCTTGTGTGGCTGCAAATCTCGGCTCAGCTGAATCTCGCCGATTCGCGCGACGATCTCATAACAATAGTTTGTCAATTGGTGGGCTGGCTTGGGCCATCAGTCCACTAGCTGTCTCTTAGTGGTCCCAAAGCAGGATCGATCGTCGCACAGATCATGGTTCGTCTGGAGAGTGAGAGCTTCCTTGCTTAAACTGGGGCCCAATGGAGAGAGTGCGCACCCACTCAGAGTGGAACGATTGTCAGCTCAAGCCCCAGTGGACGAGCAAAGGGGGGGTGGTCGGTGTGGATGTTTGTTTTGAGTTCGCTCCGCGACACGAGAGAGGATCTGTTCTGATTTGGTGGAACGCTGATCCACTGCGGCCGCGGACCGTCATGAAGAGGACCAGCTCTGAATAGCCGAAGTCAATACTGTGTGTACTCTGCCGCCTTTTCCAGCCTTTTGGGTCCCGATCGGCAGGTTGTTTAACAAAAATAGTGTTTATATCCCTGCACAGTGAGGGCATTGGATGAGTTGTTTTCTGAGGGAGGAATGGTAGAACATTGGTATGTAAGTATGTATGTACAGATCAATCCTGAAAGGGAAAAGAAAGCCATACCCAACTTACATAAGGCAAGTCAAGTGAGGTCAGGTGGTTTGACTCTCTTGAATGTCCATCACCACGTCTTTTGCCGAACGCTAACTTTTTTTCTGCACCACCCCATCCCCACAGGCTTCTCATTAGTGTCTTACACAGACCAATTCTCATGCAGCTTACTTTTCAGCCCTCGTTACTCTGTACTTCGTGCGTCTATCACTAATTGCCCAGCGGGTCACAGTAGATGCACCAGCTAATTGTATATGTGGACATCCGGGCCGCCACGGTTAATATGCTGGGAGCTGAATCCAAGGGCATGATGATCCCGCGCAGATCTACATGTCCAACCACGCAGCCCAAACCAGACAAATATTGCCTTATCACAGCATCAAGAAAGACAACCATGTCGGTGGGCTGTGGAGCACCACTGCATGATTGTCATCCTAGCTGTCAAAGCGTCCCATGTTACTGAGTCAGAGAAACTCTATTAGTAACCCTAGTTGTTCGTCGCGACTGCTCCACTCCCAGCCACCATACCATATTTCGGTAAGTATGCGACACGTCTTGGCTACGTTGCCTTGTGAAATGATTTGATTTTTGGGAATTAGCTTCTTCTTGCGATGTTCCCTGCCCTACAAAGGAGATGCCAATGACACAGATATATCGAAAGTTGGGCTATGTAAACTCCATCAGCACCTTCACCCGGATACGATTTTGTCCAGGTTTTGTCTGTCCATTGAAACAGTCCCTGACTGTCCTAATGTTCTCTTCGGTGGTTTCGGACAGAGAGAATTCGAATTTCCGCAGCAATGTAGCTAGGGCGAGGTAGAGCCAAGCATAAGCCATACTAATGTCTGAGTTAGCGAGTGTTGTCGATATCTAAGAAAAAGTATACGTTGGCCCCAAACATCCTTGGCTTCCCTTTGAGAACGGCACGAGATATTTGTCCAGGTTCAAGCCGATAGGACTTGGTTTTAGCCATCGTCCAGGCTGAAAGACCAGTGGATCAGGGAATATAGCAGGATCCCGCAGAATGAAGTGGTTGGACATGCTCACTGGGGTCTGTCGTTTGTCCAAGGCCTCGTCAGCCAGCAAAGCAGACGCTAGATTGATATGAGATAAATACCATACCCCTGGGGGAATCTTCCAGTCCCTGAACTCCAGCATCTCGTCAGGCGCAATCCGCGGGAGACGTGATGTGACAACGGCAGAGACACGAAGGCCCTCTTTAACGACTGCGGTCTTATCCAAAGTGAGCTGTGGAGTCCTATAACGGAGGCGTTCCTTTGCTCACCAGATACGGCAGGTTTTCAAGCACGCTCAAGCAAGGCTCATGTTGTAGATGTTCAGTCTTGTCCTGCAGTTCCCTACGGAGATCTCGACAGACCAGCGGAGAGCGAACAACATGGAACATTGTGATGGCCAAAACCTGAGACGGAGCCTCAGTGCCGGCAAACATCAGAAATTTGGCCTCATCAGTCAGTCTGTGCAGTGTCCTCTCCTTCGGAGGTAGTTTGTGATTGTGCATAAGCTGCGAGAAAATGCTATTCTCCTTGATGCCATCCCTGCTCTTCGCATATACGTATTGTATTTGGTGCTCTACCGCCTGAAGTCCATATTAGTAACACTCAGATCCACATCAACAGTGCAACCGATTTCTCCCAAGAAACTTACTTTCTCCATAAAATATATATACCGCACCTCCGGAGCGACCAGCGCACTGACCCACACGGGCAGGAATCGAAAAACAACCACTAACCAAGGAAAATGCCTCGTAAGAATGAGTTGAGCAAAGGTGCTGCTTACGGCCTTCTTCCATCTGTCATCTAATCTTTCCCTCCTCAACACTTCGAAGCATCCGCTCTCCCCAAATGCACAGGTCGAAACAACATCCACAGCAAACGACACGAAAGAAGCATTCAACTCCACCGCCTCACCAGTCCTCATCGCCTTTTTCATATGCTCACAGAGCAAGTCTAACTTTCCCTTGATAACCCCCTTCCAGTCCCTGACAGCTTGCTTGGAGAGAAAGGGACTAATCATCCCCCGTCGCAAGCGGTGGTGATCAGATTCTGCAGTGGCGAAGGTCGAGGTGGGAACTCCGACAGATAGAAACCAAAGGTACTTGTCTCGTCTCTTTGTGGGGCCTGCGTAGAGGGTATTGTAGTAGTCCGGGTCTTTGATATGGAGTTCGTGGGGGTTGATGCGCACAACAGGACCATATTTTCCATGGAGACGGTCGATTTCCCACATGAACTGGCCCCCAAGGAGGACATCAAAGAATACCTCGTACCAACTGGTTACGGCGGCGAGCGCTGGGCCGGGAAATTTGGCGAGCGGGGAGAGGAAGAGACGGTCAATGGCTAGACTTGCTGTGTAGATCGCAAGAGCTATGCATGTGGAACAGATCGCTTGGAAGAACGTGGGCATCATCTTCCGGTACGAGAGGTATGGAGATAGCAGAAGAATGGTAGTCTAGAAGAGTGGGTAGATATCAGGTGTCACTAATGACTCTGCAGTATCGGGGACTTTATATATGTGATCTTGACAGACTGCACTGTGTTACTACATGTCTACCCAACTTGCATCATCTGCCCAAACCCTTCAGGGTTAATTAGTTCTGCCTGTTACAGTTCTTGAATACAACTTGACCAGAGAAGAAGCAACTAAAACACCATCTTCGCCGCATCCAGCACCCGAGAAGATATGTATAGGGCTTCCTCCAGGAGACAGAGACATTGCAGACTCCACTGCAAATAAATCACAGCACAAGAAGAAGCAAGGGGAATAAGGACCCTCGGAGAATATGAGAGTCCCGGGTAGCCTGTCTTGCTTTTCGGCAGGTTTGGTAATCTGGTCAGACAATTGACCGAGCAGGGAAGGAGACAAGAAACCTGGAAGTGGACATCTGATGTAAGTTTACGTTGTGAAGCTTTCTTTGCAGTAGGGTAGAGATGGGTACAAATCCGGATCAGTTGCCTTCTTGGTTGTGATATTTTCATATAATGGATCCAAATTCCTATCCGAGACACCTAGCCATTGACATATACAGTACAGTATGCCACCTGATATCGACATTATAGATAAAAGTAGACTGTACTTCAATCTAAGTACTCAACAGAGTGTCCCATCCGCAACCCTACTAGTATCCTCTATTCCCTAACACGACACTATGAACGCCAGCATCATACACAAGCAGTGTTCTACTAGTATATACAAGTACCTCCATATCTCTCCCAGCCATGCAAATCCTCCCCCACTCCCACAACTTACCCAAACACACAAAAAGTCCACCAAACCATACCCAACAACGCCCAATCACCTCCCCCAAACCCATAACCCACCCCCCACAGCGGAACCAAAAGCCGATGCGGACCCCCAGATCATGCCATTATGCAGAGAGTTAAAAGTCAGCCTTGTGAACGGTTCTCGTACTTTCCCTTCCCGGAATAAGACTAGCTCATGGCCGCTTTTTGCTCAGTGATTAATCCCGGCATGTGGAGCAAGACAATGGTGCGTGTGCTGAGCGCTCCCTGAGTATGAAGCTAGTGCACCGGAGTAATCCGGGATCAATTCCGGAGTAAATCAGCGATTACTCAGCTAAGCAGACTAACATAACTGGCAAACAAGCGTTCCACGCAAGCGAGTGTTCCACCTCTATATTCTATATAAAATAGTCCTTTTTATAATTCAAATATCCCAGCAGTAGTGAAGATACAGTACTTGAGTTATTGAAATATATAATATATACTTTAGTTATTAGATCTTATACATTTTTATAGAATTTTCTTCTACATTGAAAGCTCTTGTAATATAAGATTTAATAGGATATATATAAATAAAACTATATAGATTATATTAAGAGAAGTAAGAGTCTCTTATCAAATCTACTCCTGCGTCAATTTACTTCTGTCCTATACTGTCAGTACTATCGCTTCCGCTTTAACATGCGTTTCTCTCTCTTATTACCCACGTATCGGATTGGGTTGCCCAAAAAAAAGCCTAACAATTCTGCCAGTGTCCTTCTGTTCGCTGTGGATAGAATAACTGCGACAAGTGTAGCCTGCAGATCAAGCTGGCCTTACCTCATTGATGAGTCCCCATCATATAATTCCGCGGGTTATTGAGCAACCTCTCAAATGCCACTACTTTTGACCGGTAGTCTACATGCGTTGGGCGATCTTGGAGCAATCGATAGTTTGTAGGTAGTAATATCATTTTATATCTCAAGGAAGGGGCAACAACAGACACTCAAATACCGCAGCCCTTGCTAGAGAATGTTTGGGTAGGGCAGAGGGAAGATGCTAAAGAAAAATAAGGAAATTAACCTTATCTCACAGGGGTGGTCTATTGACGCTTCAGAAGGGACATAATCCCAATGGAACTACATTTGCCAATGGCATGAAATCTCCAGTCCTCGAATGATTGTTCTCTCTTTTGCTAAGGAATTATTAGACTTAGACATAAGGCTCAATTATTCATATGGGCTGGTAGGTTGAACATTCTGTAGCTCTGAGAGCTCATTCCCGAAGCCCGTCATCCTGCAATTTGCATTCCACATTTAAATGGTACCTACCCATCTAACATGAAAGCCCCAAGCTGTCTACAAATCTCTTTTAAATATCGTTTGATAAGATATACTCTGCCGGATAGGATAGAATATTCATGGTATGTATATGCAACCTTGTCTTTTTCACTGCAGTGATTCTCAAGACGCCATGTAATTTTTCTTTGAGGATAGATATTCACTATATTACAGACCCTCTCGAACGTACATTTGACAAGACAGATTGGAATAACAATGCACAGGAAGTTGATTTTCTGCAAAAGCAATGTTATGCACATCAAGGTTAGTGAGCCTCCCGGAAATGAAGGCAGGTTTAATTTGTATAACGGAGGACCTGAGGTCAACCAGCCAAAGTGGTGTCGTGGATTGCTTACCGATTATCGTATCGTGGCGGTTTCCTCAGGCAACAGCTAACCGCGCGACGGTGGGTGCCCCGAATGGCTGCCGCCGAATGCCTACAAGGATTCCAATGGCATGGAGGGATTCAGCTTTCAAGTGACTGTACTCTTCATCCTTAGGGCAAGGTTCAACAGGGCCAATGGACTGCATATTCATTGGAAGAGCTATATTTAAATATATCTATTGGTGTAATAACAACTCCTCCATGTCGATTTAAAACGATACCCAGGGATGAATTCCTCCACGCTCCTCTGCGAACCGTCCCAAGATAGCCCCATATCCTTGGCCCGCTGTCTCCTAGCTTCGTGCTAAACCCATTGATCATGGGCGATTGCCTTGCAGAATGACCATATCGTGCTGTCCCGCAGCCCTCGCACTAGCCAGTCATTCACTAACTGCGGAAACAACGGCAGGTGTTCTTCTAGCGAGTTATCATGAGCAAGAAGAACTAGCACGTTACCGGCAGCATCTAATTCTTGGATTTTAGCCACTGTCTCGGTAGCTGCAGCATAATCAGGGAAGAACTGCCCACGGGCCAGGTGGTAGAAGGGCTCACTGGGGCTCTTCCACGATGCCAACTGCATCAGCAGATCTCCTGGACATCCGCCGCAACCCACTGGATCTCCCCCAGACCGTGGCCGCGGAAGAGGAAGGTACCGCGACGGCCGCAATACGCCCGGGTGATGGCAGGCGTCAGCGCCCATGAAGACAAACGAGGGCGGATAGGCTGTCGTGCGGGCAAGGGCACACATATGTCCCGCAGTATAGCCTAGAGCGTCTAGAAGGTAGAAGGAGCCATCACCAAAATAGTCGAAAGCGTCGAAGCGGCCGATGCGGAGGCTCGTGTTGTCAAAGTTTATTTCACGAATCTCACGACCCACGGCGTCACTGTCCAGGACAGTACCATCGGGACGGGATGGGTAGCCGGGCCAGGAGCCTTTTTTGACGCCGGGACCGACAATGAGCTGGGTACTGGTCGGGAAGCGGGACGGGTCGCCTGTATGGTCGAAATGGTTGTGGGACCACACGATGGCCTCAATGTCGGAACTGCGAATGTTCAACCCACTCGTGTCGCTATCGAGCACTGATGCGACGTCCCTGTCGCATGACGTTATCTCCGTGGTGATGGTGAGGAGCCGCACAACCTGGGGCGCATAATTCTGCCAGTCGATGCGCACACCCAAGTCAAAAACAAGGTGCCGGTCGCCGTGCGAGAGGAGGAAGCAGTAGGAGGGCACGCGCGGTCCCTTACTTGGGATGGCTGGCTCGTAGAAAGCCCCGGGCTTTAGGTAGAGGCGTGTATTACTATAAATCAAGGGAATTAGGTGGATGTGTCTTGGGGAAACGTGGACCTGACTTACGTATCTATCACTCGGACGTCGACAGTCGAACAAGATGCCGGGATTTGATGGAAGGGTGGAGTTAACTGACGGTCAGGCGATGCAAAGTTCGACGAGTCCATTGTGTGACACGGGGTGATACTGCGGAGCCGGTGGTGGTAGCACTTTCAAGGAAGAGCTTTGATAATGGCAATTCGGACTTATAATGATAGAGGGGGGGGGGGGGGTTATAGATAGTGTAGGCAGGGTCTTAATGGAAGGTGCGGATATGGGCGACAGTACGCTATATATACACTTGTCGAAGCAACACTTGGCACATTGAGGAAATAGAGCCAGCAGAATACTTCGTGAATCAAGCCACTTTTTGTGGGCTTTGAAAGCCAGCTTAGGTGGTAATTTCAGCCGATTTGAAAAGGACAAGGTAGGGCTCACACATATCATGCATACGCCGTGGCCCTATTGCCAAACAAGATAATACCAAGACAAGACAAGTGGCAAGAACCTAACAACCAGAGTCGAATGGTTAAGATTAGTTAGATTAACAAACACCCTAATTTTAGACTGTTGGTCTCTAGGTAAAAAAAAACTAGTCTACCAAATAGCGGGGTTGAGCACTCTAATCGTCTTGTAATTTTCCGAAAGAGGGCCGCCATGACCCCAGTCGAATTGCGAGAGCGTTCTTAACACCTGGCAGGGCAGGATATCTCTCGAGGCGTGTTTGTGAAGGCCTGGATTTTACTTTGTAGATTTTCGCTTCCACACTTATCTGGAAGTCGGTAGAAATATCTATCGCCTACATGGACTAGTAAGGATTAGCTGGCCCTTCGGTAGCCTGTTCACCTGCTCTACTTGGAATCCGCCTTGCCCCGGTCTGATCCCTCCTTCAGTCTCGTAATAGTGCAATAAAACTCGCGCTGCTTGAAGAAAAAGCCGTTCTCCACCGAAAACCTCTCCGGATCAATGATCTTCATCTATAATATCCTATTAGCAACCACCTAATTCAACACCGGGTCAATACCTGCAATAGAACGAGAACTCACATCGTATTTTAACACCAAGAAGGGAACTAATTTTTTCAGTTCAAGTATCCCAATATACTTGCCAAGACAGACACGCCGTCCGGCACCAAACTGTCCCAGTTAGGTACTCAGCCATTAGTCAAATTAGTTAGCCAAGGGTCGACGCCTACCGTAAGAACGCTCTGCTCGAGCCTCTTCCGCCCTTCCCCTTCAAGCCATCTCCCAGGCCTCCACTCCTCGACATCGGGCCCGAATGTTTCCGCATGTCGATTTACCACGTAGGGGTTCCCACCGACTAAAGTTCCTTCAGGCAGATAGTGATTCAGGACTGTGACACCGCCAGCAGGGACAACACGCTCGAGGGGAAGTGCGAAAGGGGGGTGCAGACGGACAGCTTCTTGAATACAAGCATCGAGATAAGGGAGGTCGCAGACTTCGTTCCATTTAGGGTAGGGGAGGGTGAGATTCGCTGCTATGAGTTCACTGGATAGGGCTTGGAGGGTGGCGGGGTGGGTAAGAAGATTATCTATTGCATTTAGTAATGCTGGTGGGCGGCATTGAGAAATGTGATTGTGATAATTGGGACTCACTTATTGTATGTCGTTAGTTTTAAATCTGCAATCGATGTAAATAATATAAGAGCACATACCACATAACAGTCCGCATCACGGTTCCGACAGAGTCTGAGCCAGCGATGACATTTGAGAATGTCCAGGCGGTTGAGGCCCTGTGAGTAGGGTTTCTGTCAGTGTCATTTGCCGCATATGTACCTGGAGGACATATCTACCACGGTGGCACACTCGAATTTGCCTCCTGGATCTCCAGAAAGCGAGATAGAAAGTCCCTGTGACTATCGCGCTTGACATGGTCTGGGTTGTCTAATCGTTCGCGAATCACGCTATCAACAAACCCCAGGATGGACATTGCAGGTGTCCTGCGGAGGCGATTGACAAATCTATTCTTGTAGATCCAAGGATCGACCCAGGGAATTTGTGACATCTGTGGCAATTGGTATCAGCTACACAATAGAATATACTACCCAGAGCACATACCGGTGCGGCCGTCTTCATAAACCGAAATATCGCATCCAACATCCCATTCACATCACGACCTTGCTCAAGAAAACCATATCTTCTCGAAAAGGACATAGTTCCCATCACATCAAATGCGAAATACTGCAGCCATTCGCCGAAGTCGAATGTCTCACCTGTACCCGCGAAGCGAGTGTCAAATTGCTCTGAGAGACATGCCAATACTTCGTCGACCAGACTCTCAAACATGACCATATTGGAGAGGGAGAAGAGCGGTGCAATGGGACTTTTGATTTGCTTGTGTATCTGCTCATTCTGTGTATTGAATACAGCGAGCATGGAGCCGCGCTCTCGGGTATAGGGACGGAGTGTGGCGTAAAAGTCACTCTTAAGTTCGCGTTGGCATTCAGCTTCCCGCGAACGACATTCGTATTGGTGATATTATTTCTAGAGAAAAATACGCACCTTAGGGAACCCAGGGCGAATGGGGTAAACTGTCGGAATGGCCTCAGGATTGCTGAAGGAAACTAGGTGAGGTCCAATGCGTACGACTTCTCCATATTTGGCGTGGACCGCCTGGTGATAAAGATGAGCGCGGCCAGTTTTTACCCACCAGACTCTTTGGAGGTTGGTAATGCTAGCGAGGAATGGTCCCGGGATGTGTCTTAGATGCCACCAGGTGGTGAGCAGGTGGAGGAAAATGACAACGATTGCTGCTCCAACTGCTAGCCAGGTCAGTTGCATATTGTCGATGTCACGCAGCATGGCATGAGATTGGTAAAAAAAAAAAGGGCAGTTAGGAGTTTTTCATTCTCATAGAGGTACCCATAATCTGCCTGTATTTTCACAGGCACACTCACTTTTCCCCATGTCGGACAAGCCCTCAAACCGAGTTCAAGGCGAATGAAGAATGTAACCTAGGTGAAACCGAACATGCCCGTAGCTGTATAAAGAAATGGCCTAGAAAGGGCTCAGTTTGACCCCCTAATACCTGCATAATTGACTATTGAACGACCAAATTTAGGCACTACTATCCACCCTTAATGGTGCATAGGTGGGTTAATCCATTGCTCCTCCTATCCACGGGCATACTCGGGACAACAACGAGTTACTACCTATTCAAGAAAACCAACGGGCTTCAAACATCGACAACACCAGCCATTTCGGTGACGCACCGAAACAGGCTATTCTTTCTCCTCAGGTCAGATAAACAACGCCTGTTGGAACAGGGTTGAGTGGAAACTGAAGGTTGATTTCAACACTTGGTTATCATGAACAGTCTGTATACTATAGCATCCCCTTCAATCACGCCGTATGTAAGCAAGAAGGTTGTGGTACCAGGACTTCCTTCTACCGTAGAATACTATTACCACTTTAGGCAGATGTAGAGACGCCATACGAACTGGAGTGAATTCAGATTGAGGTTGGCATACGCTGAGCTAGCCAAATTAGTCATAGACTCATGGCTTCGTTCAAAAGGTCTAGGTTAATCGATTCCCGGGGGTTGATTAGCCCAAACCCTGGCCGGGTGGGTTCACGGTAGGGAACGGCGTTCCTCGGTCTAAACAGCCCACATTGCACTCCAGGCAATAGAGTGCCCCGAGGGCATATTATTCCAGGAGTCCACTGTGACCAACCGCCCAAACTGACACTAGCTTGCCACCGGCCAATGACTCCTACTATATAGGATTGCCACACCAAATCATTTGTGTTCACTAAATGACTAAGTAGATGTACTTCGGAGACCCGATTCTTAGGACTCCAAATGCCATCATAAACTTATTACTTGCACTTTACACCTTGGATCATCTGCGTGGTTACCTCGCTCGCGGATCTCTCGACTTTCAGACATCCATGAATTCTGGTATCGAAGTTGTATTGTAAGAGGCGTAAATGGTTGTAGAGCTTTTTAAGGAGGCCCCGGGCGAAAGGGTGTCTATCAGACCGTCTATCACAATTCCAGGGTCCGATGTAACCCTCAGCATGAACTGACTAACTCTGATGATAAATCCTTTCTTATCAGACAATACCAAAGTCGGCTGGCGAACTTCCCTGCACCTTGAAGTAGCTCGTTGGAGTTGGGGGTCGCTATTGCAGCAAAATACAACACACTTTCTACATATACGGGAACGTTGCATATACCCCGGGCTAGTTAGTGTTGCTTATCTGGCAGATTAGAGATAGTGTTAAATCACGGGTGATGTTGTGCTGTGGTGGCGAGGATCTAGACCCAGACAACCCCAAACTATTTCACCAGCATTGAGATGAGCGAGCATTTAGTCCAATGGGATGACCCACCACCAGTCAGCCGGATAATGGCGGATTGTCAAGTAGTAACCATGCCGGTATGACAACGAGCATACTCAGCTATCCCTGCAACTTATGTATACTTCGATCAAACTCGGTCAATGTGGTAACTGCTGCGGAATAGCAGACGATGTTTCGTAAGAAGCTGGGAACCTGCCTTATCCATTCTTACTATTAATGGGAGGATATTAGTATATTAATACATGAAATACCCACTACCAATTTACAGGTACTACCCAGAGTCACCTAGATCTAAATGTGGTTGACGTTTTTGCAGCAAGGCCATCACGCTGCTTCGGACCGTCGTGGAGCATCCATCGATGACAACCCTGCCAACCATGTACCCTGAAGGCTCTAGTTCATTCTCAGTAAGAGTAGCAGTTAATCCCAGACGACCATTAGTTGGCAAAACTATACGCGTTACGTAGCCTCCGATATGGATATCGAATCCCTTGTGATCTCTCATATCTAGAGAGCTACGAAACCGGAGAAAGTTATATATAGTGTGAAGGTGGAAGCCAGTGGTCTGTATGAATATCAGTTTGGCAAGCTCAAAGTCATTCTTCGTTTGTTCTACGTTATAAAACCCCGCTGCTACAACACGTTACCATAGAAGTCGCAGTATTCGATAAACGAAGAAGTCATGACCATCAAAGAGCTGATTCACCGGGTTAACTGGGTGCCTGCTGAACTCTCCCCTGAACCGCTCAACTTTCGAAGAGCTGTATTCGTGGCAGCTGGCAGCGAGGAGGAAGGTAACAAGCTGTCTATATACCAGGCCCAGCTTGCCGATGAGGGCTACGAAACTGTCATTGTTAGCCATGCTACAGAGATCACCCCTTTGCTAACGTCCGATACAATTGTTGTCCACATCCCACATGCGGCTAGGGAAAAGAGCAGCATCTACGACACGGTGACAAGGTCGTGCACCAGCTTGATTGCAGTGGCACAGATACTGTATCATCATAGCCAAGCCAACCGAAATATGACGAGTAAGCTTTTCTGGCTCATCTCAAGGGACTTCGGTACGGGTGATCTAGCGTACGCTCCGCTGTATGGCCTGGCGCGAGCCATGAAGATGGAAATGTTGGAAAGTTTTGGCGGTCTGTTCCATGAAGACCAAGGGCGCTTTCCATTGTCCGCCTTCAAGTACGCGCAAGGTTTTGATGTTGTCAGGGCCTTCCAGGGCATAGCGCAGACCGCTTCACTCCAGCCATTCCAGGACAAGCTGGACGACCAAAGACAGCTTCAGCTCAAAGGGAACAGCACGTACCTCGTTACCGGGGGGACACGGGGTGTGGGTCTGGAGATAGCGACATGGTTAGGCGAGCAGGGTGCCCGTAACATATTACTGCTATCTCGTCGTGGACTTATCCCGGCCCTGGATACAAACGAGAATAATGCAGATCACGAGCGGCTTGTCTCGCAAATTGCCAAGCTCAAGAATTTGGGCGTTTCGGTCCATGTACTCTCTATTGACCTCAGCAAGCCTGAGGCAGAGACCTTGCTTGGTCAAGCCATCGACGAATTGGATGTTCCACCTATAAGGGGGGTGGTCCATGCGGCCGGCATTGCAGGCTACCATACACTACACTGTTGCTCTCCTTCGGATGTCGCAGATGTACTGGCACCAAAGGTGAGAGGCTCCTTGGCATTGGACGCGCTATTTCCACCCGGTACGCTGGATTTCTTCGTTCTTATATCATCAGTCGGGCAACTCGTCGGATTCCCAGGCCAGCTATCCTACGCACCGGCAAATGCGTTCCTGGATGGTTTAGCGGCATACAGGAGACGCCATGGTGATAACAGCATGTCCATCCTTTGGACCTGTTGGCGCGGCATAGGGCTAATGGCACAAAATAAGTCTGCCACACGGATGCTTACCAAGGGGATGCGGGCTCGGGGCATTATGGACGTGAGCAAATGCGAAGCGTTGGATGCCTTTAGTCGTATCTTGAGTCTTGAGACTGACCATGTGGCAGTGGTACGAGTGTTGAAGCTCGAGGCTGACGAGCCGGTGCGGCATCCCGTGCTCAAGGACATCACACCGCGTAAGCAAGCAATGCAAAGCACCGCTACGGCTTACAAAAGCTACCCCGAGCATGCGGTGGCAGTGGTGGGCCTGGCTTGCCGCACAGCTGCTGGGGATACGGTAGATGACCTTTGGAAGATCATTGAGACCGGGAGGAGCATGGCGCGAGAGATCGACTTGGCGCGATTTCCTGAGGTAGTCAGTGATGGCAAGATGTGGGGTAACTTTATGGCTGACATCGAGTCGTTTGACCACCAATTTTTCAAAAAGTCCAAGCGTGAGGCAGCAGCATTGGACCCGCATCAGCGTGTATTGCTCGAAACAACATACCACGCACTTGAATCAGCTGGTTGTTTTGGTGGTAACCAGCAACAAGAGGCGGAAACACATGACAAAAGCAGAGGTAGTGAGGTAACAGGTTGTTTCATCGGCATGAATGCACCTGACTACCCTCTGAATCTAGCTTGCCATCCAGCCTCGCCATACACTGGCTTCGGCATGCTCCGGTCGTTCGTAGCAGGACGGCTGAGCCATTCCTTCGGCTGGACGGGGCCCTCACAGACCATCGACACGGCCTGCTCCTCAGCCATGGTCGCCATCCACCAAGCCTGCCGCGCCATCCAGGCAGGTGAGTGCACGCGCGCCGTTGCGGGAGGTATCAACTTAATAACCAACATGGTATTGCATAACGCGATGCGTGTGGGTGGTTTTCTCAATGAGACAGGTGCCTGCAAGACATTTGACGCCAGGGCCGACGGGTACTGCCGTGGTGAGGCTGTGGGTGTTGTGGTACTAAAGCCACTTGGGAAGGCGTTGAACGACGGGGATAGTATCCATGGGGTAATACTGGCTACCGGCAATAACCAAAACATCAATAGTACCAGTATAACGAACCCAGCTATCGAGAGCCAGATGGCATTATACAAAGACGTGCTGGATCGTGCTGGAATCAGCCCGAAAGAGGTATCGTACATAGAGGCGCATGGCACAGGCACCCGTGTCGGTGACCCTATCGAGGTCGAGGGGATCCGGACGATCCTAGGCGGGCAGGATAGGGATTCCACCTTGTATGTTGGCGCGGTCAAGCCCAATATTGGACATTCGGAGGGAGCCTCCGGTGTGGTCTCGTTCATCAAGGTCTTGCTTATGATGAAGTACGGAAAGATCCCAGGCCAGGCTCAATTCCAGACATTAAATCCGAATATCTCAGCCCTTGAGCCCGATATGATGGCGATCTCGACGTCGGTGAGGGACTGGTGTGACAGCTTGCGCTTGGCCGTGGTTAACAGTTATGGCGCTTCCGGAAACAACGCTGCGGCTGTCGTCGCCCCTCCGCCGCCTCCCCCTCCGCCTCCGACTCCACCGCTACCACCGTCGTCCATCCCATCGATCTCTGCCTGGCCTTTTTTCATCTCGGCTGCTTCCAAGGCCAGCCTTTCGGCCTATTGTAGAAAACTTCAAATCCAGATCCAGCAAGGCTCCCTTCTTCCCGAAACAAGTTCTCACCTCGCTTTCGCTTTGGCCACGAAGCAGAATCGCAAACTCCAGCATACGTTTTGCACCACGGCCACTTCCTGTAAGAAATTCTCAAGTTTGCTTGAATTAACAACAGGTAATAGCTGCTGATTGACTTCTTCAATATAGTGGACGACCTACAAACCCAGCTTTCCGAGCCCGAGAGGCACATTACATCTCAGGGCCCCAAGCCTATAGTGCTTCTCTTCAGCGGACAAAATGGCGACACTATTCCCTCGGCTAAACCTCTCTATGACAGCTCACTGCTATTCCGAACACATCTACATCGGTGTGAGGAAGTCATGCAGTCACTTGGTTTGCCCAGTCTGTTCCCAGCCGTACTCCAGGGCAACGAGGGTGATGGTGACTTGATCCTCCGCCACGCCACGATGTTTGCCATCCAGTATGCGTGCGGTAAATCATGGATCGACTCTGGCGTTAAGCCTGAGGCAATTTGTGGCCATTCGTTCGGCGAGTGGGCGGCACTTACCGTTTCAGGTGCTATCACGCTTGAGGGTGGCATGAGGCTTGTTACTGGGTAAGTCGCCTACGTCTGGAATCATTGTTAACCTTGCATTTAAATATGGGCGAATGCTAACGTAGTATATACAGTAGGATAGTAAGCTAGAGAAATGAAGGATAAGTTACTAACAACTGTGCAGGCCGCGCAGCCATCATCCAGGAGGTGTGGGGAGACGACACCGGGTCCATGATAGCCATTGAGGCCGACTTGGTCGGAACAGACACAACACCGACCGAACATTTAGCACCATTCCACAAAAAACACCCAGATGCCAAGCTCGATATTGCTTGTTACAACGGGCCGAACAATTATGTTGTCGCCGGCAGCACGGCGCATATAGACCTGCTCGAATCGTACCTAAATGAAAGGAAGTCTAACAGCGAGAAGCTACGTTTTAAGGTCCTTAGGGGCATGCACGCGTACCATTCTTCTATGGCTGACTCGATTGTCGAAAAGAGTGCCAGGCTGTCAGCTTCAATCCCATTCCAGGTCAGTGATGGAACATACCTAATCGCGCCCATGCATTCCCTTTCCAACCATGTTCCTTTTGCCAATTCATCATTGACCCTCTCTTCTCACCCTACACAGACCCCAGTTTTTCCGTTCGAATCCTGCCACAAGCAATCCTGGACTGGACCCGGCTCTAACGTGATCGCCCGCAATACTCGCGGGGCTGTGTACTTCGGGCCAGCAATCTCACGCATCGTCAACCGTCTGGGGCCCTGTACATTTCTGGAAGCCGGCTTCGGGGGTCCAATTATAGCCATGGCACGAAATGCACTGCCGCAGCCCCAGACCCAGTCTCAGCATACCTTTGTACCGATCAATGGGAATAAACCAGTGCAATCCCTTGCCAATGCTGTAGTTACACTATGGAAGAATGGCCAGACAAGCGCACAGTTCTGGCTGTTCCACCGGAGCGAACAGTCGAGCTTCATGCCCGTAGAGCTGCCGCCGTATCAGTTCGAGAAGCACAGTCATTGGCTTGAGTACACCCATCTCGCTGGAAATCGAGGTAGGAAGACAGATGAGCAAGACTTAACACAGTATGAAACGTGCTCTCACTGCTTGAAGGATATTGACCGCTTCCCTTACATATCTCATGTCAAGTCTCAAACCCAGGGTAGGGGCAAGTCCGTTTTCAAGATCGATATGCGCAGCAGACGGTACCAGGACCTCGTCAAAGGCCATGTCGTGGTTGGGTCACCGATATGTCCAGCAGCAATGTACCTGGAGCTGGCCTCACATGCCGTAGCCTTGCTACATAAAGATCACAGAGTGTCTAATATCCCAGAAATTGTAGCAGATGCCGTCAAGATCAAGGCACCACTGGGTTTGGACATGCAGCGTTCCGTCACACTAACCTTGACGGAGAACAGTCAGGGCATGTGGGACTTCGAACTGTTCTCCACTAAGAATAGCAAGTCAATATCACACGCCACGGGGAGCATTGCTTTGCGAAACAGCAGCATTAGCAGTGTGCACGAGGAACAGGACAAAAAGGACAAATGGGCCCGCATCACCGAACTATTAGAGACAGATACTAATACGGAAGCTTTGCGCGGCACGATGGTGTACAAGGTGTTCCGTAAGATGGCCATATACTCAGCAGCCTACCAGGGCCTACGATACTTGGTTGGAAAGGGCACGGAAGGTGCGGGGGACATCACAGTACCCGTGGGGGACGTCAATGCGATAGCCAGGGCGCCGAACGACGGCATCTCAGATCCCGCTGTCGTGGACACCTTCTTACAGGTACCAGGTGCATTTATACATTCGCTGCGAGCTACGGATGAGATAGAAGCTGGAGACACATCCTATATCTGTACGGGCATCGATGCCGTAGGACCACTGAACGGGCTACGCGCTAGCGGGAAATACAGAGTGTATACAAAGATTGTCCGGGAGGACAATAGAGAGGCTGTTCTGGATGTCTTTTCGTTCGACACACAAACTGGGAGTATTATTTGGTCCGCCAAGGGACTGAAGTTCTCGAAGGTCCCTCGCAGCTCGCTAGCGAAAGTGCTGGCAGGAGCCAATCCTGGCATGGAGTTCACCAATCCCGTGGGCTCGTCTAACCCTGCTACTCAGTCATTCTCCCCCAAGATCCCATACCAAGTGGCTTCTGCTGCTCATCGGGAAAAGTTCAGCAAGAACGAGAAAAGATCAGCCAGTGTACTGAGTGAAGTCCAAACAGTCTTAAGCCACTCCCTGGATGTACCAGTCGAAGAGATTACAAATCAGGCCCTGCTCGAGGAGCTTGGTGTGGACTCGTTAGTTGGGTCGGAAGTGCTAGCTAATCTCCGTAACAGATTCAAGATCCAAATTTCAAGTGAAGATCTGACAACAGCTAAGAAAGTTGCGTGTTTGTGTGAACTGATCTCCTCTAGGGTAGATGGCGACACCAGCAGCGATATCGACAGTGAAGACCAGGATCCCGATCCTATGTACAAAACGGCTGATGACGGGACTCCAATGTGGCAGAAGACGGTATTCCAGATCCTTGGGCAGTCTCTCGACATACCAACTATAGACATTCAGATGGATTCGAAACTAGAGGATCTTGGAGCTGATTCTCTTGTTGCATCTGAGATCATCAGCAACCTGAATAATGCCTTAGGTCTTGATATCTCACCGACCGAATTCTCCTCAATGGCTGATGTGGCATCTCTCTGTGAATATATTGCGGACAGTGGTGGTGACTCCTTGGTACAGACTCCTACGACCAGTTTATCCAGCCTTTCCAACACACACTGTACTTCCAGAGATGATCTCTCTAGGGCCTTAGTTGCAGCTGCAGCGGCCCCAATAGAGAGCAAGAAGTCAACCATAGCCAAAGGCCACACGGTGTCGATACATATGGCTTTCCAACAAATCCGGAGCAGTTTTGATACCTATGCGAATAATACCAAGTTCACCGGCTTCTGGGATCGGGTATACCCACAGCAGCTGGGGACCGTCACAGCCTTTATCATGGAAGCCTTTGAGAAGCTCGGTTGTCCCATTAGGGATTTCAGCCCAGGGAAGAAGCTCCCGAATCTGCAAGGAACACTGCCGAAGTATCGCAGGGAGACCCTCCGGCTGTGGGAGATCTTAGAACAGGTTGGAGTAGTCGAGAAAGCAGGAGACCACTTCATACGCGGTCCTGTGTTTTTAGGCGGTGGTGCAAGTGATCGTTCTGGACTGGAACTAATAACGGAACTTATATCGAACTTCCCCCAGTACGCATCTACACACGGCCTACTCGGCCTCCTTGGACCACACCTAGCAGAGTGTTTGACAGGCAAGTCAGACCCTGTCCCCCTTCTATTTGGTAGCGATAAGGGTCGCGGCCTCCTCGATGACTTCTACGCCAACGCACCGGATCTTCTGGCCGCTACGAACCTGCTTTGCGACTTCATGTCCGCAGCCATCCACTGCAAAGCTTCAAACGGCGAGCCCTTCCATGTCCTGGAAGTTGGCGGCGGTACCGGTGGGACCACCAAGCACCTTATCCCAGTGCTCCAAGCCACTGGGCTCCCTTTCAAATACACGTTCACCGAGCTCTCAGTTTCATTGCTGGCACGTGCCAAGAAAACCACGTTTAAGGGCATTGCAGGCGTGGAGTTTCGGAAACTAAATATCGAGGATGACCCGCCCGAGGATCTGCTGGGGCGCTACCATATCGTGGTGTCAAGCAACTGCGTACACGCAACGCGCAACCTGCGAAACAGCCTAGTTAACATGCGCAAATTGGTACGACCGGATGACGGATGCGTGGCACTGGTAGAGTTAACGCAAAAGTTAGCCTGGTACGATCTAGTCTGGGGCTTGTTGGACGGTTGGTGGCTTTTTGACGACGGCCGGAAGTACGCATTGCAGAGCCCATGGGCCTGGGAGCGGGTGATGCTAGATGCGGGCTTCGCACATGTCGATTGGTCAGAGAGCGCGAGTCATGAATCTCGAAGTGTTCGAGTAATCTGTGGCACGGTCGCCGAGCCGGAGAGAGCATGCCCGGCAAAGGCAACCTCGATGCTCCTGCATCGCCCAACTTTTGATTCAGGAGACCGCAGCCTGTTTCTGATCCCGGATGGATTTGGCTCCGGTGCTGTGTTCGATGCCCTTGCGCCGCTGCTCTCTCCAGTGGAACATGTGTCTGTCTACACGCTCAGCAGCCCCTTTCTCAAGCGTAAGCCCGATTCAAACCAAGTGCCCACTATTGAGGAGCTTGCTGCCATCTACGTGACCGAGATTAAGCGTCGGAAGCCCGAGGGCCCTTATATGATCGGCGGGTACTCGGTCGGTGGGGTGTTGGCATTTGAAGCGGCACGACAACTTCTTGAAGATGGCAACGAAGTCAAGAAGATGTTTCTTATTGATACAGCATGCCCCACCTTCGCCCGCTTTATGCCAGATGCACTGGTTGACTTTCTGGATTCCATCAACCGCTTCAGCATGATGGATGACGAAACCCCAGAGAACAAGCGCGGCTCGCCCCTGGCGAGCGACCATTTCACGCTGGCAAGGCAGCAACTGTTGAGGTATCGAGTGAGTACGCTACCAGGTCAGAAGATCCCACAGGTTGTACTGTTCTCAGCGAGAGAGGGTGTGAATAAACAGGATGAGGTACCTCTACCTAAGGTTCTCCCTATGGAACAGCAACTGGTGAACTGGTTCCTGAATGACAGAGCCGATGATGAGTTGTTTGAATGGGATAAGGTTGTGGACAATGTTATAGTGATTCCGACCGACGGCAATCACTTTTCAATGATGCGATCCCCTCTGGTAAGTCTAGTAGGCTGTGAACCCTTCCCTACCAGTGAAGTCACTGATACATGAAAATAGATACATGGATGGGGATCCGAGCTCGCCAGGCTACTTCGTGCTTAGGTAGGGGAGGATAAGCTTCACTTGAGCTACCTAGACCCAGATTCGAGTTTATTACCTAGATCGAAAAGGGTCCTAGTCTCCTAGAAGCAATGATAGCCATCTGGTCTTTCTTCCTCCCTTCTTTGTATTATGTGCTTTCTTTTCTATTCTTGTTGCTATACTTTTGCCGATCAGGCAGCCAGTTCTATAAACTGCTGGAAATCATTCCAGCGCTCCTTGTTCGGTGACGGCTATTTGTTGCCTGGGGATAGTTTGTCGAGGGCTGCACCATTAGTGGACGGGTAGGAACACAGACTACTACTACTAGTAGTAGTCAGAGGGAAAACTGGGAAGCTGGCTGATTGCTCCGGGAGCAGCCGGAGCGGTAGGTGCGTGTTCAAAGGAGCACTCAGTGAGTGACCCAGAGTGGTGTCCTTACAAAAGCGGCGCCACCCGTATTAGTAGGCAAGTGCACAAGAACAGTTCATTATAGGACTTGTAGCATCTCACAAAGTCTATTCACATTTCAACCACGTCATAGACATTCCTTTTACTTTACCTTCAGCTTTGGATTCATGGGAGCTTGAAAGATGTACATATGTGGAAGGGAAGACTTTGTCTGTAATGATAGCTTTATTTGCTTGTTATTACTTCCTCGGGTCTCTTAGTCTTCTTAACAAGATTGTATAGTCAATCAATCACCAACCACCACCACCACCACCACCCCTCGATCGCCGCTATTGCACCTCCTACATATCTGATAGTAAGGAAAGGGAACAAGAAAAGAGGGAAGAAAAATGGTCGTCAAAGAAATCACATCGTCCGTCCCCCGGCCGTTGTCACAACCCCCCAAAATTCCACCTTTCTAACATAAAGATTGCCCCCCAAAGCTACTCAACCCTTCTAAACACAATCCAATCCCCGACTCCCACAATCGTCGATTTCACGGCCGGCTGGACCGGCCCGTGTCGCCCCATGTTCTCCGCTTTCGAGCAGATCTCCCATGCAACACCGCACATGGCGTTTTACCGGATGGACGTGCGGAAGTTGTCGGACGAGGAGATCGCCAAGTTGGGGATTGTGGCTATGCCGACGTTTATGGTGTTCCGGGAGGGGAGGAAGGTGAAGGATTTGGTGGGGGGCAGTCCTGGGGGTTTGGAGGGGTTTGTCCTTGAGGGGCATTGATGGCAGTCTGTCCTGTTTTGAGTTGAGAGAGTTATTGACATGAGAGTTTGTTGAAGCATTACAGCACCTGGGAAGATCTATGCATCACATCTCTGGTACTGGCCGTACTCGGAGGTTATATATCAGGTATTATTGAGAGTATATATAGCAGACGGTGTAAACCGTACCAGTTCTATGAAGCATCTTGAATCACAAAACCACGCTTGATTGGTATCTCAAAGGCTAAATAGCCGCAGAAGTTTATCATATCCCAGACTCCAAACTCCGTGAATGCGTAGATCGCTCGAATATCGCTTGCAAAATCATCATGGCATGTCGCCCGTCGCGCGAAAATCAAACATCATCTGACTATCCATCAAGACGAACGACTCGTATCGGAGACCCCGTTCCCGCTGATACAGGTCCGACCACACTGGGACACTGCTGTTCCAGACGTGTCTATATCCCTCGAAAAGCTGACGCCAGTAGCATGCTTCGGCGGCCTTCGTCAAATACCGCTCCCGGAAGGTGCGCACGCTATTGTTGGCAATCTGTAGTGCCGTACTCGGGTCATCAAGGAGGGGCTCAATCTTGTTCGCAAGATCGCTGAAGTCTCGCTCAACCTCGATGTAGTTTTGATTCGGGCCGTCCGGTACGAGGAGATAGTGATGGTGCTGGATATACTGCAGTTTATGCGCCACGATTACTGAGTTGCAGGCCTGGCGGTACTTCAGTGAAGCGGAGTATGATCGGCCTGAAGGGGGGGGGGATCCAATTAGTACTCTGGCAGCTACAACCAAGGAAAGAAAACCTCACCCTCGACGTGCGCGATAAACATATACCGGCAGTGATCTTCCATCGACATGATGTTCGTCCGCTCAAACCAATCCACTTGCTTGACGTCGCCCCACGGCTTATCCCGAGCGGCATCCATCAACGCGCGGCGCAGCTTGGGGGCAAAACTAGGTTTGCCGCGCCAGACCAACTGCGGGGTTTTCTGCGACCATGGAATATCGGCTCTCTTGACCCGTTCGACGACTTGATCAAAGGGTCCAATCGAATTCAGCGGGTTATCCCACGCCCAGAACCCGAAGTCGGGCATCAGCCAGACGCCTTGCTCGGATGCAGACCGGGCAAGAACCCAGACAGGATTGTCGGAGCTTGTGACATCTTCCACCTTATCCTCCACCGAGAAAACAAACTCGATGTCGCGACGAGCAGCTCGGTCGAAATCCGCGACCAGCGCGCGATGGATGGAGCTTAATGCCGCCACAATCTTTCGTCGATGATCCTCCTGCTTTGCCCGCGCCGCAACCACATACAGCTCGCCGCGAGAGATAAATGCTCGCGCCATACCGAATCCTAAGGGAATGCGATCCAGGTCCTCGGTCGCAAGAGCGCCTTGGGACCGCCAAAAGCTCTCGGCGCGGAAGACATCCTCGTACAGTCCCGGGAATGCGGCCTTGCACTGAGGTGTTGTAAGACCCTCATTGTTTGCATCGCGATCCGAATTGAATTCCCATTTCGGGGCGGAGGTGAGCTGCGGGACAAGACTATGCTCGGAGCAGGACAGACAGGTGGAGCACTGGAAGGTAGTTGAAGTTTGGCACGCACAGTGCCCGGCGGGGATGAGCTGGGTCAAAAGCGGGTGAATATAGTCTCGATCGGAATTGACGCCATACCAGATGGTGACGATACAAGCGAAGCTCATGAATCCCACGAAGTAGAACAGGTAGAGGAGGCTACCTAATCGCAGGCGCCATCTCGAACAACTGGGTAAGGTCATCGCGTCGGCGAAGACGGGATGACGCGTGAATAGGTCGATAGCATTGTAGGATAGAGAAAGGAAAGGAAAGGAAGAGGGAGAGAGAAAGAGAGGGAGAGAGGGAGAGAGAGGGAGAGAGAGGGAAAACAAAAATTGAGCCAAGGGGGAAGCGGGAAGGATAAACGAATGAAGCAAAAGGATCAGGGGCCTAGATTGACGGTGCGAAGGGCAATGACGCGGCGATGCTCTGAAACTCACACGGCGGGGACGGTCAATCTTTCCCTTTCGGTCAATGATGGACAAGCTTTATGGAGCACCCCCTCGTCGGACCATTGGATCGTAGCTTTTTTAACATCATCGTCCCTGAACGGGCTACGAGTAACAGTTGTTACTTGTCGCATTCATTACTGGGTTTGGCATGTCATCCTGGCGGGGAAATGGAGCAAAAATTGCCCCGAGACCAGATTTCCAGGTAGGAACTACCCGCAAAAGAAGCCTGAGGCTAGGACTCAGCCTTGTTAGGGGCCCCTGGCACTAAACTACAACGGTTCAAGTACGGTACCGGATACCGCAACCCTGCGAACGCCTCCGGGAGCGTCAGCTGGCAGCCAGTAATAGAACGAGACAGGCGCCATCATGGCTCTCGTGCCTGGCTGTGACATGTATGACGGGCGTCAATGTGGCACGGGTGACGTACTCCATATGCTACGTCCATAGCATGTTCTTACTGGGATTTATGTCAGAATATCTCATCTTGCAGCATACATGACTGGGGTATGACACGACCCGAAATCGAAATCATCGGCCGATACTAAATCGCCGAGAACTGAAGAGAGAATTACTACGCTGCGTAAAAGAAGTCCTGGCGTGATGGAGAGCCGCCAGTGACGTAAAAAGGGCCCCCCCACCTTGACCCTGTTTTTTCGCCCCATTGTGATTGGACCCTTTGCCGCTAAATAAGGACGTCTCCACCCGCCAAGACCTTCCTAACGTGGGCTATGCTCAACGAGGTTGCCGGGGTTTTTCTTTCATTCTCGCCCCAAGGAGACCCTCATTTCGGCCATGATCGGCTCACGCCTGCGTTGGACTCACAATGTGATCCCACTAAATCTTTCCAGTCCTCTTCTCGGAATTTTCCGTTCTTTCTTCTGATACTAGAGTTATCACTGCTAGGACACTGATGGACAATCGTATTACTATCTAGCAGTCAAGAAAAGGCGAATTGGCCGAGGTACTAGTATATCCGAGGCTCGTCGACAGTCTCACTCGGACCATGGCATCTGGAGAGACACATTATTTTTATATGCCCGGCGATTCCCATGATGTCTCCAGAGTAGAAGGGTTTATTCCACAGTTCGGTTGAGTGTGGCTATGCAGTGAAGATACACATCTTCAGATCCATAATGTGGCAGACCGAGGACAAGAGCTACCTGAGGTGAAAATGATAACGGTGTATTCTTTGATCACCGTAGAATGGTTGATATTTAGGTGTGAAAAAGTACGGATGTCTGCAAATTGAAAATCACCAGAGAATACAAGATTGCTGGTGGACAGGGATCCAGCCTTCCTTTATTTCCCCCTGTTTCTTGTTTGTTTTGTTTTTGTTTCATCCCAGTTGAGCAGCACAAAGCATGTGACTTCGAAGGACTCTCCTGCAGCGGGTGAAATTAACCACAAGGGATGGACACAATGCTTATTTGCGCCTCCCGAGCGCTGTTTGGCCGCAGTTCCCGGTGGCGCCTTTTGCCTTCAGATAAGGTTATGTCTAGAAAATTTTTCATGTTTCGACGGCGATGTTGGGAATCTTCTCAAGTCACCCGGTCGACTCCGGAGATCCATCCCATCTTGGGCTCCAGGATGTCTTATCCGAGCGTTCACAATCAACAACCGATATGATCCAATGCGAGGAAAACAGATATAATGCTTGGTGGGTTCTTACCTTCGAACGATTGGCTGCGATTTACCACGAATGACGGCGGAAAAGGCATGGTTGTTGCTGTCCTGTTTTCTGCAGGACTCAAAATTGTGAAACTCGATAGTCGCTGATTGTGTACCTTAAAGCACGTATCTCTATCCCAAACATGTGGAGCTACCGATCATATAACGCTTCGTTCGCTGACCCAGGTACCAAAATCATTACCTCAACGAGCCTCACATTAGTGATTCGAAGGCGAAATTCCAGCATTACATTTATGTTCTTCAGATAAGGATACGTACTTCGGGTCCATCGGATGCAAGGGGTGTATATCACCATTGGATTAGAAAGAGAAATAATTCAATGATCGACAAAAAATGGAATTACATATCTCATTCCAGCCGCTTTTATGAACTTCAAGTTCAACACTGCTTTCTGGCTTTTCTTTTAATCTTGCCACAAGGCAGTCGTCGGACTACTGTACAGAAGTTTCAAAATCTCTCGGACCATGTACACAAGCAACGACTCTCAGAAGATACCTTCTGCCACGGACGATGCCGCAAGCAGCAGTGGCAATAGCTCGGGAGATAATCACGCGTCTATTGAGTACACGGAAGAAGATCCTTCAGAGTTCCCTGATGGCGGATGGCGAGCTTGGTCAGTGGTCTTGGGATCATGGTGTGCGTTGCTTCCAAGCTTCGGTCTTATGAATATCACGGGGATTCTAGAAGAGTGGTTGGCAGACCACCAGCTGCAGAACTATTCTAAAGCGTCAATCTCCTGGATCTTTAGTTTATGGCTCTTTCTCTTTTACCTCGGTGGTATCCAAGCCGGTATGATGCGCTAGAGCTCTGGACGTAAATGGCACTAACTAATACGCGACAGGGCCCATCTTCGACTCACACGGTGTTAAGTACACTCTGCTTCCGGGATGTATCGGTTTTACGACATCAATGATGATACTCAGTGTCGCACAAGGTAATGTGGAGCAGCTCCGGTTCCCACTGCCGTCCTATTGACGGTGCGAAGCATACTACCAGTTCATCCTCGGGTTCAGTGTCCTTGGCGGACTTTCCGCATCGGCCATCTTACCACCAGCATTCGGCACCATAAATCACTGGTTTTACAAACGTCGGGGCCTGGCTACTGGAGTCTGCTCTACCTGCGGTGGAATTGGGGGCATCATATTCACATACATCTTCGGAACACTCCGAGATCGAATTGGATTTCCTTGGGCGGTTAGAGTGCTTGGCTTCCTGTTCCTGGGTTGCTTTATCGTTAGCATGTTTCTTACAAGGACAAGACTGCCTTCAAATAACTCCAAGAGCAGCATGATTGACCTTCGCTCCCTGCGAGAACCGGTATTCACAATGACTTCTCTCGCCGTGACCGCCGCAGAAGTCGGCCTGATGGTCGTTATCACGTACCTGCCTTCTTATGCTTCGTCGCATGGGTTAACCGGTCCCCTATCATATGAGCTGATGTCTATCTTCAGCGCCGCATCTATTCCCGGTCGAGTTATCCCAGGTATGCTAGCTGATCGCTGGGGCCGGTTCAATGTTATGATCGCCACTGGGTCCGTTTGTACGGTATTAATCTTTGCACTATGGCTTGCGGCCAACGAGAGCAAAGCAGCTATTATAAGCTTCACTGCCTTGTTCGGCTTCTGGGCCGGTCCGGCTATTAGTTTGTCGCCAGTGTGTGTGGCCCAGATCTCTCGGACAGAGGACTATGGCAAACGATATGGGACGACGAATACAATTATGGGCTTCTGTCTCTTGGTGACTATTCCAGTCGCAGGAGAGATTCTCAAGGCTCAGAATCCGTCGACGCATCAGGAGACAGTGTATTGGGGGCTGATGGTCTTTTGCGGTCTGTCGTATGCTTGCTCGACGCTGTTCCTGATACTGGCCAAAGGTGCCTCTGTGGGATGGAGTGTGACTCGTATATTCTAAACTACCGAGAGTTAGCTTTTCGATCCTACTCAAGATTCTCTAACACAGGGTCTTGCTTCGTGAACGCTGCATGCCACAGCCTGAAAGACTAAAATGGGTTTTCAATCTATGCTAACGTCTTTAACTTCTGTTTCCATGGTTCACACTAGTAATCTTTATCTTTTTAATCTCACCATTTTCGCTTCTGATCCCTCTTCCCCGATGGCTTGCACACTTGCACCAGTTGCTAAGCTAATTCATATCTAAATAGGACCGCACACTCCATATCACACTAACAACTAGAGAAACCACGTAAGAAAAAAAGAAGCAAGCCGATTAGGGTTGAGGTATACCTTCGCATTTATGTAAGATCTAGCCAAAATCATAAGAAACCTCCCATAAAGGTAGTTTCTATCACCTTGACATCGATGGCCTCTCCTACCTTGACCTTCATCTTTCAAGCAGAACATTCTTCCCACCTGGAGTTGAGCACATCTCACCCAAGTGCTCTATTACACGACCCTCCTTCCTGAATCCAATATCGGGAATCTTATGCACTCTTCTGGGATTAACAATTCGGTCACACGACAAAAGTTAGTGAGCTCAGCTCAGCAGCGACCACTGTTCCTCCTGCTCAACAGCCCTCTCCGCAGACCACCGCCAACCCTATAAAGCCAACCGACTACGCTCAACAATATATAGCAAAGCCTTAAACTCCTCTCTAATTTCTCGCCGCCTTCCCCCCCCTTGAAATCTCACAAAATGAAGAGATATCTCGTAGTAAGTCTAATTTAAATAAGTACCCAAGGTAAGAGAGACTAGTTACTTTAGTCATATCTAGGAATTATCCGCTAACTAGCAAACATTTGATTACCCATTCGTAAATATAATATACTAATAAAGAAGATCAAAGCTCGAGCACACATTAACGTGATTTAATTCTATTACACTAAGGAGCGGATCAATTATCTCACAACAACGGTAGCGACAGACAAATCAGCAATATGGACCGTAGTCTAACAAGGAAAAGGGAACAAGCAGACGAGCGCTAGAGCCAGAACAAGCCAGCATCGGTAAAAGTTATTAAAACAGATAGGAAAGCACCCGAGTAAACCCCCATGGCTAGATGGGCCGATTTATGTGACCGGCATTTTCTCAGCTTCGGCACGCCTTTACTCGAAGTCCTCGCAGTCCTCAGGAGAGACAGATACGGAGACTTCGCACTCGGCGCAGTCGTTGGGGCCGGAAGCGTTGGCTGAGGCGTGGTTGCCGCCGGACGAGCTGGACGAGCTGCTCGAGGAGCTGCTGGATGAACTGCTGGAGGAACTGCTGGAGCTGGAGCTGCTGCTACTGCTGCTGGAGGAAGACGAGGAAGAAGAGGAAGAGGAGGAGCTTCCGGAGTTGTTGCCAGAGTTGTTGCCCTTCTCGCAGGCTTCGCAGTTCTCGGTGCCGGAGCTGGGAGGAGTGCTGCCGGAAGGAGGCTTACCGCCAGTGGGAGGGGAGCCGCCAGTAGAAGTGCCAGTCTCTTCGCCAGTGGTGATGCCGGTTTCAGTGCCAGAGCTGGGGGGGGTACCGCCGCTAGTTGGGACGTCGCCGGTAGGGGGGGTGCCGCTAGTAGGAGGAGTGCTGCCAGATGGAGGAGTTCCGCTAGTAGGAGGGGAGCCACCAGTCTCTTCGCCAGTCTCCTCACCAGTTTCAGTACCGGAGGTGGGAGGGGTGCCACTTGGGGTGCTGCCAGTGGGGACATCGCCAGTAGGAGGAGTGCCGCTGGTAGGGGGGGTGCTTCCCGAGGGAGGAGTACCACCAGTAGGGGGAGTACCGCCAGAGGGAGGCATACCACCAGAGGGAGGAGTGCCGCCAGAGGGAGGAGTGCCGCCAGAGGGAGGCATGCCACCAGGGGGCATACTACCGCTGTCAGTGCTGCCACCAGAGGTGTTGGTGTTAGAGTTCTCATTGCTGTTCGAGTTGGAGTTACTGTTGGAGTTCGAGTTGCTATTGGAGTTCGAGTTGCTGTTCGAGTTCCCGTTGCTGGATGACTCGTCATTACAATCCTCGGCACTGCTGTCAATGCTGACACCCATGGAATCGGAGCCGGTTCTTTCACCAGTTGCACATTCCTCACAGGAGCTTCCTCCCTTAAGCTGTCCGAGCCAGTTGATCAATGGGCCGAAAGTCCGAGCCGTCAACTGACCAGCATCAGACGGGTTGGAAGCTTCAAGGACCTTCCCAGGAACCGTCGAAGTACGGTGATAGGTAGAAGGAACAGTCACCGGGACTGCCAGAGCTGTTGCCGTCAAGGCAACAGTAGAATAAACGAGACGCATGTTGAAAAGAGAAAATGAAAGATAATAAAGATCGTAAGATAGTTTTTTGTATAGAAAGCGAATGAAAAGAAGAGAGAGATGCTGTCGAAGCGTGGTTGGATGAGGAATTGCTGCTGGAAGTTTGTGATGCTTTATATACCTTTGATCTCGCCCATTTTCAGCATTCAGCTGACTTTGACAATGGCATTCGGTCGGCAAGGTTGCATTGTAACAGCTCTATTCGGGATAAACATGATGGTTGAGATGTAGATCCAAGTTTCAAGCCGAGACAACCTCTTTAGCCTCAAACCATTAGCAAAACTCAATTGACCGGTGGCGAGCACGGAGCTAAGCTATGTGCTTCTTCCAGAAGCACATGTCTGTGCCTGTGTATCTTTGACAGCTGGGCGGAACTGCTGTGCCATCGAGGATGGGTAGACATCGTCTCCCTTATCCTGATGGTTCTTACAACAGACACTCGCGTTTCTCTATACAATCCCATATAGAGCAACACAAGCGCTGGCGAACCATCCCATCCTCTAGGCGAAAATCGCCGTCCAAGTGGATCTCTATAGTGCCGTGCTCAACGGTAAACTCGAACCTCTATGCCGTCCGAAACTCTTGGCCTTCCTAGTTCCTGACTCGAGAGCCCAGACCAGGCGGTGGTTCTTCCCCCCGAGCGAGTCTAAACCGGGGGTAGATCATGTGGTCCTGGTGAACCGTCACAGTGAGGTCCATAAATACTGTTTTGCTATAATTAGCAGAACTCTCTAACTGCCCTAAGCACTTCTTCAGACTATCACGGTGGACTCTGCGGTCGTTATGACTAAGAGGATGTAACCTTTTCAAAAACGCCAGACAGAGCATGTCAAAAGTCAAACTTGAAACTTCACTCGGATAGCACGGCATTCATGATCTGCTCGGGATATGATTCATAATAGTGTCTGCTACTAGCATAATCCGAATTGCTTCTCTAATGGTATCTGGGTCACATGAGCAGACTAGCAACAACAGCAGTATAACAATCACAGCCCTACAAAATCAACCAAATCTCCCACCCAAAAACAACTCTACTTCAAAAGCCCCAGAAATAATCATAACTGATAACCAAATGAGCGGAAGATAAACCCTTCCCCAAACTCAAAAACCCCTACAATTGAACCCTCACAACACCCGCAACCCCAAGCTCCACCCAAGAACCACCCCCTATTCCATATATAGATAGCCCTGAAACCAAACCCCCCGATCGCCTAGAACAAGGCTAAGAAAATCCCTGACTAGAACAAAAAAAAAAAAAAAGTCCCCGAAGACAGCCAAGACCCCATCGTTTCACGCTTGCCCTACCAACAGACACTCAGACCCGAATCGGGATGTCCTTCTGCGACGGGATCGGCAAACAGTGGGGTTTCTTGTGTTTGGGGAAAGTTTATTTTACATATTTTTTTGGCATTTGGGGTGGTATTTAACTACTCCTTAGTTTTTGGGTGGAGTTGGAATCGGATACGGTTTCAGGGCTGGGAGTTGTTGTTAGTTATTAGTGTACCTTGGTAGACGGTTGTCGATCTATCGGGTGTTGGAACTCTGGTGGTTGGTGTGATTTCAACGATTTCTGGTGATGGCGATGGGTTTTTTCAAGTATGGAGAGCTGTATTTGCTCTTGTAGGTGAGGGTTTATTCTAATGGTCTTTGAGGTGAGTGTCCACTGTCTGCGTGTATTAAATTTGTACAATAAGAGTATTTATTTAATATGCGAATACCGTTGGGGAGATCTAGGCTCTCATACTATATGCTAGGCCAGCCCTATCTCACAGGCTCCCGTGAAACCTCACCACCAAGGATCGACGCATCAAATCTTCGTATATGGAAACTCCTGCGCCGGATCAACCATCCCCGTCTCAGAATAGTACACCTCCCAGTGTTCAATCAACCTCTGCAAAATCTCCGGCTCCGAGTCTGCCCGGTCATCCACCTCCCCAGGATCCTCCTCCAGATTATACAACTCCCACCGATCCTTGCCCCTCGGCGCAGTCATATAGAGCGCCTTCCACGGACCCCGTCTCCCAAACAACTCCCATCCCGTAATATAACCCCCCTCATCCTCATGAAATTCTACCGTCCGGCCCGCAAGATGCGGCACCCACGACGAACCTCGCACGGGCACAACCTCCCTCCCTCGAAACTGTTCCCCGGGAAGAGGCACACCCGCTAGATCCAAAATTGTCGGGAAAACATCCATGACCGTTGCAAACGAGTCAGTCTGCCCATTACTAACTCCCAGCGGCGGAAACCGCACCACACACGGACACCGGATGCCACCCTCCGTGATCCAGGTTTTGAATCCACGCGAAGGAGCCATAGCTGCGCTGGCCCACGCGGGGCCGTACCAGACAAACGAGTCCGGATTGCCTATATTCTCGAGCGAGTTATCGTAGTACTTATCGATGATAGCCTTGATGCTGCCCGAGGGACCCATGACAGGGAGGGCTTCCAGCATTGCGCCCTCGGCGCCGTTGTCGGACATGAACAGGATGAAGGTGTTGTCTAGTTCGTCGGTTGATTGGAGGTGGTCGATGACTCTTTGGATGTTCTGGTCGATTAGATCGACCATTGCAGCGAAGACTTCCATTTTGCGGGCTGAGTCGGCGCGTTTCTCGTCGCTGAGTTTGTTCCAGGCCCAGTCGTCGCTTTCGAGGGTGATGGGCGCAGCATGGACGTCTTTGGGCACGCGGCCTAGTTGGATGAGGCGCTCCAGGCGCTTTTGGCGGAGGACTTCCGGACCTTCGTTGTAGAGGTCTTTGTATTTGTTGATTAGCTCGCGCGGAGCTTGCAGGGGCCAGTGGGGTGCCGTGAAGGGGAGGTAGGCGAAGAACGGTCGGTCGTCGTCTTCTTCCCTGGAAGTCAAGTATTGGAGTAATTGATCGGTAAAGGTTGTAGTCGAGTAGAAGTCCGAGGGAATGTCGGTGGTTCGGTCCAGGAATCTGTCCCCTTCCATCCAGAAGGCGGATGATTTCAATGGGGCCAGGAAGCCATCTCCAGCATGTTCCAGTTGAGGCTCGTAGTTGAAGTGGTTTCCGCATCCAGCAAGGTATGAGAAGTTCTTCTCAAACCCGCGAGAACAGGGAGCGATCTCTTGCTTCAGTCCCAAATGCCTTTCCCACTGATTAGTTTGCTACACACCCTTTCGTGCATGGACTGGAAGATACGTACCATTTTCCTGACATGGCCGTGAAATAGCCAGCATCCTGCAGCACTTCGGACAAGGCGGCTACTCTCCAATTGAGGTATCCCTCATATCCTGGTTTGCCTTGGTATTGTTTGGCATTTCTCATGTGTTCGGCCATCTGGCCCAGCCCGGCAATGTGATTGTCGGTGCCGGAGAACAGCATCGAGCGAGTCGGTGAACAGGCCGACGCGGTGTGAAAATTGGTCAGGCATGTTCCTGTACGTGCCAGAAAATCAAGTGCTGGGGTTTCAATTTCCGATCCAAACGGCTTGGTGTCACTGTATCCGAGATCATCAGCGACAATGATGAGGAAGTTCGGCCGGCGAGTTGAGCCCATCTTGTAATTGTGATTGATGCACAAGGGTGGGCACAATTGATGTGACTACTAAAGCTATCAATTGATAGGAAGAGCAAGTACTTGCATCGTTCATCAGGTCGCCCGGTTATATATTCATCATAGGACCGGAGCGCTCCGACATATAGTTATCGAGGGTACGTAAGACGGCTCCCCGCTGTCGGCGATTGCGCCATCGCTACAGAAATTGTTCGCCCATTCAAATCAATGAGAAGTATGAGGGGAACCCGGCGGGATAAGTGAGATCTCAATCCACCGGAAAGAATAATTCCATTTCTCTATTCAGTCTTTGGGGACAGAAGTACCTCACGCAACTCTCTTCAACATCACAGTTCTGCGGACATGAACGAGACAAAAGCATCATCATATACGCCACGAATGCAATGGAACCCTCCATAGATCGCAGGATCAGTGAACAAAACCGGGTATAATTCATCCAAACGCCCAACTGCAATGCACCCAAAACCAGCCTTCTAAACATCGAACTACAATCATTGTCTAGCGTTAGTTCTCAACGCCCTCGACCCTCGACGACCACCCGCAGAAGGCTCGGGCGTATTGCTCGCCTCCACCTCGGGACTGAACATAGGCTGTCGTCTGCTTCGACCGCCTCGCACGCGGCTCATTGCTTGGCGCAGAAGTCCATCTGCCTCATCGTCCAATTCCATCTCCACCTTATCTTCCAGTGTCTCAGAGCCGCCCCCCAAATTGTGAGAATCGACCTGGGCAACTTCATCCGTCCACTCCTCTGAATACTGCTCTTCGGTAATAGCGCGTCGCCTGGAAACTTTGCCCTTTCCTTTGTCACGCGACGACCGGTTGGAACTTCGGCTGCCGCTTCCTGCTCGTGAGGCCTCTTCGGACAGCGTCGCCTCAGCCTCGTTGCCCTCCAGTGCCCAGATCTCCAAGGCTCGAGAGAGTAGTGTTCCCGCAACACCGGCACCAGCAGCAGCGTCACCACCCCCGCTAGCCCCCAAGACACGAACGGCCTCGTGAAGAGCGGTGACAGCCTCCACTGTCCGGCTTAGTTCGAGTAGAACAAGGCCGCGAGCTGTGTGGAGTGAGCCAATCAAGCCGCGGTCCTCGTAGCCTCCAACACCGGACGACGCCGCGCCAGAAGCATTGCCTCCACTTCCTCCTAAAAATGGGGTATACCCGAAGCTAGCACCCGCAGCACCGATACGAAGACACTCATCGAATTCAACTAGTGCCTCTGTAAAGCGTCCAATACGGCGCAGAGCGTGGCCCAGGTTCGCTCGTGTGGCCACCCAGGCTCCTGGCTCGCAATTGAGAGATGTGGCGAGGTTGAGAGCTTGACGGAATAATTTTACCGCAGGTTCAAGATGATTTTGATGGTAGAGTACGACTCCCAACTCATTGAGTACCAATGGATCGCCTCCCAGGGAGGACGCTCCAGTGGATGGGGTGGGGGGAGTGCGGGAACCGAGCCAGACGTTGCGCCGGTCGACATTGCATATGCTGCAGACAGGTATTCATGAGCGAGCGACATGTTGTTCAGGGCTAAATGCTGCATGCCGAGGAACAGTTGCGGCAAATGACTTCCCTGGAAGAGTCGGGCCGCCGTACTATAAGCCGCAATGGCTTGATCATGCTCTCCTTCAGCCGCGAAGGTGTGAGCAAACCCAATCCATGCTGGCGCTGAATGAGGATCTAGTAAAGATGCTTTCGAGAAAAATCGTCGGGCTTCCGCTACTTTCGAAACAGATAGATAGTAGACGCCAATGGCCAAGTAGGTATAAGACTCTTCTGGAGCATGATCCGCCAACGTGTGGGAGAGAAGGAATAGCGCATTGGTGGCACCAGTTTCATATAAGCATGCCAGATGTAAGGGGTACACGGCTGGTGCATGGCCCAGATGGTTCTGGGCTGAAATAGGGGCAGTCGTCGCCGTTAGCGCAGTAGATGACTGGGAGGTCGACAAAATAGACGAAGTCAGCTCTAACGCTTCTGCGAAGCGGCATTGGGTATACAGGGCCTCTGCGCGTGAAAGCAGTATATCCGGATTTTGTGAAAGGTTGTAGTGCGTGGACAGGGTTTCGGTTGCGTCGGAAAGAATTGCAGGGGACGAGTATTTGGATAATCGGGTGGTATAAAGCATCTTCGTGAAATGAGCGGCTTCCTGAGACACGGATGGGTCCGGACTGGAGATAGAGTCAAAGTCAAGTGACTCCAGAAATTCGAGCTCCTCCGCAGGTGACATTAGCGAGTTCTTCATCAATTGATCGAACGCCTCGAAGCACTGGACGTCAATGCGCACAGCATCCTTGTAGCAATCACGGGCGCGGTCAAATGCATTCTGCTTGGCGAAGCAAAGCCCCCTCAAATAGCACATTGCGGCCTCAAAGCGAATGTTACTTGCATCCTCCCGCTCTCGCTCTTCGCTGCGATCGATCCGCGAAGCTGTGGTTTTCCCGTTGCGTAAAGTGACATGGCTTTGGCTGTTTAGATGCTGCAGCTTGCGACGACTGTTGCTGTTGTTATTGCTGCGAATCAGGTGAGTTGGGTTGTGGTCGCCGAGTATTGATAGTGCCTGCTCAAACTGGTTTTGCTTTATATAACAATGCGCGGCCAAGTAGCGACAGGCAGTACTCCTGGAAATCAAATCCTTCCGTGATAGGAGAGCTAGAGCTCGGGTAAAGTTATTATTCGAGAAATGTACTTGAGCCAACCAAAAGGCATCCGAGTCGCTGTCTGATCGAGTAATATGCGTTAGTCTTGAATAATTGCGGCGCGAGGGCAAAGGATCGACCGACTAGTTAACGCAAGCACTTTATCACCGATGTAGACTGCCGCATCATGCTGGCCACGGTTCAACGCATCCTGCCGCCAGGAGCGAAGAAATTTCTCCATGATACCAGCTGTTATGCGCTTTCGAGTAAGGGCGAGAAGGATTCAGGGAAGATCGGAGTTGTGGCAGTGAGGCATGGGGTCCGGAGGGGCGATAAAGGCTAGGCGCATTCGTTGGTTCCTGGTTCCAGGTACAACCGCCAACCTTTTCCAGGAAAGTTCTCGGAGAGCGACGATGATAGCTTCTCCAGAGAAACAGCTGGCCCAGTGTGCGTCCAACGCAGGAGGGAGGGAGAGAATCCAGATTGGAATCTATGGATGCGATCCGCGGAATTGCATGTTTGACTGTTTTGTTTGCTTGCTTTATGCTTCCCAAAATGGCGCGTCACTGGGTCTGTGCGCTTACCTTATCGGGTAATAGGATATCAACCTCTTTTTTCTCGCATACAATGAATTAAGACAATTGAATTCATGCATGTGGGGATCATTTGAATCAGTTATCTGCTCAAGGGTTGTTCACTAGCGAATAACAATAATCTGTCTTGCCACCTTATCTTACAGTCACGAGCGAGGGAACCATGCCTATAAAAGTTGATAGATCGCAATCCTGTAGACCCATAGAAGCATATGTGCAAGGACTCCCGGGGGAATCAACTACATCAAGAATAGCGGGACTGCGTGCATATATCCCAAGCTCACCTATCTAACTGAAACCATGTTAGGGCTGTCAACGTACTCGAACTTCAACTTGGATTACTACACCATAGTTCCACACATCATCAATAGAGAGTCCACACCAAATGAACGGAACTGCAGCGTATGGCCATCAGACGTGTATCTATCTCTCAAGCTAAGTATATCATCTGAGCCCATTGTTCCCCAGTCCCGACTTTTAATTCTTTTCAAATGACCCGGAGGTTACTATGATCGCCCGGAAACCTGAGCAGTAGTGGTGGTACTGTCGAAGAGATTAACGCAAAAGGAGAAACAACTCGGGGTGTAGTGATCCCCCATACTGTAATAGTCAGCATAACAAAACGTTCTTTTTCGTGTATACTGCATTGTGGTGTTCACGAAAGCACGCTCCAACATTATGGATAGCTAGGGCTAAGCTTACGATTGTATATTTCCTAGGGGGTTTACTAGTACAGTCATGTGCCAGCTGGTTTAGATCTATCAGTAGACAAGAAAGGAGAAATCTAGACATAGATGAATGTATAACAGGAGAACAAAGGGAAAGCACCGATATTGAGTATGGCATACAAAGCAAACCCAGACTCAAAGATGCATAACGCTCATGCCTGTGATGGGAAAAGTGTTGCGCGGCAGAACAGCCAGTCAGTTGACAGATTGAAGAGTGTATCTTTTAGCAAAAGAGTATGTAAGTTTAGTATTTCAACAAGAGCGATTATTTTCTCTTCAAAAATTTTATAGCTATAGAGTCGCTGAATGGGCGTTATACTAGACTCTCTCCATTTTAAAATAGGGCTTTTCAATTGAGATATATTAACCTCGCAGTATGCAAGGAAAGCATCTCCTTTACTCGGTCGGGGGTCTGGAGGGACATGTTAGTGACCGCCTTCCTATGGAAGCTAACAAGTTAGATTGAGTAGGCGGTAAGAGGCAATGCAGGCGAAACTCATTATCAAGATAGGAATAGACTACCCAAAGCAGTTCAACGAGCGCCTCCCACGTGACAAATATCAAGCTATCGTCGTTCATATATCATTAGCAACATCACCATCATCCAAGATACTGTCTTCTCCCAATAACCACCACGCTACCAGCTTTCCTACAGCGATCAAAGTCCGATCAAGCGTCCAACACAGTATCTCCAGATTCAAAAGCTTTAATCAAACACCGCCAATATGTCTGAAAGAAAAGTCCTTTCGAAGGTGAGCTCACCAACACTCCAGAACCTCCATTATATAATAAACACACATCCCTATGATACTTATGACATAACTAACACACAAATATATAGTACTACCCGCCAGACTTTGATCCAAGTGCAATCACCCGCACAAAAAACAAACAAACTGGCCCCAAGGTGATTACCGTTCGACTTATGGCCCCGTTTTCGGTATGTTTTTACATGGCCCCCTTTCGCTTTAATTACCTATTGGCAGCCAGCTCATTTTCATAGATGAAATGCACACAATGTGGAGAATTCATTTATAAGGGTAGAAAGTTCAACGCGCGCAAAGAGACGACAGAAGAGAAATACTTCTCTATCCCCATTTATCGCTTCTATATTCGATGCACGAGATGCAGTGGCGAAATTACGTTCAAGACGGACCCGAAGAATATGGATTACACAGCGGAGAAGGGCGCGAAGCGGAATTTTGAGCCATGGCGGGATCCGAAGAACGAGACGTATAACGAGACGGAGGATCAGTTGCTAGATCGGTTAGAGAAGGAGGAGAATGAGGAGCACGAACGCGCGGAGAGGGATAAGATGGCTGAGTTGGAGGAGAAGATGTTGGATTCGAAGAGGGAGATGGCGATTGCGGATGCGCTAGATGAGATCCGGACGAGGAATGCCAGGATAGAGAGGAATGAGGCGCTAGGAGATGAGACCGCGGTTGCGCATGTACGGGAGGAAGTCGACGAGGAGAGGTTGAAGGCTGAGAAGGAGATCGAGGAAGCTGCGAGGAGGGCATTCACTACGGAAACTGGGGAGAAGGTGAAGAGGCTTGTCGAGGAAGATTCTTCAAATGGCGTTGCGCCAGACACCAAGCCAAGCGAGGCGCCACCTTCATTCACACGAGTCAAGAAGGCGAAGAAGCCATTGCCGAATAGTTTGGGCATTAAGAAGAAGGCAAAGCCATCGTTGGTATAAAACATGTGCTCATCGAAATTCTACATTGTTATTCTATAGGCTTGGCGTTTGATTGGGATTGCATAGGGTACAGTTGCTTACAAGCATTACGACTAAGGATATGAACTGACTGCTGAATTATTTCGATTCTTATAAATACTACATATCAATGGGCAATCAAGAATATAGCGATTAAGAGACAGGTCATAAGCATATCCATCAAAAATGTTTCCCAGAGCGCCACGCTGAAACAGTAAAGTAGTACCACAGTAAAACGGAACTAGCTCATTAGAACCGTAGGCAATCCTCCACAATCCGCCAAGCAAATAAGAACGCCAAGCATAAGAAAATAATACACCAGAGAAGCAGAAAACACAAAGCCCCGCGACTAGAGGTACGGCATCCACAAAGCATCGCAGGTTGCTAGGTGCTGAGGGTTGACGGCCTTGGAGATCAGGTCAATAGTAGTTTGGTTGGCTGGCAGATTGCCCTCCGGAGGACTGGCAAGGCTGACGGCCCGGTTGACGATGATATCGCTGTTGTTATATACCAAATCACGGAGCTGCGGGACTGGTAGAACGCCCCGATGCTGTGCTGTAGCCCAGAACATCATTTCGTCACGGACGAAAATGCTTAGTTGCTGCTCCAGCTCATGACGGGGCTCCGTAAGGCATCGGGCAATTGCCATCAGTGCACAAGCAAATAGACCTTCGGTGGCGATGGGTCCCATCAACGTCTGAATATTGGGGGTCAAACGGAAAGGCACCTGCTCCGGGTTGTAGAAGAAGGCTTTAGCAGGGTTGATAGCTGGGATCAGTTCGGAGCTCCAAATGTCACCCGTCGTCCTAGAAATCATGATCTTGTTGGGATACCGGTTACCCATATGCATCACGTAGGTCATGAAAGCGATGGCCGCGTATTGGTACGCGAACTGACGGCGGAAGAGCCAGAAGTCAGAGAAGTTGGGGTATGTCTTCTGGAAGTAGTCCAGCACAATATTGCTGGGAACCCACTTCTCCTGAATCGCAGTGAGGATCTCAGTTCGAAGCACTTGCTGTTGATCAGGTGTCCGCTGAGGAAAATTAGTCTTGTTCAAGTACGTAGGTGCGGTAGTTTCACTTACACTCTGCTTCGTCTCTGCTAATGACCTCATCTTTTCCATCGTGAATAGTACAGGATCATCCTTGTTTATTCCAACCCGTCGGCAGTAGTCTTCATAGATGCCCTGCATGGAAATGTACGAGGGATCATCACGAACCAAACGAATATGAGGTGCCAACGGAACCATGAGCGGAAGATGGAAATAAAGATTGCGCCGTCTGCTTTCCTTGCGTTTGCCTAAGAGACCATTGAAAATACGGAACAACTGCAGAATGCGCTCCTCGCGTCTACAGTGCCGAGCTGCTGGATGTTGGACGGCGAAAGGATGTATACTACCATCATGGCCACGGATCTTCAAGCGTCTGTGACAAACACCAATACCGCGGACTAGATCAATGTCAGGCAAGAATCGATCAATGCGAACGAAGTCTTGGTTCTTGTCTTTATGCAGTAAATATTGGCCAGGCACCTCAACCTCGTCGAATTTGAGGAATCGGAACTCGCTGAGATGCGGCGAGTAGCTCTCGAGGAACTGGGACTGAGGTCGACGATCAAGCTTCTCTTCGAACTTGTCACGCCAACGCCGCAACTTCTGAATATACTCATACATTGTAGGTTTCTTGACAACGAAGTCGGCCTCAAAAGATTTGCGAATATGGGCCGGGAGTATGGTCTCAGCGAAACGGGTGATGTTTGCTTCCGTGGGAGCAGGAAGCTTGAAGTCCTGTGCATACGAGCCAGGCATGCGACCAACATACGCCAGTCCATCGTTCAAAAGTGCGACAATGAGACGATAGGCATCTTCATCGGGTGGACATTTGAAGTTCTTGTGAATTTGGTCGACCATCGTCTCCATAGACAGCGCAAGCAATGGAAAAGCTGTCTTAAGACCGGACATGATCTCGTCTGAGTATTCCCAAGGCTTCTTGAGGGGTTCCTTCTCAGGCTCTGTGCCAGCGTTCTGGTTTTGCTGTGATGCCCCATTCTGGCCAGGTACCTGGAGATTCTGCTGTTGACCACCTTGAGCTTGGTTCTGAGTTTGACCTTGCCCCTGGTTCTGTCCCTGAGCAGGAGACTGCTGAGCTTGGCCGTTGACTTGAGGGCTTTGGCCCTGGACCATTCCCTGCTGAATCTGGTTCTGGGCTTGCTGTTGGTTAGGCAGATTAGCCTGGCCTTGCACGGGAGTGGATGTATTGGCATTTGGAGGCTGAGTATTTTGCGCAGGTGAGCCGCCCACAGCTGATGGGGAAGGCTTAGGCTGTGGTGAAGCTTGGGCTTGGGCCTGGGCTTGAGCCTGCTGCTGTCTGGCACGATTCAGCTTCTCTTGCTTTTGATCATGCTGCTTCTTGATATTGAGCATATCTTCCCTATTCGTACGTAGTAAGAAGAAGAGAGCCTGCGGGTACAGCTTTGCGATTTTCACCAGAAGGGCTTTGCAAAGGCGTGCTTCTCGATGCGAAAGACTGGTCAGAAGCTGTGGTATAAAGGTGATCCAATACCAGACAGGAGTGTCTCCCTTGAAATTTTCAAAGGCAGCCGCGACACGACCTTCTTCGTTGTCCAAGCTAAGAAGCCAAAGGATTCGGCTGAGCAACTTCCTAGCTTTAGAGTTCTTATAAAGCCCTGCAGCCTCGAGGTAGCAGCTTACAGCATTGCTTGCTAACTCATAATCCGATGGATCAGACTTCTTGAATCGCTGGTCACTGTATTGTCCCCACTCGGACCAAGCTTTCGCAAGCCTTAAGTCGTAATAGAGGGCAACACCAAATGCATCGTTTGCTTCACTGACATGGCTCAATTTAGCCAGGAACATACCCTTCAAGGTATAGAACTCTGCCTTTTGCTGTGCACCGAAGTAATTGAGATTCGTGTTGTTGATCACATCCAGTCCGCTGTTCAGCTCCTTGGGGTTTTGGTAGTGACATTTGGCTTGTTCACGCAGTTTCAAGAAAGCTTCTTGAATCTCGATGTTCGGAAGCGTATAGATACGGCTAAGTTGATTGATACACACCTCAGGCATTTGATGTTTACGTGCAACATGGGCGAAGCGGTTAATAATCCATGCGGTCTCATGGTATCCGCGGTAGGCATAGGAATTGCTGGCCACATTGTTGGTCTGTGGTGGCAGCAAGCTTAGATACGTTGCATTGATCAATTGGAAGATATGCTGACGCCACGTAACCAAATCTTGCCACGCGTTGATATCATCCCAGAGGTTAGGAAGGCGGTCACGCCAAGTTCCCAGCAACAATTTCAGCTCGGCTGATTTCGTATCCAGGTTCCGCTCATTGGTTTGCGAGAGACTGGCACAGATATGGCTTGCATCATGGAGCTCGACTAAGAGCTGGAAGTGCTGCAGAATAGGGATGTGAGCATTTGTAATCCTCTTCGGCAACTGAAGCCACTTGCGGATGGACAACTGAATGGACTCGTCGCAAACGCCGTTGAACTCCTGAATGTTCTCCTTCTTGATGTGATATTGAAGGAGTGCCATGAAAGCCTGGAAAAAGGTACGTCTCGGCGTCGGTGCATCAGAAACGGACTTGATGAGGGATTCGAGTTGCTCTCTATTGCCTTCGCTCTGCCAGTTCTCAATATTGCGCCAGGCAGCTTCAAGAAGAAGATCGTTCAAGTTCTCATGCTTAGCAAAGTCGCTGAGAATCTCCCATTGCTGCAGCTTTTGCGCGCAAATCAACCAATGATCCTCCCAGAGGTAGTATTCACCTTGCGAGAACGGCATTGCCCCAGAGCGAGCCTTGATCTGGGCATTCTCATACAACTGCTGGGCCTTATCCCACATTCCTTGTTGTTCGTAGGAAAGAGCAGCGTTAGTCTCGACAAACTTGCAACGACGTCGCCAGGTACCATAGAAGAAATCGTCTTCCTGTAGGCCTGCATAGACTTCAACAAGGGCATCCAAGTTGCTCTCACGGACAGTCGGTGTGTCAATTATGGGGTTGATGGCCGTTTCTTCCAAGTACCCAGCAGCCGTGTACCAAGCATCGTAGGTCCGGCTAAGGTACTTCATCACATGTGGGGGAATCTTGAACCGTGGCTTAGCACGAACTGCGCCCTCTAGCAGCGCTTGAACAACGTTTGGTCTCTTATCCAACTGCCTCTGGTGGTACTCGCGCGTGATCAGAGTAATCATACCCTTCTCCAAATCAATGCGATCTTCTCTGGACAAGGTAGACCAGAAGATAGTGAAGAGATTAGTCCAAAGAGTGTAGGCAACATTTGAATCAGTGTGTTGCAGCTGGCATAGTGGTTCCATCAAATCCCGGGCCCTAACGTCACTGATATCCGCCACGAATCGCTTCCGATCAGAGACAAACGCCTCTAACTGAATGTCGACCATGACATCGGCTTTCCTCGAATCTTTGTCTGCGTTTGCAAATAGGAACGATAGAGGGTAGACAGTATAGTCATCAGAATGCAGCTTAGCGGGTGCATTCATATCCACACAGCCCAGGACCAGATGGGATGCCTGTGCTAGCCAGAATGAGTCCGCGAGGGTATCCCAGTTCTGGCATGTCAGCACATAGCTGAGTCGAGAACTAGCCAAACGAGTCAAACTTCGATCGAAGATGGTCATGAAGCGGTTGCGCATTTCAACATCCTGTGCTCTAGTACCAATCAGGAATGCATGCTCCAAGCGAACTGTTAATTCCGTCCGCGTGATCTTAGAATCCTCGTAGATCCTGATGACAAGGTCAAGGAATTTCTTGAGCATGGTCTGGTCTTGTCGCGATTCGAAAAGCAGCATCTTGTGCAAAACCGCAGTCTTTTCCTTCAGAGTAGGCCATGATTCATTGGAATGGAAGATCCAGGTCTCAACCATACCAAGCACCTTGCTGCAGAGTTTTATGTTTTGCGATCGCTCCACAAGCTGGGCTAAAACGCTCAAGAAAGGCCGCCTTTGCTCCCCTAAATGAGACATACGCACAGATATCAACTCGATAGTCTTGAAGATTAAGTCCACACCAATTTCAAACTCTTGCTGGTCCGGAACTCCTTCCCCGGGTTTAGTGCCTGGAATAACCTGGTTTTGATTGTTCACGGAAGCTGCGACATGTTCCTTCGCCAGTTTTTGAGAGAAGACCTTCATGACCTGGGGGATGTGGGTATCCATCTCGGAGGGCTTATTCTTGGACAGGGTCCAAAGGACGTTTAAGCTAGAGACATAGTTGTTTGCCGAAAGTGTTTCTGTGGCGATAGCCGACAAATACGTAACAAACTCAGAAGGCGAGTTCTCGACGTCCATGCCATCCTCTTCCTCCGGCTGGTCATCGGGCAAAGCGTCGAGAACGCGTCTGACAGGAGGCTGTAGCTTGGGGGAGATGTCCACTTCATCCTCCACGCTGTGGAGGCAATCTTGGATCTCTGGGTTATCAGAACGCAGAGGCTTCTCAAAGAGCTTCTGGATCAAGGGTAGATGGCCTGTGATCCAGTCATCTGGCTTAGCTGCCAGAAGTACCCGCACAACTTGCAAAGTATTGACCATACTCGTGATGTGTTTTTCGTCTGGTTTGTCAGCTTTCTCCCCCGCAAGAATGGGGTCTGTAACCTTCTGATAGAGTTCGATATCGAGGTCGCCCCAGTATTCTGGAGAAAGGAGGTTTCTCAGCAAGTGAACAGCCTTCTTGACCATGTCTCCTGTAAGTACAGGTTGCTGTGTCTTGGTGGAAGGAAGGTCACGAATACGAGAAGCCGGAACAGGGAACCGCTCAGGAATGGTGGTAATGAAGGTAATAAGGTACTTCGTCAATGCAGCTCGAAGATCAGCAGGCACCAAGTATTCTGTGCGCTCACGAGTATTGGGTGGAGCAAGAGAGGGAGACGACGATGTGCCCTGAGCCTCCTCAAGTTTACGTTTCTTTGTATTTGGAGACTCGATTGTACCGTTCGGCATAGCAGAATGGCTCTTGACACGCTTTTCTTCCCAGTGCCAGATAAGGCTGATGAGGTTGAGCGCCAGCTTCTTACTCTCGTTAGATGAGTTTGGAGGAGAAGCTATTTTGATTAATGAGGGCACAATAAGAGGCACAAAATGCTCTCGCGACTCATAGAAAAGATCCGGCTGTCGCACGAGGAAGTGGAAGATGCTCATAACTTGCTGCAAGTTTGCAGTCTCTTCCGCCAGGATGCGCCGTGGCCATTTAGCCCAGAGCGGATAGCGCGCATCTGGTGCTTGAGCGTTACTATTTGCTGTCATGATCCGAGTAGGTAAGACAGGGGCCAGAACATCAAGGGCTTGGGTAACAAGGGCCTTGCCCTCATTCTGGTGTGCTCTCAAAAGGGCAACATAAACTTGGACCACGATCTTGAAGGGTGTCTCATAGTGGGCTATGAAGTAGCTGATGAGGACGTAGGCCCCATATTTATTGATGATGTCCTCAAGCCGGATATAATTCCAAGCGAACTTGATGATATCCTTGCGAGAATCTTGCACAGTCTGATGGTGGTATTTGATCAACAAGGCTGATAGCTGGAGAAGCTCCATACGTGAATGGTCAACACCTGACTGGCTAGACTCTTCACTCAGATCCGCCAACTGAGGCTTCCACAGGCGACTTTGGATAAATTCAGTCATGCTCTTGTCCATGAGCTTGGGGCTATTGGGGGCGTGGTTCCATGTTGTCTGAACATCCATTGCAAATATGGGATTGACGAGGTTGCGGAATGCATAAGTCTTCATCTTCTGGGAGCATGTTCGTTGGCCGTAAAGATCGAGGCAGCGCATAATAACAGAGCGGCGGTAGTCAATGGACTCATTGGTTATGATGTGACGAAATATGAACTTTGGGAACGCCAAGGTGCGTTTTAATTCATCCGCAGACAGGCCATCGATAACTTCGAAAAGGAAATCCAAATCTTGTGTTGACTCCGATAGATAGATCGTGAAGATATCCATCAGTTGATCCTCAGCCTGCTCGACTCTCAGTCTCTCATTGGCTGGTAACTTATCGTTGCGCAATTTCTTTTCAAGCTCGCGTCCGGAGCTCAATAGCTTAGCCCTCAAATCCGCATGAGATACAAGCCAGCGTTTTGTCGATTGATATGAGCATATGGAATGGGTAACGTAGATTCCGTTGATCGCAGCAGTGTTCTTGCCATCCGCCGGTTCCTGCCCGAAGAAAGTGGATGTGAAGCTTTCAGTGTCTGCAACTACCGCAGAACGCAGCGCCTCACTTTCTGGGTCTGCAAGGACCTGGCCAAAGAATCGCCCAAACCGTTCCTCTTTGAAGCGCGCCTGGAAGAAAGATAAGCTCTCTTTCGGATAGCGATTGAGGTACTTGACAAGAGGCTTGCGGAAGGGACTGTTGGAAGTCCGCCGAAGCTTTTCTTCGAGATCCAATACCTTGTTCACAAGATGTTCCATGAAGGATGTTGCAGCTGGCGGGAGGAGATGGAAAATATTAAAGATTGCAGCAACAACTTTCATGGGTGGACTTTGCTCAACAAGACTAAAGGACACTTTCTGCAAGATTGCATCATCGGCAATAACCTTCATATGATCCAAGAGACGAGCACCGATCTCAACTTTGAAGTAGTTGGTCAGCAAAGTCAACAGCCGGGCAAGCCCGTCAAGACCAGCGACGCTCAAGCGTTTGGGATCTTGAAGGTTCATGAGAATGGGACGAAGACCATTCTGTAGCAGATCCTTTGGAAGCTTGTTTGTCTGCGTAAGGACATCGCGCAGACCTGCGTTTGCTGCCTCGATAACGTCAGGAGACCGGGAATAAAGAGACTTGAAGAAGACAGAAATGATGCGAGCACGGCTGGTGTTCTGGGGCGTGTTGGCAAACTCCGGGAAGCTCATTGCCATCGATAAAAGACGGAGACAGGCCACGCGCAGATTTACAATCATCTCAGCATTCTTGAACTCATTTGGCTTGGATGCCAGAGACTCATCATCCGCGTCTGCCAAGGCGAGGGACTCCAGCATAAGTCGATTTAATGGATCGTTGAACGTCACGATGTTATTATGCAGGCTCAAACAGAAAGTGATAGCATCGATGAAGCCTATCTGAGTGGGGAAAGGCAGGGCCCGCAACGGTTTGTTGAAGATAGACTGCAACAGACGATCCTTCACGGGGAAAATGAGTTCATGGACTTGGCACCCTAGGACCTCAGCAATGGTTGAGAAGCTGCGACGAGAAGCTTCCCGAACGTATTTGTTCATATGTGAGAGTTCGTAGACAAAGAATCCGCACAAAGAATAGAGACGGCTCTTTTCATTCTTCAAGTCATCTTTGGAAACATTCTTGCAGCATCTTCGAAGGATCAAGTCTAGGGTATCTTGCGCCCTTATTCTTGTGCTAGCGGGTAGGTCGGCCGGTGTATCCTTAATGACATACATCAATGCCCGGACAAATTCAGCCTGTTTGTCGAAGAGCCAAGAATCGCCCAGGTCCAAGTCCGTTGCAAAAAGGTGAATACCAAGACTGCCTCCCGCTTTAGTAAACCACTCTTCACTATGACAGCTGTGGCAGAAGACACGGCCAAGATGCTGGAAGAAGGGTAGCTTTGATATGCGCTCAGGGGTGCCAAAGATGACGCCAGCTGCGTCTTTCATGACCTGCATCGCCGCCTGCGCACCTTCACGGACAGGGGCATTATCAGAGGATAGGCTCTCAACGATAGCCTCTGCGAGGACCCGCGAGTCAAGGTACACCGATCCTTCGCCACTGGCAACATCGAACGGCTTCCTGTTATGTCTGACTTGAGCCAGAGCCCGTCCAACTTCAACAACTGCGAAATGTTTGCAAACATCGGCCACAAAATTAGTCGCAGTTTGTTTCAGATCAGGAACCGTGGTGGCGAAAACGCTAGCCTTTAGAAGCTTCTTCAGTGAAACCTCCTGTGATAGCTTCTTCGGAATAGAGCTTGATCGCTCCGACTTGTCCAAGACATCGGCCATGCCAGTAGTCTTGTTCTCGAAGAGATCATTAGCATGCAGCCGAAGGAGCGATGCCAAATCCTCTGGGAGGTTTTCAGGTCCGATAAAGAGCTTCAGCTGGGACGAGATCATGCGGAATGCCTGCTGTTTGTAGTACACATCAGACGCCTTTGCAGCAGGCGTCTTCGGCGTCTCCATTAACTTCGCAATTGCCAAATCAATACCGATACCAATGGGGAAAGGACGCTTCTCACTCGGCCCAATAAGCTTGATATCAAAGCTAGGAGCGTCATCGGTAAATTGTTCAAATGTAAGTTCTGGAGGATGGTTAAGGAACTTCCTGTTGCGGCCGCCGAGCTTACCCAGTATCCTCATGGTTGTATGCGCATGGAAATGGTTATACGGGTGAGGCCGAAGGTGGTCCCACAGCGCGGTCATCAACTCGTCCATAATGGGAGACATTATAGGATCCAGGTAATCAGCAGTGAGATTGTCCACGCAGAGCTCGAGGGTTCGGAGTCCCTGTCCTACGAGGTCGGAGTCTGCGCGCAGCGCTACTACGATAGGACGCATGAGATAACTCAGATGTGGCAGGAGATGGCTGAGGCGAGCGGGGACAGTAAGGGTGAGTTCAACGTAGAGATCACGCTCCTGAGGCTTCCGAGCCGCGCTCAACAAGTTATTGAACGTCTCGAGAAGCATTTCCAGTAAGGGCAGGATTTCCTTGTATAGGAGCTCGAAGCGACCACCACCTATACTGCGGAACAGTGACCGCAATAAAAGGAAGTAGTTCATAGGCTCCTCGGCAGTCACCGAAAGCTCTATACATTTGGTAACAATCTTGGTTACATGAGGGTGCAACACTTGCTCGTTCTGGACTGAAAAGAGCGTTACTGCCATGAAAGAGAGCTTGAACATCCTAAGCAAGATTTTGGCCTTGGTCATATCTGAAGTTCCCACTTCGTCGATTCGATCCATGAGATACTGGAGTACCATTCCGGAAAAGGCCGGAGACGTTGCCTCACTGGCTAAGAAGAATTGGGGCAGGTGCAATAAAGCGCCATGTTCAAACATAAGCTCATGAAGGTAGGGTATCTCAGAATGAAAGACCTCGTGGAATGTGGCTGTGTCGATGCAGTGGAAGACGGTTCCAAAACTCTCCAGAAGTTCCTTTTCTTCTCGTGACATTGGTGCTGTATACTGACTTGCCAAAAAATCAAAGGGTGAAGAGTAATTTACTTCTGGTGGTGGCTGGTCTACACCATAATACTTGAAGACCCGAGCTCCCTCATGGAATAGTTTCTTGATGACCCGCACTTCCTCAGCATTATAACCGTAAGAGACCTCAGACCAATTGATAGGGACACTGTTCGGGTCGATCTGAATATGATCTGGATTACAGTTCTTTAGCTGGTGGAAGATATTCTTCAACCCGTTAATTAAATTCTTGAAGAGAAAGATATTATCTGAAACGGGATCACCTCCTCGATCGCGAGGGTTCGAAGTCTTGATCGGTGACGCCGAGAAGATATCAATTTCATCCCAGTCGGGTGGGTGATCTTTGTCGGCAAGGTATCTCTCTGATGAAGGCTCAATGTCCTTCTTGTTTGTCTTGTACGCGCTTGACACTTTCACTGCATTGTCAAACTGATAGTTCATAGACGCAAACTTGTCACCAATGGCATCAAGAATCATGATGAGGAAATAGCGGGCCTCTCGCTTATCATCAAGCTTGGAAATCTTTTCTGCCATGTTCAAAAGCAATTTGGCACTCATTGTTTGGAAGCTTGTCCCTGGGAAGTCATCGTGAAGGTTCTTAGTGTACACCTCGACAGTTCGCCGGATCTGATCACGAGTCAGATGGTCCCGTACGTGGTGGATCAAGTCAGCGAGCATGCTGTAGGCAAGAGGCCGCATCGTCTCATATACAGTAAGGCCGTCCCCAATCAAAGTCCTTTCATCAAGAAGCTCGTCAATCTTCTCCAGGAAAATCTTCCGATAGTTGAAATTGATGATATGACGAATTGCAACAAGAAGCTCCTTCCTGGCACTGGATTTCTCCCTTGGACAGTCCTGAAGAAGGCGAACGACCACTGAAGGCAGTGTCGGAAGGAAATCCTGAAGTTGATGGGCATACATGCGCAGCAGATACGCCAAAAAGCTCATCGTCTTCACCTGTGCCGTTATAAATTCGCCAAAGGCCGATCTGTTCTTGATCTCCTTGCATACACCAGTGAAGATCATGCCCTGGGAAGCTGCCTCCGCATGGGCTTTCTCCTGTGGCTTAGCTTGGAGAAGCAAGATGCTCTTTATGAGGGGCACAAAGAGCTTCACATTTGCCGATACAGAATTCCGGTGAGTCTGGAAGATGGAAACGACGATGATCGGACATTCTGCTAGAACCTTAAAGGACTGCATCCCCCTAAGTAAAACGTTGCTCCCTTGCTGATCGGACGGACCGAGGTCTGATACTGAAGTTGCTGGTGAACTAGGTCGAGGAGATTGAAAGTTCTGAGCTGTGGCACCGGGTGTTGAAGCATGCCGGATGGTGTGGCTTGGCTAGGTGCGTCGAAGGTGTCGCGAACAACCTGTTCCATTGTCTGGAACATCTCTTGAATAAGCTCGAGGAACGGCTGTACCCGGGCAGCAGTTGCCTTTGCCTGATTGCGTTCCAAATCCATAATGGTCTTCATGCATAGGACGGCATTCTCTTCATTTTCGATCCGTACGAGGTCCATCAAGAAGTCCACCATATCTGCGGCGTAGGGCTCGACATCGGGAGAGGCCATCGGTAACCGGTGTAAAGTCTCGAGAACGCAATTGCGTAGTTTCTGGTCGGTTACACGACATATGAGCACCGACCCCACGAAAGGCAGAACGATATCTCCAACCAAGGCGACTCACCTGCTCGAATGACAAGTTTGTAAACACCGGCTCGCCCTTGAGTATACCTTTGAACACCGGCCATAACTTTGAAAGGAATATGGGATAGCTTGCACCAGAGCATAACGGCTCGATATTATCTCGTAGTTCGACGGCGACATTGGCGCGGATTTTGATATCTAGAACACAGTCAGCAAGGGCAACAAGCTCCGTAAAGCTGCCCTCAGGCAAGCCCAGGCTCCTATCCCAGTGTATGCCCCAAGAGAATCAAAATATCCCACGTACCAAGCTTCTCGTCGCCCAGCTTGCTGGCGTAAATATCGATATTGCGCTCCATCGTCGGCGAGACCCTTCCAGGGGAGTGTTTAACAGGTTAGATTGGTTGTATTAATGCCAGGCCACACGCCGGCCAAAAGTCGAGCGCCAGCACAATCCGCTTCGTAAGTTGTGTTCATCCGCGTGAAAGCGACGGTAATAGGCTGTCACGTATGGCCCATCGACGGAAGACGCTGCATCGGACAGGACGAAGAATACAAGCGTCAAGTCATTAATCTCCCTCACAAATTAAACAGAAGGTATAGCAAAGAAGAATAATCAATTAAAGAGCGTAAGGAGAGAGAAGGACGTGGGGAGCGGGGAAAGAAAGTGGAGGGTATCAAAGGTCAAGAGAGCTGCGCGCAAATTCACACCTGCAAACCGATGGACCAGAAAGCAGCAGCGAGAACGCGGGTATCGCAAAGACCCCGAACGGAACACTAGTCCTAAACAGGAAGTTTCGCTACATCATTTCTCCATGCCGATAAGCGCGCGTCTGAGAACGCTTGTCGACTAGTTATCCTATCATGTAAGTGTCTGTAGACGCCAGACAGGGGTAACACTTCGGGCGCACGTGGTTAATTACCGAAAGTGAGGTGCATATAGTGGTGGATTTAGTCTGTTATGCCATAAATACTTCATGTTTTAGAATCAAAAGAGGTCATCGACATAAACGTCGACTAAGGGAAACGCCATTTGCACCCGTTTTCCAGACCCGAACACAGTTCTAATAGTCCAACTCAAACGTCCGCTTTGAATCACGGGCACAAAGATAGCCCTGCGCGCGGATAAAAGAATATTGAAAGCCATGTACACAAAAGGAGATATGAAAGAGAAAAGAAAAATAAGATCGGAAAGATATGGAGGGTGAAAGGCGCGTAACAGAGGGTTCTGATCAGATGTCAAACCAAGTGAAAACAAACACACTCATCGCAGCTCGTAGTCGCTATGCCATCACTGTGGGAAATCTAAATTAAAGAGTGCCATCAAATCGACCATCCATCACTTGGTAGAATTGCTTCGTGTTAAGATCTGCACGGCACTCGACCCGATCGACCTTCTGCGGTCGCGCGGCCGGATCTCACTGCCGCTACCACTCCGTCGCCTCCGAGTATCATCAAGGGTGTCGCGGCGCCGTCTCTGGAGCAACGGACGTTTTAACGTTAGAATCACGCTTGCTGTAACATCAAAAACGACAAAATCTTAGCAAAACGACGACGACAAAAGCAGGGGGAAAGGCTCATCGAGGTGCAGACAAGGTCATGTCAAAACATGACTTCACGAACACTCAGGCATGGACACTAACCGTTGAACTCCGTCGCTCCTTCACTGAGCCCGAGTCATCCAGCTTCAGAGACTGGAGACGATTCTGGCTATCTTGCGTGATGCTGTCAACCTCGTCTACATAAACAGGAACATCGGCTGGTGGCGGTGGTGGAGGAACACCATTCTGCCGGTCTTTGGCCTGCTCCGCCAGTTTTTCCCATCGCTCCTTTCGGGCTCTTTCGCGCTGCTCAGCACTGTTCTGCCGCTCGTTATACTCATGCGAGCATTCGTCGAAAAGCTGCGGGTTGATTTCCATGAACATCTTCATGGCGTTATATACCATGCTGTGGATTGTTCTGTCTACGAGTCAGCAATCTCGATAGGGAACGGGTGGTGAATAAGTAGCCTACCGATTCCAGTGTCCTTTCGAGTTCTCGTACAGTGGAGGGAACATAATCGGCAAGATAGTCTCCACATTATCGCTGACCAAGTTGCAGAAGTATTCGTTGTTCCAGAAATAGAGAGCACGTTCCGCCACCTGTCAGAGTACGTGTTAGAACTGTGAATGAGACAAGCTAGGATGGTCCATACCTGAAAATGGGGGCTTGCAACCGACTTCGCCAGTTGCTGGAACAAGGGTACTTGGACCTTTGCAAATTCTGCCGGGTCCATAACCTCAAAAATATCCTCTACTTCGTTCAAATACATTACCTCCTTCGTGCTGTTGACCTTCGGCCAATAGCGTAGTAAGCCGAGAACAACCTAAATTCGAGTTCAGAGTCAGGCTAACCGGAATTCCAAGGGAAATAGGTGGAAGTCTCACCTCTTCCGTCAACGAGGAGTCCTTCTCAAGGAACTGTACAATACAATACGCCAGCTGTGGGTGATACATGCTGAGGCCTTTAGCTTTGTGCAGAGGCAGCAAAACTCTCGTCAGGAAGAGTTTGTGTTCCTCCTTCAGCGGGAGTGCAAATCCGTTGATGATGGATCCGAGGATTTCGAGCAGCTCCGCAATTCCGTTAAATCGCTCCGTCTCGTAAGTGAATTGGAAGAACACGTTATTGATGGAGCGGCGAATATAAGACCGCAGATTCAGAAATTTTCCATAAATGCGATGCAAGGTAGTTTTCAGGAAATCACGTTCCCGAGGGTCTTCAGAGTCAAACAACTCCAGTAACTGTGCGAGTGTCAACTTATAGGTCTCGTTCTGCAGTTGCACAGTGCCAACCGTCTAGGCGACATACCTGTAATACAAAGTGATGGTCGATATAAGCTTTGGCAATATTCGTGTTGAAATCCTGACTCTCAATGAACCGTAAGAAGAACTCATAAACCACCTGGATATGGGGCCAAGCCACTTCCAAAACAGGTTCATCCTCTTCCGGGTCAAAGGCCTCCCCTTGGGGTGTTACAGGCGGTGGGATGGGTCGAAAGAGGTTCTTAGCGAACATCTCAACGACTCGGGGATACATGGGTTCCGTGATCACCGAACGGTTGTTTGCGACATAATCCAGGAGTTCGTGGAGCGCCAGCCTCTTAATCTCCTTCGACTTCATGTCGGCAGTCGGGTCGTTGAAATCAAAGATGATGTTGCATTGATCAATTTTCTGCATAAACAGCTCCTGACGCCGACTGGGTATTACTTCATGGAATCCCGGCAACTTCTCCAACTCTCTTTGGCGTTGATCCGAGATATCAAACCGCGACGAATGCTGACGTTTGGGAGTCCTGATCCCTTCGGACATATCTTTGGGCGTTGTCTGGAGGCGGTCGAAGACATGGGACTTTCTGGGAGGGGCTAGGTCGCCTGGCATCGTTTCGGCGGCGCCAGGGGGAGGTACATGCTAGAAAACGGGTCAAGGGTCAGCGCGATCAGCGAACGCGGGGGGGGCTACTCGGTCGCCTTGACCCAGAGGCATGGACGGGGATGGAGAGTAGGGCTCACCGGTGCGCTCGGACTGATGACCACGCTGGGAGCCGGCACTTGCCCTTGTTTCGTCGGAGTTGCTGGACCACCATTATTTACTGGCTGACCAGCGACGCCTGCGCCTTGAGGAACATGGTACTGACCTGGGGGATACGCCCCCGCCTGCGCAGCATTATCCGGAGACTTCCCTCTTGTATCATTCACCGAAGTTGTCGACGATGTCGGAGTGCCGTTCTTCGGAGATGAGGATTGCTGACCGTGATTGACTCCGAGGGAGGTTTGGTTCTGGGACGAGGAGTGGGAGGAATCTTTCTTCTTCGAAGATTTGTTTGCATCTTTGGCCCTCGACAACTGCTCGTGCTGGGACGGTTAGCTAGGAGTAGCGGGACGAGCGGCAGTTGTGATATTGAGGCGGGGATCGAGGTCAGGGCGGAAAATAGGAAGGCCGGCGACGCAGTGTATCAACTTACCACTCTCTGTCTGAAACCCTTCATTGTCGCAGATATTCGAACAGCCACATGTACTCGGACGGCGATCTCGATGCCAGTGCAGCAAGATGCCACACACTAGCAGGAGGGGATGTAGTTGGGTAGCGTAGAGGCGGTTCAGGAGACCCGGGTTGTTTATATCGGCCTGGAAATGACCACATGAGCGATTCTAACCCCAACGTAGTTGAACATAGCAATCGATTGCGATAAGGGTCCTTTTTGTTATGATTGCAGAAGCAATTATGACAGCAATGAGTAGACGTCGCAACACCAACTGACGTCGACTAATAGAAACCGTGCAGAAGGACCGGAGGGGTGGGATAATGAAGCAAAGGGAACAACTTGGGGGGAAGGAGATGGTAGGGCAACGACCATAATAGATGGGAACCAGAAAGGGAGGGGGACAAACAAAGAGTGGTTCTAGACGCGCAAGAGGAACAGGAAACTATTGCTGCATGACTTACCTCAGTGGGATCAAGCTGGGACGAGTGGAAGGGGGAGATGTTCAGTCGCTCTCACGCTGTTTCCTTAGGCGCGAACTGAGCGGTATAGGAGCAACTTAGGCAGTTAGTCGGTCCGCAGACGATCGAATCGCCTTTCCGTTGGCTGTCGCTTAGCGGCTGGGTGAGAAGCGGGGGTGTGGGAGAAGAGTCCCCAGGTACTGAGACGCACGGCACGATTGTCGCCTACACGATGCGGTTTAAAATAATTCTGTGCAATTGCAATAGGGCCGAGAAAAGGGCCGGTTGATATAGAAGATTGTTTAATGAGGAAGAGGGACTGAAGGTCTGACGGGGGGTGTGTTGTGGCTGAGGAGGGCGAGTGCGCTCAGACGTGTGGTGGAGGAAAGCCGTGGGACTGACTTAGTCCCATACATAGTACAACCAACTTGCTACGGTAAACTCCAGTAAAGGGGAACATACACCAGTACTCCAGGTATCAGTCAACTTGGCGGTGATAGAGTTAAACCCTAGTATATACAATAGAATTTCTTCTAGGTCTCTAGAGACTGATTCTGTAGATTCAATATGTGAAAGACAGAGTCCCTTCCCTCTTTTGCTCATCTTTTACTCTGGTATCCACGGCTATCGCATCACATCGGTTGTATGTTATGACCTGTTTCACATTTATGCTTATTATTTCCACTACCGGTTACTATTATAGGTACGGGCACCACCTGTGCCTGGGACAGGTACATACATAAGGCAAGGGACGGGTACTGGAAAATGGTAAAACTATCAAACAACCAGTACATCGGCTACCCACATGATCATATGGATTTTTTTTCCTTGATTATCTTTATTTTAAGACATTCCCGTAATCTCAATATGCCTCATACATTTATATAATTTTGTTCTTTTTTTTGTCTCCATCTTTGCAACTGGTACTCGAAAACACTCCTCCGTAAGTTCCACCAAAAAAAAAGAAAAAAAGGTGATGGTCATGTGACTACGACCGACGATTATTCACCCTCGTAGAAAGAAGCAGGTCAAATCGACCAACGTAACTACATGTACATACAAAAGAGGTATCAATACATCCTCTGGAGTTCACCAGAAATGACATAACTTGGCGAATTTGCCTCAGCTCACATATGAAGCCATTCAACACGCTTCTTTAAACAAAGTCTTACGTTCTGACGTCAATGGCAATCTAGCCTCGTACGGGTGCAAGTCATCTCAATCAAATATACATCTAAATTTGGGCTACATCCAACAACCACTCAATATCAATAACCTCTCATAGTCTAAACCCAACCCAACCCAACCACGGTTAGCAGATCATTGCATCACAATCCTTAACATGTCCGAACAACATGGGTCCAGGACAGCCCCATTCTATCCCATCCCGCCTCGCCGCATCGTCAGTGTCGAGCACCCGGCGATTGTCAAGAATGTCGATAAAGCCATCGACACACTCCAGGGTAACACAGGGATCTCCAAGGTACGTATACCCCTATGCACAGGGCCCTGACATTAACACCCACCCCAAGACGGTTTATCCTAGAATATTACGCTCACAACTGCTAGATGCTAAACCCTCCAAAAGCCGATACTCCGGCTTATCTCTACCTTCGACCAGAGGATGCAATGTCAAGACCTATTCAGTCAACCAGCTTGCCATCCAACAACATCCTCCTGAAGGTGACCGTGCCCAGACGGACTGGTCGTAAGCGCAAGCGAGGATCAGATGAGCCGTTCACCGGTGTCCCTGTCTCGACGCTTGGCCCTGAGTTTCAGCCACGGCGCAGCGCAAGGGAGCTCCTGCGGAGTTTGCGCGATAATGCTGGCAAATATCAGATTGAACCGGTCGGTCTTGTGAACCGGACGCATGTGTTTCGAGGTCTGTCATAACTTTCCTACTTTCTGCTTTGTGGGGGTTGCGAGCAAGTTGACGCTAATGAGGCTATATAGGGATGCCGGACTTTGTCTTCTCGAGTACTGGTAGTTCCTTCGCTAATCGGTTTCGGGAGCATATTCTGCCCTTTGACTGTTTGTTTTGCCCTGTAGATCGGGTCTAGCATGGTGGAAACTAATCGTTCCGCAGATGAAAAGATGAAGCAATTCAATCTAGACATGGCCAAAGGCATGTCATCAAACGTCGATATCATCCCACCGCCATCCTTCAGCCAGGGAGATATCCCCTTCACCTACGCGTAAGTCAAAACGATACCAATTAACCCAATCCACACCCATGCTGACCCTTCAAAACAGGTACCGGCAAAACCAAGCAGTCCGCCAATCGATTGATGCATCAGGCAACATAACAACAGTCAACACACAAAAACCCACAAAGGTCCTGACGCACTTAGTCTCCTACGACGTCCCGGAAGTACCCAGCAAACCGAACGAAAACACCCCACCCCTAGAAACCCAAGACGCCACCCTCCGAGAAACAGTAGCCATTATCCGGGAACTCTTCGAGAAGCGCCCAGCCTGGACGCGTCGTGGACTCCGCAACAACCTCAGGACAATCGAACAGCGATACGCCCTCCGGCTCGCAATCCCCTACGTAGGCTACATCATGCGTTCCGGACCCTGGCGCGACGCCATCATCAAATTCGGGCACGACCCGCGCTCATCCCCAGACTACCGCCCCTACCAAACAGTCATGTTCCGTATCCTGCCCCGGGAAGCGGACGTCGCGCGCGATGGCTACGCAGGGCGTCGTCACGCCGTGCCCCGACTCAACGACCCGGCCGCGACGGATCCCTCTAGCGATCTGAAAACAGATACGCACATCTTCACGGGCCAGCTGCCGCTGCCGCTCGACGGCCGGATGTGGATGTTCTGCGATATCACCGACCCTCTGCTGAGGAGTATCGTGTTCCCGGCGGAGGAGGCACTTGGGTTTATCCGCGAGACATGCGATACAGTCAGCGATGGGTGGTATGGGAGTGGGACGCTCGCGAAACTGAAACTGATCATGCGTCATAAGATCCTTGGGCTCATTGAGGAGCGGATTCCCGATGATCAGGACTTTTCGCGGATTCTGAGTTTCCCGGATTATGCGACGCCGGAGAATGTGAATACGGCGTTTACGCTGGATGCTAGCGTTGTGTCGAATAAGGAGTTAACTATGGCGACGGAGATTAGGGCGATGATTAAGGGGACCCCATCGTGGAGGGAGTCGAATCAGGGACAGCAAGAGCAGGATGCGACGGCGAAGCGTGGGAAAGGCGCTGCAGGTCGTCGAGTGCAGTGGCGGGATACGGCGGGCGAGGATGAGAGCGAAGGTGAAGAGGAGGCCATTGAGAAGCAGGAGATTCTGGAAGCAGCTGTGGATGAGGCTATCGAAGCCGCTACGGCAGGTGGAGATGATGACAGAAATGATGATCTTGGAGAGTCGGATGGGGGAGAGGATATCGAGGAGTCGAGACCTCGGCGCAAGTCAGCAAGTCGGCGGTGACGGCATTTGAAACATTCATGTTGACTTGTGTTGTCAAGATACTTATTTATACTAATCGCATTGTTCAGCTAGATGTATGTACATCATAAGACATCAGAAACATGACACGTTCTCACTCATAAGCAAAAGCATAGCATCGTTCAACGAGATGATAGATATGACGCCAAATAAATCCAATGAGATAGGGAGTCTTATATTATTCAGGACATTGTAGGAAGGATGGAATTTGCACTCTTCTGTGCGTAGTTATTCAAGTAGGAACAAAGGAGAACTGGAACAAGTCACAGTCGGCTGGTCATCAAGACCCGAGACAATAATATGGACATAAAAAGGAAAGTAATCCAAAAGGGTATCGAATAAAACAATGCAAAGAAAATCCAAGTGCTAAGCCTCAACTCCGGTTTTCACTGTACGCCGTACCAAAAAGAATGATGAATGATAAAATTATAACCATAAAGCCAACTCAGTCGGCTTCTTTGTGTCTTAAGCAGATTCCTCCACAGCGCTTCCACTCTCCCAGACTTCAACCTCCGCCTCGGATGGTCGGGACTTGGCGTCCCCGACCTGCTTCTCAGGCGTGGTCGCTTCAAGTAATGATGAAATAGAGGAGACACTGGAAAGTTTGCTGCGGCTGTGAGGGCAGGATCGAGGCAAAGTGGGAAGAGGTGCGTTTTTGGCGGGAGTGGCGTCGGTTTCCTCGTCGTCATAGACGACGGCATAAGAGAAAGTGTGGCAGTCTTCGCCATAGTAGTCAGCGGCAATCAGGTCGCCGAGGGGAGCACGAGATTCTTCCATCATGATGGACTTGCGGGCGGCAGCAGCGGGGGATTCCTGTTGACGAGAGCGAGGAAGGTCGATTCCGAGTTCGGCAGGGGGGATATTCTCCTTGCCTCGGGTGGCCGACTCCCCCTTGCCTTCGTCATCACTGATATCCAGCACACAGGTCGAGTGCTGCATGAGGTTGGTCATCTCCTCTTGTTCTGAATCTACATAAATATCGAAGGACCAGCCAGAGGGGGCCTTGGAGGCAGGTTGACTCGTTGGCTTGCCGCTTGCCAGAGCCGCTGCAAGGGAGAAAGGACGATGGACACTCTTTTTACTTGCAGGTTCAGGACGGCTCTTCGCAATGGTCGAGCGACGAGCGAATGGCTTGCACGGTTTAGCCTGTGGGGAGCGCCCGGCCGGTTTAAGGGTGGGAGCGGATTTCGGGGTAGACAGGGATGTCTTGGGGGGCGTGGTTGGGATGTGAGGCGCTGCGTTGGACTTCACGGTTGTCAACGTGATCCGCGAGGACTTCATGGGCTTCATAATATTCTTGACGGGCTCATGCTCGTCCTCATCCGCGCCACGCTTGCGTTTTGCCGAGGACTTCAAGGTTGTGGGGTCGATGTTCTCGGTGTCCACCTCCGAGAGGGGCTGTCTCTTGCCAGACAGGATCGTGCCTGATGGTCGGGTTAGTACGTGTTGGTACATAGCTAGACTCCAAGGAACATACCATTTCGTTGGTTTTTCAGGTTCATCTTTGACTTCAGCAAGGGTCGCATGCGCGGTGTATCCAAGCTCGCAAAGGGCTGCCGCACGGTCGTGGGAGACATTGTGAGAGCGGCCATGTTATTCGACGTGACTTAAGGGAGAACTGAGACAATTGCGCTGCAGAGCAATAGGGCTGGAGTAATAAAGGGAGTCAACCAGGCAGCAAGCGAAGACTGCCGTGGAGCTGAGTGAGTGATAAGCCTGCGCGGGTGTGGATTTGTTTTGGTCGCGTCGAGGAAGTGGGGGGTGACGGGCGGTCTAGGTATTGTACGGTAGTAACTATACCACCGCGATCAACACAACCCAACGGTTCAAATGGAACCGATCACGAACGAACCAAGGATGAGGTATACAATATCTAGGGAGGAAACGAAGTCAAAGTTGGACAGGGCCACGGGTCTCTAGAGTAGTCGTGTCGAGCTTTTCGCAAAACACAACAAACAACACGTTCAGGATGGATATATTACACAACAACAAACAACACGACGAGGATGCGATGAACGGATGAAAAGAAACGGTCACAACAGTGGCAGTCGAGACAAGATATAAAGCTATGGCAGTAAGGGCCGTAGGAGAAGTGGAGTGGAATGGCTAAGAATGGAGGGCAGGGTATCGGAATGAGAATGACAATTGAGGAGCGCGAAACATGCAGATGCGTGGTTTCGGAGTATGTACAGCTCAAAGAGGAATGAATATTGAATCATCATCATTTCTCCCACGAAGTATAATTACAGTTAGCATTCTAATAGTTCGTGTACGTTAAAGAGTAGAATCTCGTGAAAGACAGGGAGGGGCGAAAAACGCGTGAAGACGTGATTCTGTCTCGATTTGGCAGTCAGACTGCAAGGCGCGCGTAGGGATTGGCTCACGAGGCACAATTCAATGCTCGTCCCCTCACTTCACTTCAAGTTTCCCCCCCACCAGAGCTTCGACGTAAGTAGTACTGCATAGTATGTATAGATCCTCCTAGTAGTATAGAACCTAGACCCTCTGAACCTCGTTCCGTCGGTCGGGTACGCGGCTTTCCATCTTACATACCAGGTACACGGTCAAGGTTAGGTAGAACCATCCACTCCCCTGAGTTCGCTCTCTGTTAAGAATGATGATGACGAGTATAAAGACTCATGAAATCAACGATATACTTTCGATTGTAGGTATGATTGTGTCATTGACTCCCAATTGACCGAGTTATTGCCACACTCGTAAGTGGTACAGTACACGATGTAGATCGTCGATGGTAGATAATCATGTAACCTTACCGATCTAATCAGCAATGCGGTAATTTTTATTTCCCCACCTGATACACGCTAATCTTTCGTGTTGCGCCTCCCAGACACGGGGTTCGTCCACAACACGTCTACAACATGGAGGGATGTACTGTACCTACGAACTTCTTCTACCTTGACTCAAGAAGGGTAGATAGAAGAAAAGATTCTGCAGAGAACTGAGCAACCAGGGAATTACAGGTATACCCGCCGACACAGATGAGTACACAAGGTTTGAGCTGGCCGTAGCAGTAGAACTATACTCCGTATATTATAACCGTATATACACTGCCTGGAATATTTAGCGTTCAATAATACTGTATACCAGCGTTAGTAGCCTGGTCAAAAAACTTTGAGATGTCATCATCTGAGGTATAAATATCTTTAATCGTGATGGGAATTGCAAATCCTGAGCTTATCTCGATACCAGCCCTAATACATTACCTACGGTACTCCGTACACGAAGTACTATACGGAGACCATTATGACACCATCCCTGTAACGCGTCTCATCACGACCCTTAAACTCAAAGGCCTCGATTCAAGCTCACCATGCAACTTGACCAAGTCTTGTGTCTTGTCGCGTAGGATCATATTCTCATAGTCTCCCAGCGTCGAACACGTATCCCAACCCTGTTTCATGAACGACGCCACCCATTCCCGCCTGCGCGTTACGACGGCGGCTACAAGGAAACCATGTTATACAGAGTACGAACCGAAGAAGCAAGTAACTTTAATTAACTTAACCGTAGCGCCCATTCTATAAGTAGAAATCGATCGGCCGGCTCTAATTCCAATTTAAGGTTTCTTGGGACTCGGCACGGCTTTGCTCAGCCTGTGTTTCACTGTCACTGTAGCTACCTTGAAACACCGCGAGGGTTCGCGCCGTTTGTCGTTCCATGGTGATTAGGACCTTGGAACTTCGAGACGGCGATCTGCATGCGACTGACGCGCCGAGATTGATCGATGGCGCATGATGTTAGGGTTCCGGGCTGGCATCGCGGGAATGAAATGCCGGGCGCCTGTCAGATGTGAGGTCCAGTATGGGGGGGAGGTTATCCCGTGCACATTCCATACTTCACGCTAACTCGCAGTCCTCGAGGCTTTAAGACATATTTGACGCCATGTTCGTCAACGGGCGAGGCGCTTTCTTATCTATTTTATTTCCGACAATGCTCCATTCCAACTTGTTTCCCTTTACCGTTTCCTGCATACTGGTCGTCCCAATACGAGTGGACAATCGCATCGCCTAAGCTCGTCTATGATAAATCCCTTGGATGTTCTGCAGTAATGTACATTTCATTTTCTCTTCGCTTCCGTTCCTGATTAGATCTCGTCCTCCCACGGAATGCTGTCCATGGCTCCTTGTCGCTCCACGCAGCGTGCTGAGGCCTGTGTCGCCAATCCCAAGGCGTCATCCATGACCTTCTGATATCGAATAGGCTTCTCCTCGCTTGTTAAGTCTTGTCCGGCCTTGCCATCCGCCCGCCGTTGTTCGCGCCACCGGGCCACCGCGACCGCGTATGCGCCGACAAAGGTATCTCCCGCCGCAGTGGTATCCAGCACCCGGGTGACCTTAGCAGCGGGGATCTGATTGGTAAAGCGGTTGACTCTGTCCGCCGGCCCAGACGTCCCGGCATCAGTAGCACTGTACCAGACACCCTTAGACCCCAGCGTAACCAGGACGTACGTCACGCCCAACTGATGGAAATACCGAGCCACCTTGTCGTCACCGCTCAGTCCCTCCGCATCGGGAACCACCTTGAGCAGCTGCTCCGCCGGTGGAGTCATCAATTCGGCCTCCGTCTCGTTCACGATAAAGTGGTCCACCGCCGCGTACACGTCCTCTGGCAATCCTCCCGGTGGGGCAGGCGCAGGGTTAAACATGACATCAGGACCGGCCTCAATACCTCGCTTACCCTCCGCCCGGTTCTTAGCTTTCCAAGCCCCAATGTCTCGGAGTATCCCGACGACACTCTCAACAGGGATCTCTCCCTGCATCACAATCACATCCGGTACTGGGGCTGCCATTGCCATTCCCAACACTGACGGCTCAGGCTGCATCCCTTGATAATTCGCTCCAGGCGAGAAGAGAATGCGGTTTTCCCCGCCAGCCGATGAGTCCACAATGATCACCGCCACTCCCGTATATGCATCATTGAGGATCTTGACTCGCGATGTATCGACACCGGATTTCTCGAGAGTGGGCTTTAATAATGCATCGAAGTGGCCGTCCAATCCCCCGACAGCGCCAACCATCTCCACTTTCACGGAACCCTTGCCCGAAGACGTAGACGAGGCTGATTGTGCACGAGATAGCCGCCCGCAGGCAACCGCCTGGTTCGCGCCCTTGCCTCCAGCGCTAATAAAGTATGATGAGGAGGTGATCGTCTCACCGGCTTCAGGAAAGCGAGGTGTCACCGACACCATGTCGGCGTGAGAGAGCCGACAACGCGAATTGTAGGGGCCATGATGGCTGAACCGGACGATTTGTGACTTCGCGTAGAGGTAGGAGGGGTTTGGGAAATCGCGGGGTGCGGGGAACTGTCCGTAAAAATGTCGTACTCTATTGCAGCAAGCTGGTTCCGCCTCGCTTGCTTGCTAGGAAATTACTGCGTTATTCTGTAGGTCGTTAACGTAATGGCGTAGATATTATTGATCTCGACGTTGTGTTGTAGTGTGGATGTGGTATGAAAAGAGTTGACGTCGGGATCGCGGGGTTCGGTGGGGAGTCTTCCGACTGGAACCATTCACTGCCCTTCGTGATACTGTGGTAGCAATTCCGTAGCTTATGACTTAGGAGCAGCAATGCTTGGGTATTTTCTAGCACCTACTCGTATTTTACAAACCATGAGTTCATGACCAAGATGAGCAAGGTTGAATGTAATGGGATATGTTTGAGTTTGGTACAGCTTATACGTCCCAACTCAAGTGATATATAAAGTCTACTCTATCTAGATCGTCACAGACCTATTTGTAAGACAATCCATTATAGGACAGTCATAATAATTCGTTATTCCGGAAGGCGATATACGCAAAAAGAATCTCAAATAATCTTGAAATACGTGCAACTAAAGTCGAAATGACCCCAATTTGCAGCCCGCCTTGAGGTTAGACTTGCCCGTAGGCTAGACTTGCCGTCAGCTTGGACTTGCCATACGAAGGTGGCTATACTGCCCACGGCCTACCACAAGCATGGAAAATGAACCCAAGGTCCCAATTAGGGCTCTCCTCGCGCACCACCCTTATCAAAACCAACCCAATCCCAAGTAAACTCACCTTGACCCATGGCCCAAGCTTCATTTAACTCCGTGGTCTCCACTCCACTTCACCAACTGGAGCATTTATAATACAGCAGTGCCGAATGCCGGCCCAACTGAAGACTCAGCTTTAACCTCACCTCCCACTTCTGAACATAGAAGTTGTCTGTCCAGAAAACAGAACCTAGGGTAGTTATAACATACAATGTTATACGAAGGCCATTGCATATGCGGACGTATCCGCGTCCTGCTGGAACAGCAGCCTCCAAGCTCACTCGTTTGCCACTGGTATGCCCTACTAGCAGTTGTCTGAGTTTTAGTAGTCAAGTCCATATACTGATCCAGCCACAGTCGCAATTGTAGTAGATCGGGAGGTGGTCAGTCCTCCACCACCCAAAGCATCAGTTTAACCTATTGACAATATTTACCCCCCCAGGCTCCTCTATCAACTATGTCCTCCGCAATGAAGAAGTCACAATCCAAGACCCCCAATCCAGTCTAAAGGTATACGAAGATACGAACACAGTTAGTGGAAATCACATTCAGGTACGACTATCTCTTCCCACCCCCCCCCCTCGTTTTTACCCCATGAACTTATTCTGAACATGACACTAATATATGGATACTGATTGCCGCAGCGCAAATTCTGCTCAAACTGCGGCAGGTTGGTTCCCCCGTCCCCCCTCTTCTTTGTTTGCAGTTGGCTGAGCACAAGCATAGTCCGATTATAACAGAGACCCCCAGCTTTCCGGGGAAGGCTATTGTGAAGGCTTCTTTGTTCGATGTCATCTCTCAGCCTGATAAGGAGGTATTCACGGCTCGAAGACAGGCATGGGAGGGGCCTGTGGAGGGGGCAAAGCAGGAATAGTGTATTGTTAGGTTTAGCGGGGTGGTGTTAGGTGCAGTGTTGGGGTTGATATTTTTGAGATGAAAAGCAGGTTTCTAGAATACAGATATCACAGAATACTGATATACTGTTGCATAAGTAAATTGCTGATCTAGTCATCCGCTACTCTCGGCTTCCTTGTCTACATAGATGATATACTACATATTCAAAGTAACTGTAGTTTCTTGGTTCTAGATATGTAATGATGACCGTGATTCTAGGTAACTCCCTGACTTAAACCCTACGTATATATTCCAAGATCATGGACACCTAACAGGTAAGCAGCCGCCTGATCTCTCACTGTCATTCACTCACTATCCAAACAACCAGCCTCACAGAAAACCTCTCAACCAGTGAATGAAAGACCCAAACAGAAAATCTCCAGCACAAACACCATGCGCGGAATACTCTCCCCCTCACATAGAACATCCGCAACAGGAGTTCTACAGAGCAGCCAGCTCACTATACACTGTTCAGGCATTCGCAAAAAGCACAAAAGTCCAGCCAAAGCCAAGATGATATCCCTGGAGCTTCTGATGGCTTTCATCCGCGACTATATCATCGACCACTCTGCCGCGGTCTCTGAGAACCAGCACCGTGAACAAGAGCAGACTCTCACACCCAACCCCACACAGAATGCTACTGCCACTGCCGCAACCACTATCGTAACTACTGTTGCAACCACCGAATATGAACCCTCCGAATCAGCTGTGAACAAAAGAAAGACACACCCAATAGCCTCACCCCTGACGGCCGCGCAGCAAAAGAGCCTGAAACAAGACCTCCGACTCGAAGCCAAACGGCGCAAAGTCGCCAACCACAAAATCTACCATCACGAGCTCGAGAATGGTTTCTACGGCGACCTCATCTCCCTGCATTACGAAGACGCAATCGCAACTGCGCAGCACGCACACACCCTCCCCCTAACTGAGGGCAAGTATCATTTCCACAATTTCTGGGTCGACGCAAGCGGGTGCCAGGGCTCTGCCGGCGCGGCAATTGCATACAAGGATCCCCAGGACGGAGAGGAGTGGATGGACTTGGGATATGCGATCGCAGACCTTAAGGGTGAGAAGCGGGTGGAGATGTCGGAGCTGTTTGCTATTGGGGCTGCGTTGAAGCTTGCGCTGGCACGGATCGGGAAGAGGATTGCTGTTGCGGAGGGTATGGAGGAGCATGCTGTTACTGTGTTTTCGGATTCAATGTCTGCGCTGGGCATGATTCGGCGGTGGGCGAATTGGTGGTCCCAGGGTGAGGCTGATAGGTCGGCGTTTGGGGAGATTGCGAAAGATGTTTGTGGGCTTTCGAGGCAGCTGTTTGACTTGGGGGTTAAGGTGAGGGTTTATTGGGTGCCGGCGCACTGTGGAGTTTGTATTGCTGGGCATAAGAGGGCTGATGTGCTGTCTAAGGCGGCGGCGAGACATGTTAAACTGCTCGAGCAGCGGGATGCGATGTTTAGTGCTGATGGGGTTGTTCAGTTGGTTGATTCGGGGTTCTTGAAAACTCTTCACCTGCTTGCTGATGAGTGAGATATCTTGGGTGAAGGACGAGTCTGGAGTGTGTGCGTTTGCTACACTACCACTTCTGTTACGGGGCGTTGGTGATGGATATCGTGGCGTGGGTTACCGGGAACTGATGGAATTATGATAAGTTGGCTTCAATTCCGACCTGTGGATCTGTGTATCTTAAAATAAATGCAACGCCGTACACCGTGTTCAACCGCTGTGCCCGAGTCCAGTTTCTATTAAGACATGATATCAGGTAATGCATGCTCCCCGTAGTCAAAAACCATTATTGCCCATAGCCCATACACACTCCATGCGAGCATCAGTCATCAAATTAACAAAGATGAAAGAGAACTATACTCCGTGACGGTACACCTGGGATCCGCCAGAGCGAATGCGAACAGTATCTCTGCGCTGCAAGACCATCAAGGCCCGGTTGAGAGCCTGCTCAGTGTAGCCTCGTCCGTCAACGAACTCGCGGCGGAGAGTGGCGAGACTGGTGCTCCAGCCAATGGGAAGTCTGCGCTTCAGTTCATCTTCGATCTTGCTGACTTCTTCCATCATCTCCTTGCTGCCCTGGCCCTCGCCCTGCGTGATTGCGTCCATTGTTGAGGCTAGGAAGAGACGGATGGCCTCGTCGACGTGTGCCTCCGTAGCAATCGGCGATAAGCTGAGCTTGGCAAGGGACTCGGTGATACGGACGATGGCCTCCAGTTGACGGACCGTGATAGGGATAGAAGAACGTGCGTTGGCGTCGAGCTCTGCGCGGTGAACTTGCTTTCTAATAGAGACGAAATGAGATGAGAGTTTCTCTGCGGCTTCAGGGGATAGACGCGGGGCGCAACGACTGTAGGCGATATGTTAGTGATGCTTTAAAAATTTTAAGTAGCTAGACGGCCAGGAACTCACGTGCGGCAATAGCTGATATAACGCTTCATCTTGTCCAGCGGAATCTCGGCCTCAACTTGCTCTTCAATACCTCGGCCACCCATATGAACGCCCATGACGTGACGTGCGATGTTCTCGTCACGGTTGCGGTCGTGGTCATCACGGACAATGAAAATCATATCGAAACGAGACAGAATGGTTGTCTGGAAATCAATGTTCTCTCCAGGAGTCTTCAGGTCATCGTACCGACCGAAGATAGGGTTTGCGGCGGCCAAAACTGAGGTTCTGGAATTGAGGATGGTGGTAATACCGGCTTTGGCAATCGAAATAGTCTGCTGTTCCATAGCTTCGTGGATGGCGACACGATCTTCATCTCTCATCTTGTCGAATTCATCAATACACACAACACCACCATCAGCAAGAACCATTGCACCACCTTCAAGATAGAACTCGCGTGTCGCTTGGTCTCGCTGTACTGATGCTGTCAGACCGGCTGCAGATGAACCTTTACCGGAAGTATAGATGGCAATCGGTGACACCTTCTCTGTGAATTTAAGCAGCTGAGACTTGGCCGTACCGGGGTCACCAAGAAGCATCACGTTGATATCTCCACGCAGTTTCATGCCGTCGGGTAGAATTTTCTTCGAACCACCCATGAGCAGGCAGACAATAGCCTTTTTGATATCAAAGTTGCCATAGATCGAGGGAGCAATGCTCCTGGCGAGGGCATCGTATAGATCAGGTCGACGGCTGAGCTCTAGGAATTCCTGTTCCTCCTCTTCCGAAAAAATGGCACTACCCTTGACGGTTTGGTCCAGATCAGTGCTGATGCCCACCGCCCTCATATAAGGGTTACGAATGGCAGGAGCACCATCCTTCTTGCCGCCTTTGGATTGATAGATGGAGAAGATACCCATAACTGTGCAGCGGGAACCAGGTACAACGCGATTTGCCAGATAGCGGTCGGCTGAAACGAGAACATGTCTGGGCAGCTCACCCACTGGGACCTGGTCGGGTGCTTCCTGGAGCTTGAGAACTTGCTGATCGACGAATTGGCACTTCTCGTGAGAAACGACGTAAGGATCTAGAGGGCACTGTTCACCAGGGGCATCACCGGGTTGCTGCTGACGGCCGCATCTCCGGGGCAACGAGAGACCTGAGAATCCGCCTTCGACTCGAATGTTTTCGCTATGATCGCAGTTCTTGCAGCGGATGTGAACAACTGTTGCTTTTGATGAGATTGTTGAAGCACCGATCACAATGCCAGGAATGCGAACAAGATGGGAGATGTTTGTCGCATTAAGATCACGAATGGAGATATGTGCTGCAGATGAGTGAAGTAGAAGCTGATGGGATGGGAGCACTATGTCCCTTTGAGAGGGGTAAACGATTCTCTGAGTGCATTGTTGGAGAGCATTCTCGAACTGAATATAGGTGTGATGGTCAGAACCAGTCTGATCGATGCCCAATAGTCGGATTACTCACAAGGGGGATGATGTCTGCAGGTTCAGTGGTGAGCTTGTACGCCAGCTCTTCATTATAAGAGACCAAGTGGGCAATGTCAATGTCACAGTAATATTGCTTCACGAGGACATTTTGCCGAAGTTGGTCGCTGTAGATTAAGTCAGCTTCACAACAGACTTGTTGGTTGTCATGGCGGCATACCGATAAATAAACGCATTATCCAACTGGAATTCCAAAACAAAATCTCGTAGCCTCTGCTGAATTTGTGTGCGGGACTCGTCTGCACCATCTGTGCTAGGAGCAAGAACACTCAGAGTATAAGGTGTACGCCTGTCCATGATGAAGACAGCAATTGGGGAGGGGTGGGTTGAGGGAGAGCGAGGGGGCAATGTGTGGATTGTTGACTATCACCACCGAAGGAGGTGCAAATAACTTTTGCAGGGACACGAATGGTGCGCGTCGCGTCTGCTACACGCGTTAAGTGGTTTTGGCCTTAGGCATCTAGTGTGTGGGTGCTTCGTCCCCAGAAGTGCGGAAAAATAGTAGCACCGTTTCCTCCCAACTGGGACTAGACCCCCTCTTGGGGGCCTGGAGCCTTACCCGATTGGGCCGGCTGTCATGCTGAGGTCCCGAAAGCACGCTCCCCAAGGTTGGATTACTTGTGCTTGCGCATTTGGTGACGTTGCATGTTAAGCGACTCCTGTTTGAAGTCTCGCTCGGGTATCAAAATCGTGATAGCGGGAAATCATTGGAGGAACTCTTGCTCCCGGTCCCACCTGGACTATTCTACAGTTGTCCTCTTGTCATGTTGAGATAACGACGTCTAGCATAGCACGGTGGCCGTCGGAGTCGCCAACTTGGCATCACGAGATGTCCTCTGCGAGCCCACGGAAGTCGATCGACAGCTTAGCTTCGGGTGCATCCACACCTTCGCTATCTCAGTATTCACTCAACCAGCTCGAATCGCCCCGCGTTCCGCCCCAGAGATACCCCCTGAGACGAGGGTCAACTGCAAGCTCAATCGCGAGCATTGGAGGGATTCTCGACTCCTCAAATCGGCATGGATCAATAGCAGAGTCAGGACAGAATGGTACGTTATGACTTGTTACGTCAATTGCTGGTACGCTAATTCACCTAGCCATCTCTACCCTCCTTCAACCTCCGATTGTCCGCACCGGTCTTGTGCCCCATACCGCTGTACCGTCTAGTGGATATAAGCCGCCAAGCTCCCGCGATATCCCTCCAGTTACCCTGACAAATATACCGCGTGTGGACGCCGCTGTATTTGACCCGTACCTATCGCAGGTTGGGTCCTTGTACGATGTGTTCCAACAAGCGAAAGAAAGTGCTGGTGATCAGGAATCGCAGCTGGCACGGGACGGAGGAAAGGCCTCGCCTAAGCCAGATGATAATGAATTCTTGTCGTCACAATGGTCTGCGGAGCGGCGGCCCTCAACATTATCGGTCAATTCCCGCGCGAGCTCGCCTTTCGATACTCGCGGACGGAGACGGTCGTCTGCTCGAGGCCGAGGACATGCAGTGACGCCTCTTTCTACCATCCCTCAGGTATATTTTGATGATGATTTTCATCTCGAGAACCCGCGGACATTCGATGTGGTATCAGAGAAGTCTGAAGTTGTTACCCCGCCGAAGACACCGGGCAAGGATGGTAGATTTGAAAACGGAGCCGTTACCGGACCGTCACCAACGGGAAGAAAGGCACTTGCTACAAATGCGATATTGCAAGAAAAGCTTTCCTGGTATATGGATACGGTGGAAATCCATCTGATTTCATCAATCTCAACGGCATCCAAATCATTCTTCACTGCCCTCGGCTCACTCCGTGAGCTGCATTCGGAGGCTGCTGACTCTGTAAAGCGGATTCAAGTGCTGCGGAAAGATCTCCAGAAGATTGACTGCGAAATGGCCCTAGGTGGCTTGAAGATCGTTAATCTACGGCGCCGGAGGGAAAATGTCCGGTTGCTAGCAGATGCTGTATCTCAACTGCGGGAAGTAGTCCAGTCAGTTTCCCGGTGCGAGGAACTGGTTGAAAATGGAGATATTGAAGAAGCTGCAGATAGCCTTGAAGAGGTGGAGAGACTGATGGCCGGAGAAACTGTGTCTGGTAGCCCAGCAGGCGTGGATCCGCAGGAGCATCCGAAAAAAGCTATTGATTTGAGGAGGCTTAAAGCCCTTGAAGGTGCATCTGATGACTTAGCCCAGTTAAGGACTCGAATTGGCATGGGATATGAGTCCCGCTTTCTGAATGATCTTCTTGAAGACCTGAGACAACATGTGGAAAATGTACCATTGGAAGTGACGCTTCAGCGCTGGGGCTCTTCATTTCAGCGACAACGTGGAGTGCAACGCTCAGGCGTTACTGTTTCCCCGGCGTATATGACCTTCGATGACCAGCTGAGATCGAGACTGCACACACAACTGACAGGCCTTGCACGGGCACACCATACAACCGCAGCAGCGACTTCTTTCAAGACGGCAGTCTTACGAGAAATGAAGAGTTTGATCCGCAAACACATGCCTAGCTCGAGCGATGATGATAATGAGTCAATGGTGTCCGTGTCCACTCATCGATCCTCCCAGCTCAGTCAGCAAGAGAAGTCCTCGATTCTTGCTCGGAACCTGCGTGCTTTAGACGCGGAAGATGCCTACGCTATGCTCGCCCGCGTATATACCGGCATCAGTGAGTCCTTACGGAGACTTAGTGTCCAGGTCAAGGTCCTTCTTGATCTTGCTAGTGGACTAGGGAATAACTCAGTTCTAAAATCTCCAAGGAGTCCCCGTTCACCTAACATGGATAATGCAGCCCTGTCTGGGGCAAGCCCGCAGCCAGCGGCAACAATAATGGCTCAGGACGAAATTTTACAAGTTCTAGACATGTCTAGTCTCCTCGGTCAGGCGGTCGATATTGCTCAGTCGCAGGTGAACAAAGTACTGAAAGTTCGGTCCGAGCAGACCTCTCACCTGCCTAAGGAGGAATTCTTGAAATACTTTACCCTCAACCGACTCTTTGCGGATGAGTGCGAAGCAATTTCGGGTAGAAGTGGCACGGCTCTGAAAACTCTTGTAGGCAATCAGATCCGTGATTACATCGCCAAATTTGGCGATAAACAGCGACATCGTATTGTTGAAGTCATGGATGCGGACCGATGGGATGCAAGGGACTTCGGTGAGACAGAAAATACGACTCTGAGCCGGATTCTCGATGCTAGTACTAAGGATATCGAGGCTTGGGTGGACGCCTCAAAGATTTGGCTGCCTCAAGACAAAGCTGAAGGCAATACGTCGGAAAGTACGACCAACGGATCTGGAAAAGACAAGGTGCGCTCTGCGGTGATTGATGAGCAGAAATACATTCTATCGGAATCTGCGGTAGCCATGATGAGGAGCATAGAAGAATTCCAGTTCCTTATGGCCAACATTCCCAGCATGATTCAGGATATTGCACCGGGTCTTTTGGAGTCGCTGAAGTTATTTAATTCTCGCTCCTCTCAACTCATCCTTGGTGCCGGAGCCACACGTAGCGCCGGTCTGAAAAATATCACTACGAAGCATCTCGCACTGTCCTCGCAGGCCTTGAGCTTCATCATCGCGCTGGTACCTTACATCCGCGAATTTGTCCGCCGCCACTCACCTTCTAGTCCGTTGATGGGCGAGTTTGACAAGGTGAAGAGGCTGTATCAGGAGCATCAATCTGGTATCCACGAGAAATTGGTCGACATCATGAGTGGGCGGTCTTCTGTGCACGTAAATGCCATGAAGAAGATTGATTGGGACGCCTCAGGATCTAGTACGGTTAATCCGTACATGGAGACTCTTGCAAAGGAGACCGGCACACTGCATCGCGTGCTCAGCAAACATTTACCAGATATGACCGTGTCGATGATCATGGATCCCGTGTTCAACAGCTATCGGGAACAGTGGACCAAAGCATTCGATGAGGTGACCATTCATACTGAGCATGGAAAGCAAAGGTAAGAAAAGATCTTTTTCACAGCATACAAGCAAACATCTAACATCGCGTAGGTTACAACGGGATGCGGAGTTCTTCCAATCGAAGCTCAGCAAAATAGACGGCTTTGGAGACCTAGGAGAGCGTCTTCTGGAGCTGGTGAAACGAAAGACCCCAATAGCTGAGGCCAAGGAGAACGGCTCGAACGAAGCCAATACAAACAGCTCCTCCGATACAAGCAACGGCAAGAAGAGTCCTCAAGCATAAAACCATGGTTAGAGATGCGAGGTTTACGGATGTCTCGGCCTTGACGAAAACATTGTATACATTCTTCTCGCTTGGATGTACCTGAGATACCATCATGTTAAGGCCAAAGAATTGTACAGCGATTTAGCGGTGTTTACCCTTTCTAAATACTTGTTTATTTCCCCGGATAGCACAGCATCCGATTTATATCCTTCTATATAGACTTAATCAAGACATTCGTTTACCAATTTCTTACAACAATACCCGGAAAACAAAATGCAGAATAATACAGATATATCATCTTCATATATCATTAAATAGATAATGATAGATAATAAACACGAGCCCCTGTACCGTAGCAGAAGCCCAACCCGAATCATACAAACGGTTTATTTATTTAACCCGCGATCAAACTCCCAGAGAAAAAAGGGAAAAAGCTCATAACCTCATTCAAGCCTTATGGGCGCCCAGACCCTTATGCTCTCCCAAAGACTTCGGCTCATGGCCTCCCTTTCCACTCGAGTGGCCAGCACTGCCGCCAAAGCTCGTCGCGTTGCCAGAAAGCTCTTTAGCAGCCTCCGGGAACTCGGCAGTTCTGAACACGCGGCCCATTTGGGCGTTCTGTATATCATCATCGTTAGCCTTGAGATAGTCACTTGCGCAGTATATCGGAGGTAGAAAGGGAATTGAACTGAAATGGAGATAAGAACGGGTACATACAGAGTCGCCGGCACCGTGGACCTTCGTCTGGCCTGCTTCGACAGCGTTGTCGCTGTGGGGGACGCCGTCGTCGTATTCTGCGCCGCGGGGCATTTTGGGTTTAAATTATTTGTGATATGAAGGCTATTTGGCGTTGTTAGGTTTGCTGGTTTTTTGAAGTATAGATAGATGGTGTAAGGACATACCTTTAGAAGAATTAGTACGTTAAAGGTTGAGATAAGATATCTATGGCGATATATGCAATTAATTTATCTTGTAATTGTTGATTTAGATGTCAACTTCAAAGTAGAATCTGAACTCCTTTATATGTTGTTCTTCGCATCTAGTCCGTTCTATGATAACATCGACAACCCGCCAAGAACGGGCTTTCGTGACAGCATCGTGAAGTCATTGTGGAGACGGGTATGACTTCATCTGGCTTGCGCGGTCTCGACCGGTTGGGATGGGTAGGGTTGTTTGGTTTAGGGGTTTCTGTGTATTTATGGATTTTATACGTTTATTATAGTACTGGGATAACTTGGGGGGGTTTGGTTGTTGGTCCATGTTCAGGTACATACAGTTCTTTGCCGGTGTTCGTTGTGATGGGACAAACAGTGCAAACAGCGCAAACTAGTGTTGGTGTAGATGGTGTCGTATGTGAGGGGAGTTTGGTGTGTTTGTTCGAGGGGGGTTGAGGGAGTTTGATTTAGATGATTTGTTGGTTTTTGTTGGGGCTTATCGTGGTGTCGTGATATATCTTTTCAATTGTTGTGTACTGTGTTGTCTGTGTTGTCTGTGTTGCCTGTGTTGTTTGCGAGTGAATAGTCTGATTTGACAAGAGTAAATTGTTGATTTATTCATTTATCTGACGATAACTACTCTTCTTACTGTTTTAAAGCGTACTTACGGAGGTTAAGTATCATGTCTACTATGCGAGCAGTCGTCGCGCATACGGCTGGACCTCCCGACGTCCTTCGAGTCATCCAATATCCCATTCCTCAACCCAGTCCTGGACAAATCCGGATCAAAGTCAAGGCATTCGGACTTAATCGCTCCGAGATGTTCACTCGGCAGGGTCACTCTGGTTCTGCGGTTCAGTTTCCCCGCATTCTCGGCATTGAAGCCGTGGGTATAGTCGACGCCGCTCCAGGACTGGAAGATAGGTTTCCGCTCGGAGCTACCGTGGCCACAGCCATGGGTGGGATGGGCCGAGCCTTCGATGGGGGATATGCAGAGTACACATGTGTACCGGCAAAGCAGGTACAGGTACTGAAGACGAAGCTGCCTTGGGACGTGCTGGGGGCGCTGCCAGAGATGCTGCAGACGGCTTGGGGGTCATTGATCAGGTCACTCACCTTGAGACCCAAAGATAGGTTGTTGATTCGCGGGGGAACGTCCTCGGTGGGCCTAGCAGCAGCGGCCATTGCTAAGAAACATGGGGCGTTTGTGGCGTCGACGACCAGGAACAAGGAAAGGGAGGTGTTATTACGGGATTACGGAGTGGACGAGGTGTGGATTGATAACGGGGCCATTGCTCAACAGATTGCCGAAACATCGGGCCAATGTTTCGACAAGGTGCTAGAGCTTGTGGGAACGGCGACGTTGGCTGATTCACTGCGTTGCGTGAAGAAGGGAGGCGTTGTTTCTATGACAGGGATTTTGGGGAACGAGTGGCACCTGGAGAAAATCAATCCAATGGAATTGATCCCAAGTGAGTCGAAATTGACGGTATATTCTGGAGGGGATGAGGACTTCATGGGAACGCCTCTGAGAGACCTGGTCAAGATGGTTGAGGAGGGGAAGCTCCAGATCCGGGTGGGACGCGTATTTAAAATGGAGGACATTGCGGAGGCTCATCGGTGTATGGAAGAAAGTGAGGTGGGAGGGAAGATTGTAGTGATTCCATAGCCCCATTGCCCCCCTCTGGATTTTACTTAGTAGCTTGTCCACATACCTCATGGCCGTTAGACTTGATCTTGAAATGGACGAAGCAATTGGCCCAAAACCGACCAGAGCCAGGGGTGGTTGAAGAAACATTGCCCGATCTGGACAGGGCTGACCATGTCAAGGCGTCTAATGGCGTCCAGCAGGCGACTCCATTTGTCGCCGATCGATAGCCCCTGTGACACAACATCACGCCGTGTATCCCGGCATTCCGACAATCCTCGAACTCGGGCGGATTGTAAATTGAAAATATGAAGGTAGCATTGCAGATGCTAAGCAATTATACACAGTTTGCGAGATTTTCCCTGAGATTGTTGAGGGGGTGAGGTCTGGAGCGGTCTCCGAGGTGCACGGTGGTTGGGTGGGGACCGAGTACTAAGTAGATTGTAGTAAGGTAAGTTGGGAGTATACGGGCTCCGGTGTGCCTAGATGTCGAACCCGAGACTCGGGATGGGGGTCCGAGGAGTTGTTTTAATCCCACCGTGACGGTGTCCAGAAAATGCCCGTTGCCACAGTTTGGCTTACCGGCCGCAGATAAAGAAATTACCACCAGGGGGTACCGCATGTGGTTGCAAAGAAAGAAGAAACCTGGAAAAGAACCATGGATTCCCGTTGAACCGATCCCAGGGCACATGACCCTCGACCAATCAGAGCGAGACTGCCTCTCCTGCGTGAGCCGTGACGTAATGCTTCACCTGGGGTTCCCCGGATTCGGAATGGAGAAGTGGGGGATTCTTGCGAAGGGAAAAGAGAATTGAAGATAAGGAGATTCCTTGATGGATCGACTAATATGTAGTAGTCAGTCTGATCGCCTGGTTGATATGCTAGTCGGATTCCATGGTTGAGAGCTGGACTTTCTTTAGTTATGTATATCGGTCCTCTTATTCTGATGATTGCAAACGGAGGTGGACACTGACAGACTTCGAGTCAGACAGTACGACATGTACCATAAAAATAGACGGAAGAGAGGAGAGATAGAAAAAAACAAAAAAAAAATTGAAAAGAAATTGAAAAAAAAAGGTATACTGCGGCACAAACAAAACCAGTTCAATTCCTGCACGAGATTGAATGACGAGCATCATCATCTGGTCGGATGATCTTGGGGTTGACAGGGGTTACGATTCGCTGACCAGGTCTCGCCCCGTTAGGAGCAAATACTATAGTGAGCACGAGTCCGTGCCACGGCAGTAGCTCTGTTTAGACGTAATTTGAGGAGATCCAAATCGCCCTACTGCCCTCTTCCCTTCGTTTCATTTTTCTCTGTTTTCATGAATCTATTCTACTGAAAAAGGCCTAGAAAGAAAAGAAAACCCCCCCCCCCCCCCCCCCTTCTTATCGACTCAAATCGCCCTTTCCAAGGGAACACAGGTTCCACTGGATCCGTTCCTAGCTGTTTTGTGTCTGCTACTACCTTGTTCTGTACCTTATTTATACTAACAGTTTAAGTACCTCACTAGCCTGGGCCCTGCCAACCTTCCGCGCAGTTCGAGCTTAGGCTTCCCCCGCCACCCCCATTCAGCTTTCTATCCCCCGCACGCACCTCCTCTGTGACCGGAGGGAGGATAAAAAGACCTGTGCGTGGAAGCTAGCTGGGCGAGCTTTAGCTTGGACGGCATCGGCTCTCGAACTCTTTTCATTTTCATTTTCTTGCTTCCTTTGTCTAACCTCAAAACTTTCTTCCTTTTTCCTCACGCCTGTTGTCCCTCGTTCCCTCTCAAGTGCCTATACCTTTATCTCGCCTGGATAGCGCTCGCAAGGAATCACAATGGCCAGTGAGGAAACTGGCGCTGAACCCCCCAAGCGGGATGTCCGCAACCATATGCTTTTCGAAATTGCGACGGAGGTGGCTAATAGAGTGGGTGGAATTTACTCCGTCCTCAAGTCCAAAGCGCCCGTGACGACCGCCGAATATGGCGAGCGATACACTCTGATCGGGCCATTGAACCGTGCTTCGGCAGCGGTGGAGGTGGAAGAATTGACTCCATCCAATCCCTGCATGATCCAGACGATCAAGTCGATGAAAGAGCGTGGCATCGACGTGATCTACGGTCGCTGGCTGATTGAAGGCGCTCCCCGGGTGCTTTTGATCGACACAGGAACGGGATATAAGTTCCTGGACGAGTGGAAAGGAGACCTATGGAACACAGCGGGGATCCCATCGCCGGCGGCAGATACCGAAACCAATGAAGCGATTGTCTTCGGATACCTGGTAGCATGGTTCCTGGGTGAAGTACGTTTGATAGACAGCACGATCGTTACATGTGGAGTCCGCTAATGAGGGTAACTAGTTCATCGCTCATGAGAGACGGGTTGCGGTGGTCGCCCATTTCCACGAATGGCTTGCTGGGGTAGCCCTGCCGCTGACCAAGAAGCGACATATGGATCTCACCACAATCTTTACCACTCATGCAACCTTACTCGGTCGCTATCTCTGTGCGGGGTCGGTGGACTTTTATAACCACCTGCAGCACTTCGATGTGGATGCAGAGGCCGGCAAACGTGGCATCTATCACCGGTACTGCATTGAGCGAGCCGCAGCGCACACGGCAGATGTCTTCACCACCGTCTCCCATATCACCGCTTTCGAGAGCGAACATCTCCTCAAAAGAAAGCCAGATGGGGTTCTGCCGAATGGACTCAATGTCAAGAAATTCTCCGCAGTGCATGAGTTCCAGAATTTACACTCGCAGTCGAAAGAGAAGATCAATGACTTCGTTCGGGGCCATTTCTATGGCCATAACGATTTCGACCTGGACAATACACTCTACCTTTTCACGGCGGGACGCTATGAATTCCGGAACAAGGGCGTTGATATGTTCATCGAAGGTTTGGCTCGTCTGAACCATCGCCTAAAAGCCAGCGGCTCCAAAACTACCATAGTTGCTTTCATCATCATGCCAGCCCAGACCACGTCTCTTACGGTCGAAGCTCTCAAGGGGCAGGCTGTGGTCAAGTCCCTACGTGACACAATCGAGATGATTGAAAAGGGTATTGGAAAGCGAATGTATGAGCGTTGCCTTGCATGGAGGGAAGGCGACAACATGCCAGATGAGAAGGACCTAATGGCCAGTCAAGATCGCGTGCTGTTGCGACGCAGGTTGTTTGCCATGAAGAGGCACTCCTTACCCCCGATCGTCACTCACAACATGAACAATGACCACGAAGACCCAATTTTGAACCAGATACGTCGTGTCCAGCTGTTCAACGATCCAACCGACCGCGTTAAGGTAATCTTTCACCCAGAGTTTCTCAACTCTTCGAACCCCGTGCTGCCGCTCGATTACGATGACTTTGTCCGTGGTACGCATCTTGGAGTCTTCCCGTCATACTATGAGCCTTGGGGTTACACACCCGCTGAATGCACTGTGATGGGTGTCCCCAGTATCACAACCAACCTGTCCGGTTTCGGTTGTTATATGGAGGAGTTAATCGAGAACTCATCCGACTACGGTATTTACATAGTAGATCGCCGAATGAAGGGGGTTGACGATTCCGTCAATCAGCTTACTGATTTCATGTTCAACTTTGCTTTGAAGAGTCGTCGCCAACGGATCAATCAGCGTAACCGCACTGAGCGGCTGAGCGATCTGCTGGACTGGAAACGTATGGGATTAGAGTATGTCAAAGCTCGGCAGCTGGCTCTCCGGAGAGGTGCGTGTTCTCCATAACCTCCATATAGATTCCATATTGTTCACTAACGCATGGATCATGATCTACAGCCTACCCATCTTCATTTGGCAGCGGCGAAGACTTCTATGATATTATTGGAGGAACAGAACAGAAGATCTCACGACCGTTGTCCGTCCCTGGGTCACCAAAGGATCGCTCGGGGATGATGACCCCTGGCGATTTTGCGTCCCTGCAAGAAGTCAAGGAAGGACTGAGTACTGAGGACTATATTGCATGGCGGCTGCCGTAAGTTATCCTCTTGGCTACATACATTATCGACACCTTTGGGCAAATGTGGTGCTAAATTCGCTATCCAGTGGTACAACCGATGATGATGAACCAGACGACCAATACTTCCCACTGACACTACGAACGAAAAAGACATCTGATCGACCCGCCTCGCCGCTGGACCGGATATCAGTCAATGGTGGAAACTGATTGACAGGCGCATACCTTCCTGGAGATTTACTGCCTAGCGTTCCGTTCGGTATACGATCTCAAACCCCCCGCGTGGTGCTGTTGGCTGGATCGAATCCCTTTCCTTGTGTGCCCCTGTGCCATAGCCTTCTACATTTGTCATTTTTATTTACTTCAATTGCATGTTTATTGATATTCTTTGGAGAGAAACAGAGTGACCCCCTTTCCGGGCCCAGGACTGTTAAGGCTCCCTGGATATATAGCTTCACGTCTTCATACTTTGTTTGTACTGGTGCATCCATGTCGTTTTCCTCTTGTGTGAGCTTGCCAGCATCGGGATTGTTGTTTTACGAGCGTGGATAAATTCATTGCATGATGTGCGAGATGCCATAAATTCTTTTTACGCAATTGCCTGACATCATATCTTAAGGGTTGTTGAGAGACTAGTGAGGGGTTGATCGTAGTCCCACTACAACCCGGGCCCCATCAGGATTGACCGGACCACCGTGCTCCAGTACGTAGTAAGTAGCCTAGTGTCTATATTTTGGCATCAACAGATCGCAGGAACGCGCCCGGTATGTGACAAGGATAGTCCATGCTGAATTACTACCCATGTGTCATTCCTTCTCACACGGTCCGTAAACTGTGCGGGCTTTGGGTCGGAATTCATCGTCGTGGGGGATCGGACGAGAGGGTGTTAATCCCGTTGAACTGGCCACGACAAGGGATCGCCGCGTGATCCAATGGGACCAGGTAACAGTTTTCGTCTTCGGGAGGATCCCGGTGAAGGTAGAAGCAGGAAATAGAGACGAGTAATATAGGAGTGACTAGTAGAGATCCAGTAGGTGGGGTTGGATTTCATGTGACTCAAAGCCTAT